GCAAAACTTAGCGGAGCGCGGAGGACTGGTCACATCGAAATGTCGCGGATTTCCACGTCGCTTCTGGTCGAGGATAACATTATTTGCCTTGGGTGATGCAGTGTCTCGGAAGCGGGGCCGGAAGGCCCAATCTTGCAAAGGGTCATTGGAATAGCTCCCGATTCTATGTGCTGGTCAGCTGTGTCGCCACTAACTAATGCAACATGGTCACACCCTCTTCATTCACACCCTCTCCATTTACTGTCGTTATAGCTGCTGTTATTGAGCAGTTGAGCAACGCCATCTAAGATGTCGAATAGATGACCTGATCAGAAAGGTAGCTGACTCGTCGTGTATCAGTGATGAAATCACATCAATTGGACATGCTCGCTGCAAAACTTGGAGATGTAGCTATTGCAATCCAAAAGAAAACAGGATCGTTCAGGCTAGTCCGTGAGGAGCTAGCATAGAAAGCGAGTGAGGACTTTATTGTTACATGGAGATCCTAGCAGATCGCGATTTGGAACGCCGTTGGGCCAATCTGCCCCTTAGAAAGAGTCTACCAAGATAGAGGCCGAAGAGGGGCAAGAGCCGTTGATGAACCTCACTCTGCATCTGATAGACCTAACTACTTAGTGTCAGTATAGTCGTAGAGTGCATGATATCAGTCATCGGGTAACATTGAGAGGAGATGCTCCAACTGAATAGAATGTCTTGAAATATAGATTCTGATCCGGCAAATATTGTCGTACCATTATCTGTGCATTACTCCTCAGCCGAAATAGCACTGCAAGTACTAATCATATCGATCCTCAAATCACGGCAGACGACGAGCTCCCACTTCCACGTGGTATTCGCTGGGAAGTCTCAGAGAAACAGTAAAACTGTCTCTGAGGGCCGGGAGGAACTCAAAAAAGCGGTTATTATTCACGACACACAGGATCACAGCCCCAATACGTGCGCCCACGATGGAATGTTGAACCTCAACGTCTGGTACTAGTTCTTTATTCTGTCCGCAGATTTCCACGGGGTTGTTTGTTTTCCATATAGGTTCGTATTGTAAGGGATTTCTGTCTTGCTGAAGGTATTGTTGTTAGAGTCGATGCAATATTTTCTTTCATAGGTTTCCCATTCATGCACCGTCATCTTGATCAACTAGACGCTTTCACGAGGCCGTGCTGTTGATCAATGGTGCCCATTCGACTTTGACTCGAGTGAAAGTTTCAAGTGCTGGCCCGCTGTCATGCGGTAGGTGCGAAGATAGAATTGCAGCTGCGCGCGGAAACAACAACCAGACTGCTTGTGGAATAGAAATAGGGGATGTCTGTGGCGAGACCCTCGGCAACGCCGTCGTCGATGCCTAGAAGGGCTTCGAGAGAGCGTTGACGGTTAGTGTAGGCATGCCTAGGGAAATCCTGACAGGCAGACACCCATACCACGAATTCGAAGCATCCGCTAATCGGTCACACCTGGTCGAGCAACTGTATCAAGACAACGAATTTCCTGATATCATAAATCTACCATTGGGCCAACTGATGCAAGGCTGCTGGCATGGCACTTTCAATTCTATGAGCGAGGTCCTCCAGGCGCTAGAAGCGGCCAAGTCCATGGCCATCAAAGCGAAAGATGGAGCCACGGTTACTCAGGTTCTCAGAAGCTACCGCCTTTTGGCTCGAAGTGTCTGCTCGAAAAAATGAATCACCGGGCCGAGCAAGATTTTCGGCTTAAACCACGAAGAGATATGGGAATTGTCCTTAGCATCGGTCGGGGGGCTAACTGGTATCCCAGTGGAAAGCAAGTCACGAAACCGGAGACTGGCAGTAGTAGACCAGAGGAGCGGGACTGTCCAATATTACAGCCAAGTGAATGGCAGCTGGCTCTTCGATGAATAAACGGGATAGAGCTGCCGAGGTTCCATGCGACTACAGCTGCCGTTGCTGAGCTGGTCATGGGTAAGGGGCTGATCGCGATGCACAACCCGAGTACTATAGATACAAGATGTGCACCCAAGATATGACCCAGACTAAAATGCGATGTGGACATAAAATCGACAGTGGAGGTATCAAGGTGCCCTGTACACATCGTTGCGGCAATTATAAACTCAACTGGAGTTTTGGGACAGCAACAAGGAGGGAACCATGTGGCGACTGTCAGGCTGATGGCTCTTGGGTCAAGAACGAAAATGGCAAATGGGAATCTCGTATATAATTGAATCAGACGCGACAGCCCAGCAAGTATTCGGTTTGGCGTTGTGGTGGCAGACCGACTGGTGCCCGGGGAGAACAGCTTATATAATCTGGTCTGAAAATGTTTGATCAAGGGGTGTTCAGGAATACCCTTCCGTCGCCTAGCGCACTCCTCTTCCTCTCTCCCGTCTCTCTTAAGTTCGACAATTGCCTGTTACACAATGACTTATAATTACTTGCTAAGAAAAGTACAAGCTTCTAGGGTATGGTGATTTGGGTCTCATTTTCGAGACATCGGACTGCATTGCACTGAAGTACGCAATAAACCAGGACGATCCGCGATTTGAGAACGAGAACCGTGTTTTCGACGAGTTTGAACGCCATCCTCCCTGTCCCCATATCGTTTACAGCTTTATCCGTGTCCCGGATTTGAACTTTATGCAACGACTCCCTGGAGGGAATCTTGAGGTGTGACTTCGAACTCGACAAAGAAGGGACCTAACCACTGAACAAATTTTGAAAGTCTGCGGAACCGAGGCCGAAGCTATAATCTTGAGATGGATGAAAGAATTGACAAGCGCTGCAGCATGGCTGGAATCTCTTGGACTTACCCATGGTGACATCAAGCCTGCGAATCTTCTTCTGGATGCGGATAATCACCTAAAACTTGCTGACTTCGACAACACAAACGCTGTTGGTACGGAGGTTGAGGTGGGGACTCCTCCATATGCTAGATCACTAGGTGATGAAGCTGGCACGCTTCGAGGTACTTTCGGTTTTCTGGGTCCTCGCACTGAGCAGTTTGCGATCGGCTCAGTCTTCTGCTATATCATCAGGGGCTATGAACCATACAACGACCAATGGTACGGGAAGAACCACGGTCCTAAGACTGTTGCTATGCTACAGAGAATGGAGCTTCCGGATACCGACGCCTGTGACGTGAAGGATCGTATTATCCGCGAATGCTGGGATGGTAAATTCCGTTCCGTTAAGGACCTTGCAAACACTGCCAGTTCGCTAGGCAGTCAGAGCGGAGATGTGGTTCAAGAATTGACACAAAATTTCATTGAAGTCAGGAGAGAAGAATGCAGGCAGCATATGGCGGGTTTTCCTTCGCTGCTTCCCACACAACCATCACACAGAGACTCGGCTGTATCCAATACAAAGAGTACTATATAGATTTGAGACAGATTTTCTTGCATATATTCAGCTGTTGATGACGCAGTATTGACGGTCATATATGTTCCAAGGGATGTTGCAAAGATGGTGCGCAAGCTGGAGACTGCTGAGCTATGTCGAGATATCGGTGATACTGCGCTTCTTGGAAATGCAAGGACTGGCCATAATGTCAATGGAATGCGTTTGACTAGATAAGACAGCGACATGCGGGGGAATGGACTTGATTTTCCTCATCAATTTTTCAATAGCCAGATAATCATCTGGCTCTGCAACCCCGGGATTCTGCTCCAAGAGTGACTTGATGCCATGGAGGGCCATGATATTGTTATCTGGTTTTGGCGACGGTGGACGTTGTCTGAATGGGTAACGTGGGACCCTTTCATGTTGTTGCACAATCAAGTGAGGGTCAACTGGGATAGATCCCGTGTCGGCTGAATCTCTCAAAGGTGAACGAATTGGGAGGGCAGCAGTATTTTGCCCCGACGAAGGCAGACGTGAATCCATACCAAAACGTCGAACGTGAGGGAAGGTCTGGCGTTGCTGCCAATTGGCTGCTCCAGGAGTATATTCCGGCTCCGGCAGTGTCATACATTCTTGCCCACGTGTCATTTCCGCCGAGTTTGGTGATAGGAGGGACGCCTGGGCTGGATGGTCATGGTCTTCGAGGCCCTCGCTGAGATCGAGGGATTGCTCGAACGAGCCCGTCGCATCTTCTTGATCAAAAAGCTCCTTTGGACGCTGGATCTTTACAGCAGCGTAGTTGACCGATTGGTTGATCGGCGAAGCTGGAGGCAACACTGTTTTCTCTTCGTTCGCCGCAGGAGGTTTTATGCCCCTCTTGCGTTTAAACTTGTCGAGCCAACTGGCACTGGACACCTCTTCTTGGTTACTCGGGCTGAACGAAAAGCATGATGCTTGCTTTCGAAGATCCTCATCTGTAATGGAAATCCCTTTCCTCTTCTGATCCTTCACCCATATGGTAAGAGTCCTTTCGAAATCTCGTAACTCAGCCTTTGACTTCTTGACCTGACTAGCACGCTCGTCCTCAGGCTGGGGGTTCATGTACTTCTCGCGGCGTCTTAGGATTTTTGACACCGTGCTGCCACCTATTAGTGATGATTCGTAGAGGCAGTTAGATGATAACCTATACCTCCTTTCCACGTTATACCTAGCTGCAAACTATTAGCCGCATCAAGCAAAACGAAACGCTACTTACCTCCAATGTCACTATGAATCATGCTCGGTTCCTTCTCTGCCAGTATGCACATCTCTCTGCGCACATCATCAGTTAACACGGGACGCTTTGGCCTTTTCGGGCACCCTGTCATTTTCGGGCTGGTTGGTGTATTTTCAGATATAACTCTCGCCCACCCTTGGGTAGGAAGCTGTCCAGAGGGCAAAATTGAAACCGAGTAGGACTCCTGAGGGGACGCGGCCAGCATACTCGGCCATAGCCCACTATGAGGCATGATCAGTGGCGGTTGCATTGGCATCTGAGAAGTAGGCACGGCTGATGGCTGATGCATATTGTTGCATGCCGGTTCCACGGGCATAGCCACGACCGGACTGTACCCGAATGCAGGAGACTCATATATGGGCGACATGGACGCCTGAGGGCAAGATGAGTACGGGAATAGCAGAGCCATCTAAATGTTCTGCCCGTAGCCCGACCACTGCGGGTTCGGATGCTCCGACGGTATGTTCAATAAGACCTGCGTTCAAGTCCAAGCTTTGCAATGAACCTATTAGTCTGGTTGGGATTGTGCTGTGGCGTCACATACCAATAGGCCGGAGAATACTGCTTAGCAAAGGGAGACTCCCGGTCCGAATGCTGACCTGTAGAGACCTCGAGCTCCAGGGATAACAGAAGAGAAGCCACGTCGACAAGGTCAGATAGAAGAGCTTGCTAGGCCTCACTGGAAGCACCGAATATCTCAACAGAGAGGGGATTTGAGCAGATATGAACTCGAGAGGGCGTTTGTCGAGAGGGGTGTGCGGAGTCTGGAATCAAGCTGGCTCAGGCCGACAAGAGGAGGGCAGCAGTATCTGGGCAGGGACGGATCAGGTGGACCAGGAATTAAGGGAACTCGACAAGTCCTGCCCTAGCCCTGGTTGCGGGCGTGATCGGCGCTCCCTGGTAAGAGGACAGGGATGCAGATTAAGGAGGTCGTGGGGAAAGGTTGGGCAGTTCCCCCATAAGAGGACAGAAATGCGGGTCTCCACGCTCGGCACCTCGGCTGCGCTAACAGCTACATCGAGGTTGGCACATGCAAATCTTTCCTTCGCTTCTTGAAATTCCTCGAAGTAAGATCGGCCGATCGGCCTGGCTAGAACAGGTTCACGCACGCTCGTATCGAAAGACTCACGGAGCATCAGCAAGTCACCAGGATCATGGGATGGTCAATAACGGTTTGATTGACGGTAGGGCCCCTTCGAAGGCCCACTTATAGTCACCAGTAGCGATGCAACCTTGTAGACCGGCGACAAAGAGAGCAGTTTGGCAGAAAATCAACAGTTCCTTACTACGCTGTCCAGGGTTAGTTTCGCCACCTTGCAGGGATTCTAACTGGCCAGAAAAGGCATTGCTGTTTTCATCTGTCAAGTCAATGAAGGCATGTTCAACCTAACAGCGCCTAGTACAAGGTAAGCAACTTTTAAGAAGGAATGCTGCTCTTACTAAATAATCGGATTCTGTAGGTGCTTGCGTAAAACCCACCCCTGACACCGTAGCATATTAGGATTGGCATTGGGAAAAGAGTCCACTCAGGGCACACAATTTACCTTCCGTCCTGGGCACAAGTTACAGCAGATCACACCCAAGCAGTATCAATGAGCCTTTAGGCTTCAGCCGGCAGCCCCGGTCGTAGGAGTGAGGGTGTATATTCAATTTTGCCGCGGACAGGGTAGATAGCTAGCTAGACGAAACAGCACCCGACCAGGTAATTCCCTGCTGTTTCGGCGCCAATACTCCCTCCTACCCCTCCGCAGCTCTTTTTTCACAAAGGCCGGTTGCAATGCACACTCTCCAATCAACAGCTTTGTGCTGGGTCAATGCTGGAACAAATTGATTCAAGACAGCCAATGTCAAGGCCTCTACGTTGACTTCTCTTGCAGGCGGTTCTTGCTTTCAAGCTGGATATGAAATTTGAGGAATCTCCACGCAGACAAGTTGCATTACTCAAAGTGAAACATGATGCAAGCCACAGGATTCGCCCTCGGCAGTATCTTGGTCAAGTAACACCTTCAGCGACAAAAGTACGCACGCCCCACAGGTCACTTGCTAGCCAGATGGCTTCGCCCGGAAAAACGATTCTAGTTGCAGACTCGCCGAGGTGTGGGTGGGACGACGCAGCAGGGTTAAAGCCGCTTCAGTACTCTAGAATAAACGAGATGCATCTTCCCGAGGTGCAAACAAGTTCGTCGCGTTTAAATAACCCATTCCTACTAATCAGTAACCAAGCTCAGTCAATCCCAGGACCCGTTGATGAGCCATTTGAGGTCGAAATTTCCCAGAGCTCATAAGGAGACCACAGCGAAGAAGGTTAGCAAAGAGAAAGTTACAACGTGTGAACGGTGGGGTAACAAATGAAGCGCGTGGCGTCTCTCCTCAACTGACGGACCTATGGGCCTGAGTCTCTCCTCGCTCGTGGACACTTGCAGCTTGGGCCAACAGGGATGTCTTGCTTTGTCCGAGTGACACTAAATTTCTCGATGTTAGAACTCCGAGACCACTAGCTTTGGGGGCTTCAGATGGGGTTAGGATATCGCATGGGGGACATAGGCGGGTAGCGCGCGAATCAAAGCAGATAATGGGGTGTAAAGTGCTAGGGTGGCCGAGACCAGCACCTGGCAGGAGACTAAGGCGTACTTGTAAGGTTAGATTGTCCAACGAATAGACAGTTGATGCTCTGTGTCTCCAAAATTCCATGGGTTTGGTATGAGATAGGATAGCATTGTGGCCGCCGACGGTAGTTTTCAACATGAAACTCTCACAATAACTGTCGAGAGCCGACGCACCGCCTCCTTCCAACACAGTACGGATACACATTATCACACCGAGGTTTAGGGCGCAACACCCCTATGAGTTTGGCGTTTCCTCCACAGAATTAGTCAATACATATCCGTCGGCTATTCAGCTCTGAACTACACATACTACTATGGTGTCCCCATGAAGTTCTAATAATGACGCTACCACGTATCTAAAGAATCCGATTCCCTGAGAAAAGCAGCATTTCTCGTTAAAGCTGGTCTAGTTTGCTTCAGCCCTTGTTAGATTGAAACGTACCCTTCATTAACTTGATAGTTGAAAACTGCAACGCTTTTCCTGGCCACTCGCAACACTTCAACCCTTGTCTGATCCCTGCCCCTGTCTGATCCCTGTCTAATCCCTGTAAGATTAGAACTTCATAGGATGACTATAGTACTTCATCAAACCTGATTAGGTACCTAAGTTGTCCCAACTTCAAGGTAAGGACGAACATGATGTTACGAGGGTACTAAATGCTGACATGAGCTTAGCCTGAGATGCCTTCGTACGCAGTATGCACTCAGGAACAATCATTCTAAAGATGGAAAATTTGTAAAATGTGATCGACACATGAAAAAGGAGCATGAACGATGTGGAAGTTCGACCATTCAGTACAAAGATGTTCAAAGATCTAGCCATAGATGTCGGTCGTGTTTGAATAGTGCATAACCGGGCGACCTGGAACTCGGTGTGGTTCATCGAGCACCGACTCCAGATGTGTCGCTTAGACTTTTCTTCAGATCCGACAGTTCCTGCTCTGGCGATACGGCAGCGTCATCTTTGGAACACATTGTTTCGAGATCAATGACTTACATACCGCTTGCTGTCTTCAGCCAATTGTACCGATTGATATCCTCATGAATAAAACCGATGCGGTGTATACCTTGGAGTAGCTCTCGACATTCTTCCCAATCAGCGGGACCAGCAGGGTGACCGCAGAGATACTCCATCAGAGAGCCTATCACCCTGGACTGATTTTCTTCGTAGACATAGCCGTAGAAGGCTGGTATGGCAGTAAACCCTTTCAGCTGTAGAGAATAATAGCCTTGCAATTCTTGTCGAAGGTAGTTAAGTTCGTGTTGAAATCTCGCAACCTTCATGACGAGGCATCTCCCAGCACAGGAGACTTTCCAGACCGAATCACTGATTCTGTCCTCAATTTTTATCTTATTCAATTCCCACCACTGCTTACTATCAATCTTCAGGTCAACAGGTGCAAGACGGTGTGGTGGAAATGAGTTAAAACGGTATTCTGGGGCTTCAGGTAGACCAGTGACGGTCATCGTTTGCCAGTCGCCTTCCCAAACGCTTAGGGATCGAAGATGCCGAAGTATCGCTGAGCTTTCTGTCCGGTCCTCGGGAGGTATGATTGCTGGTGAGAATATCTGGACGTAAACGATGCGACTGCCTTTTCGAATGCGATAAAGCAGATCGCTGTCCTCCAAGTCCAAGGACAGTACTTCCTTCGGGAGATTCAAGACTGCTTATGAAGTGAAAGTGTGCATAGCGATGCGATGATGAATATTTGTCGAGATTGGCATGGAAAGGCCATAACGTCAAGGTGGTGGAGATATGTATTAGGGAGGAATCGTCTCGGTATTGCCAAGCCACCACGTGACCAGCATGGCGGTATCTAAGGCAAACAGACATGAACACGTTGATACGCACGTACGCGTACTCGTTCCTAAGGGCCAGATTGTTGTGGTTGACGGCAAGTGGACTTTTCTGACGCACCCCCAATCGTACCCATTTTATGCCCATTCATTATGCACGCAAGACACCCACGGACCTTGGGTCTGCAGCGGCGCCAGTGTCCCCCAGTCATTGTCCGAAATCGGTATCAATTGCTCTCCGAGACCCAGTCTTGCCGGGTCAGATCGACTCATAACTATCATGGAAGGGACTGCTAGGTAAATGTTTTAACTGAAGGCAATGAATACGCTGCCAACAATTCTTCCAGGGACTTCAACGGAGGGAGCTGATTGAGGTGTCCGTGTGGCAGCTTCGCCTCGCTGGGATCTTCGGTGGTATCGATGTCTGAGGTTTGCTTCCAATCGGGCTTGATCAAGTCGTAGCAAGCTCCAGTCCGGACGACGTCGGGATTTAACCTAACGCGAGCAGCGTCGGCCGCACCTCTGCAAGCACATCGATCTCTAATTGTCGTGGCGCTTCTAAACGACTGACAGGTAGTTCCCTCCCAAATACATTCCAGACATAGCCAACTTCCAAGAATCAGGTCTGTGGGAAAATAATCCTACCATTTCGGCTCTTTCGGATGCTGCAGTGTTGTATCCGTCGCTAGGAATAGGGAGGCCGAAAGAAGAACAGCGCTTATCATACATTCAAATTTGAGATATATTATGTATAATAAGCGCTATATACAGATCTTTCTAAGGCCTACAATGGAATTCGACGAAGATCGGCCACCTCCTTCTAATTAAACTATCGTAAACATTTCAAATAGTGAAAATATTCAAATTATCGAGAAGCTGACATTCAGGGTAATGGTATGTAGAACCTATGGGTATAAAAGAGTAGAACAACCTCTCTATCTAATCCCCTTCCACCAGTTGTCTAATTAAACTCACCATTACACAAATCACACTTCTCTCGCCCTCTGCACCTTACCAATCCCAGCGCTCAACATGTTCACTCGTACTATCCTGACAGCAGTCGCAGTCCAAGGGCTTATCCTGTCTACGCTAGCATCGAGTATCACGATCCGGAACGAATGTGACTTCACTCTCTACTATAAGTAACACCCCCCATTTCTCGGCCACCAAACCATCTCGTCCTACCTCTCTGCAGATCAACACGCTAATATAACCTAAAAACAGCTACCCAGAAGACGGGACCATGAACGGCGCGATCCCTCCAGGTAGCTTCGCCATGATCCCCGCGAATGAAGGCAACAGACTCACCTGGGGTTCGACAACCGACTCAACCGGCGGCCCAGCCCTTGAATGGACTATCGGCGATACTTTGGTCTTTGATATAAGCCTTTATGATTGTGCCAACGGATCTGATCTTTCGGGTTGTACGGGTGCTGATAAGGGGTTTGCCGCGAGTGCTACTAGCTGCGACAGCATAAGCTGCGCTCCTCCAGGGACTGACTGTGATGGAGTGCGTTACGTGTCGCCAGGGGATGATGATGTCCAGAAGGCCTGTTCAAATCCGAATGCAGATATCACACTTACTGTTTGCTCGACTTAGTGGGGCGGTTGGTTGGAGGAGAGTGTTACTGTTTGGCACTTATTGCCGAATTGCTTGCTCCGGGGGAACGAGGTTGGATGGATGGGACGCAAGGTTCCTGCCGAGCGAGAATCAACACGGGACTGGATTTGCGCTTTGCAGATGCACCGAAGAGATTCAAGCCCTTGCTACTGCGGTTACCGTCCGAGACAGCTGAGGATAGATGGACGCTCGTTGATTGTGTCGACTGGTTGCAGAATCGATATCCAAGTAGAAATGTGATGGCATCTTGCCAAGAAGCAGTTTGACGGTCTTTTGGAGCTTCCTGCTGTTGATGAATGACCCAATCTTACCTGGATCGTTTGGAAGCCTAGCAAAGAGAGTGTTGAGAGTGACAAAGTTACGATCAGACTACTAGCATTTTCTGCATGGCCATGTATTTCCATCGGTATTGAATGGTTGGCTCTCAATGATTGATCAGAACCACCATCCACGACTTTTCGACCCAATCAGGTAGGTTCCGCGCATTATCGACATGATTTTCGAACGACTGGACACCTTGCAGCGACTAGAGAAAGAGAGTATGCAGAAAAGGGAAACAATGCGGCATGGACGTGCGCACAAAGATGCCCTCATCCAGAACCATCGCAAAATGCAGGATCAAGAGTGGTACGCAGTACAATAAAAGAGAAAAGATCGGAACGAGCGCATTAAGACCTACCGTGTCGCTTTTGCAGCGTTCCGGTATGAAGCAGAGGTTCAAGAAACGGTAAGCACCCACCATTTGCCTACTATTTCCACGGTACTGATCTATTGAAGATTCTCCAAAGCTCCTTGAAGCGGATCAAGCATGGCCGTGAGATGCACGAGTACTATTCTCCGTCAGGAATCCAGGACCTCGCACCACCAATTGAGGTTGTCCACCACCATACAGGGCATGCTAGGGCTCCTGATGAAACTCACGCACCTGCTCATAGCCGAGGTTTTTCCGCATCAGAGGCAGGTAGCGGGCTCTGATACTCGGAGTCGGCTGGACCGAAAGACGCAGCCCAACACAGCATCTTTAGGTATGCACAGCCGCTTTGGGGTAGGGTTAGAATTCAAACTTCAAGAGCCTCATTGAGAAGTTGAAATGGGTATACTTGATTATCAGATAGCACTCAGTGTCTGTTGTCTGTCCACGTACGCTAGATAGTGGTCACCTTCAAAAAGACCTTGAAACGTACAATGTATTTGCCATGGTCGGCCGGCACCTGAAACGGTGTCCGCGGGGCAAGGCCCAATGGAGTGGTAGCAACTGTTTCTATCCCAGCCACCCGAGTTCTGCTCTCCTTTCAAGTGCGGATGATACCCAGTGCGCATGTGGAGATTGCTACGGACCGACAGATCCCTGGGGCTGAAACTAATCTGAAGGCACAGTAAATCCCTTGGTGCAGACCGTGATGGGCGGGCCTACAAGGTCCACCAGCCTCTGAGCCCAGCCTTACAAATAGGTTTCAGTGTGACCGGCTGCCCCTTTTGCCCAAACATGTCATTCTCAAGCTCTTCAAGAACACTGACCATGGCGAAAGCGCAAGACCAGATCGAATGCCATGCATTGCCACAACTGGACTATGTGCAACTTCCTCTTAAGCACGACTATCCCGGTGCCTGTCATCATCTCGGCCCTTGCGGGAAAACTGATGTCCAAGACAACTGCGCGTGTGCAGTGAATCGAACGTGGTGCTTTGCGGACTGCCAGTGCGACTCATCCCTTTGTCAGCGGAGGTGGCCAGGATGCCAGTGTTCAGCTGGGTGCGAGCAGGGCTGTCCATGTCGACAAATTTCTTTTGACTGTATACCCGGGCAATGCAGGTGTAACGGGTGCTACAACACTGATAAGGCCAAAGTTGCACCTCGCTTGGTGGTTCGCGACTCCATGATCAAGAATGCAAACCGTGGGCTTTTTGCCGATCAAGATATCCCTTCAGGGTCTTTCTTGGGGGAATACTGCGGAAATATAGTCCTGGACGTGGAGTACAGGGCTCGAGTGTTTCGGGACAACCGTATGACTCTGATGGCTTTGAGTAGAGGTACCGATATTTTGGAGTTTTTGATATGCACGGACTCAAACTTGGACAGATCATTCAGTGGACGGTGACTGTCCTGACAATCTGCTGGTTTTCATCAACCACATGCCCCAGTCCAAAGCCAACGCCCGATTTTCATACGAACGCAGTCGGAAAGGTAAAGTTGTGCGCTTGTACGCAACAACACCGATCCGGCTCGGAGAGGAGATTTACATCTTCTATGGGTTAGTTGCTCTCGACTCTATCTGCAGCTGGGTGCATCTGACGTTTGGAAGCACAAATTTTCGATTTGACCCTGCCGACCTTGCTCCTCCACACCTGAAATGTGAGAAGGGATTCTGATTTTCTTTCATGTTACAAAGCTGACATACTTAGATCACGACCTTACAGTCAGAGTGGGAATGTTCGTGTTTGTCAAGAACATGTCCACGTGTCCTTGGGTCGGACATATAAAACAAATCTTCAAGGAAGAGCGAAAGATCAAAGTCGAATGGATGTGTGATGTCAGTGATATCGAGCAGCCGAAACACCACCATCACAGTCGTTGCTTAAACGAGATGTACCTCACTACACTTCATGACAAGATCGATCTTGACGCGGTAGAGGACATCGCAGATGTCCTATTTCATCACGACGGACATGACGCAGAACAATTATGCTGGCGCCAACGTTACAATCACAAAACCGGTCAATTCACGCCTAAGCGGATGCTTCCGCCCAACATTGAAGGCCAGAAAAGACCTGGATCGGCAGCTGAGTGCGTCGAAAATATCATGAGCCCCTCGGTGCCACCAACCTTTTGGGGACGTTCGAGACGTTCGTCGAATCGAGCGTCCAGTTTTCGATCAAACAGTAAGATAACTACTGTCCCAAAATCACAGCACCGAACCTCTGCGTCTGATGTATATGAGCCGGGAAAATTCATTTGTCCATTTGCTCGTTACGGCTGCGAAATCACTTCGCACTATGCGGAACATTGGAAGCGGCATGTCGCGGTTCAGCATCTCCAATTGGGATTTTACCGTTGTGACATCCAGAACTGCATGGGATTCCGTAGTGATTTTAGGCGGAGTGACGCATTTACCGACCATCGCCGACGTAGGCATGGGGAGGCTTTGGCCCTTCCAAAAGCTATACGGCATGACATCGAAGCACGATGCTGGATAAGGACGAGAGAGCTTCCAGAGCGTAGCACGTGTGGCTTCTGTGGCAAGCGTTTCGTGGGTGCGCACTGTTGGAACAACCGCATGTTGCATGTTCAACGACATTTTGTTCAGGGCGAGTCGCGACTCAACGAAGAACGAGAAGACGTGGACTTGACTCGCTGGGCGTTGAGAGAAGGAATAGTACGGCGCGGTGGCGATGGTAGTCTCCGTCTTGTCTGACAAGGATCATGGCGGCCATCGGTGATACTCTGGACCTCTGAAGGCGTACCATCCAAAGCTTGCTCCCCTTCTGCGACTCGCCCGTGATTTGTTTCCGCTTCGTATTGCTACCGCCAGTGCCAGCAACTGCCTGACAGAGCGCCACGAGAGTGGGAATGCAGTTATGCTGGTGCACTCGAGGCCAAACTGCGGTACATTGGAATGTCGAATGCCTATATGTAGCTTGGTTAACCTTTTCTTGAATCTCTGCCAGTGCAGTGCTCGCCTCCTTTCTCCCTTGTGTTCCCAGAGTCGCCACCCGGCTCGTCTTCTGCCACCCAGCTCCAGTATGAACAAGATAAATACCTCGAGGACCCTGAAGGAGAAGAATGCACGTACAAGAATTTACTTGAGGATGGGGCGTGCCCTTCTCACGGTGTTGATCCAGTCAGAACGGACATAGAGATTCTTTGGTTTTGTGGGCTTAGGAGGCGCGGTTGTGTCCCGCGAGGAGTCGTCTTGATCAAATATATAGGACCAGGGCATTCGAGGTCACGGAAGAACATCCACGTACAGTGTTGGAAAAGACGCTATCAGATTTGCCTTCACTGAAGTGCTAGCGAGGCCCTCAGCGACGTCGTCGTTAATGCCTAAAAGTCTTCTAGAGAGTGTCGAGGGTATGTCTAGGGCAATAACGAGGGTATAGTTTAACGGAAAGACCCTAAGTACCTCTCTATCTATTCTATACACTCTCCGTTCTACACCTCTTTATCAGTCTTCAGTCTTCATCTTCGGTCTTCAGTCCTCAGTCCTCATCTTCGGTCCTCATCTTCGGTCCTCATCTTCAGTCTTCGGTCTTCGGTCCTCGGTCCTCAGTCCTCAGTCCTCAGTCCTCAGTCTTCAGTCTTCAGTCTTCAGTCCTCATCTTCGGTCCTCATCTTCGGTCTTCAGTCTTCAGTCTTCGCTCTACTATCCTTATTCACCATCTCTATGGCCACTATTACTGAGCTGTTGAGTAAGAGTGTCGTGGTTATGCCAGCTATATAGTCCACATCAACTTGGTCTCGGACTTGGTGCCCCAGTACATTCCCGTCCCAACGATGGTCTTAACGCCTGTCCCACTCCATCCGCGACTAAACCACATGCGCCGTGGTTGATGGAACAAAGTATCGAGGGTTTGCAAAACCCAAATACGCCTTTGTAGCTTTCACATATTCAGCCGCTTCCCTCACTATCTGGTCTTGCAATCCGTGCAAACATCTATGGAATCCAGCAATACAATGACCAGAGTTCCTGGCAAAGAGAATTGTGGTTACCTGTGACTCTTGTCGAGGATTTAGAGCACAGTGTAATGGGTCGTTCCAGTGCTTTGGTTTGACCTTCTCGACCCTGCGAGTCCATGTGCGTCGTGTGATGTGTAATCTCACTGAACACGCCTGCGCTCTCGGGTGGTAAGTGTCTCCCGTGGCACAGCTGTTCTGCCATTGTCTGCCAGCTTGTTGACGCTCGCTGACCAACTGCTTCGTCGCTTCGAGACTCTCCACTCCAATCGTTGACCTTACCAGGATATCAAGGATTCTAGACATGCCAGCGATGGCGGATACTTATCCCACTCCTCACCTACACATCTGAAATGCCGGTGCTAAATCCCAACGCCCCCTTCCAGGCATCAATCCTTCCCCTGCAGAACAGCTTCGCATCATCCCGCCTTCTATGCAACAGCCACCTGCAGTTCGTCAAAACGCGAGTGATCATCATTGGAGGTCTGGAAGTGAATACCATTCTCATCTCCAACAATACCGCCGTTTGTAATAAGGCTGGAGTGGTCGCCCGCGTTTCCGCGACAGCGTGGTATCATTGCGAGACTGGGCAGATCAAGGCCCAATTGTGACCAAGGATTCGTGCTGATGCTTCGACATGCTCAAGAAACCATGCCTGGTATCAGTCGTGACCAGCGGGGACGCCACAAGTAGATGAACGGGTTCAACAATTAGAAAAGAGACCTGGTGATAGGCACCTGCTTGGATGAATGACGGATCATAGAGGCATGCCATAGTATCAAGGAGAATAAGTCGTTCCGAATCATTAGCCCCCGTTGCGCGCGGACCGTTGCGTGAGCGTGTCGGGCCGAAAGGAGTACTATCGCGCAGCCTGCTCGAATAGTGCAGAGAATTGTGAAACACGGTGTGGAGTGTGGTTGATTTTTCCAGTAAAGATGCCGCGAAGGTGTTGCGAAAGCGTTGCAGAAGTGTTTGTGAAGTGGCGACGGATGGTAGTCGTAGGCACCCCAGGCCCCCTGCTCGTCAAGTTCTGCATTTCCTAGCAACCGTCATGGAGGGTTTTCGGCACCCTCTCAAACCCCTCCGGCCTGAGGCGGTATTATGCTCATGAGCTCGGAAAGCTTCCTGCCGCTTGTCGACAAAAGCGAAGATTCTGACTATGCCGATTGAGAGTAACTTCCATGCCGATGACTGAAGCTAGACGATAGCCATTTTCCTCAATCATGCGACGGTGCTTACAGAGGCGAAGTTCATGTCCTGCCGATTCGTCTATCTTCGACGAGGACGGCCCCTCCGCTTTGTGACGCCTTGAGGTTTCGATGGATGTACGCCTTTGAGGTGCTCGCCACTCTCCGTTATCGCTTTCTTCAAGTTCTTTCCCTTTCGTGACTTCTGTGTTGACAGCACATGCGCATCGTTGCTCATGGCCGTCACAGTTTCAAATCGTCCATTGGAATCTTGTAGGCGTCTTACTCTTTCTGCTATTCGAGCGCTGCGGCGGGTGGGTTGTAGTGTCGACTTAGTTAGACATGGCGATAGCCGCAACTCTCGACTAGACGCGTCGTCTCCTTGCTGAGATGAAAGAACCTTCGACACGTGGGGTTCTTCATCCTGTAGGGGGTCTGCCAATGGAGGTTGCGTTGTGACCATTGCACGTAAGCTGGAAGACGGTGCTCTGCGTTGCGAGGGTTTTGAAAATTTCGAGATCTTGGACGAGGTATTGGGACTGAGGACAGACCGTATTTGCGTACGGCCTTTCTGGCGGGGCTGAGGCCGCCGTTTCTGGATCTGTTGATCTTCTTTTCCTCTGGCAGATCGGGAAGAAACATCAGTCGTGTCACTGGCGAGGCACCCACATTCGGCAGCAATGGCAGGATATTGGTCGTCGATCCACTTCAGAAATACTTTCCATCTCTTAACATCGAGCTCTGCCCCATTGAAGTCGCCCTCGGCCATAAGCATGACCTTCTTAGCGATATGCAGTTCATAGCCATCACGAAGTTTTCTCATTTCCTCAGGACCAGACACGCGAATCAACTGGGCTTTTGCAGCAGCGAGTTCCTCTTGCACCTTCTTGATCAAGGCTTCTTTTCTCTTTGACCTATTTTTCTTTGCTGCTTGTAACGCCTTCTCGGCTGACTCAACTCTTGATTTTGCTTCTGCCACTTCTTTCATTGAAGCCTGGATATCGTCAAATCGGCCGTATAGGACCTGAGGGTCACGAATGACATTGGTCGAACGTGCTTGGGCATCCTCATATTTCTTTTGATAGAGCAATAGCTCCTGCTCCGCCGGCGGGACCAGTTTCTCATATGCTTTGAGCCTCCGATAGTAGAACGCCCGAAACTCGTTCCAGTCTTCCAGCCGGTTGTGTTGGTGCCGGTCCTCGAGCACTCGGAGATCCCATTTGCATCCTGTATCTGCTTGGCTCTCACGGACGGCGTCTTGATATTCCTGAAACCTGTTTCGTGGGATATAAAAACTCCGCCTCTTGTCTTGAATTTGTCGAAATTCCCTCCACTCCATGAGTTGACGGTGGAACACTGAGTAATATCCTCCCAGTCCGTGCCAAAACCAGATGATGTCCTTATACTGCTCATACTTGTCGGGGTTGTCTATCACGTCGTAGCCGAGGGCCACAGGATGAGACGGTCGGCCCCCTTCGGCTACTAAGGCACGATACGCTTCCACTTCCTCTTGCCAGGTCTGCTCTTTATCTTTCTCCGGGTCAAAAGTCGAAGCGGACGAGGATCGGTAACGAGGGATTGGGGGCGATGCTCTCGAAGAAAGGCGTCTGCGCTAAAAGTCAGCACCTGGTATCTTAGCCGGGGATCAAGGAAATCGCACCCTAATCGTGCCCCAAGTTCACCTGCGTCCACCGCCTGCGACCGATCCTTTTCAGCGCGCTCATCGCATAGTTTTCTGCACAGATGAAGTCGTCAACGCGGGGCCGATACGGCAGCAGGTGGTCAATTCCCACCGTAAGTGTGCTATATGTTCCTCAGTCTCGTTCTCTGGGTCTGCAAGTTCAAAGAACTCCTCATCTCCGATGTCGTCCACAGTCAGGTGTAGGAGTTCATCGGCGCGTACTTTGATTGTCATGGCGAAGGCAAATAAAACAGTTCGAATAATTCGCGTTGGGAAAATAATGGAAGAGGGAAAATAATGGAGGAGGGAAAATGATGGAGGAGGATGGTTGTGAGTTGGTGTTCAGCCACTTGAGCGCAGCTTCGAGATGCGTGCGGGGTGTGGAAATTATAGGCTCCCTTGGCTTCCCACTTTGTTCTGGCAGCCGCCGAGGCGTAGGCAGCGGGCGCTAATAATAGCGCTGGCACCAACCCACGGGCGGGGCGGGATCGACGACTATGGGCAGCCTAACTGTTTAAATCGCAAGAGCGCCCACTCCCTTAGCAATAGTTCCTCTTCGTCCTGCATACTCAGACCGAGATGGATGACACAAATATTTTCATGACTCTCACCCCCTATGATGAATGGGGACTAACCATCGACTCATTCACTTTGCCACATAATATTGCTCGATATGTAAAGCCGTCTCCTGTCAGCCGTGAGACGACCCCGAGTGGATCCGGCCACGACGACACTCCAGCAAACGAACTGGAATACTTCCACCGCATCCAACTGCGGTTTGACCAGGAGACCAGAGTCAAAGGTCGTGTCACATTTGGGAGTGATCCGGGCCAGTGTGATGTCCTTCTTGTGTCGCGCAGACCGCGGTTTTATATCTCTTTCGACAATGAACAACGGCCCGCCATTTGGGATGAGTCTAACAATGGTTTCACTGTCAGCTACGACGGGCAAGCGAAAGATGACCTTCGCAGTCAGTTCAAGTGGATCTTGTTCTCCAAGTACCGGACGATCAGAGTTACGATACCGCTCCGAAATAACCGGAAGCTCGCCTTTAACGTCCACCTCCCTCGGCATTACAAGAAACATTCGATAGAATACGAAAATAATGTCAAGAGATTTATGGCCGGTGCTCCTCCTCCACATGAAGTGGCCTTCCACAACCTAGCCCTCCGCAGTCCGGGAACCTCATTCGCGCCGAGTGAATCGCTCTCTCCAAGCAAACGTCCGATCTATTTGAAGAGCAAAGTACTGGGAAAGGGCGCTTTCGGACAGGTGCGGAAGCTGGTGGATGCTAGTACTGGACATGAATACGCTGGGAAAGAGTTTTCCCAGGACCAAGGTTGGGAAAAAGAGATTGAGATCATGAAAAATCTCCGCCATGTGGGCATACATCTACAATTCTTCTGAAAGTGTTCCACTAATTCTCTGAAGGACCATATCGTAAATTTCCACGACTTCACGAGGTCGCCGAATCCCCTTCTCGTGATGGAATACGTACCCCTGCGAAGTCTACAGACACAACACGATATTTCTGCAATCACCGACGACGAAATGATGGTCGTCTTCAACCAGGCCCTAGAAGGACTTTCTTATCTCCACCACCAAAACATTACGCATCGAGATTTGAAACCCGAAAATATCCTCATGCGCTCGAGGACGCCCGTCGACATCATACTGGCAGACTTCGGACTAGCACAGAACAGGGAACGTCTGAAGACTTTCTGTGGAACTCCGATGTACGCTGCTCCGGAGATTTTCAATGATCGGCCTTACACTTGTGCTGTGGACATATGGTCCCTTGCCGTGGTTGTGATGGACTTCGTTCATGGGCTCCCTAAGCATCCCGAGATCGGGCATCAGAACCCGAAAGGGGAAGTTCAATTCTGGGGCAAGACCTGGTGTCGATATGTCATGAAGAAGGCTGAAGATTGGGACTCGGATCGGTTAATCGATTTTCTGACCAAGTATATGCTCAAATTGGAGCCTCTGGAGCGACTGTCGGCGGCCGAATGTCTGAGAACAGCATCAGAAATAGGTCTGTTCCACAACCCATTACAGACAGGAAACCTCACACCCCGAGCAGAACCCGTCAGGCACACGGGTGACGTTGACACAGATGATGCGTCGACTATAAGGGAACCCTCTGCTGATACATCTGCGAGAGACCAGGGGTGTGCATCGCGATCCAGGGGCCCTTCACCTCCGTTTATCGCTCAACATGGCCGACTTGAACATTGGCGCAGGAGAGTCGAGACCTACGAGGAGGGTGAAGACGCCCCTTCCGCCTCGGTGATAGACTACAACAACCGTGCTCCTAAACGCAGACGGACTACGAATGATTTCGACCTGGACCTCGGCATTCCAGGCTCATTTGACAAAGATCATCCTTCTCAAAGGCCACGTTTCGGGAGCAAGAAAACATTGCTGGATGAGGCAGACGATAGCGCAAGACGCGTTATATCAATTAACATGTCCGTTCACAGCGATCGTGTTTCAGGCATACTCCTAGTTCCACAGCCTCTGGAGAGACATGGCCAGTTCGTTGTGCAATTCGTGGAGAAACACCAAGCCATCTTGCGACTGACAGATGCTCGAGTGAATTTTACCGCGGATACGTCGACCACGGGACCTTGGATCGACATTTCAACTGCACGCGAGCTATGCGCAGCTGCCAGTCTCGGCCAATGGTTTCGACCGCTTTTGGCCTTTGGAGAAGCTCAAGAACCTCAAGAAGCTCAGATCTCGTCCAAAATGCCCGATACACTACAGCGAAAGGATATTGCCACTGACTTTGGTCAGCATAATGAATTTTCAGAATTTGGCGAATTGTCGCACAACAAAACTCGACAGAAGGACAAGTTCAAACTGCTCAATTGTGATAAAGACATTGTGGCAGTCAGACAGCATGATTGGAGCGTCAACATAACCCATATCTTCAAAGCATCACCGGCGCATAACGGGTATAGTCGATTCCTCTCGAAATTCAAACAGAAAATCCCTTGTCTCGAAGTTGTGAGAGGTGATCCGCAGATTGCAGGATCCTATGCACATATATCCCTGGCGGTCAATCTCTCGCATTTACTTGGCTTGACCTCGATCGCTAGGGCTCTCGTCAAATTGGCTTATAATCCGGGCGGACAGAATGAAGAAGTCTTCGGCGACAATCTGCCACGTCTCGACCAAGAACCTTTGCCGGCAGCACAACCTGAGAGCGTCCCGACAGAAGCCGGGGCAGCCATCGATCTTGATTGTGGCGACACTTTCAACGCAGACATAAACTTCTCTGAGGTGGACAGACTATTACAAATGTCCCGGCCGTCCTTCAGATTTATGACGCCCTCGCAGCCCTCATGCTAGTTGCCACTACTCCGAACGGATCACTTACGAGCCGTGGAAGGGATGGATATGACTTCGGAGAAATCACACAAATTGCCTTCCATCATGTTTTCCGCCCTAAGTTTTTCGTTTCAACAAGGCGAGCTGGGAAAACTTTTCGAGCATGAATCACATACAAGAATTGCAGGTTCACGCCGTGGTGTGATGAGTCCAATTGTGCAGACTATGCCATGCCAGGATCAAGGTGATTCAGCCATCACCACGATTCCAGATTGTGGGACCGTTGTGACCCAATCCCTCACGGTTCCACGGCAAGCGTCGATACGGAATCCAGCCAGCTCCAGTTGGACAACCCATCGGTACAACTGACATTCACCCTCTACCAATGCATGCGAAAACAAACTCTCCTTGCCTTGCAACGATTCATCACCGTAACCAAAGCGTTACTCGGGTACATCCGCAACAACTTACTGTCTTACCGACGCCGCCCAGAACGCCAGAAGAATACACCTCTGAAGCGAAATACTCAGACGATTGGCTTTGTGAATGTCGCCGCTGTTCGAGAAGCCTGTAAACGTTTGAGAAATCAGACAGCACCGCTGGCCAGCCCGCTGGGACTTGGAAACCCCTTGCTACGAAACATCTGAAGAAATCGAACGGCAGATCCCAACCATCAATATGGTTGGCGCAGGATCAAACCCTCCAAACCCGTTCAGTCAAGACCAGCAGGGCTGATTGCAGGGCCTCATGAACCCGAAGCATCACCCGCACCATTACGGCTTAGCTGTAGCAAAACCAGCTGCGAAATCCACCAGAGACAGAATTCAACCAGGAGATGTCGGCTCCTTTTGGCCCGATTCAGGATTGGTTGCCTCAAGAGCAGCAGAGGGCCGGTACTTGAAGATGTTAGTCAATTGCAAAATATCCTGTCTACTCTTCCCTCACGGCTCACTCCTGTCTCATCATGCTGGGGATTTGTCAAGACACATCCTGGGTTTAACTCATACAGGACCGACTTCAAACGGACTCAAGCTTGTGGAAAATCTTCTGGCTTGTTTTGTCGCTCAGAGAAAAGCCTGTATCCCGTGTATGCACCTGTATGCTCGTCGTAATAGATGTGCACAGTCTGACCCGTGCCTCGAGCTACCTGAGCTGCTGTCGCCATACGAACCGTAGCATGTCTAGCAGGGTCACCGTGACTAGTGTGGTTGGGATTCCTATTCTTAATGGTAAGCAAACCAAGTGTCACCCTGAGCTCACTTACTTGATGGATACATATTGGAAGTGGGAACAATCAGGTGTATTCCAAACTTCCTTTGTGACTTGGTAGACAATGTTTCTCTTGGTCGCGTTTTTGATACTTTGCAGAAACTTAATTGCTGGAACTCGAGACATTATGGCGGGGTTTTTGGGAGTTATTGTGGAGCTTCGAAAAGGGACGACTTTCTTTTGGCGTTGAAGTAAATATATACATGTTATATTGTGGGTGGGAGCTCTGCACTTTACTCGATGTTGTCGACAAAAGAACCAGGACAGATGCATGCAAGTAATGATTTGGTTTTCCCTCTGAAGCGCTTAGCACAACCCAAAGCATTGCTTCCTGGTCCAATGACCATCCCCATTGTGACTTCGAAATGGCGCATGTAACCTCATGCTCAGCGCTTGGAATCGACATGATGCATTACGCTCTGGCCGATGCAACACTGTATCCGAATGGCAAATGCAAGGTGTTCTCACGTGACTTTGTTGCTCTATGCTTCCTCTGGATTAAGTTAGTCCATATCTTCCCTCGCCGCTACAGCCACAGTTGGGCGAGTAAGGCTTGGCGCCGCAATCTCGGCCTGGGTCGTACCGTAAGATGTTCGTGAATCTTCGCCTGGTACATCCAAACTCGCATCCTTGAAAATGAGTTTCTTATCTCGATTGACGCGTCAACGGATTCTACATGACTGTCATAATAATCTAATTAGATCAAAGGGCATTTTTTCCACCAAACGTCTTATGTCAGCCGCTGGCCCAGCCTACTATTGCGACATTGAGTCCGAGTCTCTTGAAAGGTACCGCCCTGGTGGCTACCACCCTGTCAACATCGACGACACCTTTCAATCGGGGAGGTATCGTGTCCTTCAGAAGCTCGGATGGGGGGGTTACTCGACCGTGTGGTTGGTCTACGACTCCACACTATCTCGACTCGCTGCACTGAAAGTTCTCGTCTCAGAGATCAGCGAGACAGCTAACGAAGTTCGAATTCTTCAACGACTTAGTTCGATCCCAGCAAAACATGAAGGTCAACGCCATTTGCGCAAGCTTAGTGACTACTTTTCTCACGATGGCCCCAATGGCAGACATCAGTGTCTCGTTTTCGATGTTGACGGTGTCAGCATTCCAACGCTTGTCACTCGATACGGCGGCGATGTGAGGCTGCCGGGACGTCTAGCCTGGCAGCTTTCAAAACAAGTCACACTTGCACTGGAGTGTCTCCACTCAAATGGTATTGCACATGGTGGTGAGTAATGTCTTTTCCTCGCAGGAAGTCATGTTCTAAGGAAGTCAAGATCTCTATCCCGGCAACATCTTGGTTTCGCAAAGGGAGGGACAGTTCTCGGACCCAAGCTCATTGAAATATCTTAAACCCCCGGTCCTAGCAGATATCAATGCACGGCTTGGTTGTCAGCTCAGCAAGAGTCTCCCACGGCATATCGTGGAACCAATTACGTTTCCTATCCCAACGGTCGACGGACAGGTACACGCGAGGCTTATCGATTTTGAGCAAGCATTTCTCCATACCGATCAGCCACTGGCGAAAGTCCGTACGCCGTTGATTTTCAGAGCTCCAGAGACGCTACTTGATTCGAAATGGGACCTGCAGATGGATATATGGTCTCTAGCATGCACGATCTTTGAGCTTGTTACGGGACAGCCACCTTTCGACAACTTCATGCCCGCAAAAGCTCCCTTGGTATTAGAGTGGATTGCAATGTTTGGAGACGTGCCAGAAGAATGGAGGAAGCAGGCAAAGGTAGTTGTGGGCGACTGTAGCGATGATATAGATGGAGGTTCACTTTCAAGTTGGCTTAGTGAAACTTATTTCAGCGCTGAGAGAAAGGTGGAATTTTCTGAGGAAGATATCAAGCGATTAGGCGATTTGCTGACCAAAATGATGCTTTATCTACCCGGGGCTCGATTGTCGGCTCACGACATCTTGAAGCATGAGTGGTTCGTAAAGAACCCCTTGGCTGATGGGGCTGAAGGATGATATTGCCAGGGAAGAAGATATTGCAAAGGCAGATGTACTAGCTCCATTGAAGGCGACCACGGCAACTACGAACACTGAGCAGTGCATCTCGAGCATGGAAGCACAAGCGCGAATCTTTGAGGTCGTCGGCGAGCAGCCAGCATTCCCGAAGAGCATGGTTATCGGGAGGCTGCAGCATAGTGCCAATTTCCAGCGCACTTTTCAAGTTGGAACGATCAATGCCTTTGACCTTGCTGTTTTCAGCCAAGTCATCGCTCAAGCAAAGGTGGGCAGACCCAATATATTGCCTGCAAACTTTCTGGCGGGAAGCAGGCTTTTTCGCTGGTAAGCAGCAACACTCTCTGGGCAAATCCAGGGTTAACGGTGTTCGATGCCCTGCTCCTGTTCAACGCCCTCCTCCTGTTTGACGCCTTTCTCGTGCCTCCAGATCATCGGTGTCCTCTAGGTCTTCAATGTCCTCCAGATCATCGGTGTCCTCCAGACCATCGGTGTCCTCCAGATCATCGGTGTCCTCCAGATCTTCCATGTCCTCCGGATCATCGGTGTCCTCCAAGTCTTCGATGTCCTCATGTTCCGAAACGGGCCCATCACAAAATACCTCTCGCCCATTCGGCTCCCCAATGCCGTGCAAAACCAAAGCATTCACAAAACCATGCCGCTCAATGTCATGCTTGAGTAATTCGAATGTAGCATCGTTACGCGGAGGGCCGACTCGTGGCCCGGTCAGCATTTTCTTGAGTTCCTCAATCTGTGTCTGGCTCAGTGGCTCCTCAGTCTCCGCCACGAAATTGAAGGACTTTGCCACATCATTTGGTGTGATACGGAAGCGGATTCGAGGGAACGAGGAGTTTGCCTCTCTTGTAAAGAAATAGGTATTGGTCGACGGCCTGGTAGCGTTCGTTTCAGACATGGCTGTGTTGGCTGACCGAGATAACGTTCGATCTTAGAGTTTACCCTATAGGTATTTGCGGGTTATTTGGTTGATCATACCAACACCAAGGAGTGCCCCAACGACAGTAAAAGGTGCACAACGTACCTGCGGTAGGATGCAAAGCGCCTGCACAGTCTGATATTCTCCCACCTCTTAATCCTTTCGAGTGCGACCGAGTGATTTTGTTGAATTGCGGATGCAGGAGGAACGCTCGTGTGAGGGTTGTAACTTGGAATAGGGAGAGGCTTCATATGCTTCAATTAAGCGCCTCGCCATCGGGCATCTACCTTCCCGCTGCTAAAGATTTTTTCACCGTCATTTTGCTACAGAGTTTCAGCTTCTACGAATAGGCAACGACCCGGACGGTTGGCTCTCAGTGGCTAGACGGAGACTTCCTCTATGGGACCGGTCAGGCATTCAAGCTAATACCAGCCAACGGTTTGCCCTTGACGCGCCCTGCTTCTTTGGTAGTATCGCTTCCTGCGAAATGGGTGGCTCTCGATCATCGATAACAGCCACCTTTCTGCAAGAAGCACGGACCTAAGTTAGGATCCCGCTCCCAGCAGGACCGACTAAGTGACAGCATCGTTGCTACAGTATGCAGGGTCTGATTGTGTCCTCTCCTCGTCCCTCGTCCACATCATTTGATGTAAGAGGCTTCTGGGCATCAATACTCCAGCCTCTAGAATTCCCGAATCATCCCAGTCAAGTGTTGTCGTGATCAGACGCTTGCCTACAGAAGGTTTTTGGAACATCGTCGGGAGGTGTTGATAGTTTGGCTGATTCTTATCACGCAAATTGTGCACACAGTCCGTCTAATCCTCGAACACGGTGGGTAGGCCTATTGCACGGATTGGCTGCCTCTTCTCCAGAGCCAGCAAGCATTTGGCAACCGCTTTACCTTGAAAATCCACCAGCACATCGCCGAGTGCTTCCAATCACCACGCCGGGATTGCGCTGTCACGACAGTCAGGCGACCCTCTCCTTGCATGCATGAAGATATATTTAACTCGTCACCTTCCTTGCCCCGATGCCCATTCATGCTGGCATATGCTTTGGTGCATACCGCCAAGTCATACGAAGGGGCATGATACAGTAGTCTTATTCCAAAGCCGTCCCGGGCTCCTCAAGGGTCACCTGGCACGGTACCAAGTCCGCATTTGCTTGTTAGAAGACATTGGTTGGAAATGAGCTCAGCGGTTGAAGACGCTGGGTTGACATGGGTTTGGGCAGAAGTCTGCTCGATACCTTTAGGCATGTCTCTCCACCCTCGCCAGCTCCCGAGCTCCTGCTGACCCAGCCGGAGCCTAACGACCTAGCTCAGTCTTTTCTATATACGTAGCCTCCTCTGCAGCGCACTTCAGCTATTCTCACCATCAAGTTCTGTCCTACTTTGTATTGCTCGTCGACACATCCAATTCCCTTGGTCTCCTATGGAGACTGGTCTCCCAATATCTCTCCCAATTCCTGCGGCTACCATGCTCTGTGAAGCCGGCGAGGCACACAGGCCGATCATGCCGCACAGCAATACTTCCACCAGTACGCCTGACCTGCACGAACTTGATAGCAGATTTGAACGTCTGTCCTCCACTGTTGGTTCCTTTTCAACCTGCACGAGCGACACTTATGCCGCTTCTTCGACGAGTCTTCCTGATCTGTGGCCCATGACGCTCTCCGAGCAGGACGCATGGGTTCTGAACAAAAGTAGCAGGAGCGGAGACCACGAAAAGTTTTTCATCACCTTTACTGAGAATCATGGCTGCGGTCATTGGCTGGCCATCACATGTCAATACCGAAATGTTGAGCCTAACTCCCTCGAAGAAGAGCTGATGGCTCTGCCTTCAGCTCCAGCCAGGAGTTGGGAAATCTATGCCACTCTCCGCCACCGTCTACCGCAAATTGGATTCTTTGAGCACGTTACCCACATCAAGCTACAAACCATCGAAGGAAAACTGAACGTGTTTGTGGGACCCGGCACAGAGGATTGTCGTCATGGCTGTCGTCGACCTGACACCACGCAAAATACCGCGAGTGGACTTACGGGACTAGGTGCGATATATCTGTCGGCGTCGCACCGCGATAGCCATGGCCAGGAGCAAGAACAGAAAGACGAAAACGCGGAGAGAGGGCGGCAATTCTTTGAGGGCGAACCCACGGTTGTCGCTTGATTTGAGGGGGAAATCAACGAAGATGGGAGAAGTACGTTGCTCACCAGGATGATGTGATGGTCGGCGAGGCCGCTATGGGACTCAATGTATCTACGAAGTATTGCAAGCATAGGCTGGAATTTAACACGTCACTGCAAAAACCCATTTCTACCCAAATTTGGATTTGTGCTGCATGTCAGTGCCTCACCGTTTCCGTCAAAGCTCATGGAGAAGGGTCTGACTGGCATCTTTGTAGAAAGTAGAAAGAAGGTTGAAGAGATCTCTGTTGAGTGCCCAAGGGTCCAGGGGGAGCCCTAACTATATAGCGCTTGGGTAGCCTGGAATGCCTACGTTCATATCAACTGTCATCCCAGAGTGATGATCTTGGATCGGTGACTCCGAACGAATTCGAAATCTCGCCCCAGGTGCTATGACGATCTGCAGAGGCCGCTGTCGTTGATATTAGCGTCACTCCTTGAACATTTTAAGACCCTCACCGAACTGCGTGTTTTGACGCTGAACCTGGGCGTCTTGTACAGTCGAGATGCTTCTGGTTAAACGTTCCTCAGCGGCCCATGGCTCTCTATGTGACTGTGACGGAAGTGTTGCGTTATCATCGTCCGCGAGCGGTTCTTCGTCCGAAATATCTGTGGAAGACGACGCGTAGTGCAGCTCTTGTTGGTGTGCGGCTGCTTCACCCTGCCTGGACGGGCCATTATCAGGCGCACCAGGAGGAAGTTTAGCGGGTGAAGCAGATCCTAGTGGACTCAGAGAGCCTCTGTCGGGCGGGAGCGCTGGTGGATGATGACCTCTCCCACACACAGCGTGTATTCCTCGTGCGAGTTCAACAAAGCGCAGCCGACGGCATAGTTGGATTACTATGTTGCCGGGGTAGAACAAGCCGGGGTAAAGTCCGATCATTTTGACGACACAGCTTGTGTCCGGGTTTTCGTCTTCAAGATCTCTCATTAGTTGATTTGGATCGATTTCAGCAGCACGTGCAAGCTGTCGGATGTCAACCCGCATGACCAGCGTGTCAATGAAGACGTCGAATCCCTTGATGTTGTACTTGAGGTACTGTACTGGAAACTCTTCCCCTGTCAATGTTGGCAGCAACGCTTGGTGAGAAGCTTCTGCTGTCTCTTGGGTTCCATCTTGCTCCCTTCTCAGCATCTGAGCCCGCAAGGCTATGCCAAAGCTTAATATGGGCCACAAATCACCGAGCAAGTGATAATGGCTGCACAATTGAAGCGCATCCCGGAAAGAGATGTAAGGAGACGCAGGTCCGTGCAAGTCCATTCGCACCCGTCGCATTTCGTCCATGGGATTTTCGACCCGCTTGTCGAGGACTGCCAACGACACCAATGCCTTGAGATTGATCGAAGCATCAGAGCTTTGCAGATGCACTTCCATGTCTCTGACAGTCTGTACAATCAGTTCACCGCTTCGTGTCAAGGGGCTATGAATCTCCGGCAGCCCCCGAGGTTCCGATTGCTGTGTTGGAAGGGCCACCTCCCAGCCAAACGTGGAGCTGGAGGAACGAGCTCGAGCATCTTTATCAAGGGAAATGCGATCTTGAATCTTTTTGCGCCGTGCTGCCTCCGCACGCGCCGTACGTAAACGTGCAGGTCACCTTTTCCAACGAAAAGCTGTGGAAGAATGTGAGGACAGAATGGACGTCATGTCATCGTCACCAAGGGGTGGCAAAGCCAGTCTTGGTGCAATCTTCCAATCCCGAGGAATAGGATGGTGGCCAATAGTTAGATTGACACGGTCGAGAACGCTCTGAAGCCCATATGTCGCACACCACTCCTGTAAATCATCTTTTGAACCAAAATGGTTGCCGTCAAATGATTTCTTCGCTTTCTCTCTGCTGAGAGTAACCCACGGCGGACTCGCCCACTTAGTCACCACAATGACCGCCTTCGAGTAATCGACGGTAGCAAAGCGAGTATGCGCTCTCTGGTCATCCAACGTTATATGATCCAGGAGGACTCCCGTCTTCGTGGTCTGTTGAACTCGCTCAAGAACCTTTTCAAAGCTTGGCCGATCAATGTAGTTGCCTTCCCAATACTTATCTCCATGCACCTCTTGTATCTGAGGCTCAATATCCCAAGTGGCGACCCGGGCGAGCTCGAGAGGCACTGTTCTGAGGAGCGTTGTCACGTTGAACATCTGTGAGGCGATGTGATAGAAGACCTCGAAATTGAGATCCACGTATCCGCTGAAGACTCCCTGTTTTTTGTTTTGAGGTTTTAAAATTCCCGAAGAGTAGCCAACTCCGCATGCAACGAAAAGATTTTCCCCATACACCAATTTACAGTATTCGCCGGGAAAGTTCGGATCGTCAATATATCTGGGCTTGACGATGGGCGAGATCGCTTTCGCACGATAGGGGTCTGCCAACGACTGAAGCAACGGATAAAGGTCGGACAGCCGGATGTAGGTATCATTGTATTCATGGTACCACGCCACTGTGAATCGTCGTTTGAGCTTGACTGGTTCAAAGGGCCATGTATAGTCGCCGTCCGCCGTCGAATCGATCTCTTCCTGGATCTGCGATGCCCTATGACGCTTGACCGGGTCGACAGCAAGGCCCTTCTGGACGGTCGAGTCCATCAGTGTGTCCGAGGCGTCGTGAATGGCCAGACAATGTTGCATGACCTTTGAGAGGGAGAAGACGTCAACGAGCTGGTCATAGTTCTGGCAGCCGTTCATTTCTGGAGCGCGGTAGTCATGATGTCCAATCACCTCTGTACCAGAACCTGTCCAAATTGCCTCCGAGAATCCAGTTAAGCGTGAGGTGAAGGGAGATCCACGAGCAACCAAAATTACTTCCGGTCTGATATTGCCATGTATAATCCCCTTGGAGTGGAGGTGGGTAACCGCGCGGTTGATCTGTGCAAAGATAAAGCTGAGTTCGAAAGGGTATGGGGTAAGCTCTTTCTCGATAAGCTCATTCAGTGGTCTCGCGACGAAATATTCTGATATGATTGTATGGCCATTTTCCTCCACAGACTCCAGAAAAGGGATCAGATTTTTCTCGCTTCCTGCGCTGAGGATTTCGAAGAGTGCATCATAACGCCGTTGCGCGGCATCAGATTCTTTTTTGTCGTATACCTTCCCGATAACGCGCTGTCCGGTGGATTTTCTTACCAGCAGCTTCGTTCTGGATGATGTTCCAGATGTGTAGCTGTTGGTGCGGTGGAACTTCCAGGATGCGACTTGATCAACAAAAGCAGGTCGCATGGGCACGGAAGGTGTCATCGATATCGGATTGAATTGCAGATGAAGAAGATCGAGATCATGCTTGCCATCATCGGCAACATAAGACGACGGCCTCGCCTTGCCCATTTTGATCTGAAACTGTATTTTTCCTGCAGTAATAAGGTTCCATTTCTCAGGATGCAAGGCGAGCCGGTCATATTGACTCTGTATGGCGTGGCCTGTGGATAAAGCACAATGGCGTGCTCTGGCTGACACCACTAAATCTTGCTCGACCCAAGTCCCATTGGTGGAGAGATCCACAAGCATCCATGATTTGTGATGGTTGAATTTCAGACAGAACTGTGCGTTGCTGACTCTCAGTCTACGGCCTGCGCCGGCTTCCGTCAGCTGGAAGGACACATTGTCACCGGTACCGAAGAGGTAAGAAGGCTCTTTTCGAGGGCGAAGACCAAAATAGACACGCTGTTCGTCTCCGAACGGGGTCGTATCACGCCCATCCAGCGGCAGATCTTCGTATACAATAATATGGTTTTTGTTCGCTTCGAGACGTGATATGTCATCAGCATGGCTTTCTGAACAGCTGATGATAATCCAAGCAGAATCAAGCTCACGGGAGTCGGCCATGATCCTTAAAGCAATAAAGGGTGGTAAGAGAGATTTGGACAATCAAGAAGCACCCTGGTCGAATGCAAAAGGGAATCATTCTAAATACTAGTAGTTGACTCACCGGGCTGCACCATCTTAAGCACGCAGCCAGCGCTTATGACCGCCAATCCAAGGACAGTAATGGTTAGGACAGGGCGGTCATTGAGACCAGGGAGGGCGAAGCACCCTATTCAGTCGATAAACAGGGTGAGCAGCGAAGCATCATGCAGGCAGGGCGCGAAGGGAAACATCATGGAGGGGGGTCACTGGTGTTGGAGGGTTCTCGTTGTGATTAGGTAGGCGGCCACTAGGGGAGGGCCAACGTGGGCCATTAGGGACTCAGGCTCGCGGCGGACACGAGAGTCTGACACTTGAGAACCATTCAGCACACCACCAAATTTGTATGCACTGTGAATGCTCGCAAGTCTCTCTTTCTTGCATTCGGCCCATCAGATAAATGACAATTGAGGCTACTCATTGCTAGGAGGATAGTGTAGTATAGATAGATAATCATAATTTACAAGGTGTTTTACAATGTAAAATAGATCGATATGCTGATGGAAGAGGTTGATGCCATCTTGGCAATCGCGGCAGACACCCCGTATTCCCCACGAGTCAGGGGGCTTACTAACTAACTATGTAACTAGGCTGTTTCTGACTAGTGTAGCCAAGACTTCAAGGCGCGGGGAAACGCTAGGCAGAAAACAACATCTCCATCCTCCTCCAACGTTTGTTCAGCCAACCTGCGACTGCTTCCACATTTTGAGAAGCCAATATTGACAATGTCCGAAAATATGGACGCCAACGACGCCTGGCTTCGCGACACAGACGATGCAATCGACTGGCTTTGTCGTGAACTAAGCGACTGGCTGGCCGAATTCCAGCATCGACCTGAGGTGTTGGTGACATTGGCCGTCGCCATGGATGGTCCACAAGAGTCTTCCGACCAAGATACACCGTTCAAGCACTTTGCAGAAGCCTTAGCAAAGTTCCTCAAAAAAGGATATCGAGATCCGCGATTCATCTTCTCGGTCCTGCTACATTTGCAAGGGCGTCGTCTACGAAGCAAACGGGCTGGGATGTGGACCACGGCAAGATCACCGCGACCAACCTACACTTTCGAATCTTCCCGACCACCTACTCCTACCTACAGTCCTTGTCAAGTCGAGGATATAAACCAATGGCAGCAGCGTTGCGAGGAGGGACAAGCTCCTGGATATACTCAGGAAGACGGTTCGATATCTCACACAGAAGTTTCATTCAGTATCCCGGAACACATTCTGCGGATGCGAGAGGAGGAGAAGAGACTCCAAGAAGAAGAGAAACATAAACGGGAGCAGAAGATACTCCGGGAACAGGCGGAGTTCCGGGAACAAGAGAAACTCCGGGAACCGGAGAGATTGCAGGAACTGGCCAGGCTTGAGGAGAGGCTCAAGAGACTTGAGAGCCAGGAAAGATCGGTTCTACCAGCCGATGAACCAGTGTTGGCTACTGCAGAACATGCCCTAGAAAGACCTGCGCGGCCTCGCCGACGGCAGCAGCCACGGCAATCTGGGACCTGCCCAGCCGATCACAGCTCTAAGATGAACGGGCTTCGGCCCACACATTCGTCGAAAGTGACCAAGACCAAGGCACCACACCAGGTGAAACGTGCACGTCGTCAACGGGCTGGGCAGACAACCCACCCACCACGTCAACCAGCTTGTGACGCTGGTGTCGGCAGTCGCCAATGACCATGATCTGAGGCCTTGAAACAGGACATGGCCTCTCTGGGACACGGCCGAGCACCACTGTTACAAGGAGACAAAGTCGAAGCAATCAAGGCGTCGCAGATCCGAGATGAAAGAGGCACTCGTTCTGGCTAGGAAATGACGGAATAGAAATGCCTTGCCCCTGCTTCACGCCATCGTCTGGAAAGAGTCGGCGGTAGGTGCTGCGAAGCAAGACTGGGACCCCAAGAACATCAAGGGGCTCAGCATGTAAACCAGGGGCGTCGGTCGAAGAAGGAGATGACATTTTAACCTGGCGATAGGACCCTATACATGGCAACGATACCGTCACTCACGCTGCTCCCTGGTGGTCGGACCATTGGGCCCCTGCCTCCTGCGAAGCCGTTCGGTGGCTGTTATTGATCATTGGGAGCCATAGGAAGCAATATCCAAATCTTCGACCAGGATGGTGCGGCTGGCCGTACGCGTCCGTCCAGAATTTTCCTCCAAATCATGACTGCCTGCGCCGTTTGCTTCGAATTATTGATGGAGTCGCTACTAGACCAAAGGAGTTCGAGTGCTTTGATGTCTCTAACTCGGCCATACAAAAATCCAAAGTCTGGGAATACAGAGCTATCACTAGCCGGTAAAGCTTTCGTGGCATTGAATGCCTCACTGGCTGAGAGGCAAGTCGCCGCCTACGCATGGTCATGCCGGCGAAGACATTGACCTGGCCGACCTATGGTGGGCTTGCGCGCAACCACGAGACTTGCAGGCAACATTGATCTGTACGTCGAGAGGCCTCCACTGTTCAAGCATTCCCAGTCATACGCTCCCATTGATCAATTTTTCATAGCAGGCGCGCCTTCCAAGAACGAAGACCATGATAGTGTCTTTCGAACTGCTTTTCGTCCTTTCACAACTAGGGTCCCGAAGGCCTCTCCTAGTCACACAATCGGCTGTGGGTCGGAACTGGTGGCTTCTGATACCAGCTTGCCGGACGAATGTGGTGCAGCTGACGAGTGCGGTGACGAGTGGACGGCCGAGACTTTTCTATGATGCCTCAGCACGCTACTCTTAAAATTCTCCTGGGCAAGGTGGAAATTCAAAGAGTCCATATGCATGCCATTGACCATCGTACCGGCGATGGGCGAGCAGGTCAGGAAGACGATGCCACTGCTGATCCAGCCCGTGGTCCCATCGTCCTCGCGCGGCCGCGTCTAGTACAAGGGAACATCCAGTGTGCACTTGGGAAATGTCGAGATCAGTACTATCTTTCGGCAGCATCAAGCGGCAATTGGAAAGAATTTTCAACAGATGGCGCTTGGGCTCACGTTGGAGCAAACACTTCCACTGCGAGACTGAAATTATTCTATGCACTGTATTGTACGCGTTCTAGATACAGTAAACTCGGCTGAACGGACTTAGATCAAGATTCGGAAGCCATCCCTTTGTGAAAGGGGAAGGCAATCTCAAAGGAAACCCCCGGTGCTCGATGAAGAGGCAGAAGGAGCGCGAAGCCTAGACCTGCCTCGATCTGCATCCATGGAACCTGGTTGAGATCCCTTAAAGCTTCCGACGATGTGATGGAGAGGTACAGCCCATGGAAATAGGGGGCATCTCGGCCACTAAAACAAGGCTAGGTACATAGGGGGTCTTTTTCTCAGGGCTAGCCACAACAAGCCTTATATATCAAGGGACTGCAGGCTAGTCAGCAAAGTGCCCCCCATCCCAGGACTGCCTTTGGAGAATAGTGTTCCTGGCGATCATCTTCTTCCGCTTGCTAAAGCTTGTCGGTACCAAGTGCACATCCCGGAAATGGGTTAGCTCACCGGTGCTTCCACAACAGTGGTCTGGTAGCACGCCCTCCTGCTGGGCCACCGCAAGCAGCGTCCACATCATGTTGTTCAGTTTCGTTTTCTCTGTCTTGGTAAGCTTCTTGCGACCGTCTCGGCGAACAATGGTTGCGGTAATCTTGGAGCTCAACGACACCCAGCCTCTCAAAAACTGCCGAGATATATCAAGATCCCCAACGATGGCCTTGAGCTGCAGTGCGAAGAGATTGAATATTGCACCATAGTCCCTTTCTACTTCAGCCTCGAGCTCAAATACAAAACATTGGAGACTTGCCAGGGCACTGCCGGCGGAGAATGTGTTGATGCCGATAAGCATTCCTCCCTCCAGAGTGAGAGTGGCATGGATGACCCCCGCTTGCATGAAGAGTGCGGTTTTCGAGTCCATCAAGTCCAAGACCGGGGCTTCCAACTGCCCACAAAGCGGCACAAACGTCTCTCGCTCGTGAGCCAAGGCGTACTGCACAAGGAGCTCTCGATTCGGCCTGGACAGGGGCCACATCAGGACGAATTTGCGGCTCTTGCCAAGCACAGTGATGAGAGAATCTCTGATTTGGTCGATGTGCGGGTGAACCACCACGAAGCGAGGTGTCAAGTTGCAGGAGGGTGATAGGTCTGTATTTTGAGGCCTGTGATCTGCATGGAGGATGTCGGGCACAATCAATTGGCAATTCGATGGTAATTTGATGGGAGCGTTCATCAAGAAAGCCGGGTTCTCGGGATTCGGTTCGCTGAGCTGAAGGATCGCGCTGGCCCTGTTGGACGGGTCAAACTTATTGCCACGGAAAGCCTCGGAGGGAGCTATTACTCGTGTGAGCTTGAGCTTTGCGAATAATACAATCAGACATACCATTCAAAATCAGTGAAAAGAGCTCTTCAGTCGTTGGAGGCATTTCAACCCAACAAGAGCTAGAAGGCACCTTTCTCGGTATTGCTATTGACGCAGATTCCCAGATACGCCGACAGTCGTCGGACATGTCGTCAAGGGTAGACCAGTGTGTTTTATCGAGCGCATCCCGTACATCTGGTGGAAAATTCTGTGTTTCCTTTTGAAGATGCTGCAAGATCGGTAGTGAATGAATTTCGTGCATTCGTTTATGCCGAGCTTTGTTTTTGGAAGAACATTGTTTCTGGCACGTAGGACACCAATAATTCTTTGGTTTCCTGTTGACCGGTCCATCTTTCTTGGGACGGGATACCCCTGGTGAGCTGCGTGCCCGTCGTTGTGTCCCCCTTTTGCAAGACTTTTCGTGTCGTGCCCTATTGTTGACCGAACGCACTTTGCTGCATAAAGGACATTGATAGGATGGCATGAGACATCAAGCGCGTCCATAGATGAAGAGGAGAAGAGGTGAGGAGAGAACACGTGAGGAGTGAGGAGTGAGGAGTGAGGATATGAGGAGTGAGGATATGAAGAGTGAGGATATGAGGAGTGAGGATACGAGGAGTGAGGACGTAAAGAGTGAGGACACGAGGAGTGAGGATGTAAAGAGTGAGGACACGAGGAGTGAGGATGTGAGGATATGAAGAGTGAGGATGTACAGAGTGAGGAGTGAAGAGGTGAAGACCGAAGAGGTGAGGAGCAAAAAGAACGAAGAGCAAACCGCAAGGCCTGGCTCGCTGTTGAAACATCCCACCACTCTCCTCCCAAGCCTCACTTTCCTTGTTTTTACAGCGGGTTTGGCTGATTGGTGATGACCTCCTGAATACGACCTTCGTCCTGGATACGACCTGCTGCGATGGTTGGTGGCTGAGACCTACAACGTAGTACTTGTAGGGCCCATTTAGTAGGGTCGAGAGACTTACCGGTTAGCAGCTTCGACCATTTCAAGTAACTTCTTACCCAATGATCCAGTGAGGCACTTCAAACGCCATAGCAACGAGGAACCCAATGCTCCCAGTAATTAACAACCCTTTAGGCATATACTGCCACAACAACAGTATTCGGAGTGTACCCAGATGCTAGACAACTCCTCCGCCATCGAGGTAGACAAAGCCGCGGAGGATAGGGGTGCCTATCACAAGACTTCTCCCTGCATGGTGGAGAGAATGGTCGTGCAGAGGAGGCGGGCCACGGTTGCAGCCAGAAGAGGAGCTACACCGGGCCAGCCTGATGTACCATGGCACGCATGGTTGTTGTCTTTGGTCTCCTGGAGGTGACACTGTGGGTCAACGCTCATGGTGTGTACCGCCTCTCCCGCTGCCGCTTGGGACTGGAACACCCCTATCCAGCTCAATCCAGTGGGATCAATGAGCATTACCATGGCATTTTGTGCTGGCCTAATCTAGCCCAACCTCCCAACGATTTGAATTGGCCGGTTTCGAAGGACAGGCGGCGGATATACCCCATTGGCATTGAGAGGCTGTTGTGTTATTTTCTTGGCTTGCTGTATTTGGCTTTGCTGATCACGCTCAAACACGCTCATCCATGGGTCTGCCAACATGTGGGTCATAGGCGTTCGGCCTGCCGTCTGCATATTGGGTACCAATCTTCGGTCCTCGGTAGACAAAGTTACATCCAGCGGAGGTGCGCTTTGCAAACTTTAACGCAGTCTCAAACGTCATAGGAAGCTCAAGAGAGTTATCCTCGCTGCTTCCTTTAGGCTGGTAATGGCCACTTCGCTAGCGAAGACGTCGACGACATTGCATCCTTTGGAGATTCTTAGGGGCTGCTGGCCTCAGCAAGAACTTCGTGGGTACAACACCCCGGCGACGAGCGAATGACTAGAGGCTCAAAAGGAGGAGCAAGATGACGCCCCCATCATAGACGGAGGGTTCTATGAACAGGCCTCGAGAGATCTTCGGCATCGACGACTGGACCTCCCTCCCACTCAGCCTCGAGGCCTTCAGCAGGGAAGATTTGCTCAGCGGATAACTCGGAGGTACCGGTTGCCCAGCACCTCTTTCCCAGCGGTAGTGGAAGTGACGATGAGAGCTAACCTTTTCCAGAGAGCGAATCTTTCACCAACGGTTCCAACCTCGATACCACACGGCCTGCCCATCGGGGCAATCGAAGAGCTTTTGAATGCCCTTCAAGGACTGAAAGAGCACAACGACTTCAGGTTCAACTCTTGGAGGGAGACACAACTGCGGAAGGATCAGAAATCAGGAGAGAAACACTTCAATATACTTTGCCGCTGAGGGAGGCTGAGGAAACAAACTTCAAGACTGCTGGGATGCACACAATCAACTGGAGGCCATGATTGACGCATTCGAAGCAGCACTCGAAGGTCACAACACGAAAGAAATGCACATTTCTCTGGGAAGCAGGATCATATTCAAATGCTATGGGGGATGTCGCAGCATCTATTTGAATCGAAGACTAGGACTCCCAGTAACTTCTGGCTTGGGTGTGTGATGGGCACAGGCAGTTCAATGGTAAGGCGATCAAGTTGCCAGAGTAATAGGAACAATCTTTCCAGATATTGTTGCGCCCCCAATGCATATCTCTGCGGTTGACTACAGTAAGGTTGCGAGAGCAGCTGTCGAATGGATCGAGAAATTTTATCCTTGCTTCTCTTACATTTCATTCCACAACATCCTCGTACAATCAATATTTGTAGCGGATTTCGATCAATGAAAATGCCGTCTCCCACAACTGATATTGGGAGTTCAGCACCCATCTATCCTCCAAAACGCTGCGACTCATACTGGATGTTGTGGCCTCCTACTCGACCGCCTCTATTTCCCTCGGAATGGGGAGACAGCCAGTCGACTCGTAGCAGCCGCAGCTGCTCCCATCCATGCCACTAAGCCCCGTCCTCTGGTGCCCTATCACACCAACCACTGGCCCTTTAGATGCAGGCTTAAGAAACAGGCAACCACACCAGCGGCCGTGACCAAGCCGTGTTATTTATTTTCTCTTCAGCATCCCTCTGGTTCCGATTTATGTTCTATGCATCTCATCGTCGAAAAATGGCCGAACAACACGACAATGTGGTCTTTGATGAGGCTGAATTTCTGCATCCTTACCAGTCATTTCTAGAATATCTTTATTCACCAACTCTGCATTGGCCGGTGTAAGTGGCCCTGAGCTTTATTGCGCCACAGATGCTAACATGCCATTCGGTCAGGGGCATCCCGCAAGATCCCAGTTGGCAGTATCAGCAACTGAGCCCAGATGGCCTGTTCGATACTGGTATGCACCGCAGTTCCGGATGGACTGACGACAATTCGACTGATCCAAGGCTGTCTAAAATGGTTTGGCCGCTCCCGGATGCTGGCGGCCCCGCAGGCATGTTGGATACCGGCGTAGGGTTCACCAATCCTCCACCATTCCTGCCTACACAGTACGAGACTTGGCTTCCGCAGACCGCAAACTCAGAACAGGTGAGGGATCACGACGCTACACGGGCGGCCGTGGTGGAAAGACTTTCCATGCCATCACCAGACACGATTCCGGGCTGTGCCCAACCAACACTATTGCCACCATCTAGAGGGCACAGCACTCGTGTATATGAGATTTTGGAGGCACACTTCAGTTCCCCAAGTGGCCCTGGCACAGTTGATGAACTGGTAAAGGAGACCGGTTTGAATGTTAACCAAATCATGGTGAGTAGTAACCAGACGAGACGGGATATTCTTTCAATCTAACCGAGGACAGGCGTGGTTTCGTTACCGCCGCAGGACACGGCCAATGAAGAGGGCACCCAACCCACTTCATTTCGTCAAGACAACCATGTGTCCGACGCTCGCTTTGAGTTTCCAACCAGGCTTGAGGGTTGTGGTTTCCGGCTGTTTCGTCAGAATCGACTCTGAACCGGTATGTATACGGAACCAGAAGCTTCTCAACCTCTTCTGCTGTTTGACGTTCACGCCGTCAGAGAGAGAGGTCATCGGTTTCAGTCAATTCACCATCTCTCTATCAGCAAGATCCTTGAGCGGCAGCAGCATTGGCCTCTCGTACTACGCATCGAGACCCAGGAGGAAGAAGGAAGGGGCGCTCACGCAGCAAATGTCATTCTTGAACACCGCAGCTACAGGTCAGCCAAATGCAGATCTCGTCGCTGACTTCAGAGTGTTCCATTTTGATAGGTGTTGTTACAAGTTTACTTCAGAGCGTTTCTTTTTGGTCGTCGAGATCTTCACGAATTTCAACCAGAGACCTGGGGAAAATCACCGACTGTTTGCCAGGACTGAAAGCGAGGCGGTCAGAGTTAAGGACGCAACCGTCGAGATGCATCGGATTCGGAAGAAGAAATAAAGCAGACTCAGGTGAATGGCTTACCTTTTCGATTTTCTTTTGTCCTTATAGATACTAGTATGGAGGCCTTTGGAACCATTCTTAATTGATCGTTGGTTCTAGTTCCGACACTTCTCTAGTGCCTGGGACAGCCTTTGGTCTAACTAAGTACTATATTGGATTGGTATCGGCGTTTGATTTGGTCAATATAGGGGTTGTTCGCCTCTGCAATAGCCCCCGTCTCTTTGTTGCTCGGCCCAAGGCTGACTAAATGTATGCTATTCTCGACTTAGTCACAGATAGATCAATTCCACGACAGCCCGAATTTGGTATTCTCGTCCCTCCCTGCGCCAAATGGTTCGTGAATGAAGGATTTCATTTCTCCAACACATCTAGCAACTGGCTCTCGTCGTCGTATGCTGAGAACGCTAACTCGATGTTCAATGCAGACAGCTTCGGATTTGCAAGATCTCGAGAGAGCCTCATCCACTTGGGAACTAGGCTTCTGCCTGGTATGAAAGCTCCAGGTTGAGGTCTGCAGGTAGTGTGTTGATAACAAAGTAGAGTCTGTGAAAGTGAGTCGGCATCCATGTCAGATTGACACTCATCGCAAATCTGAACGCTAGGCATTGGTCCTTCATCTTCAAGCTTTGTGAGGTGGAACTTGCGATCAGATGTCGATAGAAGTCGACTTCGTGGCCGCAATCACAGCGTAATGACCATAGATCCTGACAGATTCTTGGATCGTGAGAGGTTGAAGAGATAAGAATCTCCCAGTCCAGATCCTTCTCGTGTTTGACCAGTAGAAACAAGTCAACGACCGCACTCATGGCGAGCGCTAGTATGCTGCAAGTATTCTGTCGATGACTAGCTGCGTCGAGGGTGGCAGCGCCGCCCTTGACCCTTACACGTTTAGAACGGGCAAGACAGGTAGTATATTGCCATGTAGAAACATTGATCAGTAAGCTCACTCAAGAACAGCTGCGATAGCTGAGCAGCTCCTCGGCGAGCGCCCCACGGCGGAATCTGACAGGGTAGTCCAGTTGTGGACGAGTCGCAGTCAACGAGATGCTGTTGTTCCATCACTCGTTGACGCTCTGGTCAGGCATGCTAGGTCACATGGACCATACGTCGTCAAGATCTCCGCAGAAGGGACGACTATTAGCAACGTTTCGCGAATGACTCGGGCCTCGTTACTGACCCTGATTTTGCGACAGGGTCGTGTGACCACGTCATTTCGCAATGGAGACTCCTGGAGCGCTTGCTGCTCTTGGTTAAGATACTTTTGAACCAACACCTGCCTTTAGTTAGCAATGCCAACACTATCCTTGTCCATGAAGATGCCCTCTAGTGGCAAGCAAGCAAAACGTCACGGCACGCATCTCGGACTGGAGCACTCTTTGCCTCTCCAGATTTCTGGTCGCTCGAGCGTGTGAGCTTTGCTCGGCTAACTCGCGGGCCGATCGTGTGCGGTGTAGGCACCAAGTCGAATTCTCACGCTCCAGCCAACGACTCACCCAAAATGAAGAGCTTCCATAAAAACAGAGGGAAGCCAGGTGTCGTGGGAGAATTCGACTTACCTGATCAGGTAAGGGACCTTCCTGATTTAGTGGCGCTAATAGATTTCGATCACCCAACAGCGCGCGCTTATTGTGTAGTTCGGGGATCTGATTGGCTGAAGGCAGGGTTACTGTCCTGCAGGGTTGGTGGCGATGCACCAGCAAATCCCGATCTTCACCAATGATCAAATGCGTCGACGTCTCCATTTTGCCGCGGATTGGACGCCTGACGGGGCTCCGTGCGACCTAGGCTGTGATCATCCTGTGTACGTTTCTGGAATCAAGCTCCAATTGGTTCGGATGCCTTGACGACGCAACCCGTGGAGGGTCGGCGCCCGAGCCAAATTGATCCTCCCCAGCGGCGGTGAGTGGCAGTAGTCTCTCTGCCTGGAGAGGCTTCGACAGAGAAGTCTGCGAGGTCATTGTGTCTGAAACTTTGATGAAACTTCACACGCTCAGTCATTGTGGAGAGGTCTGGGAAGTGCAGGGGAGAGACTGATACTTGAGGTTGCCTGTTCGACGGGGTGCTTTGCGACTGTCGGCGCGCTGCCATGGTCAGAATGAGATCCTTCATGCTGAGAGAAAGAGAACTTGTGGCGCTCCACAGCCACCCCCTCACCCCCGCACCCCCGTATTGCCAAGATACCTTATTGAGACGCCAAGGGATGGAACGACCTCGAGAGCTTTCGGTGGCGTCAATGGCTCTCCTTCCTGCAACAATATCCTGCTCATCTACATAACTGCTACCTGCATCCCATGACTTTTCTCCTTCTTCATGCGCCATGATGTTGAGCCGTCACAGCTGATGAAGCAGCCTCGCAAGCGAGCGCGCGCACACAACTCCAATCCCCCCAAAGCTGCGTCCACATGCAATCGTCCACGATTCGATGCATCGATAACCTCGCCTCCGCTTATGCAGCAAGCCGAATCGTCCCTAACAACACCGACTCTCACCGCCGCAGCGTCTAAGCCCACCAATTTCTCCTCCCAACAACGGCAGACATCCTTCGAGGCCGAACCCCAAGCACACAAGCAGCGCAGGAAGGCGCAGTCAGAACCGAAGCGATCCAAGTGTGCGCTTGATGATCCTACTTGCGGTCGGGCTGCAAAGAAGCGACATCGGCAGTCCTCAGAAGCGTCGGAGCCTCAAGCAGCGGAGCCTCAGGGACCATGGTTCCACAACTAGTGGCTAGAAAAAACACCTCAATCGAGAATCATTCAACAGACGGTCGAAGGCAGTGGCACCAGTCCACCTGCCCTTGCGCAGCCCCCTAAGCCACTGCCTCGAAGTACCGACTATCCACAGGTTGCACCCAAAACTGACCGCCACTGAGGATTCCAGCCGACTCTGAAGTCTGAGTGGACTTGGACCGAGCTCGCCGCGGCGGATCGTCTGGAGATTCGACTATGCTCGCAACCGACACGGGGAAAACCTATTCCCGTCTTGCATTTTCGACCTCGAATTAGAAGATACCAGCGGTGTGCTGTCCGGAGCTGAAGGCTAGCTGTAGCACTCGATCGAGTTGCGACGCTATCGTCTTCTCGGTCGCTATCTGGCAGAGAGAAGCTATCCCGCACGTGCACTACCACAACCCGGAGGATCAGACCTTCTACATGTCCTACGTCGATAGCTTTTATTTCGCGAAGGATATCCAGGGCTGCCGTGACTATGGCCAGCACGTGGTTGAATGGTTGCTGGAGACCTAACAGCCGATCATGAGAGATGCCTTGGAAGCATTGGATGTGATCACATTGTTGTGCAAGAAAGGTCGATCTGCTAGCGCTGTAGTATACAGAGTGGGCTCGCCGAATGGGACTTAGGGCAGCAGCTCAGCTACTGGCAAGAGCCAACGACTGGTCCAGTTAGAGCCGTTGCCCCTATGAGGTGAGCATAGGGACCGGTCTTGACAAGACTATGCCTTGAGACTAAGACGCTGAAGCCGTCCATCCTGGTACGGAATTTGGCGGTTGAGTTCAACGCCAGGAGGACCAGAGCTCGAAGGAGAAAGGAAGTATTGATGGCCAAACCCCCAGTTCCATTACGCCGAGGACTCTCTTCGTCAATGGTAGATATAAATATGGAACTTGCTTAGATATGGCCCCCAGTAATGAGCGATGGTTATCATTGAAGCTGTAGTTTTGGGAACAGTGTGTTACTTCTTCACCATGCACGACACAGAGATAGTATACTTGACCAGGTTGTGGCTGACTTTAATGTCTTCTCTTTTGGACGGCTCCAGCGTGGACGAGGCGTCTCCCACCGCACCGGCCTACTGCTTTCCGGGGAGTATGTGTTTAAAACACAAGTTAACCAAAGGTTGACAGCGGCATTCTACCAGCTTACAAGTCTTCCATAGCGTCCGGCGCTTTGGCTTCAGCACGGTAACTGCATCCTACGGACAGGTTATCACAACATCTAGCCGGCTTGCTCTATGGACCTATAGAACTTCAAGGCATCTTGAACCTAATGGTGAGATAATATTGAGAGCCAGGACTCGATAGCATCGCCTCATTTCTTATGCAGGCGGCTAAGGTCGAGTCGTCCCAGGCCATGAGAAGAACCAAGCGCAGCAGGCAGGATTTTTCACAAATGATAGGAGGAAATAGAGCTGGCTTGCGTTGTGTCATCATTTTGAGCCTGCTCACGAATGTGTCTATGAGTGACTTGCCGCCCAAGAACGTCCCAAAGCCGCACTTTGGAAGAACCATCTAGGTGGACGCATACCGGAAACTGCAGGTGTTCCAAGTGTGATGGCAAGAAGTAAGAACTCACCGATGCATTCAAGATGTAGCCAATCATGTTCAGCTTTCGGCCGGCACCGATGTGCGCAGCTGTGTAGTTGCACACCGAGCACCTCGCCGTGGACCATCAACCATACCTTACCCATGTCTACCCCCTCAACATCACCAGCATGACGTGGCCAACCCCGTCATGAGTTCATATGGGTTTTGCTCAATACCAAATTCTGATGGGTCGGTAGCTGGAATATTGTACCTTACGGTGGTAAACTGGAAAGGCCTCTTCGTGTCGGACAGATGTAGTCGTTGGGACAAGAATCAGCCCAGCTCTGCATCCTGACCACTGTTGCTTTAAGAACGTTGTAGGGGAGAATGTTGTTCTTGCTGCACGTAAAGAAGCGCCTCTAGCAGTGGGTAGCCGCTGACTGGGATACAAGCTAGTTCTGGCGAGGTGCTACACTACACTATCGATTCTTACCCCTTCATTGGCAGGCAGACATGGGCAAGCCATTGGCCGGAAGGGGAACCCTTGATCCAACGTGGCAACGAGTTGAGGGGTATGTCTAATGCTATTTGGGTTAGTGCTCCGGTTGGGCGCCTACATCAGGCTGGCGAGTATTTATGAGACTGCTTGGGCGAAATCTTTCTCAGAACTCCCAAACAACTCATTCTCCTTCGTTGTTCTTCGCGATGAATGCCGAACAGATCGTCGAGCAAGCAAACCGTGAGGCCATTCGCCTGGGCGCCGAGAATGAGCAGCAGCGCTCGTCGATCGCAGCCCTCCAGGCGCTGGTGGAAAGCTATAAGGCTGCGATGGCTAATCAGGCAGCGGCGATACTCGAGAGTCAAGCTACGGCTCATGCGGTCATGGTGCAGAGAGACGCTTTTGCATCGCAGGTTGCTTTTATCGAGCAATTTTCGCGAGAAGGTGCCGCTGCATCAGCAGCCGCGATCCGGAATCTTGAGCAGCAGCTGTATCAGGCGAATGCTACAGGGCAGGATTGGAGTCGGCAAGCCGGCAGCCTCAGTGCCCAAACAACTCGTCTCCAGGAGGAGATTGTGAAACTTTCCCAGCAATCCTCTGAGGAATCAGAAAAGGCCAAGAAGAATGTTGAGACAATTGGCCGCCTCACGGTCGAGTTGTCGGTCAATGCAGCAAGGCGTGAAGAGTCCGATGAAAGGTTGCGCGGTATTGAGGGAAAGCTCGACGACCTGACAAAGAGCTTCGGCGGTCTAGTAGCTGCCCGGGATAACCTCAACGACAGTCTCTCGGCATCGAAAAAGGAACTGCAGCAGAACAACCGGAAACAAGCGTCAGTCATGAAGAGCGCGAGAGAACAAAATGAAAAGCTCTCCAAGGAGCTGGAGAAGGCTGAAGCGCGTTTGCAGGAGCACGATAAATCTACAGAAGATCTGCGTCGAAAAGCTGATGTGGAACGAAAACTCCAACGCGAACTTCAGAAAAGCCTCGACGATGCCGAAAATATGCGCTCCAGCTTGAAATTCTATCAAGCCCAGGACGAGAAGCACATGAAAACCATTTCGAATTACCAGAAGGAACTTCGCAAGTTGACGGACCAGGACCGAGCGACAGCATTCGCCAAAAGAATCCGAGAGAAGGATGTCGAAATCGAGAAGCTGGTCCAGTGCATCAAGAACTTGGAAACCCAGCTTGGACAGAAGCAGAGGCTGGTGGATATGGCTCTCGCCAGAGTCAAGATGAGCACAGCCGTCGCACAGCGAATGGAAAAGGACACCGCAGCCTGGAAGGGCGACTCTTTGGCCAATGGCTTTCGAAGCCTCGTCTCACACAAAGTTGCACGAATGGAGCTGGCCAAGGAAACTGTGGACGCTGTCTTTGCAGCCCTAAGAGGCATCGACTCGGCCCAAAAGGCCATGCAGTCCGTCGCCACAATCAAAGGGATATTATCCACGGTGGAGTACCGCATGGTCACCTACGGCAAGGACACGATGGAGACGATCGCCGGCGTAAACTCGCTGGTGGCAGACATCAAGAAGCTTGTGGAGGGTGCGAAGGAACCCTCGGACTTCGAGAAGCTGATAACAGACGTCAGAGCGCTGCAGGTTGGATTTGCGAACTCCCTCGAACAGGAGAAGAAATTGTCAGTCATATAATTGTTCTCAACAGGTATGTAACCACGGAGTCTGCCAGATGCATGGTTGTCAATCTGACTTGACCTAGCCCAAGGACAAATGTCTTGTCTTGCTGAGAGGTGCTGGGAGTTGCTTGGAAGAGAACGCATGTCTTCTCGGTTGCCGGTGCATGGCCAATGATGGCCTGATAAGTGGAAAGCTATGATTACTGAGGTCAGGTGCAATGAGGTCTTTCACTTGGTTTGAGAACACAGACTATATAGTCGTCGGCGAACTCATCACTAAGTTTCATAAGTAAGCGCTACCTTCTCTTATGGCTTTTTGGTCGTCTCCATCCAATGAGCGCAGCTCTCTGCGGCTGGTCTCGCATTGAAGAATAGATGGTCTCGAGGTATATGTTGTCACTCGAAAGACGGTTACGGATCTATTCGCCAAGTTGAAAGAGAGGAGGTTATCATGCAGATTCCTATGACAGCCTCGTCGGATAAAACCACCGGCATTTGAAGCCGCCAAGAGGATCTATCCTGGTTGATTGCCTAGCATTTCCAACCACCCACGAGCCGGGGGGAATACATAAAAACTTGCCCAAACAAGCAGGTACCTTACTAAATTAGGGCGTAAGGGCAGTTTTGATGACACGACAACGAAGAAACAGCTTTACTAGATTAGGCTAGAAGGGCATGGGACGCAACTTGTCTGCCTCGCGACAAATGATCTACCTGAACGGAGGCACGCTCCATTGCCCACGCATACATAACCCTGTGCGAAGGTTTGCTCCAGGTAGCGAATGTTGCTATGCCCTAAGATACCACAGACATCCTCAGAGCCCTGAAGCAGATCTAGTCTGGTGCAAACAGATCAGTCGGCAACTGCAGCACCCGCTGTTTCTTGAAGCCGCTTGGTTTTCGAACGAAACCATAAAATTCATGTCAAACCCAGTGCTCGAGCAAGGCTTCCATCGAGCTTGCCGTAAGAAAGCCATCACCAGGACAACCGATGCTACCACTAAGAGCCCTACATAAGAAGAGACCCAGAGCCAAACGAGAGGCCACAGGAAAGTAAGGTATGGCTTCTCGTGCTGTGAACCCACAAACATCGCCATTACAATCATTGGGAAAGCTGAGTTCCATGACCCGCCGCATCATGAAGAGATTCTTCGTCATAATATACTTCTGGGATGCATTCATTATGAATTCGTCCCCAACATTCCGTACTGATTGTCTTTCCACTTCTCAGACCATGTATGCTCTGAACAGCTCAACCTCCTTGAAGGGGTCCAGATAATCCGGCTCGGGTTTGCTTCCACCGTTCGGGACAGGGCTTGGACACCGATGATCTAAGAGGACCGAGGACCTCCCGACGATATCCATCCAACATCGGCGGACCAGTTCCAAAGAGTAAAATGTGTTACAATACTTCGGTCTCTGTTTCTTGATTATGAGACGGTCCTCTGTCACTGACGATCCATACTTTTCGAAGATGCATCGGTACTGGTATTTCCCAGGCTCGGAACTGGGGTCTCTGCAGAGGGTGTAAAGGCATTGGAGATTTTGAAAATGTTGGATGAAGGCATCATCATTTCTTTCACACACGTAATATGCCACCATATACAGTGGCTCCAGCGAGGAGGGACTACTAGAAACCTGTGAGTAGGAAATTCTAAAAGCTGGCTCTCAAACAAGACTTGCCTTTCCCCTCGTGGTCCACAAAACAACAGTTCCAGTTTTTTGATCCAGTCTTTCAGCTTCGTGGCAGTTAGCTTGCTAATAGCGAGAGGCTTATTGAATAGACAGGAAGTGTTCAGGAACTCTGCCAGCTGTTTCAAGTCGCAGTTTTGTGTGTCCCATAGTTCTGGATTGTACCGGCCACAGAAGGGGATGAGAGCAGAGCTGGAGAGGACCAGCCAGAGGTTCATTTCGCAATTGAAATCCTTGCAGGCAAATTGTCGTAGTCGCGACGGAGATGGCTTTCGAGGCCAGATCGTTAGCTGGCCTATATCTTCAAGGATATGACTTAGCTGACTGCGTAGCACAGATTCTAGACGCTCTGGACGCTCTGGGAGCGCATCAGGGAAGGCCGACGCAAATTCTGTAGTGAACCCTTTCCAGCTAATACTGTGATCTGTTTGTGCATCTTGGAAGCTCTCATATCCCTCTGCGCCTACTCTCGGAAACCATGCATCCTTGTCCCTTTGAACCAAGTCATCCAGTAAACGGATGTCGCCGGACTCATAATGGAAGCCACAGAGTGTCGATAAACAACCCAATATGAGTAGACTCTGCCTCATTTTGAGCTCAAAATCGCGCTGTTCCTTACCAGTGGTACATGTTGACTGATCCATCCCTTTCAGCTAGGGCGGTGGTGCCTGGGCCGAGTTTCAATCGACTGGAATCAACAAGGTAAATCGATTTTTCGGGAGGGAGACCTTGAACCTGCCAGCCTCTTCGGCAGCGGAGGAATACGGTCCTTTGAGCTTCGACGACGGTCACCTGGAACAGTACGAGGTGCCAAGTCGAGAAGTTGCCCTTCAGGGCAATTGACACAAGTTCTGGCAATGACACTATTGAACCTGTCAATTGTTCGATGTTACATACGATTCATCGTCACGCGCCTTACTTTGTTCCCCGCAAATTGATGGGTGACATCTGCCCTGTTGGCTAGTATTGCAATGGGACTTTCCCTCGTCATGCGCATCCCAATCACGCAGCTAACCTGCAATGTCGGAACGCCAGTGACGACAGGGCGAAGAACCGTTTGAGGTGCCTGTGCGAAAACTCATGCTCATTGCGACACGAACCCATGATCAGCATCCCTGCGAGTCTTTGTCTTCTGAGTGTGTGATGTCTTGTGGTCCTTTATTGATAGCGGATCCACGTCGCAAATATCACACTTGGAGTTGGCGGGCGTGGGCTCTCGACAAAGGTCTTGAGGATGCGAGAATGATTAGTCGGCGAATCGGCTCGACGTCGCCGCTTTCAGGACGCTCTCACGGCTCTCTGGAGAGAAATTGACCACAGCATAGCCAGCCGCTTCGGGAGACCATGGAAGCCATAAGCCGACGGATGAAAACCCTGTTCCAACCCGTTCTGTATTTACTTCTGTATTCTCGACCTGGATTCCGGCCGAGCTGTTGCGTCACACAATGTGCGGGTCACGTGTAGGCGCGATCGAAACGGCTTGCATACCAGCCAACTTTGAACGTTCAGCCTGATTGCGCAGTCTACGACCTATTTCTTCTTCGAGATTGCAAGGGCCGTGGCTCAAATGTAAGCTCGTTGCAAGGCATCAAATCCACCGGAGCTTGAGATTCCCATGGTTCCTCCATTTCTCGGCAATTCTAGGTCGGTCCTCGATGAACACTGTCCACATCGGCATCGGCATCGCCAACTCACCATCCGAGTTCCGCCAGCCTCCACGTCGATGCCTCCTCAACCCCTCGAAGAGTACCTGTTAGGCCGGATCTGCGTCCTCCCCAAAGAGCTGACGGCCGCGCGAGCCATCCTGGAGGAAGAGCACGAACAATATTGGAGTCAGGTGCCGTACGATAACAACAGCTACGTGCTGGGCACATTCCTGTTCACAATGTGGTGATGGCATGCCTGCCTGCGCTGGTGTATGGTACCATCTCTGCTGCCACCATCGCTTTCCATTGAGTGGTTGTCAGCTGTTTCCTGATCCACAGAGAATCCCCTTTGGTAACATTACACATCGGTGACACTCAATTCTGTCCGGTATTCTCTGACGATAAGAGACTCGTAGATAGATACAGCTTAGTGCCATTCACAGAGACTTCTAGGCTGTTGTGGAAGGCCGGCGCCGCTTCGAGCCTATGGAGGTATTTTGTTGTTGTCTGGCACCAGTTTCTGGCCATCCTTTCCACGCCACGGATTTCACTTGAGGCAACACGATCCGTTGCTTCCCAAGCGAACATATCGTCGATAGGTCCATCAATTGGCAGTCGGCGTTGTCTCAGATTCTTCAGAGCCAACTCGTGGAAGAGTGTAAGCGACAGGTCAGAATCTTCTTTATATCCCTTCGCGCGCTGATGCAAGTCGAAGAGAGTATATGCAAGACACCAGATATCAGCTCGCTTATCATAGGGTGCAGTCTTTTGTCCGTCTTTGAGTGCGCGTATTTCGGAAGCGAGATAGTGCACGGTACCCTTGAAGTGATCTGTTGATTGGTCTGCCAATATGGCATGTGCAAAATCTGTGATTGTGGTGATAGGCTCCGGTCGAAATGATACGAAGATATTGGTTGGTGTTACATCTCTGTGCATGATACCTTTCGAGTGCACCCATTCTAGGCCTTGAACAGCTTTGCCTGAAGCATCAAGTTTGGTCCCATAGTCGTCGTCCGACATCCGCAAAGTTTCAAAGTTCATATCTGCTAGAGGACGATGAAAGACATAAGCGTCATCGACGGGACTTTCAAAGGCGGTTGAAGCGATAGTAGCCCGTCCACACTTGCTCGGTCTTCATAGTCTCCTCGTTGTCAGAATCCACATATTCCTCGTGCACTGCAATGGTTCTCTTTCCGGGTTGATGTGTATGGAGGTTTTCCGGTCGAAAGCTTCGCCAGGGTGGGCTAGAGCCACTGCGCCGACGCTGTTGAATGCTTGTTTGGTGGCTGCATCATCGGGAAGCAGGTGAGCAAAGTCGCCCTCTATGCGTGCATGTACTTACGGCGGTACTTGAAGATCATCCAAGACCTCGGTATCAGGTGTTCCTGGAGCTTCACGGTTGGTTGAAATCATTTCTTCCATGGCTGCGACTGGTCTTGCTAAGAACATCGCTCAGACGGCATTCTCGTAGTTCGGGCAAGAGGCTTCGCTTGAAACAGTAACGGAGGCGCCGGGGACTACACCAAGCCTGAGGCAACTACAAGTCAAGAGCCAGACCATTGACACTGTTCCCATCTCCACAAGTCTCGCAAACACTACCTCTATCTGGACGTGCCAAGATACTCACGACGTCTCATCTGTCCTCACAATTCGAAGGCCATTTGTAAACCTGACGACTTCAATATTTCCCCTCTTTATGAATTTTGACTGTTCACGAGCTCCCAACCACCAGCTCAATCAACGACGAGGCCAGTCATGATCCTGTTTCGCAAGTCGAGCTCAACCGATGGCAGCAACGATGAATTTCTCCACCTACTCTCGGAGAAATTGACCTACATTCGGAATCATCTCTGCGTCGATGATATCTGTCCGCGCTCTGTTGCGCCAGCCTATCGAGATTCAGAGCAATCGACATCCCCAGCACGCTCACCGTCGGAGACACCGCCTTTGTCTCAGCCGTCGTCGGTTTTGGTCCCCGAAGAACAACGGCCCCGATCTGCGGCCCCTCTGAATGCGAAGGCGACCCCAAGCATTGAGAAATCATCTCGAAAGATAGCAAAGCCTAAAGGAGTTGAAGCAAAGCAAAGATCTCGACGTATTGGCAAAGGAAGAATGATCACAAGAGCAATGGGCAGCCGCAGATACGGTGTTCTGGAGACTCGATGCAACTGGCCGTCGAGAACGGTATACACCAGCACTTGAAATTTAAAAGTTGCTGTGAAGGTCGGCCACTCTGACGGTTGGTCCCTGTCCATTATCATGCGATTGGGAAACCGCAAGACGAGCTCTCGCTACCTACAGCCTATCATCCTGGCGCATTCTAAGTCAACTTTCAGCTGGGACGTATGGATCGGCCCTACACGTTATTACACTCAGAGATGGAGGACTTTCAAGAACAAAAGAGGGCGTGGCTGGCGAGTTGATTGGCTTAACCACACGGGTGCCGGCACACCGAACGCGATTGCTGGCGAAGTATGTAATGAGGACTTCACCCATACCATGAATACGAGATCCCTTTCCCCCTTTTATCAATTCTTCGCAACATCCTAGATTGATGGTGACTAGCTTCCGAAAAGCTCTAGCTGCTCGCAACCATAGCCAAGATCGTGCTCTCCGCTATACATACACTTTTACTATTCGTCGATTCGTCTCCTTCCCTGTTCGCGGCCATCATGGGCGTGTGGTGTTGGCATGGACTTTGGACATCATCCTAGCGTAGTACCCGCTTGCCGCACCTCTCGCCATAAGGTTGGCTGACTCCATGTTCTCCATTGCCCATCGTAACCATGTCTGGCAGTTCCACGTCGATGGCTTTGGCCGGGGGGCTCTAGTGGTCCGAAGAACGTGGTTCAGCAGCTCAAACCTTGGACACTGGTATGCTGGAGACGGGTATTTCTTGATGGGGTGTTCGTGGAGCCCCGTGGGTTCTGATCTCTCGCTTGTCGTTCGAATTTCATCTCTGATTCTGTGGCGACGTCCTCGACCACATGATAGATATAATACCGTCTTGAAACTGGGTGAAAGATAGACAAAGCGACGTGAGCTTCGTTAGACCTGAGACTTGGCTCGTCGTAGACGATTATGTGGATGCTGAGATTGGACATCGTGGACCTACTTGACTCATTAGATCCTTGCGGGCCAGGAAAGACGTCGACGACTGCCACATCACCTTTGTTATTGACTGATAGACCTAGCTGTTCCTGATAAATAGAGATGCCACATACACGGACACATACATATACATACACTCATCGGCACTGGCCGCAGAGGCTCGCTTGCTGGCCAGCTGGGCTCGCAATTAGCCGCCAATGGTAAGGCATACATCCTCAAGTCACCAAACGCCCTTTGGCCGCTCCAGCTGCCAACAGTCCATCAGCAAGGCGACCAATGTTGCTGATGAAACTTCAGACCGAAGCACCCGATTGATCAAGAACCTTGGAGCGTGCCACTGGCCACTCAGCTCACGGGTGGGGAGCATTTCGAGTACTTTGTCAAGACCCAATCTACTACCAACCAAGGCGTCTTGTCCAACCGTTCGGCAAGCCGCCCGGTGTCTGCAACACCTGCTCACTCAACAATCCGCACGATAATGGGACAGCAAGACTATATGCAACGGCCTGTATCTGCTCGTACAGAGTCTAAAGGCAGAATGATCCGCCGCGTACGTAGCTCATAGGTCAATTAGGATATCCGATTTTTAAGCGGCTTCACTCTTCACTCCTCACTCCTCACTCCTCACTCCTCACTCCTCACTCTTCATTCTTCCCTCTTCACTCTTCACTTATGCTTGATACTTTTGTATCTTGACTAATAAATTACCTTGGTCGTTTGATAACTCTTTCCCCATGTCTGACTTGGCTGTTTAGCATGTTGTCCACCGCGAACTCCACGTCATAGCGCACCTTCGAACCACCAATCTCCCAACACTGCTGGCACCAGCACAAGAACTGCTTATCTGTTGAGAATTGGACCATCTTAACGTACTCCCAGTACTCAGGGTACCAGCCGGCGTACTCCCAATCGATTATGCCTGTAATTCTCCCGCCTTCCACCAGGATGTTATGCATTCCTAGGTCTCCATGCGAAAATCGGATCCGATGGGTACCTAGGCCCACGAGGCAGTTGCGAATCGTTTGGACAAAGAAATCGGAGAAATATTGTCGTGATTCAGGGTGGATAAGGGAGACCAGCCATTCGTTGAAGTCGCACTCTGAGGGAAAGGGACCTCCAAGTTCAGCGCCACTGGCTCTGAGATCGGCAGCCGGGCCTATGCCGTCCACTGCTCCAATTATGGAGTCTTCTGGAGCCTGAATAGATCGTAGTTGTGCTAGAATTATCGCCAGATCGTCTAGAACCGTTGTTTTCTCGCTGTCAGTTATTGTGGGCCAGAGATCACGGAGTAAAGATCCAGGTAGCACAGACATGGCGAAGTAGCCTGTCTTTTCCCCATCGTCTTCGTCGACCTCCCAAGTCCCATGGACCTCTGGAACTGGAATATTCGGGCATTTCTGTCGAACGAATTCGATTGCCATGATCTCGCGTGAAGTTTGAACGGCGGGCCCGAATTTGACAACGTAGGATCCGGTTATGCAGACCCCATACCTAGCCCCGTAGTGCCCGACGATCCACGTTGAGGAGGATCGAATTTCGGCATCTGTCACTCGTACTGTCATTGTGCGAGATCCTTTTTGGAGCGGTGGTGGACTGATATTAATGATGGACAATCTCAAATGCAGCCGTGGTCAGCATGATCCAAGTCCTTTTGTTAGCTTTTTGGGGAGGACATGTGGCTCTCCCCCAGGTCTTGGCTCGGCTGCTACCGTGGTGACTAAGCAAATTCAGCTGACACATCAATTGATCACGTGCGCATAACTGTGAGAGTTGGCTCCAGCGAGCCAGCTAGGCCACATCGCCCGCTACACCGTGTACTAAGCCTAGAAGATTTTGAAGTAGTTGCGGGAAAGCGTAGAGCGCAAAAGTCAAGTTGCACCAGTGTCACTATGGTTGACCGAGATTCCGTCATTCATACTCCTCACCTAACAAGCCTTTAATTCTGAGATATCTAGAAGTAACGTGCTGGCAGGAAGGCCAAATCAGCCGTCTACACAGAACATCGTCCAACAAGAACCAATCATCTCAAAAGAACATGGCTCCCAGCTGGAAGTTCAAGCTGTGTAGCAGCTATTCATTGCATACTTGAGAGGAAATTGGCTCTTGACTCGCCCTTACGTTTATCTCCTTTGACGGCCGGGCGCCCAAGTTGACTCAACCGACTGGAAGCCTATGAAACGCCTGTCCTGGGTTCCTACCAACCCTTCCAGCCCCCTCAGACACGAACAATAACAATGAATCGATTGGCAACAGATGGGTTTTGTGATCCCAAGGTCCACAGGATGGTGTCGAGACCCTGCACACTGTTTGCAGAAAGTTTCGCCAACGCCGCTGCTCCTACATTGTTCCAAAGGCAACTTGTGGGTCCATACCGACGAACCAGTGAGGCGTGGCAACTGCTCTGAATATGCTTGCCAAATGATGTGGGTGGACTTTAGGAGAAAGCTACGGGAACAAAGGTCTTGCTGTGACCAATATCGCGAACCCTCGATGTGAGACAGAGTGAAGCGCCTGATTTTGGTACGCATGCATCATAAAACATATTCGCAGCTCGCAACAGCCTATGAATTGTCAGTGATTGCCAAACACGCAGAGGACGATGATCTAATATGCTGGTACGGGTAGGAATGCCAATCATTTCTGACGGCATGGGCTCCAACTGGAATCTCAGTGGGCAGGCAATGGGGTACAAAGGTGTCTCCTGAGCGGGCTGGGCCTCCCTCCCCGGCCACAGCTGACAAAAGGCAATGCGTAAGGAGGAGGGACTGGTCCACTCCTGCAAAAGCTTTCCAACAGTTGGAACTGGCTCATACACAAATTGTCGCTTCTGCGTCCAACAAGCCATGTGGAGAAGCGCTGACGAAGTATAGAGGCCAGCCTGAATCCAGCCTCACGATCTCCCATCTCTGACTCTTCCTAATTTCCAAACACTTGTACTGGTAGCATACTCCCTTTTGTTGCCCTTTGAGAATGTATGCAGCGGCCAAAAAAGCCGTCTTACTCGCTAGAGTCGTGGCTGATTACATCAGTCAAAAATTACGGTACGTTTCATCTGTGCTGGCGGCAATGTCAGATGGGTGTTCAAATACTGAGTCAAATTACAGGAGTGGACAAGAGAAAAAGGACACCAAGGACGACAACCCCGTACCAAACCCGTATGATATCTCGGATCTCGAGAAGTACCTTCGTCCTCTCCTCCAAATTTGGATTCTTATTGAGATTCTTTAGTCAAAAACACGACCAACGTCATGGAGAGGAGAACCGACATGAATTGAATTAGCACCCTCTCAAAGGAGTCTCAAGTCTTGGTGCCTATAAGACGCTGGTGATCTGGCCAAAACTGACGTTGCCCTCCGCCGTCAAATTCAATAGATACCATGCTTCTGGTCCATGTATCTTGAGCAATCAAATCTGCTGATAGATCTTTCTGAATCCGCATTGTGACTTTGAATTTCGATTCACCCTCCCTTGCGGAGCGCACCTCTTGCAAATTCGCGGCCTCCCCAATGTTGACGGGAATATCAAACACGTTGCCCCGGCAAGCGACCTGGAAGGAGACTCCTTTGACATAGTCCAAAGCACTCTCCATCTTGGCGCTTTTCTCGCACGGAAGCGGTGTCTTCGGTGGAACGAGTTCCAAGTAGCCATCGAAAGCTTGGATGCCATAAGATACTGGCGAACTTTCGTGAAGCTGTAGCCAAGCCAACGACTTTGTTGTCTCTGTTTGGGCCGGCGTGGCCGGAGCAGGCGCAGATGGCGCAGATGGCGTGCTGGTCGATATTTTCGCTCTTTGCAAGGGAATCATAGACCGGTGAACAGTGAGTGGTGGCCTCAAATCAAAGGGACATTTGGTATTAGGTCTTGGTAGATGTCGAGGAAGTATTGATCTCAGGATGCCAATGGATTGAATCATATCGTGACATAAAGTCTCCTCCCCAGGCTTCAGGTCAGATCATTAGGATAAAAAGAGGATTGCAAAGCAGAAATGGAGGCGGAGTGCGAGATGCAGGATGGCACCCATGGAAACATCATGTGCCTGTCAAGCTAGACCCGATTAGTGTCAGCTCAGGGAGCTTGCCCCGTGACTAGACCCCACGAATCACTGACGGCTTTCAAAAGCGGGCGTTTACTTGGCCGAGCTGCCTACGGAGTACGAGCAAATGTTTTGGGCAATGGATGTGCTGGCAGCATCAACACAGTATTCACCTTGTCCAGAAAGATACTCCTTAACTGCTGGCTCCGATCTGGGTTTGGGGGCGCCAGTCTACAGCACCGTCACCGAATCCAGCTACCCTCCTCGACCAATATCTTTCCCCCTCCAACAAACTTCGTGGCTTCACGACATGGGGCAGCTTCGTGACCTTCTCCGAAAACCGGCAAGCCGTGGACAGGGCCACTAAGCTGGAGTTTGGTGCACTCTATGGCGTGCTTCACCATTTCTGCAAAACAATTTTGGAGAGGTTCAATACGTTCTAAGTGGAATTCGCCAGGGGCGACTGCAGAAATGAGCTTGAGTAGGTCGCTTCAAAGGGAGCCACGGCCTGTTTTCGAAAGGAGTAGGCCTGAGACTGAAAGGCTTCGAACAGAGGAAAGAAAAGGCGACGCGAGATTCCTGAGATCCATGGACACGCCAGTTGCAGGAGCACTCAACAATGCTGGACTGGTACCTCACCGTCTTGCCTGAGCTGTAAGGCGTTTAACAGCTGCTACTTCATCTTCGTAGGCTTCTCTTTCCTTCTTCTATGCCCGCATCGATTGAGACCCCGTTACAGAAAATCTATTGCAAAAGCCCCGTCACAAAAGCCCGTCAGATCCGCCGCCGACCACAACCATGCCCGCATTGCCTGACACCTCGGTACAAAAGCCTGCTAGATCCGACTGTCAGGTGTGTCGACCAACCCTGCACGTTTCCGACTTTCGTAAATCCAATCGCAGCATCTCATGACTCCCTGTAATCGAAGGTCTCTCTTGAGTAGCGCTCGGAGTCCGTCCCAATCGAAGGATGTCTTTTGAGGATTGTCAATATCGAGAAAGTCGGCCAGTTGAAATTGAGGATCGTCTGTTGGAGGTATAATAGACATTCGACTTCCCTTTCGTCTTGGTTGCCCAGTTCGAGGGTCACAAGTCCAAATCTCCAGAAATACTTCTGAGATCTGTCCTACCCATTGATATCCTTTGTACTCCACTGGACCATATTCTCCCTGAAGAGAGAAATCCTTTTTCCTAACTTGAGATCTATCCTCAGGTATATTGAGTTTTGAACAAAGATCCAAATCGAAATCAAGTGGACAACGATATGTTGGGGTTTCCACAATGTTGATGAGAACGACCATTGAACATGTCGAACCGAGGAGCCAGTGTCGAATATCTTCTCGAATATTGTTGTATTCTTCAGAGAAGCCAATCTCAAGAATCCATTTAAGCTCATCTTCATCAGTATCGTTATTTGTCATAAAGATTCCGAGATCTGGGACTTTGCTTGAACCTTCATATTCTCCTCCAAATTGATTGAGTTTGACATTTGTCTGGAATCGAATTCTTTTGTGATCATGTTCAGGAAGGGCTCGATCAAATAGAAGAATAAAGTACTTTTCAAGAGATTTGATAATAGTTTCGTGTAAACAAGAAGTCATGGTGTCGATTTTGAGAGTCGATATAGCGGAGTTGTAATGAAACCGGGGCCCCCACCTGTAAATAGTACTCAGTTAACGTTAGAAGAGAGAGGGATAAACAGAAAACGTACCTTTCCGTCCTCGGGCCGTTAAGATCGAATTCTTCCTGTATCTTTGACCACTCAAGCTCAGATATCCTACAGAGAAAGGTCTTGTCGAGGTAGTAGTCTCTGGCTCTCGATTGAGGGTCGTAGAATTGCTGTAGATATGCACGCGCTTGTTCAATTCCAGAACACTGTTGAGCTGCTGAGAGTTGTTAACGAGTAGAATAGAAGAGCGGAGATATTCTGACCATATTGCTGAGATATAGGCGAGCCCGAGCTGTCCACGCCGTCTGAATCCATGTTTTGAGACATTCAATGAAGCTGAAAGATATTATGATGGTGAGCTCAAGTCTCGCCTTCCGACAAGAGACAAGAGACAAGTCCCACCCTTGGACGAGAGAGAGAGACGAGAGGGGGACGAAAGAGAGACAAAGGACAAGAGCCAAGAGACAAGTCTTATTCTCGGGCGAGAGATTACCCTTGGATGAGAGAGACAAGAGACAAAGGGTAAGCTCAGAGATGGGATGAAAAGGGTAAGATAACAAAGGACAAAGGACGCGCTCAGTGAGTTACTTATAGCTCTGGGGGGTCCGAGCGCTTGGCGGAATGTTGCGACATTCCTTCATTCCTTCATTCCTTCATGCCGACTCACTTCAAGAGACTCTATCCATTTCCACCTTTGGGCCTGAGAACGACCTGAGGCTCGCCGCTTCAACCTGGGCATGCCCGGCATGTGACTGATATCGTGTCAATTCGGCCCGAGCAACGGATCAATCGTGCCCATATCTGGGCCAGAGCCCTGTTACCGGCACCCGCCAATTGCCAATTTACCTTCAACTGTGCCCTGCGTGTGACTTAGCAACCACTTTCAGTTCTGTTTCTGGTAACACATACGCGTCCCATGCCTACGACGGAAGAGTGTTCATGCGAACATGGTTGCACCGACTGAATTCTGCCTACGTGGAAGGTCTCTTAGGAGTGTCCGCTAGCTAAATGCTGATGTCTTCCTTCCCCGTTTCAGATGTACGCGGTTTGTTGGTCGTTTCACAAAAGACCTTCATCGACGACGAGACGATGAATGGGTCGCTGCTTCTTCGAGCCGGTCATCTCTCTCGCCTTCCACCGAAGCCGTCTGCCCGAGTACCGCTGCGGTGTTTAGATGATTGCCAGTGCTGGTGTCACCTACCGTGTAGTTCTTCGCTCCCTGCCAGTCATTTCCGACTGCTTAGGGCACTTCTTTCTCGGTTGCTCCAATTTACCTTGGTATCTCTCCAGCTTCGTCTCGTGCAGCGAGCAGACTTGCCGACGCAGCTATCGCCCGGCAGAGGCTTATTTTCGATACCTCGCACCACCTTGGTCGGCCAGTCCTTCAGCCACTGGCACCGACCCACCAGCATTTAGTTTTTTGTTTTCTCGAGAAATACCGCTATATACCATATTCTTACATATTCCAGTAATTCCTTCCCGCGTCGGCAACCAGCTCTCAATTTGATCAGCCGGCAACGGAATATCCCCGGGTTAGTCGGGGCTGCGCGGTTGCGGTCCCGACCCAAGAGAGAGATGTTCATTCACCAAAGTAGTGACCCAAGTTGAATATCATAATACTCAGCGGCGAATCTTGACCTCTCCCAAATCTATTTCCGTTTCAAGATCCGAGTATCTCGCCATTTGCACTGGTACGGTCGTGCACGGTCTTTGCTACTGCAGAGCATTGACCCACGTTACGTTTCGTTCTGCTGGCTTACCATCCACTCCACCTTCCATAGCCGCAACAACGCACCCTCGCTATTGCTGCCTCGAATAATACGCGTTGAGCTTACTGATTGTCCTATGAAGCCAGTCCACTTATCATGGTTGCAGGTAAACGACCTCGGTCGACCAACGACGATGACACGCCTGAACCCAAACAGAAAGCTCAAAAACATGAGGAACCGGTTAGCTCTGCCGCTCAGCTCAACGAGAGGCTTTTCAAGAAGATGGGAAGGGAGCGTTGAAAAAATCCCACTGTTGACCTTACGACCATCTTTCCCTCGAGATATTCGGAGCGTCTTGCGGAGCGTCTTCCGAAGGACTGCTCAGAACCTAAATGCGCAGAGATCGACCAAACGGATGATGCAACGATCGATAACCTCTCGAACTCACGACATCGTTCTCAAGTCTTTAGCAGCACTGGCAACTCCAACTCTCCTAACTTTTTGGCCTTTCATTTGACATTCATGTTAGACAATGGAACTGCTGGTTATGCTGCGCCGGACGGAGCGAATGCTGCAACCTCTCCCAAGCAACATGATATTCGTTTCCTCATACACCCTTCAGACCAATTGGGGATCCTCGAGCCACCCTCGGCTGCTGTTCAAGACTTGATATCAAGCAAAACGGTGACACCCACTTGCCTCACGAACTGCGATAAAGATTCTCACTTCAATGCGGGTCTCATCACGATTCTTTGAGAGGGGGAGTTGTCGGCAAGAGCCCTGTTCCATCCAGGAGATTGGTGGTGAAAGGCAATGCCCACACAGTTGCAAAGCTTGTGTGGGGAGCAGAAGATCTCACAGAGCACACCACACTCCGATATCTGCAGCAACACGAATGTTCTGTTCGCGAGCAATTGGACGCCATTTTTGTTGACCTCAGAACATTGCAGTTCCCGAACGGCGCCTCACTAGATGGTGTTAGTGGGCAGGGCTGCAAAGATCAGAGGAGACATTTACGTCGCAGCTCTGAGCGGCTTTGGAACGTCGAAGAATTTCTGGATTTTCAATTTTCGAATCCCAAGTATGGAAGTTCAACATTTCTCGAATTTCTGCGCGCGTTTACTCAGGTGGGAACTCACCAGATCGTTTTTACACACGGCGACTTTCGACCAGAAAATGTCCTTGTTCAAGTGACAGAAGACCAAAAATTCACGGTCACAGGCCTCATCGATTGGGAAGACAGTGGCTTCTATCCCGAGTATTATGAGTCAACGAAATCAACGAACTGCTTGAGCACGATCGAAGAATGGGACTGGTGGAGATAGCTTCCTTCTTGCATTGCACCTGAAAAGTCTCCTGTGGAGTGGCTACTGGACTATGTCTGGGGCCGGCATCTTGAATGAGATCAAGGTCTCTTCTGCCCTTAAACCATGGCGCCACGCTTTCTCTTTAGCTCCCACTTGGCCTTCCTGTATACCTCATTGTCATCATTGACAAGGCATTCCTTCTCCAATTCTTCGAGCATATCCAGCACATACTCCTGACAATACCACTCCAGCGTTTCGTTGTCGACCGCTGTTCTTTGCGCAACCCGCTCCACTTCGGCGATGTCGTCTGAGTTGATTGAGTCCAGAAAGATCAATTTGCGGAAGGATTGCGACTTTCATGGGCTAGCATTCACCACATTGCGTTTGAAATCTGGATGACCGCTCGTAACTTCGAATATGTAGTCTTCATAGCGTGGACGACAGAATGCGACGTATAGTTTCGGAGGTCCCATAACAATTGGATACTGGCATTCAATGGCGTTCAATGGCTTTCGAGAGAGATACAGACAAATGGGCAGCTACGCTCAGAAAATTTCCTTTGTCTTCAGCTGCTATATGAACGAAAATCTTTCGAAAGAGCCAGGACACCTGAGGTCAATACAGGGTCACCCCTGCTCTGGATATCAATCTTTCAAGCAGAATGAACGAATCATTACCACCGGCCGAATACGAAGGCCGAGGGGAATGCAACCTTGAGAAGACCTCAGCATCTCGTTGCCCCCAGTGTCTCGTTGTCTCTACCCGGTCGCGTAGTGCCGGCTTTGCATTACCACTGCCTTGACAGGTTGTAAGTTACCAATCCTGGCTGCTTTCGTGCACGGCCAGCGTTACATTCCTTCATCAACTGCATAGTATAAAGGACGCATCACTTTATCTATTCCAAGATCAGGCGTCGAACATTTCCTCTACGGTCCAATGTTGATCTACTGTGCCCTCCCCTGCTTGCTGGATCTTGAGCTGCACAAATGGTTCGAGGTCGTCTCGCTCTTGCTGGTTCAAGAGTTGAATTCGATCTTTGATTGAGGTGAATGGGCCGTAATAGGCAGGGTCGATAAATCTCCAGTAAATATCGTCAAACGCGTAGCTGGACGTGGCGGCAAGACAGAACCAAAAATGACCATTGGAAACTGACTCCGACATCCTGGTGGAGAGGCACTGGCTCTCCAGCAGTTTCCCTTGATGGATAAGGTCATGCTCTTCCTCACGTAGGACTTGTATGAATAATTTGTGTCGTGGGAGATATTGCTCAAAAAAGTTGCCCAAATCACGGTCCCAATCTTCTGGATGCTTGAGAAGGAGCCACCATGGCGAGCAATACGTGAATTCGACAGGGGCGGCATAGCAGTATTCCCAGTCAATGACGCTGCGAATATTCATCTCGTCATCCACGAGGACATTCGAAGGCCGCAAATCGTCGCAATACAATGGAAAAGGCCGGTGATTGTCTTGGACTGAGAAATTTTGGGCAATTTTGGAAAACAGACATCGGGACACGTACTTTTTCCGAGCATCCGTCTCGTCGTCAATCGCATCGTTACGTTGAGTTTTGAGATGTGTCAGGTGAATTTCGGCCAGACAGGCGAAATATTCGTTTGCCGTTGCAAAGGCCTTCTGGGGCAGTGCTTTCACTGGGAAGTTCCCGCATGAGACAATCTGATTCATGTTGATGGTGATTGGTCTCTTTGTCACACACCACTGCTTGGATTCATTTCGCCCTACGGCTCCGATGTGGGCAAATCGACATTTGGAAAGCTCGATCAAGATTTTAGCCATGCTGCGATAGGCTTGAGCCAAAGTAGTCATGTTGACGTTCGGGTCCAATCCTCCTGGTCCGCCGAGCTGTGGTTTGGTCTCGAGATAGTCCGACAAGTCTTTGCCGTCTGCACGAGCCATAACGAGGTACGGCCCGACCTCGCAGCTTTTGGCGGCGATGAGTCTAGGAATCGGGATCGCCGTGTGTCGAGAAAGGTATTGCATTATCATGCATTCGTCATTTGTCTTTTCGTGGCGGAATGCGCTTTTGCCCAAGATCGGGAATCGATAAATACCTCCAAACTTGTCTACTTTGTAGACAATATTGAAGGCACCCATGCCAACAAACTCGGCTTCGGCTTCCACCCCGGCATGATCTGCAACTTCTGCGATTATCCCAGGGATTGCGTCCCTTAGCTTCTGATTCCATGCACAAGTGAGCGCCATGGAGTTTTCGTATACTTTATCGTCGTGGTACATCCTTTCCTATATTCAAAAACAAGACGAGATTAGTATGGTGTAAGTGAGTCAACGTTTTGGGTCGGGTCTGGGTGGAAAGAGGTATAATTGAGAGGGGCAGTCTACCATGATAGATAACAAAGGATGCTTCGATCAATTTGGCGGTGTGACCAACCTTAGAGTAGTTTGGCGCTTCCGCGCGGGAGCGTCGTCGACACTATCCGCTTACTGGAAATTGTGCCGCCACATTGTTCGCATTGACTCTCTCCTGGGATGGACGACTCTCGTAGTCGTAGTAGTTGCTAAAGGTATAGGAATGGTCGCGAAGAGCGTGGACAACGTCACGCATTAGATAGCATTACCACGACCGAAAGGGGAAACTTATTGTGGTAGGCCAACGGCCCTTTCGAGAAGGCAAAAAGAAAGAAGTTGCGCCACCCACCGCCACCACCGCCCCAGGCCGCCTACCCACCCGCCGGCCCGGAGCATCCCGCCTGGCCGCAAACCTAGAGACAGGGTAGAAGAAGACCTGCTGGTGTTACTGAACCAGGCTAAACGCATTAGCGCTGGCGTTCGTCGGATGTACACACACAATTTGTTACGCCTTTTTTCCCCCGTTCGTCGGTTAAAGGGGCTGAAATTTAGGCAGTAGACTATAGTAGTAGACCAAGTTTTTGTCTGCAGCGAGAGCCCTTCCCCTGGTTTAGGAAAGCTATATCAGAGAAGCCCAAGATAAGTCACTGCTTGAGCTACAGTCCAGGACGTGAGCCGTGGAGGGAGTGCTTGCCCGCTGTTGGTGCTAAAGTATGGGGTTTCTGGAAGACTACGACTGCTGCAGGGCAGGAAGTTGACGCAGGAGTTCGACGGCTGAGGACGGGGATTGTGGAGAACGGGGGAACGGGACCTTTTGCATAATGGACGCCATGTAAGTCCAGAGACCGAATGGTTGGCGAAAAAAAAAGCTATGGATTGTTTGGGAAGAACTGACATATTAGCCTTCGAGCGGCATTGCTTCCCGCCTTCAACTTCAAGTTCCAACCATGCCTCAAGCGTGGCTTTTACCAATTTCCGCTACCAAGTAAAGCTTTTGAGCCTTACCAACTTCAAACAGACCCCAGTCGCGCGGCTGCATAAATGACGGGATATCCTTGACACCGGCTTTGGTCACACCCAATGAGGATTCGAGTTCTATCAGCTCTTCGGAAGAGAGGCAGACTTCATCGAGATTTTCAAGGCCAGAATTCTCCCGAAGTCTGTTGTTCCCAGCCGTCTGAGAAATCTATCGAATTGCATCATGTTGCTGGCAAGATCATTCCGCCCTGAGTCTCCTCTCGTTGATCGTTTCCTCCCATTCGTACGACATTATATCCTATTGATAGACTGATTAACATGATAACTGCACGAACATCCGCCATGGCATACCTTCAAGACCAGAAACAAACTACTATCAACACAGCCAAGTTCAGAATCGGCATCCAACACCCAGACGGCTCTGCAGATCTCAAAGAGCCCGCCTCTTACACCGAGAACACACACAACCCCTATGACCCACAATCTCCCATCATCCACCACAACTCGTCAGGCCGTGAAGAATTTTGGAGGTACAAACAGACCGATGTAATCAAAGTCTATCATGAGACAAGAAAGGGTACGAAGTGCAAGGCGAAGAAGAAGACAGAGCAGGATGTGAAGGAGGAAGCGAAATAGCGTGGTGGACTGTGCTGCTCTCGCGTTCCGGTCTTTGACTTCAACGTCTTCGAATGAATCGAAGACACGATTTGGAGGTACATGGTTTCCTTCGACGTCTTCCAGAGATTGTACAGCATTCGAGGATCCTTACATGCCGTCGTATCCTTCGACATAGGCATGCTGTCCATAATATTGTCCACTGAGCTGCTTGACTGAGGTGATAGGGTCTACTTGTGAGCTGTCGCAGGCAGACTCAGTACCGCAGCCGCAAGATTTGGGGCCTGATCGATGACTCGAACCGTCAAGAAGGGCCTGGTCAACGGCGGTTTGCATCTTAACCAAGGAATTGCGAATGCTGATTATTATCATTTCGAACATGTTCGATTATCTGCGTCAGAGTGCTGATTTGTTTCTGGCTGTCACCAGCCTCGAGACTGCAGAGACACTGCTCAAGATAGGAAATTCGATTTTTGGATTCTCTCATGTAGCTCGTTGGTCTTCTTCTCGGCTCGGCTGTTGTTGATATCTTGCCCATGCAGTCCAAGGGACTTTGGAATAGCTACTTTCATCGGTACAACAAATGTGAAACAATTTCAGTAGTCAAGGTGCGTTGGCTGCTAATGTGTTACCCCATGGAGGTCTACTGGCCACTGTCATCGCCCTGCAGCGCTCTTCGGAAGGGTGTCCACCTCTGGCATTGCTACTGGTGGCAGCATTGATGGGAAAGCAATCTGCACCCACCTTGGCTCACACCGCAAACAATGAGACTCTTCCAGAAGCACTACCTGAGGCCTGGTCAACTCTCCACCCGTGTCTACTTCGACTGTCGCTCCAAGCATCATCTCGTCGACGGCAACCAGGTTCCCCGGTCGTCATGCCTTGAGCACTGTATGATCATGAAAGTCGCCGCTTCGGCTCAGGCCGTCCGAATGTGGTATGCTCCCTTTTCCAACGCCTCGAGCGCCGCCCGCAGGGTGGCCCAGACACGCCACAGGTTTGAGGTTCCGTGGCAAATAAAGAACGCGACCGGATGGAAAAGACATCTGATGCGGCCGGCGGTCGCGCCCAGCTTTTCGGCACAGTTTCAGCTGGCTGAGAAGTCCGGACATGTCGCGATAGGGGGTTTGCCCAGTCACGTGTTGCTGCCTCACTCCTGGCGCTGCCTAGTTTTCATGTTTGTCATCGTCATAGATTTTCAGTTCGATCTCCATCCGAGAGTATGTCGGAAATGACCACCGATGGCACAGGGTAACTTGATTCTGCCTTGATCGGCGGTGGCCATCTAGAGCTTGCGAAGTAGTAAACGCAACGGAAGTTGCGTCAGAATACTTGGGCGAGTCGCATTTCCAATGATGGGGCACCAAGTTCCGACCATATTTTCGTGTGCAACCCTCACATAAGGGCCGACGGCCAGTGGTGATTGATAAGAGACTCCGTCACTCGTGTCGTAAAAGTGGAAGTTCCCCAGCTCGGCCAATCGTATGGACAACCACATATCATACAAACCTTGAGCCTGCGAATTCGGGCTGCAAGGTTGCAGTTTGAGAATGTTGAGACTGCGGCTAAATGGGAACTGCGCGCTGCATAAGGTCTGGAATATTCTCGAAACTTTTGCGCACTGGTTGTGTGTCTCAACATCGCAGTATTTGAGGATGTTCGCATAGATTTCGGTGGGAAGGCGTCCTCGGCCAAAACGAGAGACATTTCGGCGTGACGCGATGGTGACGAAATCCTGCAGGGCCACGAATCCCGAGTGAGCCGAAAGCAGGCGGTCGACGGTTGAACAATCGTCGGTACCATCCGACTCGTCATGTGAACGTTGCTCTTCAAAATCCATCCCACAGATAGGAATGATGTCGGAGCGTCTAATCACAGCAACAGGAGCGTGGCAAACCTCCAGCAAAACTGCATTCTGAATGGAAAAGATCACAATCTGAAAGTCGTCCGTCCTGATGGCTCGACCGAACGAGACTGCTTTGCCGATGACCGCTTCTAGGTCGAGATCGAAGGCGTTGTCGGGTATCAAACTGATAAGCACGCCATGGAACCAAAAGACGAGCTCAGAAGGAGATGAACCTGGTTCCTCAGATTCCATATGGCATCCTGCACCAAATATCGGCATGAAAGAGTTGTCGCCTTCATCGTTCACATCCACAAGGAAGCCCGTAGATTCCTCCCGGGCATAATCACCGATATACCCGGCCGGCTCGTCGAAGTAAAAGTTGCCCGTGGCCAGAGATAAAACGGCGTAGGCCACTTCACGGAAAGCAAAACTATCATGAGGGGTGGCAGGGAGATAATCCAGTAATTCAGAGGCCATGAAATGATGAAAAATGGCGAGCGTGAAAAGTTGCCGCAGAGGTAAAGAGTCGTCGATCCGTCTTGGATTCACCCATGACACGGCATGCCGTTGGTAGACAGAAACATAGCAGTCCAGCCGCTGATTGCCGTTGGCGAAATATCGTGGCTGGCTCATTTCATCCGAAGCCTCCGGGCCGAGTGTGAAAGAGAATTCGTCGATCTGTCCTGCAGAACTAAAGGCTTCAGTCCAACGATGGCGGGGAATGTTGCAGAGATCGAAGATGATCCAGTTGTTTATCACGAAACGTTGGCTGTCCAGATCAACAAGGTATGTCCAGTCAGCCGCAATACCCCGGGAGTCCCAAACGGCCGTCGGTAACTCGTGAAGCTGCCAGTCGAGTGGTTTCCAAGGAGGCAAGGTGTGAACGGCGCACTGATCGCGATCGCGCTGTTCCTGGTCGACGAATAGTTGCATCCGTTTGGGAGAGACTGTCAGAACTTTGCTCTCTAGTTGTTGGCTGAGTTTCTCATAGCGAGTGCGCTCCCTCTCTAACCAGACTATCGTTGACAGAAGTCAGCATTGAGGACTTCCTTGGGCAGGAACAAGTAATGGTCACTTACTCGAGTACCGTCCAAGCTCCTGTGGTATTTTGCTCACGATATGCTTCCCCAGGCCCGTTGGGTAGCCTTCGGAACGGCTGTAGTAAACAAAATAACGCCCTTTGTGGAGCACCATTCGCACGGCTCGGGTGTCTATGACGACGAAAATCAGCTGCGACATCATCAAGACCAAAACTCCCAGAAGGATGGTGGTTCCAAGAGGAACGACAATGGCGACTGTAGGACTCTAGCGATGAGGACTTCCGCACAGCGGGAAGTCGTAAAGCGATTCAGGGTGTAACCTCGAACAGGAGATTAGCGACCACCAGCAAAACACTCTCAGTCGGGAGGACCATTGAGTTTGGACAAAGACCATTGCATTTTCGAGTTTGAGGGCTAGACCCAGGTTGGGAACATTCGAAAGTGCCTTGCCAAGTGGCGAGGTCGATATCCTCGGTAATGTCTAGGGATTCTTTTAACCATTTCCATACGTGTCAGTCGGATTGTAGTTCGAGACTGGTCCAATACAATCAATAGCTCTCTAGCCAACGGGCGTATCAGCAAGGTTTACCTTGATCCATTCTCTGGCCCCTTCATCTTTCGATCGCAGCACAGGCGAATTTCAAATGCAGAGCCCTGCATGAACGAGCTTCGTCTCTGGGTGGGACGCCTAGAATGTCCTGTGCCAACCTTGTATTTCAGAAGAGGATGGTCCGGACTCAGAGGCTAGACTGGGCAGGGCATCACTTCGACATCACCGCGCTGGCGAACATGTGGACGGAACGAAGGCAGTGGACTGGAAAGGTGTGAGTGACGAAGTGGCCAGGGAGCTTGCTGCCATCAGGGCCAAGAGAGTACGAGCCTGATTGGCGCAGGATCATCTGCCAGAACGTGTGATGAATGTCAACTGCTGATGCGGAGCTGTACTATTGGACAGGGGCAATGTCAGCACACCCACCCGAACCAATATTTGGTGACAGGCTTTGGTCCGAAAATGGTGACTTGCCAACTTTCTGAACAGGCCAAATCAAAGGTACCAGCATCGGCGAAGCGTCTGAAAGACGTTGTGCTTGAATCCCCGCAAGCTCACACATGGGAACCACTAGTCTCCGGACAGCTGAAAGTGGCACTATTTGTCTTGGGGCAGTCGAAGCGTGCATCAAGGCGCATGGGATCCAGCAAGGTTACATGGCGTAGATCTTGATGACAGTACACACCTTCTTTGCAGCAAATCACGGGGCATTTGCCTCTGGGAGTGGCCAGTGTAGAAGACGCCCGTTCGAATCCTGATTAGTATCAAGCACATTTGTTGGAAGTCTCCCGTGCTCAATAGTCACAAGCAGCGTAAGTAAGAGACCGTGAGGAGGTGGGCGAAGCTTTTGAGCTTAGGCATTGATGAACACTGTATCTTGGTATAGTTTCTCCTTTCTTCCTTGAGGAGAGAGAAGTGCTGGGTAAGCTGGCTCCACCGCAGCTGCGTCTTGCCCTCTGCGGCCATCTGCTTGCTGGGGGGAGATCACTCGGTTTGGCCGGATGGCGTCGTATTCTGGTTGCTTTATCATCCAGTTGGGCACGGAGGCCGCGAGCTGGGCTGGGCCTGGTTCGATTCCTTGTTCAAACAGCGGCCGGTCATCGCGCGTCCGTTACATCATCGACGTGTTCCCGTCAAATCACACCCTGCTGCTCATGGGTCTGTCAGTGATTCTTGCAGCCTACGTGCGAGCCAAGTCAGCGTGCAGGAAACGCACAACGCATACATGGGCAGGCAGAGCGACAAACTGAGGGGATTGCTTTCCATCTACCCGATCTCTACTATATGCATTGGTTTGCTATCACATACATATCTATAACAGACAGGTTTCTCTGGGAACAGACACTTGAGTGTGCCCTCATACTTCCAAACAGCAAACTACCAAGTCTAGATTAAGTCATATGCCACATGCCTGCTTTGGATGTATACTAACATTAAGCAGGCTTCGTTACCTCGCCCATCACCAAGTTGCCCTTCCATACTACCTTTGACCGGTCACCGAGTATACCTCATTATGTGTTCTTACGGCACAACCTATGCTGTTCAAAGTAACTGCACAAGGGAGACACAACATAAGATAGAGACACGACTACGCAAGAGATGTGTCAAGTCGCCAAAGCCAGGCCCTCCTTGTGACAAGCCCACCTACGACCCGCGTCTGGATCTGGGCCCTTCTAGAAAAGGAGGACGATGCCCAGCATGTCGGGATTCAGGGATATCAGTTGAAATCTATCACGTTAAATGGGTAAGCTTGACCGTACTCTTATCAAACATATATGAGCTCTGATATCGATGAATGATAGGCGGATCTATGCGACTAGGCTCCGTCACTTATGAGGAATCAAGCCTGAGCAGAACTTGGGCGAAGGTCACGGCAAACAAGTTGTGTTAAACCATGCCCTTGTTGTTAGCCCAGACATGCCCTCGACGCTCTCTCGAAGCCTTTCCAGGCATCGACGACGGCGTCGCCGAGGGCATCGCCAGCACTCCTTTTCTCTTTACGCTCTTGTTTCCACTCTTCACGTTGTACTATTGTTTACAACTGAGACAATCCCTTAGCAATTCCACAGGCAGTCTGCACCGAGAAATCTCTGCAGGGCGTCGCCGTCGCCACTCGACGTCTAGATCTGTTGTAAACACGCGTTAGCACTCTCTTATAACGCATTTATGTAGCCCTCTTGGCTAGCCATGGGTAAGAGAGGACAGACTTCTCAATCAATTCAATTCTGACAGTGTTGTTGTGTTGCAATTACGTCGCGCAATTGTACCCTTTATCTCCGCACCCATCGCATGACAAGTTGAAATGATATGACGGGCAGATCGGAGATTTCCTTGACTATACTGGTTCGCATAACAATAGGTAGCTATGAAGTGATAGACGAGTATCGTCCTGTCCCGAAGTTCATGACTCCTCGTTCTATTTCACAAGTACAGAATGGCCGTGTGAAAACATTTCCAGCTCTCGAAGCACCTCACTCATAGAGGTGAAGTCATCATGCCAGCAGCTCTGCATTAACGGACCCAGAGGTAGAGATGTAACGTCGGGAAAGCAATTGTTTGCGTATAGCCGTTGAATATTCCGATCTGGGTTGTCTGATGCCTCGAGCTCATGGTGTGGTGGTCTTCCAGTCAGAACTTCGTAGATTGCACAACCAAATGCAAAAATGTCCGTGCGTCGACTCACGTTGGGTACTGGCGGTCGATAACTGAACCATTCGTAACAAGAATCTGCTGGTTCACCATCGATGCTGCAGCCTTCAAAGTCGATTAACTTCAGGCAACCTTCTCTTGTGATGATCATATTGTTACACCCGACGTCGCCGTGAACAATATCACAGGTATGTGCATAGCGATAACCTTCTGCAGCTTGCTTCAGCCAGCTCAATTTGGTCTGGATAGGAATCTCAGTTGCGGAGGGAGATTGACAGATTTTGCGAAGGACTTCGCCTCGTTCGAGCACAATGGAGCCATCTTTCTGGGCGCCCAGGAATTTTGCAATGTTGGGATGCGAGCCGAGGCGGCGATATGCTCGACGTTCAACCTCGCCGCCGTCACTCTCAAAATATTTCTTCACGACTCTTTTGTCATCCACCGCATAGACGAGTCCTGTTAGCCCGCCACTGAGGTATTCTAATCCTTTACTGGGGATCGAATCAACATCTGTGTTGCTTGGACGACGAAGTATTTTGAGGCATTTGGTGTATAGCGCTGAACAGAAGGCTTGAAGATGACGAAGTTTGAGACATTGGAGATTTGGCCATGTAGCCATCTTTTGTCAAACAGCTCCAGCGATGTGGGCGAGAAAGCTCACGTCCAGACTGGTGGTCGGGAGCAGCCAGGAGTGTGCTTCGTGTCATTGCAGTAAAGGGAGGGTTTTAGCCAGTCTTCCATGCCAAGCTCGGCGGTGACCTGATTATCTAAGCATCTATTTGTAGCCTGGCCACGTGACTAGCGTGCTGGGAGTTCACGCCGAGAGCCAAGGACGCCAGTTGGCTCGCTGGTTTCATCGACAAGTGCTCAACCTGGCGACAATTCGCAGCGCAGCCATCTTCTGACTGCATACGTCGCGGCTACATAATGAGATATAGATATCCCCAGGACTCTCTTCAACTTCTGATTAGCCATGACCGACCGCCATGTATCTGCAAGCGCCCGGCGCAGATCCCGGTCCTCCACCTCTTGCGGGATAAGTACGCGCTCTGCGCTGCCGACGACAGCAGTCTGCTAATCCTCCATAGAAAAGCAGACCACACACACACGCGAAGCGGAAGACCTCGAAGTTCGAAGAAGTCCACGTCTCAGCGCTACATCACGGCTTGAAAGTGCGAGCAAGAAACAAGAAGCGGCATCTTGCTTTCCTTCGGTGGGCGAACTCTCTAGGTATCTCTCCGGTTCCATTGTAGGCTGTTCACTGATCATGATCATGCTCCAGCAATCCACAACTTCCAATACATCTCTCAAACCTCCCTCGAAACGAAAGCGAGGCCAAGAAGCCCTGAATCCCTACAGTTCAGCGCAAGATCTGCCACCTGCGAAGCGGCCTCGAAACTCGGATCAAAGCGCGCCAGAAAGCCAGCCAGAAGAGGCTGAGGAGAAGTTCGTTACAAGCGCCGCTGGCCCGCTCAGTACCTGGTTACGGGACAAGCAGTGGCCTCGTGAGTACTTCGAACCAGACGATCAAATGAGACAAGAGCTTTTGGAACGCGACAGCTGGCTAGAGGAGATGATGGCACTGCCACCTATTCCCATCGTTCAATATGTGGAAAGAAATGGGTTCAGATATCCACTGCCTGTTCGAAAGATTCCTTCGCTCCGCCGGAAGGGATCAGATTCGAGCCTGAGCGAGTCTAGCAATCAGACCAGAAGGGAAAGCAAGAGCACGCCATACAAAGATCCACGTTATCGTACGATGCTTGAAACCAATGGAAGTTTCATGCGCGATTTCGACCATAACGTCCCTCAGGCTATCACGGACATCTGCCACCAGCTACTCGCTAGAGACCAGATTGTGCCTCAGGATTCCTTGTTCCGTGATGACCTGTTCGGCAGACTCTGCTGGAAAATACAAGACAGGAACGAAGCGATGGTTATCCAAGATGTCACTCGCTTGATTGTTCCATCGGCGATGAATCTGGCAATTTGCGGCGACACACATCTCGATGGCTTGATCGAAAGTGCAAATGAAGCCTGGACAGGTTGCATCCCTGTGGAGGGTCCCAGGCCACAACCGGACTATGCTGTTGGCTTCCGTCGATCCGCATTCACGGACACACAATTGAGAAAGCTCAGTCCACTTATTGGCAGCGTCTTCGATACCTCATTTTTTGTTGCAAACTTCCGAATGTACTTTCCATTTTTCACCTGCGAAGTCAAGTGCGGCATTTCGGCGCTTGACATTGCCGACCGGCAGAATGCTCACAGCATGACGATTGCTGTGAGAAGTGTCGTCGAGCTCTACAGAGCCGTGAAGCGAGAGAAGGAACTTGACCGAGAGATCCTCGCCTTTTCTGTCTCGCACGATCACCAATCAGTTCGCATATACGGCCACTACCCTGTCATCGATGGAGATAAAGTCACGTTTTACCGCCATCTCATCCATGGATTCATCTTCACGGCACTAGAAGGAAAGGCCAGGTGGACAGCCTACAAGTTTACCAGAAATGTCTACGATGTCTGGATGCTGACTCACCTCGAACGAATCTGCTCAGCTATCGACCAGCTGCCGTTGGGTCTTGACTTTGAAGTTCATGAAGTGCCTGAAGTGCAATCTGAAGAGGCAACTAGTCTTTCACAAGATATGGACAGCCTTCTCTCAGAAGCGTCAACCCTAGGATCTTGCTTCGCAGATAGGCGAGGGAGATGATGAGCTAAATCCCACTGTTGAGCAAATGGGCATCCCAGAAACCTCGGTCTCCAAAGAAGGGGGCCAAGGTGGCAGCCAAAAGGGCGAAGAAAAATCCCCAACCCAAATAGCAGACCAGGCAGTCGCAAAGAATGATAGATTGCCGAATGAGTGGGACAAGGCGTGAGTACTAATCTAGTGGGCGATTCGCGAAACGGGGCGGGCATCATCTCCTACTTGTACATAGTCTAGTCACACCTCCACATTTGCGGGGACGGCGCTTAAATCAGGCGATTCGACGTGCCTGATCTGTGCCTGCGTCTGGACCTGACCTCGGCATCTCCCATAAACATTTCCAAGGGATTGAGGACCTTTGGGCCACTGCCACGGTGTGATAAGCAGAGTGAGCTTGCCAAGGCGACCCCGAGCCGAAGTTGGGCCGGGCGTGAGCCAGCTTGGGCCAGCCGGAGGTGCCTGAGCAAAAGCGGCGCGAGGTTACGTGGGCTGTCGACAGACTCAGTGAGGTTCAGAGAGCCCCACACTGCCTGGAGGAGCCATTTGTAATACAGGGTGGTGGGTAATGGTGTAGGCGGATGTCTGACAGGAGGGCCATAGATGTGGGCGCAGGTTGGCAACAAGAGCGACAGTTCTTGTCTATCTGCGCCGCCGTAGCAAACTGTGCGCCGCCGTAGAAATCCCAGTCATAGGAATTCGCCGGGATTGACGAGACCATGACCATACCATGTAGCAACGATGAGAACACCACCACAGCACATATGAAATGGACGCCTCAGAACCGAATAACGTGGACACTGGTCCTTCACAGGAAGATTTACGCGACCATCCGTGCGAAAACCGCCCTAGATCCGCTCATGATGCCTCAGAACCATCTCACCATGACTTTTTTTGTTCGCCGACACCGACACCTTCTGTTCCTGACAAAGACAGTCCTGACAAAGACAATCCTGACAATAATGAGCTCGATGGTTTAGCCTCGACTCTTTCTTCATCACCGAGCATGGCCACGGCTGTCCTAGTGCGATCCGCACCTGAGCCGCCGGTTCCAAACCTACCCACACTCAGCCTAACCGGCAACGATCCACCACGAGACGAACCGGACGAGAATGAGGAAAAAGGCTACTATTATGGGCTTCCTTCACGTCCTCGCTTAATCGCTCGGTCCAGTACACAGCCATGGCAGCAGAGCTATATCCTTTCATTCCCTCGGCCAAAGACTCTCCAAGTCGTCGAGCGCAGCCATCCCATCGCTGAGGTATGGTGCACGGGGCTTTACAAAGAGATCGTCGAGGTTTTGAAGAATGTTTCATTTACAACTATCGATGTGGTCCGAATTGGTTATCCTCAAGCAGGTGAAGACGAGGAACTGCCTCCGGTGGTGCTCTGGATCGGCGTCCAACCGGGCAGTTTGTCTTCGCGTGTCGGAAACAAAATCGTCGAAGCCTGCGTAAGCTTCACCCTCATCTGCCCAACTCGATCCCATGAAAAATTAGAACTGACAAAGATCCGCAGGTTGAAATCTTGCGACAGTACCAGCTTGTCGATGTTCAATGTGAGATCAGAGAGTCGGAATATCGGCAGACCACATCGTCGCCCACATCGTCGCCCACATCGTCGCCCACATCGTCGCCCACATCGTCGCCCACATCGTCGCCCACATATCTGGCACCTGAAACAGCTACCTTGACGTCGGGATTCCCAGCTCAGCTAATCGCTTCGCCTGGTCACTCGATCAACCTCGAGGGTTCCACCGCTCACGGCAGTCTCGGCCCTTATCTCCGAGCTGGCAAAAGCAACCCAGATGCAGAGTGCGTATATGCTCTTACCTGCAGACACGTCGCCCTTGCTCTTACCGAACACGACAAAGACTTTGATTGCAAGCGTGCCGGCCAGCCGCGTAAGAACATCCTGCTTCCCTCAGACGCCACCGTGATTCAAGGCCTCAAGCACATCGACACCCACGAGGAGGTAAATCAAGCGATGAGACTCCGCCTTCGGGAGAAGTTGAAGGTCTCTCTGCCGGAGGAGAGGGAGAGACTAGAAGAGAGACTAGAGCGGCTCCGTCAAGAGACAACACTTCGAGAAACCGATCGAAAGCTCCTGTCCACTTGGGAACCGAAGGAGAATCGCGTGTTCGGCCACGTCGTGACTTCCCCCCCACTTCAGGTTGCGGATTCTATCGACCCATCGCGCCTTGGATCAGTTGTTGACTGGGCTTTGATAAAGGTCTACCCAGGAAAACACCCAGACGGGAAGGTGACGAATTGTATCAATTTCAACACCGAGGACAAAGATCGGCTGATAGACATGGCGTACCATCATCTTGAGCACCATCCAAACTCAGGACTCGATCAGCTTGACGAAGGGAGGCTGTGTCTTGGTCGATCAGTACCAGTCAATGAGCTACACTACCGCTTCAAACCAATTGAGTTGCTGCCGGAAAAGGAATCCCATCGCCTACTTGTGGGTATGAAAGGCGCATACAGTGGTTTGACATGTGGACAAGTCAACGGGGTGGACTCAGTCGTGTGGCACCAGCACATCAACAAAGGCACCATCAGCATGCTGTCTATGGAAGTATGTGTCCTTCCCTTCCCCAGAGCCAACGAAAAGGCTTTTTCTCATTTTGGAGACTCCGGTTCGGTTGTTTTCGATCTCGAGGGCAGGATTGTTGGAATTGTACACGGTGGCTCGGGTTCACTGCACAAGGTGTCAATTGACATTACGTATGTGTCTCCGATGGCGGGAATTCAACAGGGACTGAAAGAGCGTGGGTACAGCGTCGAAATCGCTTAGGCAAGCTGGGGGCTGCACTCGGCCTTCATTTCAGGTTTCAGGGGAGCTGCGTGCGGGACAACATTTTCTTGTTTTCCCATAAACTCCAAGTGTATTCTAGCTTCATCGCTGTCGGAGACTTTCCACTTCGGCTCTCCATGACTCTCGAGCGACGATAGGGATCTTCCGGCCTGGTCGTGATGGATTCACAAGAAGATCAGACGAGTTGACCAAACCAGATCCACGAGACTATATACACGGATGACTGGGAGCTTCGTTGTTTCTAAGGTGCCTCCTTTTATCGGCGTAACTTTCGTGGTGGGTAGACCTGGAACAAACGCTCGAGGAAACACCACAGTTGGCCCCATTGCCGCCTGTCTACAGGCACAGCAAGGCTGACGTTGTATAAGCTGCGTCGATTGTTGCCTATCCTGTTCAACACGAGATCCATCACGCTCATAAAGACCGACTCGCCTCTGGTAGGGTCGAGGAGGGAATATGCCGTAGTGAATTTCCAGGGAAGCCCCCCCTAGATCCTCTTTTTTGGGCCCTCGGTAAAACTTGACAGTCTAGAGGAGGGATGTTACCGCTAACTAGGACCTAACCGAGGTGTCATTTTCTTTACTCTTATACTAGCTGTCATTAGATCAAATTATTCAGCGCCAAGTCGAGACCAGTTTTGAGCCCGTGACTTTTTCCATGAAACCTCGAGGTTCTGGCGGGAAAACTGCGCCCTCTGTATGTTGTTGAGTACACACGTTTTCAATTGCTGCTTCACCTTTGGAGAGACAAAATTAATTCTAGCCTCATAATTTGACCCACTTGTAGATGTCTAGTCCAGATCTTACAGAACTGTACTCATCGTTCTCTTTCGCAAAAGCGGCCAGAACTAGCATTAATAGCGGCAATGAGCCCATTCGTAAGGAATAGGTCAACAGTGGCAGGCAGGGTTCGCAGAGTTAGCCGCCTCCAACCTGGCCTGCAGGCCGACCAACTTCAGCCTTACGGCGCGTTTGACAACATGTTTTTATCATTCTGTCTCAACTTGCGAGCTTCAGCTCTATCGAGAGCGCTTTCAACAGCCGCGGGACTGTCGCAGACGCCCAACGTGCGTGTCCATTCGTGTTAGGACATCTCAGCCTGATCTCTATTGATCGTGAGGTGCCGCCAAACTCCAGATCCTCCAGCCGATCAACACCAATTCCTCCTGCCTGATATCCTTCTCGATGCCTCTCTCTCACCGAGATCACACCGTGGCCTGTATCTGCCCCATGGGGGTGGAGCTGGCTCCCGTCGAAGCCATGCTGGAGGAAATACACCCCCTCCTACCAACCGTGCGCGAGCAGAATAGCTATACCTTGCGGAAACTGGGAGAACACAACGTAGTCGTTGCAGTGCTCCCAGTGGTTGGAAACAACGCGGCTGCGGTTGTCGCCGTGCAACTGCTGAACGATTTTCCTGCCATCCGCTTCGGCTTGCTCGTCGGCATTGGCGGAGGCGTACCTGATCCGGAGGAGGATGGTGATGATATTCGATTGGGAGACGTGGTGATTAGCAAGCCAACGTCCACTTTTGGTGGAGTGGTACAATATGACTTGGGTAAATACTCGACGAGTGGTGGCTTCGAACGGACCGGCACATTGAATAAGCCCCCTCTTCTCCTCCGAAATAGTGTGGAATCCCTGGTGGCTGCTCACCGAAGGAAAGGCTCACAAGTGGGACAATATCTCGCCGAGATGCTGCACAAGAATCCGGTCATGGAGGAAGAATACGCCCACCCTGGGGCACAACAAGATCAGCTGTTCCAAGCGGACTATCCTCATCCAGGCGGACCAAATTGCAAGAATTGTGACAAGCAACGGGTTGTTGACAGAGACGATCGCCGCAATACGAGCCCCAAGTTTCACTACGGTACCATCGGCTCGGCCAATACGGTGGTCAAGGATGCCGTATTACGGGAGGAGTTGAGACGAGTGTTGAAGATAAAGTGTGTGGAAATGGAAGTTGCCGGATTGATGGATTCGTTTCCGTGCCTGGTGATTCGTGGCATTTGCGACTATGCCGATTCACATAAGAACAAAAAGTGGCAGCCGTATGCGGCAGCAACGGCGGCAGCATATATGAAAGAACTGTTGTCGGCCATAGCGGCGCAGGAAGTGACCAAAATACCAAACGCAACCACCGTGGTGGAGATTTCACGTGAGTGACCTATTTATCCCTTGACAAGCGGCAGTGCAGAGCCCGTTACGCTTCCTGTGACAGGGAAACCATGACGCATCGGGAATGACTGGGAGAATAGTTGAGCTTCAAGACAGATAGGATTTGGAATTCTCAATCATATCCTGCCTACATTGATTCAATACTCTCCGCTCTTGCCCTGGCTCCACTGTCTTTCTGGACCAATTGCTAATTTGTACGTAGAGTATGACAAAGGATTGAACCTCTATGATGCTCCTGATATAGCTGAAAGACTCTTTATCGGACGAGGAGCCGAACTGGAGAAGATGCAGAAAGTCCTACAACCATCTAAAAGTGCCGACTTAACTCGAAAGGTGCTCATTCTGGGAGGGATGGGTGGCATCGGCAAAACGCAATTGACCCTCGCATACGCGTAGACAATATGGCACTTGCTATTCATCTATCTTCTGGTTAAATGCGACGTCCGAAGCAACTCTCAAAATCAGCGTGCGCCAGGTGGCAAATCGTATTTCGAGTCCAGCGACGGTCAACCAGCTTGATGATGACCAGATGTACACTGTCGTATCAAACTGGCTGTCTGAGCCAGATAACAATCGGTGGCTACTGATTTTCGATAATCACGACGAACCAACTCAATATCAGATTACCAAATATTATCCGGCCGTGGCTCACGGCTCTATTATCATCACTACTCGAACGCCAGAGGATCTTGTGGGCGAACAGATCAAAATCCAACATCTGACGGAAGAAGAGGATGGTTTACAAATACTTGCCTCTCGATCGGGTCGGCTAACCATCTCTTTCGGTAAAAGACCTTTTCCTAGACAACAGCTTCACTCGCTAATTATTTACTAGATCCGGGAAGTCTTCCGTTGGCTCGTCGACTCGACGGCTTACCACTCGCACTGGCCACCGCCGGCGCATTTCTCAAGCAAACGCCTGTCGACTGTACCACATATCTGCAGCGATATGAAGAAGTGTGGCAAGTGAGCCAGACACGGGTCAGCCAACTCCCTGAGTACCCTAGCCGCACCCTATACACGACATGGAGTTTATCACTGGCACAAATCGAGAACGAGATGCCTCTAGCTGCCCGACTGCTCGCTTTTCTGGCATATCTCGACCACCAGCACATCTGGTATGAGCTACTGAGCGGATGCAAAGACTCCAATCAGCCATCGTGGTTTCGAGAACTGACCAGTCAAAAGTTCGTATTTATAGAGGCGATGTTGGTCCTGACAAGATATTGCCTGGTGGAAACACATCACGAAACTGATTCTTACAGCCTTCACACATGTGTACATGACTGGACTCTGGATGGACTGAATCGCGAGGTTGACTGGAGCCAGCACTGGCTAGCATTCGATTGTGGCCAGCCACATTGGAGCTGACGACTGGGAGTATATGTCTGACAGTCGATATCAACTATTCGTTGGACACGCGATGCGGCTCGTCCATGGACGATTCGCTGTAGTGGCGGATCAGCAACATTCGATATCTAGACGCCTTGATCAGATCGATTACCTGGCACAATTGCTTCAAGGTCAAATCCAACTCGATTCAGCACAGCGAATGTATCTCCTGGCAGTAGCCGGGAGAGAAAAGGCGTTGGGTTGGGAGCACAAGTCAACGCTCAACACAGTCCACAACCTAGGGTCCTTGTATGCTGACCTCGGCCGACTGGAAGAGGCGGAGCAGATGTACTCGCGAGCGCTGGCCGGATTCGAGAAGGCGCTGGGTCGGGAGCACACGTCAACCCTTCTCACGACGATGCATACGGGAACTCTGTTGTGCCTGCAAGGTCATTTATCCATGACGGAGGGCATGTACCAACACACGATGTCCGGCCTCCAACGCTTGCTTGGACCGCATCACATCCATGTCCTTGGCACAGCTAACAATATGGCTAACCTCTACTCGAAGCAGCATAAATGGGATGAGGCGCAGGAAATGTATGTCCAAGTGGAAGCTGACATGAGTCGAACCCTAGGAAAAGATCATTACTTCATCTTCGGCGTGATCAACAATCATGGGCTTTTGTGTGCTGAACGAGGAGAGTTTGCAGCCGCCCGGCGAATGTATGAAGAAGCAGAATCTGGCTTTGAAAGATCGCTGGGATCCGATCATCCTCACACCAGGATGGTGTGCTATAACATAGAACAGCTGAACCTCTCAGAAGATGACCTATTCAGGCCGAATTGAGTTGCCGCTCTTGCGCTTGGGAATTGTGCACATAGTTATCTTACTAATAGTTGCTAGTCTCGGCTCGGAATACTTTCCACATTGGCGATCCAACCTCGCTCCCCAGAGTAAAACATGGACTGGAGAGGACTGGCGCCCTTAACATCCCAACGCAAGACGTACTTCATGTTTGATGGAAACACACCAAGTGCCTCTAGAGCCCGATCCGTCTTCCGACCTTGGCAGAACTCCCTCGTCGCCATCCATCAACAACACCCGCGTCCGTCGTTTCCTAGTCTTGCTTGCTGTACGGCTTCTCCGTCTCTCCCAAACGCCCTCCGTTATCCGACTTTATCCCTGGCTCTGCATCAAGTATGGCATATCTCGAAACCTCTCAGAAGCACGGACGCTCCAGTTTATTCAACAGCATACGTCGATCCCAACTCCCAAGGTGTCCTGCGCTTTCGAACGAAACGGAATTACGTACATCGTAATGAGAAGGCTTCGCGGGAGAAGCCTCGCGTCGACCTGGAAGAATCTATCAGATCCATCTAGGGAAAAGATACTGCACCGTCTACGAGAGTTAGTCCTCGAGATGCGATCTATACCAGCGCCAGGTAACGAAATAGCCAGTGTAGACGGAGGAACACTATGGGATTGCAGGTTACCGTGCGGACTGGACCGTTTTGGTCCATTCGCTAACACCGATGAATTTCACCGTTTCCTTCGTAATGGTATCGAGGAAGCCCCACCTGGATACCCAGACATCAAGGAAATGATTCAACTACAAAAGCAGGAGTGGGGTCGGCCTGTTTTAAGTCATGGTGACTTGAGCAGCTTGAATGTCTGGGTACATGGAGAGGATATAACAGGAATTATCGATTGGGAAACTGCTGGCTGGTGGCCTCCCTATTGGGAGTATACAACTGCACACCAAGTCAATCCAAGGAACATGTTTTGGGGTGAAAATATTGATAAATTCTTGGAGCCTTGGCCTGAAGCTCTCAAGATGGAGAAGATTAGGCAGAGATGGTGGGGAGAATTCTGACCGCTATGTCCTTCTCAACTTGCCGTATATCTCAAGAAGTTGTCTCCTTACGCTCCAGAAGGTCATATGTTGGGACTTTCTCTGGATTATATTTCGCCGATGAAAACCGACCGTCCGCTTTCTTTTGGTTACAGTAATCCATTGCAGTTTTGCGAACAGTATCCCACACTAGAACACTTGTTCCAAGAGCCTTTTTGTCCTTACTAACAAGCTCGAGGGCTTCCTTCAGCCACATAACGCAGTTCCAACCTTCCATGCCATCCCTCACAGGGGTTTGACGCAAGATCGCATCAAGTCGAGTTGAATCGTCAACCTTGCCAATCAAGATCCGCACTAGGAGCATACTTGTCGGTCGGAGTGACACAGATCTTTTCTCAAATTCCCAGTGTAAGATAAGGTAGCCTCTCTATTGAACATTATCTCTAGGAATAGTTCTCTCTTCTAAGGCGTTAAGAAGTCTTCTACAATTAACTTCTCGATATATTTCTACGTTAGTCTCTTCTCTCGGGGAATCTTAGAAAACTTAGGGATTAGCTATCGGTTAAACTTATCTCGAGGGACGTCTAACCCTTTAACGTAAGCCTCGTAGATTCACTTTTCTCTTTAATCTCTCTTTTCTAACGACGCCTTACTATCCCTAGAAGTATTAACTGAACGTATATTATTAGTCTTTCTTTTATATACTATTGCTACTTTTACGTATCTTACTAATTAAACCTTTATGTATAGGCTTATATATAGTTACTACGGCGATTATACTTTAGAGGCCCTTTACTAACGTAATCTTCTTTAATTATATATTTTCTATAATTAGATTATTTATACGAAGGTATAATTATCGTTTTAGTACGAACGCGTTTCCTCCACTACCTTCGTAATGGCCGTTAGTCTAAAATGTCTTACTCTACTCTCGAGTTCCCTATAAATCTTACTTATAGGATCGTTCCTCGATTACGAATCTACGTTAGTCTTTCTTCTCTTTTTACTCTCTTTAACTACGCGCCGATAAATAAAATAATCCCTTATATTATAAACGGGTTAAGGCAAACTCCTGTGGACTATCGTAAGACTACTATCTGACTTCTAATTGGGTAGGTTACTGTCGATGTCCATTAGATGATCTTGACACTTAAGACCACTTAAAGAACCGGCTAGGATTAGTTTGTTGATTCTCTCGTTGCACCTTCCGAAACAAGACCCCAGTCACTTTGCAGGCCCGACGGTTTTCTGAATGTAACAATCTCAATAATTCCACGTTGGAGCTCTTCGAATGTGTGACTGAGGCTGCCACGCTTGACTACTTTCCGATTGTTTTCACTGTGTACCTGCCCTTCGGCCAACATTGGCTTACGTTGACTCCTCGACATGCCGCCGCAGCCAGAGGATCAAACAAATGAGACAGAAGAGGGATGCAAATGGGAAGAACCGATACAAGAGCTTGAGGAAGAAGACGATGATATGCTGATACACGTGGAATGGGATCGGTTGAGAAAGGAATTTTGCGAGTATCTTGAAAATGAGACACCTGCCATCGAAGCAATCGTTGCTCAACATCTGAACTTGACATCACACCAGACATGTAGAGTTGCAGAAAGATCCCAGTGGCTGGATAAGGGGACATTCAACCTCTGTGTCCCTGTCTTCATCAACAACTGGCATGCGCGACGGGTCCTGATCAGGTGCCCTTTTCCTCACCGGCTGGGCGGTCTACACACGACTGCACTGATGGAAGAAAAGCTCCGTTGTGAGGCAGCTTCATTTGCTCACCTATCTCGGAATCACCCTCGCGTTCCCATTCCACATCTCTGGGGATTTGGACTCCCAGGCGGCCTACATGTGAGTAATGTCGGCATGGCTCTTTCGATTATGGATCAACTCACAGTTGATAGTTCTCACCTCTGGAGCACGCGCCCTGGTACCAGCGAGCTTCAACATGTCTGAAACATTGCTGGTCATGGATCATCCGAAGACCATACTTCCAGCCATTCGTTCCCTGTCAAAGCCATGTCTCATTGAAGAGCGGCTATTTGGTGATGCAGTTCTTCGAGGAAGAGCGAGGTCGAATGCTCTGTGCGGTAGAGCGACCCACCCCAGAACATCGGAGAACACTTTTCCGGAGTTTGCGAGGGATCCTTCTCGACTTGTCGCGCCCTCTATCCAGGATCGGCTCCTTCACGGTTCACGACTCCGGAGAAGTGAGTCTAAGCAATCGACCGTTGACAAGGGGCCTAGCTGTACTCGAAAATACAGGTATCCAGACGCAAATCCCCCGAGACTACTGTTACTCATCTACCGACTCGTACCTCCTTGACCTCCTAGACTGCCACGATCAGCGGTTGATACATCAACCAAATGCGGCCCGAAGTAAACTCGACTTGGAAGGTCAGATGGCTACCATTGTCGCTCTACGGGCACTGTACTCGAGATTCAGGAATACGCCATTACAGCGAAAGCCGCCCATCTTCCAATTCACGGATTTGCACGAAAGCAATTTCTTTGTGGACGAAAAATACCACATCACAGGTATTGTGGACATTGAGTGGAGCTGTGTTTTGCCCATGGAAATGCAACATCCACCCTTCTGGCTCTCTGGACACGAGCTCGATGATCTTGATGGAGAAGGGACAAGAGAGAACGAACAAAACTTCGAGAGAGCCTGTGAAGAATTCCTTCAGATCCTCGAAGAAGAAGATGAGGGGGAAACATTCTCAATTCGTCCTCGTGACTATGCTCAAGCAATGAGAGACTCTCTTCGGAGAAAACAGCACTGGTACGTGACCGCAATAAAAATCCCGCGGATCGCGTACAATTTATTCATCCACAAAATCCAACCTCTTTTTGCGTTTGCTCACTCGGAAGAGGACGCCGGTATATTCCAGGATGTTGTGGCCAGATACTGGAGAGTTGACACTGTGGGATTTGTCGAGCAAAAACGCCGCGACTGGAGCGACTATCTCAGTCAGTTGCGATCTATACAAGGTCCATCAATAAGCACACCAGTCTGAGTCCTTTTCCCTAATTCTCAGATTCGGCCTCCTTGTTGCGCGGGGCTTTGTTCGCTTCGCGTTTCTTCTTAGCCTCGTCGGATGTTCTGAACAAAAGTTTGTCTGTCCCAGGGGGTTGGGGCTTGTTTTCTTTACTGGTGGCGATCGTGGCGGTCTCGCCTGACCCACTGTGACCGGAATAAGTCGACGACGTGACGGACTCGCGATCATCTGCCATGTTCAGCAAGATGGGATGGTCTGTGATGGTGGGAACTAGGTAAAGATGGGATGTGGAAATACTTTGGTGGACCGGATGATAGATAAAAACTCACATCAAAAGTAAAACAGCAGAGTGTGCATATGTCCTTTTATAAACCCCGTTCGAGTTGCCGACGCGAGGAAGGAGGAAGGTAATCTGCTGATTGGCGGCCCTGTTTGGCACAAATACTGCGAGGCGGTGTAATTATCGCTGTTTGCTGTGATCGCTGCTGGGACTGGGTGTATGCAACCTGCATGCAAATGAATGGAACTGCCAATACGCCCACTGCTTCGTCTGTGGCCGGCAGGTTATTTTTGTAACAGCACCCCTTCCCGCTACAGGATTTGGTCCATCACCGAAAACACTAGATCGTCCAGCACAAGCGTCCGCCCACTATAGAATCCTAAACCTTCTCCTAGGCGGCGGTCTAGCGTCGAGGACCGCCTCGATACTACTATAGTCTCGAGTAAGTCTTCCTGGTGGCGCACGCTTTCCAAACCTCTATTATCGCCTCTAGGCCTTGATATGGGTCGGGTTAAACCTGCGGGTTTCCGGGTTTGGGCTGGTCTGGGTTGGCGCTGGCGCTGGCGATGAGCCTGACGTGAGCCAGCCCGAGCGAAAGCGTCACGTGGGGCAGGAGGTGAGCGAGCGTCGAGATTCCGGCGGTTAAACGTGTTTTCCAGATGGCCTCTGGGCTCAAAATTCAGGGGCCACATCCTACGACTTCAGACTTCACCGTGGTTTTGCTTAGCGCTAGATGCCACAGACCACAGGCCACATTCGAGTCTATTTACGTGCGACTTGAGAGCCGATGGGCGCCATTCATGGGGCCGTCATTGACCACGTACCAGTCAAACGTGGGAATGCACACATGGATACCGACGACGGCCCGGGCATGTTATATGTTATACTCAAGGCACAGGCGCCATCCGCGACTGAAGCCACTTGCACACTCACGGTCATCGTTGCTGACCAGGACCGCCGTGAACGGTGATACTCGGCCCAACCCACTTTTTTCCTAAGGCTTGGTCTCGGTCTGTGTTGAAGGCCGTATCTGCTGCTGCACTCACATCAAGAACATCATGACGACAAGCAAGCCGCGTGCGCCTGCGCAACGAGCTCGACATGGACGCTGGAGGAGCCGAGGCGCCAATCCGGGAGGACAGAGTGGCAATCGGCCCTGTGCCCGCTTACACCGGAACAGCGCTGGACGGTGGACGACTCGAGGTGCCCGTTGCAGAAAATGTGATCATGGCGCGCAGCCGCTGGCGAGTCTGGGCGAGGCGCCCGCAATAAAGGTCGATAGGAACTCACCCCCTCCGTTGAAGATGAAGGAGCCCATGAAACGGTTGCCAGGGACACGGCTGTGCAGACGCCAACAGCAGCACAGAGTGCCAGACCCTTCGCGGCGTCTGCCCAAAAGCGAATTCCTCCCCAATCTCTTCGCCGAACCATCCTGGGACGATGGCTTCCCCCTGAAGCGCGGGCCTAGCCTCCAGGAGCCGGTCATTCGGTAACGAAGGCGGCGCCGCTGTCATTCGAACCCACGGACCAAGGAGTCGAGGATATAGGTCTTGTGAGGGTGGCAGCCTCGAGCACAGGTTAGAACAGCAATGCACCCAATCCAGGACCGTAGCAGCAATGCACGTTTTGAGGTGGACGATCTGCTCCTTGATGCCAACACGATTGATACACCCGGGACCCAGAGAAAGAAGACCCTGCTTACTGCGCTCGATCAGCCCCAGGCTAAACACGGAGTATTGTTTGGTTTTGCTGTCCGGGACGACCACAGTCTAGAAGAGGATGCACGATCAACTGGGAGCCTTGGATGTGAAAACTCTGGTTATGCAGAAGACCTGAGATTGCACAAAAGGCGGCAGACGCAAAGTCGTCCCGGTTGGAAATATAAGACACGGACATTCGAATGCGGCAGGTTGGAACCCAACGTTGATGCGGCAGACTGGAGGCTCAGGCTCCAGCAATTGTATTGCAGATGGCAGACCAGCGTGCACGATTGACGCCTTTGAAACAGCTCCACGAAACCTGCACACTTGGGACCAAAGGACAAAGAAGTGAGCGGCTGCCAGCCCGGCAATATTCACACAAGTTGAAGGTTTCAGGCTTGGGATTGCCATGAGAAAGAATTGAATTTGGCAGAATTGACTGCATGATTTGTTGTGAGACGGACGCCAGTTGTGTAGAAGCGATTGATGATAATGAAAGAGAGCATTAGGGGTTCCAAATCAGAAGCTACCTTCAGTCGTAGACATCAAAGAAAGTCTCAAAGAAAGTCCATTTGCCTTGTCCTTGTCCATCTCAATATGCCCACAAGTAAGAAAGTCCATTGCCTTGTCCATCTCATCATGCTCACAAGTCGCACCATCATCCCATATTTCTTCTCCTGTTCGTGCCCGCCCGAGCACCCAACCTCGACCTCGTATTTGTTGAGACTGCCGATAGAAACGACATTCCCCCCCCGGCCCAAATGGCCTCAAGGTCCGAACCACTGACTGTATGCTGGGGGGTGGTTGGGCGATGTCGGTTGCCGCCGGAGGAGAAAGAGAGAATCTCATGTCCCTGCCGCAACACACCTTTTCTCTTGTGGTGACGGCTATGCTCCTGCAGTATCTTCCATCTCTCCCGTTTCCCCGACGATTTCGAATCCATAAGTCTGAGGTCCAACTTGGCGAGTATACCTCCGTCCTTGTGGGTTTTTAAGGTGTTGCAATAGGTGAGCAAAACGACAATTGATCGCATCCAGACCCTGAAAACCATGATACAGGACACTGTCACAGCCGGGACAGAAGAAAGATAGTTGGTGATTCTTTCGAACATGCCATTGATCGATCAGATCCTCGCAGTCATCGTTCTTGTGGATCGCTGAGAGGTGATTTTTCATGTTTTCCCGACTGTTAAATGTGCGTCCGCAGATTGGACAGATCCACTGCTCGTGCTGCTCGTGCGTCTGGTCATGCATTATCCAGTCCGCTTTGTTGGCCGACACGACATAGCACGTTCTGAATTCTTCCACGCTTGAAGAAGCATTCCCATAGTAGCAAGGGTATTGTGGCATTTTGGATTGCAATAGTTGAGAGAACTTGAGACGAGTATAATTGCAGAAGTTCAAATTTGAGTGAGATGTAATTCCAAGGGAGGGCTTGTTGAACTATCAAAGGACCCGGGGAACGGTCAGACTATATAGGTTTCTTTGGTTATCCGGTGCTAGGCACGCCTACATAGGGTCTCCATTATAGGGCTCTTGACCTCATTAACGACTATGCTTGTCGTGCGTTGTCACAATGGGGCGTAGCAAATAGGCGACGTTGGCACATCTCACCGGTCAGCCCGAATACGAGAGATGAAGAGTGAGGAGTGAGGAGTGAGGAGTGAGGAGTGAGGAATGAAGAGTGAATAGTGAGGAGCGAGGAGAGTGAGGAGCGAAGGGGAGTGAGGAGCGAGGAGAGTGAGGAGCGAAGGGGAGTGAGGAGCGAGGAGAGTGAGGAGCGAAGAGTGAGGAGCGAAGAGTGAGGAGTGAGGAGCAAACCGCCAGGCCTGGCTCGCTATTGAAACAGTCCCACCCAGCCCTCCGCTGCCTCACTTTCCTTGATTTCAGTCCATCCTAGCTGCCGGTACCCAAACACCCATCCCAAGACAGAATTCTACCCACCTATCGCATTCTTGGAGTGCCCTACTCGCAGGTGGCCAGCGCTTGACAGAGGTGATAGCAACTCCCCGGACCCGTTGGGCGCCCAACACCCCTACACCGAGAAGACCCTCAAACGCCAAAGACCGTTCTAGACAGCCAGACCCAAGGCGAGCATAATAGCCACTCCCGTGCTTGATAGCAACTTCCCGGACCCGTTGGGGCCCCAAAACGCCTTCACCGAGAAGGCTCCCAATCGCCAAAGACCGGTCCAGACGCCAGACAGCCAGACCTGAGGCGAGCATGACAGCCAGTCCCATGCCAAAGTGCTGGGGTCAATAAGGCAAATCCCCCAGGCGACTCCGCTGCTCGTGCCCATCATGGTTATGCCGACCACGACAAGGGCCATCATGGGCGAGACTCACCCCCTTCGTTAGTGCCGTCTGGTGTATCATTTGCCCTCCCCACGACTAGGCAGCCTCATGCCCAACCTCATTGTTGGGGCACGATTGCCTCCTCCTCTCCAGGCTCTAGCTCTCCATCGTACGAATCGGTGCTATCCACGACCATGGCTTCTTCCCCCGAGGAGCGAGAAGCTCTTGCCCCCAGTAGCCCGCGTTATTCGTCAAGCTTTGGCGCTTAGCGTATAAGTGCGGCTGTGTTGTCAGCATGATCTTTAAACATTGTGCAGCGGCAAGCCGCTCAGCACTGGTTTCAAAGCAATATCCAGTCGCGACAAGCACTGCACCTTGAGGCAAAGCGACTAATCTTCTGCCACTCGATATTATGAAAGAGACGAAAGGTATTTAATGCCCACTTGGAAGATGTGCTTGAACCCGTAATTTCAAACCCGATAAAACACCTATAGAAAAACAACCTCAAACGATGACTTCACAAAATGACACAGTCAAACACAAATCTGTTACATCTTCCACCTACTCTGGCCACAGTGGCTCAGTTGCCATTGCCACCGAACAACCTGTCAAGAGCAAAACTCAAGAGCAAATAGAGTCATCGGTCGAGTCGGTCAAGAAAAAGAGGGCGCAGAATAAGAAGGCTAGGGAGGAGAGAGAAGGAAAGCGCCGCCAGGAGGCAGAGCAAAAGTGAGCCAGTGTTGTATGACATTCACACCGACTCAGCGTATCATGCCGTTGAGGTTGCGACCCTAAGGGCTCCAAGATAGTGTTCATGTTCAAGAAGCTTTTGCTCAATGAATCTGGGCGCATTTTCAATCCAGTATCGAGAGATGATGCTTCGGAATTCGGGTCCGTCCCAATGTGTCGGAGCGTATCGAGGCTGCAGGTGGTCGAAAAATAGATGGAATGTCGCACCAGGCTGGCTGACACACGCCCAGAACCACTGTGTGCCCTTGCCGAGAGCTTTTTGGATGGCCTTGCTACAAGATCGAGAACCTTGAACAGTGTAGTGGTGATCCTCGCGTTCAAGAATCGTCATGAATTCCATACACATGTCATCATACTCTTTTTTGTTATCCACGATATCATCAATGGGATGCCCACTCAGCCAGAAAGGAGGATGTAGTGCCTCAACTGGCAGAGCGCAGAACCATTCGAGATCTGGGAGACAAGTGATCCTGTATGATTCATCGACGAAGATGTTGCTTCGATGGGGATCTGTCCAAACGTAGTAGAATGGGCCGTTCTGGAACTCTTCTAGAACAAAATGACGAGAAATCGAACGCAACGTGGTGAGGCAAGCCATTTGTTCCTCGCCGTCACTGTACTCGTGGATTGAATTGGGTTGATGCTTTAGCTTCATGTCGAGACAATCGAGAAGATCATGGAGGTATGAATCCGTGGTAGTGTAACATCGATCCCGTGGAATGTTGGTAGGTATATCTTCGCATTCGAGTAGAGGAAGCCGAGCGGTCAATGGGCGATTGCTGAGGCTCATCTCACCGAAGTTATCGATAGTGAATGAGCCAATTTTGTACAAGGGGCAGCGCGCCAAATCCAGTATCACTTTCGATAGACTCTTGTAGAAGTTTTGCTTTTGTTCGTATGAATCTGGCGGCCATATACTAGAAAGTATAGTCCCGTGTTCTTTCTCAATAAAATCTACAAGGAGATAACCCGACTTTAATGAATACCGTGGGTTTGTCGGAATAAAGGGAGTATAATATGGCCTTCGTAAAACCCAGGACCAAAAGCAGTTCTTGAGATATTCAAGGGTTCGTCGATACCATGGTAAACATCTGATAGGCTTGAACTAAGTACAAGTAAGCGATTGCTCGAATAGAGTTGGAGTATCGTACACTTAGGCCATCAGGCAGTCCGAATCCCCATAGCCTGGGCGTAGGGACCTGAGGACAATTAATTGATATCCAGGCAAACGTAGCGGCTTCGCATCGAACTTTCTCGTCCAGTCCGGATACGTCTCCGACCATATACGGAAACGGACATCTCAGTAGAAGTCGTTGTTCCCGCCAGTTGGTGACGGTTATTGGGATGCAAGCGTTGAAATCGCCATATAACCATTGGGACCTGTCTGAAATTCTGCACTGCTGAATTTGGCTGAGTGACAGGTGGTCAGAGACAATACCACGAATATCGGATGTATGTTCTTCAAGGGTATTGAGAAACTCCTCTCTCAAACGAGGTCTTTGTAATTTGATAAGCATATTATCATCCTCTTCTTCGATTTCTTCTAAGATACCGCAGTTAGGAGTCGCTGCTCGCAGGGTAGATAGCTCGTGACGGCAGGCATCACGCGGTGATGCAGTCATCCTGGTTAACACCAGACCGCGACTCTTGGAGGAAGCAGTCAGAAAGTCTAACAGCTAGGGACGTGTGACAACAGCCTGCACCGCTATATTGAGGTTTATGGGAGCTTATGTTACTCATGGATGACTTCTCGCGTTTGGCGTTCTCGGCTGTAGGCGCTTGGCAAATTCAGGCCTTCTTGTAGTAGCTAAATGGGGAAGGTTCGGCGAGAGCCATAGTGGCGCCGAGTTCCTGAACAATCCAGACTCGACCCCCAATACGGAGTATGGCCGCCATCTTTCAGGTGACTCGTTGTGGGCCAGCCATTAAGCCAACCCAATCAAGAGACAGTTCAGCCTCGTTCCATCACGTGATTGCTAAACGCTCAGGACTTAAATGTATACTTGAACACCCGGGAGGAGGGAGGACAGGCGCCTAGATTATCAATCGCACCAGCAACCGTCTCCATCTGCCTTCAAACAATTGAGCGAATCCACAGATTCTGACGACGCGGATGTCTGCAAGGGCCAGATAGGAAGGTGTGCCGAGTGGTGCGGCCCAGCGTAGCGACCCATAATATGATCTCTCGAAATGTTTGTTCCTTCCAACAACCTGCGCCAGCCAGTTGTCGCTACATCTCTGTGGGCGTAGGCGGGCGCAGGAATAGAACCACAAGGACTCATTGCACCAAATCTTGCGGCCTCACAGCACGCTCTCAGCCAGGCTATCATTACTGTTCCTGCTAGCCATTTACGGTATCTGTGCTGATTGAGAGAGAGTTCCCTTTGATCCTGAAACGTCTCATATGTGTGCTTTTCTTCCAGGAACTGAAAAGAACTCAACTTTTCTAACAACGAAGGCTTCTCTCCTGGCAATTACACAGGAGGGCATCAGAGGTCCACCAAATTGTCCACACTATAGTATATCTCCAGAGGTCCCTCTGCAATATGTTCCACCTTAGCACGGACAAACTCATCGAGATTCAGTCTCTCCTCCTCACTCAGTAGTCCAATTCGATCCTCAATCGATGTGAAAGGTCCGTGGTACATCTCGTCGATAAAGGTCCAGTATATTTCGTCGAACATGGAGCTATATTTCGCGGCAAGACAGACCCAGAACATCCCAGTATCGAATGACCGTTCCATACGCTCGGACAGACGTTGCGAATCTGCTAGGATGCCATTTCCTTCCTTCGCCTTCTCATCTTCACATTCGCGGAGAACGTCGAGAAAGAGACGAAGGCGTGGCACAAACCGCTCCACGAATTCATCGAGGTTAGACTCCCAGTCCTCTGGGCTTTGGAGCAAAAGCCACCAGGGCGCGATGTACGCAAACTCAGCGGGGGCCACATAAGTGAATTCCCAATCGACGACACCCGTAATATGAAGATTTTGTAGATCAACAAGGACGTTAGACGGTCGGAAGTCGTCGCAATACAAACGGAAAGGGCCGTGGCAATGCTCCGTCGAGACGTTATGCGCAGTTTTCCGAAATAAGCACCGGGCCACGTATTTCTTTCGGCAGTCATCTTGATCGGCGATTGCATCATTACGCTGGTGCTGGAGCTGAGAGAACTGCTGATTGGCAAGTGATGTGAAGTAGTCGTTCGCAGAGTCGAAAGGGTGTGTAGGAAATGCTTGAGGTGGGAGATTTGCCGAAGTTGCCAGTTGGTTCATATTGTAAGTTAGAGGCCTTTTGGTGACGGTGAAACCCTCTCCGTTATATTCCAGTGCACCAATTCGCGGAAACTCTTGCTTTGATAGCTGGAGGTGCAGCTCAGCCATTTCCCGATAGGCTCTTTTCACGGCTCGATCAATTATCTGAGGATTCAGAACTGGTCGGCCATTTTGGAGCGGGTCCCTGAGCAATGTGGCTAATGATTCTCCTTCGACGAAAGACATGACAATATAGGGCCCTGCCCAACACGTCCCAGCTCCCAGAACATCAGGAACCCGGATGGAAGTGTATTGACGCAAGTATTTCATGACGGCAACCTCGTTATCAACTTTCTCTTTACGGTAGATAGTCCTCCCTAGAGCGGCGAATCGAACGATGGCATGGAATCCGTCGTCGTACTTGACCCTGTAGCAGATATTGAAAGAGCCATTCTTCCAGTGGCACGCTGCTATCGGTTTTCCGGCGCGATGTGTTGCTGCGAGATGCATGGCCAGATGCTCTGGTGAGTTTCGCAGAAGGGCCTGCACCCAGATCGTGAAGCTCTTCTCCTGTTGTTCTTCGGCCACATGATCGAATAGCATAGCTAGAACTTACGCAAAACCGGTCCCGTAGAGTTTCGATACAAGGCTTGTAAGAGGTGAAGATGCAAAGGGGCTTGAGGAGAAATAGTGGCGAGATGAAAAGGCACATGAGGTTCTTGGCATAACGGATCTAAACACTTCCGCTGGTGCATTGAAGACCACACACACGTGAGCGCTCACAAATTGTCGTGCAAAAACATCAATTTTTATACGCATCTCTGTGGCGGCCGAAATGCTCTGGGAGGAACAATCTCAAGCACGAAGGTATCGGTTTGCTTCCAGCTCCAACACGTTCACCAAAACGGAGATCCGTTCCTGGACAGACGTCAACAGTATCGCGCAACCACCTTGGCGGTCAGCAGAGCGTTTGATCAACGAATTCATATCCTTAGAATTCGTCGCTGCGAGGACGACCATTCCTGTCCCAACGCCAATTCGACTTGAATACCTCGAAGGCTGCCTCTCTTTAACCACCGAATTCATCGACGGTGTCCAATTCGATCAGCTTCCTCCGCAGCTTCAATCAGTCTCCTACCTCGACGACTACGTTCGAAACCATGTCCTTCCACAACTACAAACATTAAAGTCAGATACGTCCGGTGAAAGGACCGGTGTAATCATTCCACCGCGCCGGGTCTTCGATCACGACCCTACCACAGACAAAATGCCACATGCAATCCGCCGTGCAATTTTCTCTCCAATAAGCCGAGTCTCGCAGCGTCCACGAAGACTTTCAACGTAGACTTGTTTTCATAACCTACCACAAGCTTTTCTTTCCATGGTGGTATTAGTTCCAGGAAGCCATAGACTGTGTCTCTCGGGTCTTTACATTCATGTCGGGCATATATCTTGACGACTTCATCGAACATGGCCACATCGCCATGCTTGCACAACCTGGTGACCATCGGTGACGGCGCATCATCTTCCTTTCTAATGCTTGTCAGAGACCCAGTACCAAATGTCTACGCCCTCTTTCAAGACAGTGTCACCGGCAAATGCTACATCATTATGGAGCGAATGGCGGGTGCCAGCTGGAAGATATGTGGCCTCCTTTGCGCCACATCGAAAAGGAAGCAATTTCATCAAAAGTCAAAAGCTACATCGATGAGCTCCGCTTAATCCCGTCGCCAAAAGCCTATTGCAGCTTTGGCAACAAACCTCTCCGCGAGCCTATCTTCTGGACCGGGTTTGGGGTCGAAAACCAAGGACTCGATGGCCCATTCGACTCGGAGTCGGACCTGAATGATGCCGTTATTAAGAAGTGCCTAAGTTCAGAACACCTGAAGGGAAAAGCAGACTTCTTCAAGCGTCACTTGCCACTCATTTTGGGCAGCCATCCTCCCGTCCTCACCCATGGAGACTTGCAGCGGAAGAACATCTTGGTCCGGATCATGTCCGATTTGGATATCGAAATCACCTTCTTAGATTGGGAAATTGCAGGATGGTATCCTAGCTACTGGGAATACGCTCGTGCAATCCTTGCTTGTGGCCGGTTCGAGGATGATTGGAATTGTTGGGTTGACCGATACTTGGACCCATTCCCGAACGAGTGGATTTGGATGCATACTCTGATGCTGGAACTGTGGGAGCGGCAACAGGCCCTATTTGAGGCCAGGCCACAGGGATCGCCAAGCATTGCTCAGGATTGTGCCGAGGCATTCGGAGCGGATAAAAGTTACCACTGTCCGGCTTACTTTCCTAATCACTGTTTGTCCGCTGTCCTTTCACTTTTCAAGACGTTGAACTTTCGTGTTCATGGTGCCTACGACATTCCACTTTCTTTGCTACAGAAATGCTTCGCAGTATGAGTCGTTACTTAGTGATGCGACTATGGATAGGCAGGAGGGTTTTTCGTGCTTACGGGCGGTTCGTTGTTCGAGTCAGTCGCAAACGAATTATCAAGGGTCCATGCGAGTTATCAGAACTCAAAGCATTGGAATACATTTCAAAACATACGTCCATACCGGTTCCGAGGGTCTTTCGAACTTATCATGTCAGGGGCAGCTTGTTTATTGAATTGGAATTCATACGGGGTACTGATCTTCAAGAGGCGTGGTTAGGTGGATGTTTGTCTACGCAGGTCGAAGAGGATATTGTACGCCAGCTCGCTGGTTTTGTTGAGCAACTCCGTGGTTAAAGCCACCAAAGGAAGGAGTAATTGGGGCTGTGGACTTGGGGCCATGTCTTGACCACAGAATTGGATCGTCACCGGTCGGTCCGTTTTCGAATCACCAGGAGTTTCATTCTTTCCTTCGAAGACATATCCCACTGGAAGACTGCACCGAGGTTTTCGGCGAAACCGTCACTTTATGCCACTCTCTCCAACATTGAAGTATCTTTTCGCATGCCGACCTCAGCCCGCGGAATATCATCATAGCTGCTGGTGCTGTCCCACCACGCTCGTCCGGACGAAATTGTGGGTCGTGAAGACGACTTTCCATTTCCCCCCCTGCGCACTGTCGTCATCGGGGGCCGATTCTGGGAATCACCGTAACTGCGTCCAGTTCAAGTGAGACAGGAAGTGAGAATCCCTTGTAACGACGCCGACGTGCCCTGTCGCCGGGTGTCAACCCTTTTTTTCCCACGAGCGCGAAGGGCTAAAACCGAGGACTCAGCCCGCTCGACGCTGAAAATTCCAGGGGGAGCGCAGGTGAGCTGAGGGAGAGCCCTCCGAACTCTATCCTTGACAAAGCTGACTTATCGACTTGATCCAGTTCATAAGGGCCGCAATTGTCTGATGTCAAATTTCTTATACTTGCGAAGCACGAAAAGACGGATTACAGCACGACAATCAGTTCTTCACTCATCTTCGTTCTTCCTGTGATCTTGAAATCCTTTATCAATTCTTTACCTGTGTTGAACGCTGCCGTCGCAGTGAAAAGCTACGGCGGTCCGGATATTTGCCTTTTCCAGTGTCACCACCACTCCTGTCTGACCCCTTTGTCAGCAATTGTTGCCGGCACAGGCGACCTCTCCGAATTGGTACGCCCTACGTCCTTCCCCGTTGTTGGCCTCTCCGCTGCAGGTGTCAAGGGTGGATCAATTGCAGGAGGCATATCTGCTACTCTACAGAGCTGGGTCCGACGGGAGATTTGTCTGAACGCTTGAAGCTACTCTTCAGAGCTGGGTTCGAGGGGAGGTTTGTTTGGAACGATTGAAGCTACTGCCTTGCCGGTGGGGATGCTGTTGCAGGTGGCACTCGTCTTTGCCGCCCGATGCGACCGAGGGCGGTGTTGATGTTCTCGAAGTCGATATCCAGTTCTCCCAAAGTGCCGATTGTGCAAGGATCGAAGTACTCGATTCAAGTAGTCCGGAGGTTTTGACGGTGGTGGCTATGGTCTGTTCAGTTGTGGTGGTTGAAGTACACTTGGTGGCCAGGGTGCAAGATGCCACCGTGAGTGGCCTGACCGCCATCGTTTCAGCAAAAGCTCTGTAAGCTGTTCACTCTGCTCTTTAAGCTGTGCATTTTGCTGTTTGATCTGATCACTCTGCTGTTTGAGCAACTGTACGAGCTCCTTTTGTTGCTGCTCAGAGTCTTTTCGTTGCTGTTCTTAGCTGAGTCACCAACATAGCTTCTCTATTCCTCGCATCCCTTTATTGTTGTTCAAAGTCTTTCCGCTGCTGATCCAGCTGCCGCTGCAGGTTGTAAATCATGGTTCGAAACTCGGCATTCCACCCCCCATCTCGCCGGGGTTGCGGAAACCCTCATCCTGGGATCCGGGTGCGCTGCTGTCTTCCTGCGAGCTTTTCGAGGTATGCGCCGCTGGCCGATGGTTCTGTAGGCGAGCGGGCTCTTTTGGCAGCTGTTCGCTCGGTGCGCCAGTCCGGCGAACAGTTCGCACGTGCAGGGTCAGGTTGTGCACAATCGGGCGGCAGATAATCGTGTCAGAATGTTATTGGGTGCCGCTTGTACAGACTCTACTCGCCCTGTGCAAGCTTTTGCACAAGGAAACCAGGTATATAACAATCTGGCTAAATATGACCTCATCAACTGTATCTACTAGAACCTGGGACAGTATAAGTAGTCTTCCTTGGCCTGCTCTGGAGACGACATCGGAATGCGTCTCGGAGTTTCGCAGCTATACCACCCAATACCATGTGTCAATACACCAAAGCCATGTCGTTCCGCAGGCGACAGGCAGAAGGATTAATTTCGCGTTCATAAGGTCATGCAAGCCTAATTGCGCCACTTATGGCATAACAGGAACAAATGAGATTTAGCGTTTCATTTAACCCCCTTTCAGCTTTTCCATATAAGAATTGAATTCCCCCCTTTGGCGGCAGTAGTATGCTTCTGTATCACCTTATGAACTCGTTCATCACATGCATGCCAACAGATTCATCAACCGTGGTAACTTGGGAAATGCCGAAGCTCATTCAGGGATCAACTGCTAGAATAATCATCACCGGCAATCGAGCTGCCAAAATATATAGCGGCAACGACGAGAATTTCATCCGAGAATGCAACGTTTTGCGGCGACTAGGCAAGCATCCAAATGTGGTGGAATTGCTTGATGTCCAAGACAGAACAATTGTTCTGCAGGCGGGACGATGTCTGCGAGATATACTAAGAGAGGGCGACATCTCAAATGAACAGCAAGAAAAATGGCTCAGTGGACTTGCCCGTGGTTTGCAGCACATGCATGACAACAACGTCCTCCACGCCGATCTCAACGCTGCCAACACTATTGTCTCCGGGGATGATGTCGCCATGTGGATTGACTTCGGTGGCTCTCAAATTGACGACCAAGAAGCATTGGCGAACTATGACGAGTACAGTTATCGACCCCCAGAGTATCCGGATCCTCCTGTTAGCCGAGCAACTGATATCTTTGCTTTTGGCTGTACCGTGTTCGAAATCGAGACAAGCGCACCGCCCTTCTACAACGAGACTAAGCACATGTCGCAGGACGGAAGAATGTCATACGTGGAGGACATGTGTCGCCAACGACTCTTTCCATCCGTGGAAAATCTACGCTTCCGCCCCATAATTACGGGTTGTTGGCAGGGACGATACGAGTCGATGAGCGATCTGAAACAAGATTTGAATTCCATCGGTGTACAGCGATCCCAGCCATTGTCATGGTATTATTTCCCAGCTATGAGGACGGCAATTCGGAACGGTCTCGGGCGACTTTGGGCCTTCTGCGCAGAGCAGTTGTTGAGGGAAACTCGTCAATTTTTGGGAGAAAGGAGTGGCTGATGATGGAAACAACAGCGAATGTCGAAGTCCCGAAGTTCCTTTCGTAGCCTACAGCAACAGCACCATCTATGGATAGATACCTACCTAGCTACCTAGGTACTGGGAGGAAGTCACAGGTGCCGGTGTCGTGCCGCGAGGAGACATCGAGATGCCTAATCAGGAAAGAGGTCCTTCCTAATTCAGCGCCCTGATAATTTTTTCATGGCCCAACAGGCGCGCTTATTTTTTAAGCGATCCGACAGCGGAGGCTGCAACTTGGCTGGGGGAAGCCTTGGAGAGAACACCGATAATGGGGAGGCCCGACGTCGAGCAATAACAATGTCAAGGCTTATGGGCCAGCCGTGGCCAGCCTTAATCAACTGGGAGAAAGAATGCAAGCGGAAAAACCATACTCGGCATTACAAACACCATCCATTCATTCAGACTGCACCAGGAGCAGGGCTCGCTACTAGCAGGGCTACTTCTAGCCGTGACACTTCTATTGTTTTCGTTCTCCCGAATAATGTCCCATTTCGGATTGTATGAGTTAGGAAGACATGGGATGGGTGCAAATTGCGAGTGTCAAATTCGAGCGAGATGTACGGGCGTATTTCACGAAGGACAATGTTGAGCTACGAAGAGTCCTAATGCTAGGGAAGACGAATCGAAAGCGGCGAGCATGAGGGAGAGCACGAAGAGCAGCAGACTGAGAAGCACGAGAGAGAGACCTACTGGGGCGATCGATGGACACACTTTCCCGGCCACAACATCCCCCTCGGGAATGTTAGGAAAGAATGTGGGTCACCGAACAAAAAGAATGGCTTGAGTGTCAAAGGGTAAATGGAATGTGTGGAATTTGGTGGCGGCGTAGCGCACGATTCTCTACCTGATTCGGCGCTATGCAATACAAAGACCTCCGTCTCTGCTTAATGAATCACAAATCGAAACGGTCGGTCGAAGAACGTTACGCCGAATGCGTTGCTCCAAGGACAACGTTTCCCAATCCGGCGATCTGGGGTTTGTTCTCGAGGAATGCACATACGCATCCGACACTCCATGGATTCGAGCTCTTTGTTTTATTGCCTCTATTTACTGTATTCTCGTGCTCGTCTGTCGAACACATTCCGAGTGAATCTTTCCTCTTGTACCTCTATATATTTGTGATCTCTTCGCTCTTGCCTCCTCTTGGCACCATAATTCCTTGATCACTTCAATCCAATTCGCATCCAACCCTGCAAGTCGAAATTACTATCGTCCCTCCCAATCTCCTCGTGTCCTGCGAGAGTCAAACCACGATGGCTTCCACGGAGAAAGCCAAGGAACAAACGACATTACCTCCCGATGCCTTCGAATATCTCAATTCCATCGAACTTCTCCAGCCCGAACTTCTCCGTCTCGATTACTTTCGTGATAAACCCGATATACCTCCTCCCAGCCACCGGGTGATGGCGTTCCTGGCGAAACGTGAGCGCAAAAAGATACTGAGCAAGATAAATGATGCGTACGCAAGGGTTCCAAGCTACGGCTTGGGTTGTTTGAAAGAACGTCTTCAATGGCTTCACCGGTTCGACTTCACTCATGACGACGAAACGCTTTTTGAACACTTTCTCTCCGAGATTTTGTACAGAGGTTCGCACAGTCGTGATTTTGATACACCTATCCTTCACACTCAAACTCACAAACTTTTCCTTGTACTCAATTTACAGCCAATGAATGCTGCCTGGGATAAAAAACGTGGCATTATAGATGTCAAGAATGAGAAGTTAATGGAGTATACTCATGAGTTTACCCCAGCTCTTCAAGTAGAGCGCGACTCTGATACCGAAGAACGTACTCTCCCTCTGCGGTTCGGCCTCGCTGTGGGAAAATTGGTATGCTTTGCAAAAAAGGGAAAGTACGAACAGGGCCACCATTTTATCAAGGGTTATACTCCATTTCATCTTGTCTTTCATCCAATTGACAAGAGCTTTTGGATGGTGGTGGATCGCTACAAGGACAGGGACGGCGAGGAAGATTTTTTCGACGACGGCTACGACGAGCTTGAATATCAGACCAACAAAGCACTAACCCGATCGCTCCGCGAGCGATTTGGGAGGCAGTGGGACGATAGACCGATGGAGGTCGAGGCATTCCGCCTGGGGCCAATAGATGATTGGTTCCCCCAAGTGCTCGGTCTAAGTGAGAGAGAAGAGCAGGCGCGTCAGCTCGATGGCGGCGTAGGCTTCGATGGCAACGAGTCTGAAGAACCAGTTCCTCGATCCACCAAAAGAGATTGGCCGCCGACTATTGACTTCTCCAGCGTTCCAAAGGTATCGCTGTTTCCAGACACGGGTCCCCCACAAGTTCAGTTCGCAACGCACGCTCGCTTCCAGAGCTATCTTGCAGAAAACGGGGTGGTGAAAGGACGCTCATGGCTCAGTGAGTCGCCAGTGCCACCTAGGTACTGATTGATTGGAACACTGTCTCTAGACAAGTCAGTTCCACAATGGCGCCAATGAGTCAAGTTACTCAATCCCAGTGAATTGGTGGGAAAGTACTTTGATGTCAATTAGAAAAAGAACAAAGGTTCTTTGTGCAATTAAAACAGATCAAATGGAAATTCCAAGTTCCTGCCACCAGTACCCTTGAGGTTGTCTTCCATATTTCGAGACGGAAGTCAATGCTCTCAAACATTTCACTTGAACAGATCACCGGTGCAACAGTTTCCCATATCTGCTATGAGTAAAAGGTGTAGCCGACGGGCTAGCCTACGATTAAGGGGTGATTCTCAACCTAAAGCTGAGAGCGAGGGCAGCAGTTGAAACATTTGTAGAACCTGTCGACTCAAACTGCTCTGGGACAAAGCCTGCTGAATCGAAAGTTTCGATGGAGATCAAAGACCTGACTCAAGCTCTGCATATCGAAGCTGTGAGACAGACAGATATCTCAACCTAGCCACCATTTCAACAAAGCCAGTGCTCAGACAACAATCGTGAGCTGTTTCACGATAGAATAAAACTCATACTTGAGCTATGGACGGCAAGTGGTATATAAGAGAAGCGCTTCGATGTCAAGATGCCAGTGTTCTGCACCCCTTCTCATTATCATGGCTGGTTCCCGCTCGCAGAGCATCATTGACTCGGTGGAAAAATTTTGGAAGACAGAAATGGACCCCCTCTCCTACGACAACAACATCAAAATCCTTACCGCGGGCGTAAAGAATATGTACAGCATTGCCCAATGTGCGGAGGATCTGATTTCCGAAAATGATGGCACCAAAGCATACTTGACATACCAGCGACTTGTCAAAGTCCTCGATTTCGTTTGGAAGGGAGCACAGTCACTCCAAAATATTGTCTTGAAGTCGGATCCTTCAAGAGAACCGCCACAAGACCTGTCAGACACCTTCGAAGTCTTTAGGGAAGTTTTGGACACCCTCAAGTGCAAACCCCCTCGAGAAGAGAAGGTTAAGGACACAAACAAAATACCCAACTCGTCGGCAATCGAGCTTCTTCTTGAACTGTTCTACAAAACTACCCCCGAGGTGCCTGAAAATATCTGTACGTGATCGGCAATATTGTCATTGGCATGTTCTTGGTGACTGATTGATTATAGATGAATTTTTGCTGGCCTTCGAAGCCAAATTCGGCAAAAACTTCACAGAAACAAACCATTGCGGGTTGCCCAGTGTAGTTTTCATATGCTTTGTGCCCGGTGGCATGATTACCACAGCTTCCGCAGCCAAATGGGAGGTATCCTTCGAAGAGAAGGGCAAGAAACAGTATATGCGGTATGAGGGAGGAGTGAATTCCAAGCTGCGAGTGATGCACAGAAACCGTTTCCGATTGGCCTCGACAGAGACGGCAAAAGAGAAGTTTGCAAAAGTGAAGGCAGCGTACGGCAAATGGCAGCAGGGTGGCCCCACTATGAGCCGCGAGCTGAAAGACGAACGGTTCAAAGCCTTCAAGCACCTGAGAAGACAAGGAGGCGCATTTCAGGTCCTGGCTGGAGCAGGCAGCATCCTCAAAATCTACCAACCGTGCATCAAATGCCGCCACCTGTACCGGTTTGACTACATTGGTCAGAAAGCCACCGACAACCGAGAAAAGGACGAGACACTATGGGCCTATGGCCACTGCGCCGAAGATCTATGCCATAATTTGTGGGCAAACAACAAAGCATCAGACCGGAAGCCGAATGCATCTCTGTGCTGAACAAAGGCACCCTGCACCCTTCGACCAACTATCCGCCCTCTTCATCACCAACCGACCTTCAATCCCTTCTAAACAAAGGCACCCTTCGACCAACTATCCGCCCTCTTTATTACAACCGACCTTCAATCCCTTCTAAATAAAGGCACCCTTCGACTAACTATCCGCCCTCTTCATCACAACCGACCTTCAGTCCCTTCTGAATAAAGGCACCACCCTTCGACCAACTATCCGCCCTCTTCATCACCAACCGACCTTCAACCCCTTTTGAACAAAGGCACCCTTCGACCAACTATCCGCCCTCTTCATCACCAACCGACCTTCAATCCCTTCTGGAAATGTGGTCGTTCCTCTTCTTCGCCGTTTTGTCGTTGACAATCCGCAGTGCCTTTCCTCAACCACCAGCGAGCGACTCTTCATGAGGCGACTCTTCACTCACACCGGTGCCGCCGCCGCGCCTGTGGGGCAGCTTTCTGAGCCATGACATGTTAGCGTGGTGAGCAAATGGTTGGGGCACGCAAGAATAACCGAGAGTCAGAAAGGCCCTCCCTCTATTCGAAATAGCTTGGTGCATCTATTTTGAAGTGTGGGATATTGGGTATAGCTGAGAGCTAGGGTGCTGGGGTGGTTGGATCGATCACACAATGAGGGGCGCCAGGGCGTCCTGGAGATGCAATGCAGCTGTCGTGGGCATGGTAGGGGCTCGCGCACGCAGTCGGCAGGCTCGCAAACACAATAGAAAAACAAGTAGGACGCGGAACTAGATCACTATGATGGGGAGAATGCTGTTGTCTATTTCTCTGCTTGGTAGCTAGGTTGTTGTCCCTTGTTGGACTCTAGACGCTGTAGAGAACTGATTCTAACCCTAAGTCATAGAGAGAGAGATAAGCTTATCTCTGCAGCAGCCGCGGGATGCCAGTGAGCAGGAAGTGTCAACGAAGACATCGAATCCATCAATCTTGTACTTGGTACTTGAGGTACTGTACTGGACAAATTAAAGAAAGACACGGGCGTAGCCTTGCCCTGTTTCCAGCACGAGCCCGCAATATTGTTTGAAAAGAGCGTCATCCTTCTGCCTGCGTGGCCGGACTGGTTCCAACAACATATCCCTCCTGGAGTACGGAGTAGAGCCATTCCCTAGTCCAGGTTGATCAACGTTTCTTCACTGTTCTCATCGTCATCCCCCTCTTCGTCATGGTTCTCTTCTTCTCCATCGTTTTCCTCTTCCTCAGCACTGTCTCCCAGGTGCTTCTTCCAAGACTCGGCATACACGCCGTTCATGGCAACAAGTTCATCCTGCGTGCCGTCTTCCACAATCTTGCAGCCTTTGCCCAGAACAATGATCCGATCAACGTGCTTGATGGAAGACAGCCGATGACTGCGGATGAATTGCAGATGAGTTAGCAACTTAGACTCGCTAGTCTGACCAATTGATCGGGGGAAATACTGTGAAACTTACGCAACGATGATGACCGTCCGTCCAGCAAACACTTTGTTGATGCTACGTTTGATGGAGGCTTCGGTCTCAGAGTCTAGCGCGCTGGTGCCTTCATCGATGAGCATGATCTTGGGCTGTTCGAGGAAGGCCCGGGCAAGCAGCAGGCGCTGGAGCTCGCCTCCTGAGAAGTTTCTGTGCGTGCATTAGCTTAGTGGCTAGTGGCCATGAACAAGGGCCAAAGAACGCTCTCGCAAGAGGAAAGGATTGCGCGCTGCGGCAACAACATACGTTCCGTTTTCTCCCGTGTTCGCCTCGTACCCGTCGTCACGAGCCATAATGGTATCGTGGAGGCCTGCCCTACGACAAGCTTGATGGCATTCTTCATCGGTGGCGTTCGGGTTTCCATACCGGACATTGTACATGACGGTATTGTTGAATATAAAGGGGCTCTGTTGCATGACGCTGATATTCTCATGCAGCCTAGAACGTCGTCAGCAGTCAGCTCAAGCATGGCTAATGGACAAGACATCGGCCGACTTACGAGTCCCTGGTAAGTGTAGCGATGTCCTGGCCGTCGATGTAAACAGCACCTTGTGTCGGGAGGAGTTGGCGCATCAAGAGCTTGAAGATGGTCGACTTCCCTGCGCCGCTCGGTCCGACCAAGGCAACCTTGGTTCCCCCCTTGATCGTGAGGCTGAGGTCGCCGATGATCAACTTTTTGGAGCCGGGGTAGGCAAAAGAAAGCCGGTCTAACCGAATCTCGCCCTTGTCGTACTTGAGAGACCGGTCACCATACGAAATGCGTGCTTTTTGCTCCATGATTCTCCTCAAGCGAGCCGAATCGAGGAATTCTTCGAGCATAGATCCGACAATGGTGGTAAAGTACTCGATAGGGCCCCAAAGCAGACCCCAAAGACCGAGAAATGCCGTCAGATCACCTATCGTACGTTGACCGCTGTACACCATGGAAGCCACCAGTGCATAGCCGATGATGTGTGAGATCTCGTATGTGAAAGAGTCAACAAACCGGAAAAAGTAGACGAGGATTTTGTACGTCCGCAACTGGCCCAGATAGGAATCCACTTCTGCATCGTACATCTCGCACTCATGCTCGACTTGGTTATGAACCGACACGGTTTGCCATCCACGCACGCCCTCCTGACGCCGACGCTCGTGACTGTCTCTGGCAGTGACGAACTGGCCGTACTCTTCCATCGTCGCTGCCACGTACTGCTTCTCGGTGACTGCGTACGTCGTGATCATGTACATGATAATGATGACCATGAACGGCCCGAACCGGCGATAGATGCTATTGATAGCGAAGACAAGGGTGAATAAGTTGGGTAAGAGCTCAAAGATGATCTGATCCAGTAGCTTGTCAATGCTTGATGCGTTGTCGATGGCCTGGATGATGTCGGTGGCCTGGACAAAAGCATGGAAGTAACTGTCAAGATTCAAGACCTTGAAGTGGGCCTCCTTCTTGAGCCTTTGCTTTCGATAGATATCGACGTCGATCCACATGAGGTTTTCCAGCAGATAAAGGCACATGTCGGAATTGAGGAAGCGGAAGAAGGAAAACATTGCGAATGGCCGCCAAGGACTGCGCTTCGAGCTGATGGCGTCGATAAGGGCGGCTGACCAGAGCGGCTGTTGGACTGCGACGAGGCGTTCTGCCACTAGGAGGTTGAACGTCAGGATGAAGCGGAACTGGAGGAAGCGTCGGCCGAACGGCCACGTATATCGGAGGAAGATGTGAAACCTTTTCACGTAGGCAATCCATCCGCCGAGCTCCTCGATTTCATCGTAGGCTTCCTTGCGGAGTCCCAGGTAATCTGTGGTGTGCAACCCAGGGCCAGCGCGGCCGTCTTCGTCATCCCTGTTGACAACTTCGGTAGCAGAGTCTGGTGAATCGGTGTTTTCGAGATCGGATTGTGCCAGGCTCATGTATCCTTCCCTGTAGGCTCGAATGAAGGTGACAAGAAGTATCAAGCACGTCAACGCTCTGTAAATTGCGAGACCGAAGTTGACTTGGGAGTATGACCAGGGTAAAGATGGTCGTAGAGCGATCCGGACTGCGGTAGCGAGCTCGATGAGATGGAGAAGCAGCCAAAATGCACAGTTGAGGTACCATCCAGAGGCTTGCTCCTTTGTGGGAAGGGACTCGAGGCGGAGCACCAGGATACAGACAAATAAGGTGTACGAAAAGCTGGCGGTGGCATCAGGGAGCTCGCCGCGGCCTCTGACCGACTCGAGCAAGAGTGTGATGGAATCACCGACATAGGACAAGGTCAGAAACCAGGAGTGCACTGTAAATTGAAGCGATGGCTTGTATTCGACAGCTCGCGTCGTTTGAACCAGAGATAGAAAAAGGGGTAGCACGGTGACAATGAAGAGGGCCGCAGCACCAATGTCGCGGCCGATGTAAAGCAAGTCATCCATGCCGACGGGATTTCGTCGAGCAAGGCGACAGCGTAGTGAAGAAGGCAGGAGACACCTGATGGGAGTTGGGCGAGGCAGATTCTTTGGGAGGGTATGTGTGTTTTGTCTCCGGGTACTTACCTCCCTACCTTCCTGCCTACCTACCTGGGTGCCATCTGAGTGCACTTACTGTTGGACAGCAAGCACATCCTGCCGATGCTGGGCCCCTGTCCATCACTCGACCAGCATAGCAGCAAACAATCATCACTGGAACCAGCATAGCAGGAATCAGTCATCATCCACCCTCTGTATGGCAGCGAATAATCAGCACCCGCCCTACATGACAGCAAACCAAACCGGTCAAGATACAGAAAGCCACAGACATACTAGATTGGCCCTCAACTCCGTAGCCAGGGCGTATGCAGGGCAAGAGCGGTGTGATAATACTTCGGATGGGAGCCTGAAAGTGAGGAAAAGCGGTGATGCCTAACAAGTCGAGTCGTCGTGTTCAGGGAGTTGGGAGGTTGAGGGGTCACTGATCATTCGAAGTAATTCCTGACGAGGGCACAACAACATTGGCTGGCACCCTCTTCCTCAAAACTTCGGATGCCTTCTTGCAAGCCAAGGTCACTTTCTGCGGCCATGATCATCTTTCTGCAGCCACAATCACTTCCTGCAAGCTACAACTCTCTCATTTGCAGAATACAAACTTGAATGTCCTCAGCCTGAGACAAGGCGGCGAGCTGAATCCCGTAATAGTATACCATTGGCTATGATCATAATCTATGACGAGCTGAGAAGAACTAATGCAAGATATGCGCCGGGGGACCTGCCGCTGTCGAGAGGCACGGGACGACTGGTATTGCACCGTCAGGCTGAAGGATGCCTTGGAACCTTTTGGCAAGGACTCGACGAAAGTGCTCTTCGAAGAGGCGTTCAATGTGGGGAATACCATTCGGCAAATTTCCATGGATTACTTTAAGTCTTCGACCCAAAAGCAAGCGACGGACGCAGTCAAATGCTTCCTATACAATTGCCCATCTGCACAATTGACCATCTACACAATTGACCATCTCATGCCCTCAACCTTCTGTCCGGTTTACAAACTCAACGGTTGATTCAACATGGAGTCCCTTGACCCCAAAGTAAGAGGCCTTCTCCCGGGCGGGTATGGCCCCTTCTTCTTTTTCGCCCAGCTTATCCTGAGCGCAACGGGCATTGACATCGGACCTTACGAAGCCCAAATCCTGACCTTCATCGTGTTCATCGCTGGTCTCGCCTACGCCTACACGAGATGCATCGACTTCGTGAATACGAAGTTAATGTGCCATCTCACGTTGGACGGCTCGGACGTTGGTTACGCCCCGGCCGCAAGATTCATCCGGCACAAGTTCGACAAGGCCAAAGGTCGTGACCTAACTGTCAGATCCGTACGTATGAATGAAGACTACGATGCCATCCCTATCAAAGACGGTTTTGCCGACTTGTCCAAGTTTCAATGGACGAGGCAGTACATGCCGGGCTGGGGAGTACACTGGTTCACCTATCGTGGACACTGGGTGAGATTGTGTCGGAGTCGTCGACAATTTGAAGTTTCGGGACGGCCAGTCAGGGACGACCCATGGAATGAAACCCTTCGGTTTAGCTGCTTTGGATTCAGCCCCAAACCCCTCATGGAGATGCTGGACCATGCTGCAGACGAGTATGACTCGTCCATACTCCAGGGCATGGTCTCGATATTCAGACCAGTGGACAAATGTGCTTGTTGGGGGCATCTTGCAACGACACGTGCTCGGGGGATCGATACCGTGGCAATGGACGAAGTGGCCAGGACACGGACCAGAGACGACATCAACAGGTTTCTCCTCAACAGGGCCTGGTACGCGGAGCGGACCATACCCTACCGTCGCGGCTACATGCTGGAGGGTCCGCCAGGCACCGGCAAATCGAGCCTGGTGCAGGCTTTGGCGGGCTTCTTCGGCCTGAACACCTACCTCATCCCCTTGCTTTCCAAGAATCTGACCGAGGACAATCTGGCGACCTTGTTTTCCATGTTACCAGCTCGCTGCATAGTCCTGTTCGAGGATATCGACACCGCTGGCATCGTCGTCCGTACCCTCAACGATGGCAAGCTCGAGGCCCCCGCTGAGTCCGATGAAGACGACGAGCAGACCGGCGTTCGCTGCAACATCTCTCTCGCTGGCCTCCTGAACATCATTGATGGTGTTGGTGCTTCCGAGGGCCGCATCCTCATGATGACGACAAATGCCATCGAAAAGCTTGATGAGGCCCTCGTGCGCCCCGGTCGGATCGACGTCACGATCAAATTCGCCCTCGCGACAGATGAGGTGGCCAAGGCCTTGTTCTCACGCCTGTACAAGGGCTGCCCGGGAATGACAGACGATCTGGCAGCGGCATTCGCTTGCAAGTTTGGCGGTGGCAAGAACAGCCCTGCCGTGATCCAGTCCTTTGTCATGGAGTATCCAGATGAGCCTCAAGAGGCGTTCGAACTGGCGGATCGCTGGATCGAGGAGCACGTGAGAGTGAAGAAGGAGACGCCGTCACGGGATGAAAAGCTGACGTACGTGGAGGTCGAGCAGAAGGAGACAACTCAGCTGGAAGAACAGCCGAGCAGAGCGTGAAGTCAGGCTGGCGCCAGCATTGACTTCCTCAGCATTGGGCTTAGGCCAAGGCAGTCACGGCAGGTATGGTGGGTGTTGGTATGCTGGAGCAGCATCGAGAGGATCGTTCTGCAGCGAGGGTTTCTGTTCAGGCTTGGTGTGTCTCCTCCAGGATCTTGTTGCAAATTGCATTGTACGACGCACCAGCGGGGTCAGGCCGAGAATGGCTACAAGGGCAAACAATTCGACACCTCTGTTGGCCCGGGCAACTTCCAGACTGCCATTGGTGTAGGGCAGGTGATTGCAGGCTGGGACCAAGACAAGACGTTACGCAGGTGCCGTTGGGCGAAAAGAGCACTCTGGTCATTCCAGGACGCATGGCATACGGCGATGGCGGATACCCTGGCTTGATTCCACCAAGTGCTACGCTCATCTTCGAGGTTCGTCTCAAGGGTATCAACGGCAAGAGGATTGATTGCGGTTGTCGACAAGAGCTTCCGCATACGCAGCGCCTGGCTGCAAGGAATGTCACCCTTGTACTTCATTCATGCGGCGTCACATCGCTGATGCAGGAGCCCGGTATTCATCGTGAATGTTTCAAGATGGTTGGTTGTGAGCAGGAGATACTCCACCAATGTCGTCTGCCTATCTTGTCGGCCTGCATCCTTGCGGAGTGGCAACTCCTGTGTGAAGGCGTACGGCGTCACGAAGTCGTGGGCGGAAGCATGGTACTCGCTCAAGGTGGTACCCGTGTCGTGTCGCAAGCCCGTCTGCATTCGGGTGGACGCCTCTAGTCAAAGTTCTGTGCCTCGGACACGTCAACCGGGACTGTGCCTGCTTCTGACATGTCAACACTTTTCAGCCACGGCAGCAGAAATCGGCAACAGTCTGTCGTGTTGTCCTCAAAGCCCTCCTGGGAGGAACTGAGCGAGTACGCTGGTCAGCCACCATTGTCGACGAGATTGTGGTAGTGGTCTCCCTCTGAGTCGGAGTTGTCAGAAGAGAGGAGCGAGCTGGTGGGCGATGTCAGGACCTGCTGCCACATATCGTCGTCGCCCTCGTTCTCTATTGGTGTTGCAATGCTACTCCGTACATGGCGAGATAATGAACCAGATTATCCACCGTAGTAGGGTGGGCGACAAGTTCTCGCGTGACAAGTACTTCAATTCCTCCGTACTAGGGCGGTCGAAAGGTCTTTGCGCGACACGCACATCTATTCCTCCGTACATTGATGAAGTAAGCCGTGGGTCGATTGGAATTGTGTCTGCCTATTGCGTTGACGACGGACGATCCACAATACCTGTCACAGCCGCGTCACTTGCGGTTTATTAGAGAAGCGGCGTGAGCTTCACGCATCAGTCAGACTGGCGTTCTTCGTTCCTACATCCTACAGCTCGGCGGAGGGGAGGAAGTCTTCAAAGACTTCGAGTGCGCTTTATGACGGCTTTGGGAGAACAGAAGCATCACACGACTCTCATCACCACCACACCAGCATGTCTTATCCTGCTTTGACCGGCGGCGGCACTGGCCGCAACATCGACCACAGCAGAACCGAGTCCGATCTGGCCATCAACATCCGTAAAGCCACGAGCATCGAAGAGACGGCGCCCAAGCGAAAACATGTCCGAAGCTGCATTGTCTACACCTGGGATCACAAATCCTCCCTATCCTTCTGGGCGGGCATGAAGGCAAGTCTTGGAGCCCACGGAATTGCTCATCTGTCTCTAATCAATCCGTTCTGCAGGTTCAACCCATCCTCGCAGACGAAGTCCAGACCTTCAAAGCCCTCATCACAATCCACAAAGTGTTGCAGGAAGGACACCCAGTCACGGTGAAAGAGGGTCAACAAAATGTCAATTGGATAGAGAGCCTGGCAAGAGGTGTGACGGGTGAAGGCTTGAGAGGATACGGACCTCTCATCAGAGAATACGTCTTCTTCCTCCTTGCCAAATTGGGATTTCACCGACAACATCCAGAGTTTAACGGACTATTCGAATATGAGGAGTACATCAGTCTGAAGTCAATCAATGATCCCAATGAAGGCTACGAGACAATTTCAGATCTGATGACTCTGCAAGATCAGATTGACACATTCCAGAAATTGATCTTCTCTCACTTCCGCGGTGGTGCGAACAATGAGTGCAGGATTGCAGCCCTGGTGCCTTTGGTACAGGAAAGCTATGGCATTTACAAGTTCATCACCAGCATGCTGCGAGCGATGCACACCACCACCGGCGATGACGACGCGCTCGAACCCTTGCGCTCGCGGTACAACGGCCAACATTACCGCCTGGTCAAATTCTACTACGAATGCTCCAATCTGCGATACCTCACATCCTTGATCACCGTTCCCAAACTCCCCCAAGACCCTCCTAGCCTCCTGGCCGAAGATGAAGAAAAGCCTGCGCTACCCAGACGACCACAGAAAGAGATCGAGCGTGCTCCTTCCCCTGTGGCCAAGAATGGCACTCCAGATCCAAAAGATATGGACGATTTCTGGTCAAGAGAAGCGCAGAGACAACAAGACGAGTATGAAGCAGAGCAGCGACGTCTGCAGCAGCAATGGGAGGAACAACAGCGTCAGCAAATGCTTGCTCAGCAAGATGCGCAGCGTGCTTTTGAGGAGCAGCAGAGAATGCAGGCCGAGCAGCAACGACTGGCGCAGGAACAACTAATGCGCGATCAGTATGCTGCACAGACTCAGGGTCGCATGGCAGAACTGGAGCGGGAGAATCTGAATGCACGCGCACAATATGAGCGCGACCAGTTGATGCTCCAGCAATACGATCAACGCATGAAAGCCTTGGAGGAACAACTACAACAGCTGAACAACAATTTTCACATGCAATCGCAGTCCAAGGACGATCAAATTTCTGCTCTGCAGGAGCAAGTCAACACATGGCGGTCGAAGTACGAAGCTCTGGCGAAACTGTACTCTCAATTGCGTCAAGAGCATCTCGACCTGTTGCAGACCACCAAATCATTGAAACTGAAGGCGGCCTCAGCACAGGAAGCTATTGACCGCCGAGAACGACTCGAACGCGAAATGAAGACCAAGAATCTGGAATTGGCCGACATGATCAGAGAACGCGACCGAGCTCTGCATGAGAAAGACCGTTTCCAGGGCGGGCATCGTGAGGAAGTTGAAAAGCTGAAGCGAGAATTGCGATTGGCCATCGAACGAGCCGAAAATGCAGAGCGATCCAAAGGTTCCGAACTGTCGTCCATGCTTGCCAAGTACAATCGTGAGATGGCCGATCTCGAAGAGGCTGTACGAAGCAAGACAAGACAGCTCGAGGAGATCCGGTCGAAACATGGCGAGCGCAATATGGACCATGAAGCAGTTCTCCGCGAGAAGGACGACGAGATCGAGATCTACAAGTCTGGAATGGAGCAAGCTCTGGAAGAACTCGAAGAGCTCAAATTGAACGGCGGCGAGGCTGACGGTGCGCTGGACGGCGCCATTGACGAAGTCATCAAGAGCAACGTCACCAAGATCCACGACATTATCGATTCCGTTCTTCAAAGTGGTGTGCAAAGAGTTGACGACGCCATGTACGAACTCGACTCTCCTATGCAAGCCGGTAACCAGAATGCAACGGCACCGTACGTCTTGTCTCAAATTGAGAAGGCGTCCGCTAGTGCAACTGAATTCTCGACAGCCTTCAATAACTTTGTGGCCGACGGACCGAACAGTGACCACTCGGAAATCATCAAGACAGTTTCGGTCTTTGCAGCATCCATAGCTGATGTCCTTTCCAACACCAAGGGCTTGACTCGATTCGCGACCGAGGAGAAGAAGGGAGACGAATTGATCAACTCTGCTAGGCAATCGGCGCTGTCGACAATTAATTTCTTCCGCAGCTTGCAATCCTTCCGGCTTGAAGGCCTAGAACCAATGCAGAAGAGCGACGTCGTGATCAACAACAACCACGAGGTCCTGATGAAGTTGCAGCGACTGTCCAAGCTCGCTGACGCTTTCGCGCCGAAGGGCAGCAAACTCAGCACGACAGGCGATCTCGGCGACCTGGTGGATTCGGAACTGACGAAGGCTGCCAATGCCATCGACGCTGCTGCTCAACGTCTGGCGAAGATGAGGAACAAGCCTCGCGACGGGTATTCCACGTATGAACTGAAAGTCAACGACATAATCCTCGAAGCGGCCATCGCGGTGACCAATGCAATTGCACAACTCATCAAGGCAGCGACAGATTCACAGAACGAGATTGTGCGCGAGGGCCGTGGCTCTTCGTCCCGAACGGCGTTCTACAAGAAGAACAACCGCTGGACGGAAGGCCTGATCAGCGCGGCGAAGGCGGTGGCCAGCTCGACAAATACCTTGATTGAGACGGCGGACGGTGTGATCAACGGGCGCAACAGTCCCGAGCAGTTGATTGTGGCGTCAAACGATGTTGCTGCCAGCACAGCGCAGCTGGTGGCTGCCAGCAGGGTGAAGGCCAGTTTCATGTCCAAGACGCAAGATCGACTGGAGCAAGCGTCGAGAGCGGTGGGTGCGGCGTGCAGAGGGCTCGTCCGGCAGGTGCAGGATATCATCAAGGAGAGGCAGCGTGATGAGGGCGAGAGTGTGGACTATGGAAGTCTCAGTTCGCATGAGTTCAAGGTCAGGGAGATGGAACAACAGGTATGTTTTGCTTTCTTTCTTTCGGTGTTCGGCGGTCCGGATCGTGCATGCGCGGGCGTAGGCTAACAGTATGTGTTTCTTTGCAGGTCGAAATCTTGAAACTCCGGAATTCTCTGGAAGCGGCGCAGGCGAGACTCGGTGAGATGCGGAAGATTTCGTATCGCGAGGATTGAGACTACCTGGCTGGGGGTCTGCTGTGGGTTCGAACGGAACGGTAAACGGGCGTCTGCAAGCAAGCGAGTGAAGGAATTGAAGGTTCGTTGGCCCTGTGGTCCTCGGTCAGCAATGCATTCCAACGGAGCAAGTGGTCAACAGCATGGGGTTGGAAGGATGGCTGTGCAAGCATACGAAGCCGGATGCCGTGCCATGCAGAGCATTGCTTTGTAGAATGATACCATGGTCATCCGTTCGCTGCCGTCCAGAAAGCCGGCCAGTGTGTATGTGCACTCTCCTGCGGTGCAGAACTGAGTCGTCGTTCCTCGTGAGCTTCATGCTCGACTGGTGAGATTGAGGCCCATCCTGTTGAGTTTCTCCCTCTTGTTTGCTCCGACTGCGGCGCTGCGCTTCGGGTAGGCCACAGGTTCGTTCAATGCTGTGGCATCGTGTAGGAGGATATCCGGTCTCTTCCTGGTCAGGATGGTCCCGTTCTCGTGGCCTTGCCCTTTTCATTGCCGTGGCCTCGTCGTGGTCTCGCCCTTGCACGTGTCCTTGGTGGTGACGGCGTTTATCCAGATAGACAGCGCAAGCAAACGAAGGGATGCGGGATGGAAACTTTGGCAATCTTGTAATATTCTGCTATGCATTGTTATATGTATCTGACTCTCAATCTCTTTTTCCTCCCACCCGTCCGATCCAGACGCTCGTCAGTCTGTCGCAGCCTGTCATCGGCCGAGTTCTCGTGGCGCAGCCCAAATCCGTGCTATCTCAGCCCAATTCTAGCCGCCGCCGCCGGGCTGATGTAGTGTGGTCCATCCTACTCTTCCACGAGTCCTGCTCTTCCACGAGTCCTGCTCTTCCACGAGTCCTGCTCTTCCACGAGTCCTGCTCTTCCACAAGTCCTGGCTCGCTAGTTCCTTTTCTGGTAGTTGGGAAGGGTCGCAGGCGGGCAAAGTCGGTGGTAGAGCACGATTTGCTCGCAATCAGGGCAGAATGTCGCAGGTCTTGCTGGCTGGATCATGTCACCCTCGTTCTCTGCAGTTGTGCTAGACATCTTCCGTCTCTTGACAAGTCCGGGCACGCAAGTGTAGATGCTCATTCTTTCGATAATATTGTCCCGCACTGTGTCAACGAAGGAGAAGAGGAGCAGGCTGCGGCAGCTGACAGTAGGAGGCGAGAAGTGACAGGTTTCGGCACCGGAGCAGGACGAGGCATACGAAGCGGAGACGTGAAGGATGCTGTGGAAAGCGGTTCAGCGGAGCAGGAAGATGCCATTGCTCTGGTGTTGATTCTGGCTGCATTTTCAGCGTTGCTAGCTTGTCAAGCTGGGCTTTGTTGCAACAAAAGGAGTCAGCATGCAGGTGAGGGCAGCAATGAACAAAGGAACGGTGGCTCATGGCTACTTTCTGCCGTAGAGTGATGGGTATTTTCTGTAGATCATGGGTTTGTCAGTGGCATCTCCGCTGGTCCAAGGCATTGCTTGCCTTGCTGGGCAGAGCGGAAGAGCTGGTGATGCTGCTGGGGAGGTTTGGTTCGCTGCGCACACGCTGAAGCTGCGATACGGCTCAGATCTGAGATTCTGCTACAGCGTGCTGGCTTCTGGGACGTGCGGTCTTCATGATGGACGTCGTGAGGACGAGATTCAAGGTATGGAGCAGTGGTGGAGGATGGTCGTCAAGGCGCAGGCGTAGTGGCCACCATGGGCTTCATGCTGCCTGCTAATTCGCTCGCTTGCCGTGGTCAGTTTGCTGGCGGCTCGGGCGAGATGTGGAGGAGCGAAGAAAGCTTGACACTTTTTCGAAATAAGCTTGAGAAAATACTATCTATGCCGCATTGTTAAGTACAATTTCGTTCCCATTGGAACGCAGCTCAGGCTCTGGCCGAGCTTATTAGGTTCTCTTGCGCAGGAGAGATATCTGTTCGCGCCGCACCATCAAGTATCCATTCCCACTTCCAAGATAATACAGCCCAGGTTGTTCAGGAGCTTACCAGTTCTCTGTCACATCAAACACCACGCCATTGTGATCAATTCTTCTCTGCCTAGCGGAACACTTTCTCTCACGCATCGTAATTGATGAGCTCGCTGAAGTCCAAGTCGAATGGGTCGAAGTCGTCTTGGATGACACGAGGGTCGAAGCCGAGAACTGGTGGCTGGATTGCTGGATGGAAATGAAGAGCCAGAGTGTCAATGTTGTCAAAGGCAGTCTGTTGATCAGCTGTGACCGCAGCGACAGAGAGGTAGGTGTTGCTGTTCATGATGGCATCATGAAGCTCAATTTCAGGTTCCTCCTCCCCTTCGTGCAAACCACCAACTCCTGCACCGACGCTCTCATCGCTCATTGCCTCTGTGGAGGAGTCCATGCTGCTAGCCTCCGTCTCCATGGTGGTTGACTGTGCCAGGATGTCAGCATTTGAAAGCATGCATGGGCTGAGACTTACAGATTGAGGAGTGACTGCGAGCGTCAGAGTTCCGCATGAGGGAGGTGGGGTTTGATTGCCAGCAGGGGTACTTGGAATGAAACCTGCATTGCGAAGAGCCTGTTGTCGGAACTCCTCTCGATCTCTGCGTGTATCTCTGTCCATGAGTCCATGATTGTAGCAGTGATCAACGATGTCAGCCACGGACCGGTTGGTTCCAGTGGGGTATTCAGCAGCGAGGACATCTGCGTTGAAAGCCGCATCACGGTGAAGCTCTTCGCAATCGCTTGACAGAATCCAGCCCATCTTCGACAGGTACTTCTCAGCAGGTATGATTGGCAACAATGGGACCGTGATGGAGAGGAACTTTTCGACGGAGAGTGTCTCTTCGTGGTGGTCTCTGAGATCCGAATAAGCGCTGCCGAGAAGAGCCCACAACGCATGCTTGTTCTCTGCACCCCACATCTGTCGCAAGAGACCAGACTTCAGCTTCTGAGGGATTCCCTTGAAGAGAGGGCTGTAGTATGCTGGAAGAAATGACGGTCAGAAAGAGCTGCGACAACGGAAGCATGTACTCACTTCGATATGCGATGAACGCATTCAATGGACGCTTTGGCTTGATACGGTCGAGCAGAGCCTTGCGGCGATCAGTACGCGAAGATTGAAGTTTGCCGACACGGAAAGATGAGGTCGTAGCTGGAATGCTGCCACCACTCATCGCTTTCTCATTGGCAACCGTCACCAATGAGTTGGTGAGCGCGTTCAATTGGTCTGGAGAGAAGGTTCTGAAGAGCTCCGTGAAGGCCTCTCGAAACTTCTTGCTGGCATCCATCTTGCTTTGTTCCTGGACCCTGAAGTGGGTATGATGGCAGGCGCTCGGACTTGCTAACAAAGAATGAGGAATGTAGGTGGATTTGTCTCAGCTGTGGAATCTAAAGATATCCAAGTTTCGGAATTGAGTGATGGGAGTGAAATGTACTGATGGAAGTTTCAGTTCCCAACCGTCTGTGAGAACACCTGCTGGGTTCGTCACTTTGAGCTGGAATTGCAGAGATTTCTGCCTCACCTTTCACAAATTTCTGCGTCACCCATGACTTTGATATTGTTCTCAAGTCGGCAAAGAACAATACTACCCAACCTCCTTCACCGCAGTAGAATCAGATTTCTGCCGCCCTGCATCGGAGTGACGGAGAACACAGTTTGATTTAGAGTCGTTCTCAGATTTTTGCTCACCACAATGTAAGATACCCTCTCAAGAACAACAAGTCATTCCTATGAGCGGAATAATTTTCAACATGACTGGACCAACAAACAACCACGCCGCTGTGGCATATGATGATCGCTCTGCAGGCGAGGTGAGGCAACGGGGCATCATGGACGGTGAGATTTTTTGCCAACTCACCAAGGTTATCCCAACTAATAGAAGGCAGCGGGCGGCAATGTCGTGGCTCGATGCAGCAAAGACTATCTCATCAGTCTTATTTTAGAGATTCTCCGAGCCAGAGCATTCCCACTTGTCAAACTCACCCGGTCCTCAGATGTGAACGCACAGTTACAACGCCTTCGACTCATCACTGCGGAAGTTCGAAGACTGTTCCATCATCCCGAGCTATTTCCATCACAAGCGCTTCGAGCAAGGTTCACAGCAATTGTAGCGTCTGACGCAAATCTACAGTTTGTCCAAGCCGTGAAACACCTGCTACTACGTGAAGCAATTGGCGACTTCAATCGATTCAACCGCGTCAGGTTCACTCGGCGATCATACGAAACAGGCAGCAAAGGTTGGGAGAATTTCTACCTCAACATGGCACCAGGTGCTCCAACGGACGAGGACATGCAAGAGGACCGTCTCCAGACTTCGCCCGAGTCCAGCTGGCAACTGATTCCAATAGCTGGAATGAGAGTCATTGGAGATCTCGTCAATGAGGAAAGAGTTCTACTGCAATGGATCAAGGATACTTCTTTGCCTGTGGCAGTCGAACCCGCTTTTACCACGAGAATTTTGGATTTGGACAAGCCAGAACATCAAGATCCCAATCCAAAGAACTATCTTCGCCAGGTGACCGAGGAGGTTCATGCTCGGCCAAATCCATACTACGAGGATTTGAAGCTGCGACTTGATCTGCCGGGCCACGCTCCCGAGCCTCTGGAGGACTTTACTCCTTTTGTCGGTCGCTTGGAATCGCAACCTCTTCCGCCCAACATGCCTATCGCTACCTTGAACGCCCCAAACCTTTTTCCGATGATATCTGTGCGATCCTGGCACGGCCCAGCGAGGCGAATTGATTTACGATTCCGCAAGATGGACACTCTGCCGCAGAGCCAATGAAGCTGCTGTATTCCTCCAACCAATTTCTGCCACCGACATGCTGGACTCGGAGCGAGCGAGCTGCCCTGCCCACATCAAGCACCATCGTGACCGAGACATGTCCCTGATGATGCCGACTGGCCATAGCCTGGTCGAGTACGACTACGAAATCGCACTTGGTTCGGCTTACAAGAACACGACGGGTTTCGAAGACCCTGCGCAAAGATATTGGAACCTACAAAACCCGCACCGCTGCCAATGCCAACGACTTCATGAACAGCTTGTTCGACTGGGAACAATTCAACAAGGACCACAAGGTTATCAAAAAGAGTCTCGGAGTTGACCGCCAGGAGGCTCTTGAGGCGCTTGGTGATGAAGCCGTTGTCGCCTTTGACGACAAGAACGAAGAAGAAGACTGGCGCACTGAGCTCCAAAACATTCTCTGGATGTTTGAGTGAGAGCTTCTCACCATCGTGGCACTGCGTGTGCTCATTTTCATCTGAACACCAGACACCAAAGCAGCATGTTCACCTACTGAACACCACCTTGTCCTGTCGGTCCAAGCCAGACAGTATGCTTGACCTCGAACACAACCTTGACTGATGACGTTGGCTGTTGGACGCATTCGCAATTCGACTCGAGTTGCTCCACTCCACACTGCATGATGTGGCAGATGAGTTGTTGGTCTTGGTACTAACTTGGCCGGCATCTGCACCGTCCATACACGATACCCCTTATTACTGTTCTTGTTCTTGTTCTTTCAAGGGAAATAATTCTTGAGCAACGCTGGTTGATATCACAAAACTTGGAAAATGGGAATGGAAAAAAAGGATTGATTGCTGGGACGGACACATGCCCTGGAGACTGAACCATGCCCAAGTAGGAGTTTGCATGGCATGGAATGGGGATCAATGGAGTGGCAATGGATCATTGTAATCAGTCAGTAGTATGCATAATGAAAATCGACTTTGTCCTTCATTGGACGAAGTCACCAAATCTCATGTTCGCTCTTGTCCATCTCGTTCTTTCTTTGTTGCTCTTCTTTAATGACTATGTTTGGTATCTGATGCTGATGCTGGCACTGCGAAGCGTACAATCTAAGGCTTCCTTCAACATGTAGCCGCTGTCACCAACGGCTTCGGCATGACACGGCATGGCCTGACAGCGGGTATCGAAGTGGCACCGCTAAGTACGGTGCTTTGAGCTAAAGGCAAGTCTGGTCTCTCTGTGGTGGACTGCCGCTGACAGCTGGAACACAAGCGTTGGCTCTCCTGTACTCGTTGTCCCGTCATTGTCAACAGAGCAGTACGCCGCTATCGAGCACGCCTTGACGCCGGTGGCTTCGCTGGTGCCAGCCGTCCAGGAAGAACGGACGAAAATGGGAACTGATCAGGACACTGGGGTCGGCGAGATACACGGGGAATCTGGCTACCCCGACAATGAGACCTTCCGTGCAAAGCAGGTGGCAGCACCATGAGGAGGAAGACCGACTATGTTCCGCGCAAGACGAGACGAGACCAGTCGTTTGGAGACTACATACATGGGACGCGAGAGTACGACATGCTCAAGAGAATGGAACATAACTTCCGAGTTGGCCTGGAACATGTCCACTCATGGGGGAACGGCGTGTCGCAATGTGGGATGGAAGGATGCAGGATGGTTCAGAGCTGTGTCCTCAAGCAAGACCGTCATGGCTTCAATCACCGGGACTGCTCGGTATCTATGTACACTGCCGCTGCAGCTGAGGCTCCGAGAGAAGGGCAATTGACAGGCCAAGTCTCTCTGTGCACCATCCTCGCCAGGATATCTCAGACAGCTCAGCCGGCTTGTGCCCAGCTCCTGTCGTGCAAACCCTGATATCGTAGTCGGATGATCTTACTTCCTCTTGCCTCCCGCACTGTCCACTTTACTCCTCTTCTCGTCTCAATGTGCGACGCCCCTATCTCGCCGAGGCGGATTCTGCGCTGCTCAGCGGACGAGAATCAAAAGGACTGGTCGTACGCTGTGTGCCCGCTGGTGCATGGTGAGGGAAAACAGAGCCAGCACGCCTTGTCCGGCTGCAGCGATTTGGCCGCTGGTGCTGCTGGCTGCTCGGTGCTTGGTGCTTGGTGCTGGGTGCTGCTAGGTGCTGCTGGCTGCTTGGTGCTGGCTGCTGCCGGCTGCTTGGTGCTTGGTGCTGGGTACTGCTGGGTGCTGCTGGGTGCTTGGTGCTGGGTGCTGCTGGCGGTAGGTCCAGCAACATCGTCGTGCCGCCGCAGCCTGGCCTCTGGTGCTGCTGGCTGTCGGTGCAGCGATCTCGTCGACGTTGCAGATGGCAGTGATGAGGAGGTGTTTGCTCGAGCTGCGCAGGGTGCCATCGAGGGGCAAGTGGCAGCACGTCTATGGCAACATCGCTCGACCCAGGCGCCCATCTCTGTGGCATGATCTCTTCGTATTCATCCTTGAGAACTTGAAGCAAAGATAACAGTCTTCCAGACAACCATCCGGTTTTATTCATCACGCGCTCCGAGTCGGATGCCCAACCTGGAGGGACCTCAGATCAGATGGAGGCTCCCTCCAAAGCCGCCGAGAGCTCGTAACTGCAGCGAAATCCGCCCTTGGTCCAACACCTCTCAGTAATTGGACCAACCCAAATGTCCCGCACGCTGGGAAGAGATTCCCTTTGCGGCCATACTGCAGTGGCGGGGCCTACTGGCAAGTCCTTGCAGAGATCAAATTGGCATGTTTCATCCCCGTAATGACCCTGTACATGACAGTGCCAAGTTGTCCGATCTCTGTGTAGATCGAATAACTATAAGAACCCTCCTCCCTCCCAACCCTGTCTACCTTCCAACCTGTTTTCTTTTCTCATCTCCTTCACCCTGATACGCTCTGTCGTGCGTTACCTTCTCTCCCACATCAGGCCTCCCTCTCGATTCTCCACTGACTCCTTCGTCATCCGCCTCGCCTCTCCCAGTGCACTCCGATCCCCCTCCCAATCCTCAATCCTCAGGATCTTCGCGGCCCTCGACGCAGCCCGTTTTGGGTCTCGTCGACGCTCTCTAGCTCCTTCGCAACACAACTTGGCTTCACCGGCCGCGCCACCTACAGCCTCAGCTGATTCTATCTAATTTCTTGTACGTTTCGAGCTTCCAATACTCCTATTTGTTGGAGCTGTCCATTTGCGTAACGCTGAAAAATGCGCAGCTGCAATGAGTACGTTTCGACTCGCGTTGGTTGACAGCCACACGGCCCCTCCCGACTTTCTAGCTGTACTGCTAGGAGACGAAGAAGAGCGTCGGCGGATCGAGCGAACAGGAAATCCTTTCAGTACGGGACATCTAGGAGAGAATGTACAAGCCTTTTCGGCGGCGTCTTCACATTTCGCCGCGTATAGGAACGCAAGAGAGCTTGAAAGCGTATCCGGACAGATCGAGGTCCCACCATCTAAATCAAAGAAAAAGGCCGTGTTTATCTGGAAGTGTGTACGTCACTGACTTGTTATCCTGTATATAGCAAGACCAAAGCTAATAGATAAGACAGTGCCAAGACGGAAAAGGTGCAATCAGTGTAAAACAAGAGCACTGCCCGACCTGCTCCCACGCAAGGTGCAACAACTGCAAGCTCCAGAAAGTCACCCAATACTAGGATTGAGACAGAGGATGCGTAACCTGGAGTACGGCAGACTGAGCGTAGCTGACGTTTCTGGCACAAGGCCGGCACAGCCAGCTAAGTGCAGCACCTGGTGCATCAAATCATAAAAATGCCGCATGAGTCGAACGAGTGGCATAGTCATTGGTCAGCCTAGTGAAGCGTGTTATAGACAGTATGGTGTTGCCAGTGACCTCTCAATGCATGTGCAAGAATCAAGGTCGCCACATCGATGCCATGGTGGATGACGTCGAGATGCGTCGAGGCTCTCTCAGGGGCATGGCATGCCGAGGTAGCCAAGATGTGGAGGAATTAGCCCTGTCTGACAACGTCAAAACATGGCTTGTTTAACAGTGGGTGTGCTCGGTCGGAGCTGATACCACATCGTACCATGCCAAAGATAGATACGGGCCTCCGCCTCAGGGCTTCGATCGTTCGCCCCAGTTCAACCAGCTCGACCAAAGCAGAAATACTAGAATTATAAACCTACTTAGAACACGGTACGGAATACTGCTTGCTCTCATATATCGTCCAGCTGTCCGCAGTTTCGTTCGTGGGGCATGCGCCGGGAGCGCCCGAGATGGGGAAAGCGGCCCAAAGCAAGGGCCAACAAAGCTTGGCATTTCAAGTGGTCGGGACCTCTGAGGCGTTTCTTTTGGCCCCAGATTGATCACGACCATCACCTTCATATTCTCCATCCATTATCCCAGATTGAATGCACTTTGCTGCTCGCCCAATGCGGTTATAAATGTCATTCCTTTCAAAATCACGTCGCTTTTTCAACATCAAATCTACTCCATTGCGTTCATCAGAGAGAATCTCCTTATTGTGTCGTGGTAAGAATGATCACACGCTAAACACCGCGGCATCTGATCACCAGCGCAGGCAAATCTATCAGTCGAGACGAGCTTTTCCAGTACACGAATGGTCGATTTTTGACTCGCGAGAAGCAGCAACGCGACTGCCGATACGTCAAGTTTGACGTAGAGGCTCTTTGTGAACTTGCAGCTTCGACCGGCCCTACTATCTCCCCTGTCCGAGAAGTTGAAAAGTTAGAAGGCGGATTCAGTAAAGCACTACGCATCGAGAAAGAGGATGGGACTGAGGTTATCGCAAAGATTCCGTGCCCTAATGCAGGGCCGGCGACATACACAACTGCTTCGGAAGTCGCCGTTCTGCAGTATGGTACCGATGCTCTACGGAATTCTGAGCACGCATAATGTTTTGACCGAATGCAGTGAGAGACCATACCAACATCCCAGTACCATGTGTTTATGCATGGAGCTCAGATCCTTCGAACCCTGTAGGGGCGGAGTACATCATCATGGAAAAGGCCACCGGTGTTCAGCTCTTCAAAGTCTGGGATGAACTTAAAGAGACTTCCAAGCTTACCATCATCAAAAAATTGACCGAATGGGAAAGCGAATTGATGAAGATAAATCTCCCGGCTCATGGTTGTCTGTACCATCGCCAGTCTATTTCCAAGGACGATAGGAAGACGAGTCTTCCACCAAGTATTGATCGATCCAGGTTATACTGTATTGGACAGTCCTGCGATCCCTCCTGGTCATTTCTGAGCGAGAGTTTGGTTTCTGGACCTTGTATGTGCACCTTCTCTTGACGTCGAATCTGGAGAGCTGAACCATCTATAGGGGCTTCTCTTTCCGAATTCGGGATTGCATTAGCAAAACGCGAGATCCGCCGCATCTCCCGAGAACCAAAATGTGGCCATGCTGCTAGCCGCAATGGCTCAGCCGATGATCAGATCGCGTTGCTGGAGATGACGGTCAGGCTCATTCAAATTTTAGGTTGCCACGCTGATCTCATGCCACATGCGAAGCCTACTCTTTCTCACACCGATCTGCATATGGGTAATATTTTTGTATCAGAGAACGACCCTTCAGAAATCTCGGCAATCATTGACTGGCAGTTTACACAAATCGCTCCTATGTTCTTGCAGGCACGTTGGCCAGTCTTCTTGAAACCCCCCAAAAATTATCCTGCCGGGCTCGTTCAACCAAAATTACCAGATAACTATGATGCCCTAGATAAGGAGGGAAAGGAATTGGCAGACTATGAGTTCAAGCAGGTCACGGCAGCGAAAGCATACGAATTGAGGTGCTTTCTTGACAATCAAGACGCGTACCATGCGATGAATATACCACGCGTATATCGGGAACTCTTCATTCGCTGTGGAGAAACATGGGAAGAAGGGGCCGCTCCATTACGTGCATGCCTGATCGAAATATTCCATTCTTGGCACGAACTGGGTCTCCCAGGTGAATGTCCTTTCACATTTCAGGAAGGTGACATCCACAAACATGAAGAAGAGTTTGAGGAGTACGAGAAATGGCATCATGCGCGAGAATTTGCCAAGGAGTATCTGGACACTGATGCAGACGGCTGGATCTCACCCGAGTTAGATTTGGCCAAGAAGCAGGAACAAAACAAGGCCCTGTTCAACTTGTTCACAGAGAGAATGGCTGGTAAGAGGTCTCGAGAAGAGATACGTAGGATATGGCCTTTCCCCGAGGGACTCTAGAACTAATCGTTTCCTTACCATTTGTTGATCGAAGTTTCTCAGAAACCAAGATTCGCAACTAGTAGCTGGACTTTGGGTTATCGTGCGATATAACTATCTACTTGAGGTTATCCTTAGCAGCTCTCTCCATTTGCGCCCATAGATCTTTGGCTGCCTCTTTTTGATCCTTTGCTGGGGTATTTTCATCGATGGTACCGACGGCAAGATTTGCATGTGATCCATGAGACACTTTCGAAAGCAAAGAGGACATGCCGTCCTCTCTAAATATCTGTGACTCGGTACCGTGAGGCGTGGCGCACGTTGCTAGCCAGCATCCAAGTAGTAAGCTTGTCCGAGTCGAAAGCCAGGCCGGGAGCCGGACGTCAGCGACACCAATATTCTAGGAAACTTGGTGTCGTGGAAAACAACCTGGTGACAAATCTCATCAGCTCATCCTTTACTACGCTAAAAACGTCACATAGCTCGCCACTCATCCTCATGCCTTACGCATCTTCTTCCCTTTGATGAGACCAGGCCAACCGATGCTACATTGCAGGTCAGGTACTCAAATGATCAAGAGTTTTGCGCTGGCCGACGGTATAGACCGCTGGGGCCTTTGTGTCGCTGTTGCCTACGAGACGAAGTGAAGGTGTACCAGGTACCCATCCTCTTTGTACTTCCCATATCCTGGCAGACCCCTGCAGCTCGTCCCTGCATGCTCTCCAACTCCTGAGCGGCAGTGAATGGCCCCTGGCCAAAAATCCCACATGAGCCATCCTATCCAATTTCATTGGCTCTCTGTCAAGGATAAACATCTGTACAGCTCCTGCCGGTTCCATATCGACTGGCCGTAGGTGGACGTTGTTATCAGGTCGGCCAATCAATATCCACAAGGTCAGTACCGTTCACTTCATTCCAATGTTCTCCACACAGTCGTGCTTACGTGAAACCGCCTCCATCCTGAGTCATGGATGCCGCTGTATTGTTCTCAACCCAGGCAGAACTGTAATCACAATATTATGTCCTATTTTGCCCAAGGTATAGCAATTCTGACCAGGTTTGGTGGGCAGGTTGAGACGGATCTTGCCGAGCATTTGCTTTGACGGGGGCTAATTCTACCTCCATGGGCCGACGCATCCCACAATGTAGTCTGAGTGGGACAGTGGCATCTACAAGTAGACGAAAACGAGCCATTAGATGGTCATCGACTTAGAGACAGGTAGGCTCAGTACGAAGGCGCAACCTGCTATATTAATCGGTATCATAAATTTGGAAATACTATCCATAGACGACTCGTTCATTGGCATATCTGCACCTCGTAGATAATCGGGCAGTACAGTGTACTCTGCTAAATAGGTCAAAAAACTTTCGACGTAATCTTAGCTGTTCTCGTCCGGAATGTCGTCGATTCGACGCCCCTTCGAATTCTTTGAACCGAAAACTTGCCATAAATGCCAGGATTAGGTTGGACGCGTCACAACGCCAGGCAGTAGGCTACTAAAGAGCACAGCTAAGCAATTGTAGCCGAGGACCCAAAAGGGCACCTAAGCCCGAACTGGCTTCTATAGATCTGCATCAGGGCAAGCGCTCCCTGTGGCTCGCGCAGTGCTCGGGCGTGCTCCCTCAGTACTCCCCCGGCGTTCCCCGTACTCTGCCGTAGCTCCCTCGATGCTCTTCCGTGCTCGGCCGGGTGCCTCCGATGCTCCGTCACGTGCCAGATTAAAGCGGCCTCGCTCCCTTTCCTGAACGAAAATGGTAAGGGACAAAGCACAGTTCGGGGATGATATAATATATATATATATATATAGCATTAGTCCTAGCTATACGCTTACAATCAGCTGAGCAGAAGCTATGGTCGCGCCATCATGGTCATGGGCTAAGGCTTGACGAACAGATGCATAGGTACAAGCAGACTTTCAACTTTCGGTCAACCCGGAGACGTGGGGCTCGCAGAGACTGCACGAGGAGATCAATGACATGGTATCACATCTTTTACTGTACCCAACATATGAAAGAGTCCTTGTTATGGCTCAACCCCGCTGCCGATCAAACATGTTGGGAGAGAAATGCAGAAGAGTGCACAGCTCACCTCTGCTCCATTCTCTCCCACCTTAAGCGCAAAATCCGTGGTTCTCCGTCCATCTCGACGACCTCTTCCGGGCCTAGAGTCAATATTACACGTCCGTCTTCCAGCGAAAACTCTCTCAACCTCTCCTGAGTCGAATTTCTCCAATTGGGCGGAATGCTTTCTCGGATACGGTGAAGCACTTTTCCATCGTCGCCTTGTTGAGAACCAAGTTCGTAAGTACCGGAATAAGAGAGGGTACTCGCTGCCGCGGTGGCATATTCTGTGGTAGTCCCAGCGAGCCACGATTGTTGATATGACGGCACGTTTTCGGATTGTATCATCACGCTCATGAAGCTGTCCTGAGTATAGATGAGTCGACCGGTGCAATCTTTACCCATCGGATACACCACATCCGTCGAATTGGCCGTGTGATATGCTGCATACGACAGTAAACTCCAGGTGCCGACCAGAGACAAAGTCGAAGCCGTCGCGGTATTCTCAGCCTCGGGGAGCCTGGTCTTCCCCCTGATGACAAAGTGCTTGATGGCGCCAGTGACAGTGTCGTCCTGTAGCATCCGCATTTCTTGCTCGGATAATGGCACTTTTGAAGCCTTCACATAGCCCAAAAACCATTGCAGGTTCTCCTTATCCTGCCAGCTCTCTGCTCCCGGAAAAACATTGCCGTGTTTCAACGTGAATTCGACTTGAGTGACAGTATTTTCGCTACCAGTGGCGTTGAGGGCTTTCTCCCAAGTACGTGGCTTCCCGGGCAGATGGCCATTTGACCCGGAATCCGCCGTTGCTTTTACCTTCACCTCCATCCGTGAGCTGATCTTGAAGCAAGCTGTTCCTAATCCGTATATCTCAATAACGCCACCTGGATTTAGTTGTCGACAGGCTCTTGTGATGAACTCAGAGGGTTGGCCCTGCCACAGCTCAGCATCGAACAGTATGATCAGATCGTATGTCGGCAGCCTGCCCCATATAATATCGCATTCGGCTCGGCGATGGAATCGTATGTACTCCACGTGGATACTGGGCTGAATCCTTACTGACTCTACAGCCCATGGTCGAGGATCCAGGCCGATCATGCATACTCGATTGGATAGTCCTTGTGGCAAGCTTGATGCCAACGGGTTGCTATGAGGCGTTTCAGTGACGATTCTCAACAGGCCTGTTGCCAGCTCCGCTTCCAGCTCGCTGTCTCCTTTAGAGTCACAAGTCTCTCGAAGGCTTAGGCATTCGAATCGTTCCGTAACGTTTGCAAGAGGATCGGGCGCGTCTTGTGTCCTGCTAGCAGTTCGAACGCCTGCAGTCGAGGACAAATCGCTCAAGCAGGATTGCTTTCCTTCGTTAGGCATGTCAGCTTTTCCTTTTTTGCGCGACTCTCCCAAAACAGTGTCCGATATTGGACGCTTTGAATTGTCTTCCATGCTTAGTTCAATGCCTAAGCAACATGTGGTGAGATACGATGAAGGAGGTTGAGAATCTGATGCAAGAGCGCAAAATCGATGCTTATCTGACAGAGGTACTGCAACCCTTAAAGACCAGGACAGGAAGTGTCGAGAAAATTGTAGTTGTTCATGAAAGAAAATCAGAAGAAAAGATTTAATTGCAGAAGCGCTGCTTTATTACAGGTACCAGCCAAGCAACTGTCTCGGCACCTCCATTTCGAACAATCGACGATTTGTATTGTCGCGTACAGGATTATCTCGAGGACCCCCTTGAGAGCGAAATCTATTCCGAGAGCAAAGCTACTGGTGTTTGTCCCACTATTGACACTCCTAGAAGCGCTATAAGCATGCCGCTAGCCTAGGTCATCAAGCTGATCAAACTCGACAGCTTGCTCATGAGTTCTTGACTACAATTGTTACAGGCAAAGGAAACATACTTGCATCTTCATCATTCTCCTATTTCGGGAACTACATCTCAGTATTGGTGAGCGGCTCTATAGACCCATAAGTATATACTCAAGGAATGTATCCAGTATTGCGATGGGAGTACGCCCTTAAATCCATTCTCATATATATATATATCCACGCGCCCGAGTAAGGATGACCCTTTTGACACCGTCTTTGAAATTCCCATAGCACCTAAAGAGGCGTTCAGGAGCTCGGAGATCCTATTCCAAACGCTCCTAAAGGTCGAAGAATGTGATGGTGCAATTTTCCTGTCTCTCCAAGCAGTTGGATACGTGTTACTCGCTGCAATTTAGAACCAAAATAGGTATATAAAGTCAAAGGGAATATCGGCAATCCTTTAGGCCTATTACAGAGTATTCTCTATAGAATCGAATCTAGGGATACTGTTTATAGGATAAAGACTGTCCAGGACGATAGCCAAGTGTACCCCTATAGGTGGTGAGATAACGCTTTCGAGATCCTATATTTTAATGACACCTTTAGTACAGAAATCTATTGGAAAGATAACTTCTTTAGTTTGCTCGCTATATTCTATTGTTATACTATAGCTATAGTAGTGAAATAATAGTTTATCGCTAGGTTAAGCGCTACTTTCTAACTAATATACTATCTAAAGGATATTTTCTCTTATTAGTTAAGAAGTTAGTTAGCGCTAGTAATTAATTAAGATAATTATATTTTAGTGATTATAGCCGTACTATAGAAGGGCTATTAATATAGACTTTATACTCTTTATATAACTCGTAAGCTTTCTAGATTATCCTCGATAGTCGATATTTACTAGTAACGCCCTTTTTTAACTTCGATCCGCGACTTTAGAAGTCGAGTCTTAATAAAACGGCGTCTGCAACGTAGTAGATATATTGTGTCGATAAGAATAGTCGTCCTTTTGAGACAACGTATCGGCTAGTGAGGATATCTTTATATAGGGCGTAAATAGCGCTTTTAATGTTAGCGACGGGTTAAAATATAGGTGGCTATAGATTGCGGTATAGAGTACTTACGTACTAGGTCTACTGCTAAAGGAGAACTTCTAATTTAGTACGATGTAGGCTCTAGCCAATAGCTATTGGTCAATATTAAAATACTATTATTGTTTTATTGTTTTGCCGTGTTTCTACTGGATCGACAATACACTTACGACTATAAGAAGCTCTCTCTAAATATATTGACTCCTCGCGGTATCTTCTAATCGGCTAATGTCAAAATAATTTAGGGAGTCCCGTTAAGGTGAGTAGTGTAGTAATGAGTAGGATATATATCTTATAGAATCGTTAAATAAAGTACCTTTAGATCTCTTACTCTCTCTTAGCTTATTATATAGTATAGTGTCGTCGTAGTACTACTTTACTAGCGTACGATAATATCGAAGACTATAAAGGCTATATAGGCACTGACAAGCGACCGGAATACTTCGAAAGAGAGCACGACCTCTGCCGGCACTTTGCCACTCGGCAGGCCGTTCAGGATGTCCCGAAACGAGTGCTTTTTTCTTCGCATGCGCGCTAGGAACCGCCCGGCCCAAACGCCTCGAACAAGACAGGAAATAAACACCGAGAAGGCGAATAGAAGCGGCCCTGTAACGCGCTGGTCCCTAGAGCCTGGATCTTGGGCAGACGTCTGCCTCTGCCTAGCCAATCACGCTCTCCTTCTCAGTGAACAGTAAGCATGAGGAGCATGTGCCTACATGTCATGGATGTGCCTCTGCACCTACACCTACGTGATTGGGCAAGTTCTGCACTCATGTCCTATTTCCTCCCGCTGGTTGAAATCAGCATACGCGGTTTCTCGTTTCTGCATGAGGCCGCATAACTTTCAAGTGGCAGAGAGCCGTGCAGCAGCGTGACTGGCTGCAGAAATTGCCGTTCTGGCCGTTGTTCACAGCCCAGCACCACCAGCATCTGAATAAAATGCATCCTACCAAGATGAAATGTCAACCCTTTTTAAAGGCTTCCGAATGCCACCCCTTCTGGCGTCACAATCCCATTCCCTGAGTTGCATGGTGATTCGGCTGTAAGCTTGATTTTCTCAAAATGTCAAGGTATATCAATCGATTCACTATAGTCCCGAAGGAGTTGTTCCGTTTGAATAATGGACCAACGTTGTCTCTTCGCGATAAAACAGGTAAGAAAACTGGCAGCTACGATATCTTGACTGAAGCCGGGAAAGTCAACCGAAGGCCGTTACAAACCCTGAGACTTATGAGAGTAAGACTGGAGCATCATGATGTACGCTGTATTGCTGATGAGTTGAAGGACCTGACGGTGCCTCGTTGCGCCCTAACCCTCCTACTCAGCAACAGCTTGTGAGGAACTTCACTGGTAGCGGTATTGTTGTCTACGCCATCCCCAAAGGTTTGTTGTCTCAGTTTGAAATCCCAACCTATGGAGGCTCAATCAATGCCAGATACACAACTGCCCAATGGCCTTGTTCTTGTGCACGAAGTGGGTGATCATTACTCGTTGCAGCCAGCGCGAGAAATGACTCTTACAGGTTTGTTCTTTCGTCCTCCTGTGGTAGGACTGAGGTTGATACTCGCAGAACTGAACACGGACATCAACAGTTTCCTTACCGCCAAGGCTCAGCGTATGACGAAGTCAGAATGGTTGGAGAAATATCCCGCAGCAACGGAAACATGCTAGCCTCCGTCACTCGCATATATGGTGTTCTTCGGCACCGTTGGTCATGAGAGACAAAGCGCCCCTTCTGGACCTCTAGCAGGACGTCCAGGACTTTGGACCTCCCTCGTAGCGCGCACTTTCTAGACGTGGAGACAGAGGTGAAACATGTTGCAATTGTCAGATATGCTTGTATGTCAACCCCAATACCACTACCCTACTGCTTTTGGGAATCGATGTTGAATTCTAGACGCTGTGGTGTGAATCAACACGTAGAATTGTCCTACTATGCAAATCACTCTTCTTCAAGTTTGCCATTGCTCCGTATCTGTATCTGCCGCAGCATCGTTGAAATTGTTTTTGTCGAACCACTCTTCAGCATCAAAGACGGTCGCATGCGTTGCATAAAACCCGCTGAGGATAGTATTCAATTCTGCAGGAATAATCAGCGGCATATTGCGAGTAGGCCAAGGCAATATAAACCGTGTAGCTTCATCGGACGCGACGATTGGAGTGAAAATAATGAAGGGTCTTGATGGAAGGCAAGGAGAGGTGAGGGAAGAATCGTCCCTGTAGAACCATGTTAGTATCATCTGCGAGTAGCAGGCATCGGACAGTACCTTTTTTGATGCTGATGAGTACAGGTCTGATAGCCTCGTCCTCTTCGCAGTATTGATCGAATGCATTTCTCGCTAATTCTTGCATTAAGATGGTATTGGGCATGAATAGAGGTCCATTGAAGGCTGGAGAACTGTTAGTACGCGAGCAAATCGTGTCGTCGATACAGACTTGGGACTTCTTGGGACACTCTAGGGTACACCAGGCCATCACCTGACACAAGAACGTGATCTTTGGCCTTCCCGTTCTTATTCTCTCCATAGACAGGAGATTCGATTCTGGTAGAAGTTGAAGTCGGTACACGGTGGCCGGAAGTCGAGAATGGGAAGAGACCGTAGCAAACTTCCGCCAGTTCGATAATATGCTGCCGTACGAGGGTAAGACAGGTCTATTCGTTAAGCGCATTGTGAATTTGTTAAGCATATTGAGGGAGTTTCATGGAATGTTGTCGGAATAGAGATGGGATTGGTGGAATTAATCAGCAGTCAAGACAACGCAGGCAAGGGCTCAGCATCTTTCTCGAGTGAAAGCTCAGAGCAAAAAGGCAACCAGGCAACCAGGCAACCAGGCATTGTGCAGGCCAAGGGGCTTTATGTACTTGTGCCCGGGTGTCGGGAGTACGGTACTCATGGCAGGCATGTCTTAGTTCTTGAAGGGGCGCGAGGATCTAGCTGCAACCAGATGTGAGGCCTGAGGATCTAGCAAGGATCGAATTCTCGTACGCGTACCATGATCAACTGAGGAAAATCCCCCCAGTTGATCTTAGCATGAGTCGGGGTATCTCGATGGGTCCTCCTGCAAGTCCACCTTCCCGTGTGTACTGGCCAACATACCGAGAAATGGGCAACGAATTGAGTGTTGTCCTTTCTTTGCTCAGTAGCAGCTCAAATCCGCTACAAGAGCTCCGTACGTGGATTACAAGCCAAGACCAAAAATTCGAAAGCCTGGACATGCAGAACGACAAAGCAGGATCGGCCGATGTCCCTGCTGACCAATACAATACAATGGAAGCATTTGTCGACCACACTACCCTGCCTGCGCCTCCAAATGAGGTCGATTTTGACCCGCCATTAGAAACCACTTTCACACCCAGTGACCTTACGATGTTCATGCTTCCTGTACAAGCTGGCTATGGCACTACTATGGGTTTTGATTCCAGTCCACTCGAACATAAAGACACGAACTTCCTGGACCTCTCTGATCACCCAAGCCTGGTGGGTTTTCAGTTTGACCCAGAATCATCATCAGTGACGAAGAAGTAACAACGAGAAGAGATCGCAGCCGTGAAGCCTACCATTTGTTTTGAAGTCGCGTGCATTTTGATATCACTTCTCAAAAGGAAAAGAGAGTACTTTCTTGAAGGAATGTATTCTCTACGGAGACAAAACATTCGTATACTGCTTCCCTGAATGTGACCAGAAAATCTCGCCGTTGGAGCAGCGATCATTGGACTCTCAAGATAGCACGTCAAACGATCGGGTGTGCGCTCTATAATGTATAAGTCACGGCTCTAGGGAAGAAAGGCCACAACAGTACCTAATGTTTCTCCTTTCGGTTAGGGGGCTCCATATCCCTGCTCGTTGTGGGATCTGTTTTGCTCATGAAGCTCGTGTCGCTCCGGTCAGAAGTGGGAGATCTCCCTGCTCCATTTTGAGCCACAGGTTTGCTGTTACCTGCAGAACGCGACGTGTTCTCCTTCGGCACTTTGGCTGAATCATCTCTTGGCTTTTCTGGCATGGTAAGTCAAAGGTTGGGGTGTCGAAAAAACTTGCAGTATGTTCTTCGAAGAGAAGTCCAGCAAACAAGAGGAGAGACAGGAAGGCTGGCTGGCAGGTGTCGTCAAAGATTTGAGGCTGAATTGACGTGTACAGTGTAAAGGGTTTGAATTTCGATGCCTTGATGGATGACATTCAGCGAAGCCTTGAGGCCAACCTGGAGGAGTCAAAGCATTCTTATACCTGGAGACGGGCATCGGAGTGTTCAGAGAATTTTCCTTGTTGGTACTCATCATCGACCGGATACGTGGACAACTCGGCTTCAGGGGTTCTGACCAACGACTCCCAAGGCCCTCCGCAACGTTTTCCGCATTCACTAACGAAGCTCGGCTTTGCGCTTGAGGTTTCCGCCACTTTTGCGCGTGGATCAAGACCGCAGGTATCTCAGAACGACCAACCCTGACCCTTGTCGAATACTATCGATGCAACAGCATCGCAACCTGGCTCTTCATGCTGCAGGATTATGTCAAAGAGAGAGCTGGCAGACCATTATGCGACCTACATTGACGGGTCACAATGTCCTTGGAAGCCCAGACTGAGACATGACCGTCCGGATAATGGATTGAGAGTGCTTGTTGTTAGCTTACCTTGTGGAGCAAAGGGTTCGAAGGGTATGCATATTTTGCCCCATATCACAGGACGTACGTACCTTTTGATGTATCCGGAACTAATGCAGCCGGTGACGACGTGCTTAGTGCGAAGAATTCTCATAGAGATGTACTCTGGAAAGGTCTCGATACTTACTTCCACTCCGTGATACAAAGTCGGTCAATTACAGGACACGGCGCTTGGGCCGAGCAACATTAGGGGTAGTCCATCTGGCTCAAGACATGTCTATCAGACATTAGATCAGGAAAACCGACCACGATAATAAACTTTATTACAGGCTCGGAGATGGGATTATCTTCGCCTCCGCCAGTCCATGTATCTCTCGTCCTTCAGAGTCAAGTAACAGGGAAGAATGTGCTGGCCGGCTGCCCGACCCACATTCATACGCTGCAGCTTCCTTCGAAGTCAAAGCAGATGCATAACGACATTGATTTAGAGTCGATGCAGGGATAGCCTCTACATAGAGGCTTGTGGCTCAGATTGGGAAACGCGGGTCAGCAGGGAGGCTAGGAATAACTGGCGGTTGAGGAGAGGCAGAGAGCGCCCAAATGTTATCCACGCCTAGTCGCCGGGGTAATTGCCAATCTTTGATTTCTTCTTACATTTCTGAAGGACAGTCCAATCTGGACATTTTGCCCGAATCTCTTGCGCAACCAACTAGTTACGGCTTTCCTGGCCTTGACGTCAATGCGCGACCGTAGCTGCTTTGCCAAGTCCGGTCTTGATGTCCGGAAAGACAGGACGGGGAGTCGATGAATTCCTCCACTAGGCTAAAGCTACTGTAACCAACTGCGTCCACAAGCACTCCCCGTTTTGCGAGAAAGTCCAAATCTTTAGTTGAAGCTGTGGCACGGTTGGCAGCAAAAAGGCTCAGCAATGAGCACCAACCTGGTATGCCTTGAACAGACCGCCGGTACCGACGATGAGCTCAGTCAGAACGATCGGCGTCCCAAACTGAGACGATCCCGTGCTCATGTCACGATTGCGTGTCAGTCTTGTAAGTCGCGGAGGAGAAAGGTAAGTAAGCCATGTCCTAGTACTGCTAGTCCTGTTCTGAGAATGCCTAGTGTGACAAAGGGGACCCATGCTCAGAGTGCAAGAAGAGGAACGCGTTTTGTGACCGAGGCAAGCAGGCAGATTCGAGGAGCAAAAGCCACCGGGATGAGATAGTATTAAAGAGCATGGCGTATGATCGAATTATGCAACTATTCAGATACCCATCAGGACCCAATGTTTCGAGCTTCCTCCAGATGATCAGAGAGGGGTCGTCGGTCCAGGAGGTGCTTCGTTTTCTCGACGAGCTCGAAGCCAAGGCAATAATGGATATCAGACATATCGTGGAATGACCAAGTGATCCAGTCAGGTCACGGCTAACCTGTCAAATCGGCCATTGCAAGAACAAAGTCTATGACCTCGAGCGCAGCTTGTCATACCTCCAAGGAATATCGTGCTCGCCCTCGATTAGGGAAGGACCAGAGAGTGAGGCATCAGGGATTTGTGACATAGATTTCAATAAATGTTGGCCTTGCGAGCACGTTCCGTTGCCCCAACGTTACGAAACTGTCGTGGCCGAGGGCCTCTTGTCCGGAGGTGAAGCTCAACGCCTGTCTATCGCTCGTCTTTTGGTCAGAAAGCCGCAGATAGTACTTCTCGATGAGCCTACCTCAGCTATCAATCCCGAAGGACAGCCCCAGATGCAGGCAATATTGGACGACTTCTGCAGGCCGCGCACTACTATTGTGATTGCTCACAGGTTACTTACAATCAAGAACGTAGACAGGATTGTGGTCTTAGACCACGGACGGGTTGTTGAAAGCGGAACGCATAGGGTATTGATGGCAAAAACAGGCAAATATTATCGTATGGTAGCAGCTGAGTTACGGTAAGACCAGGTGGTATTAGCAAGTAGGAATTCGGGGATATGAACGGCACAATTAGTCTTGAGCTGACGAAACGCTCTGTGCGATTGGTTCACGATTGATCTTGTATCAATATGTTCTTGATATTCATCTTCTTTCTCCTCCTCAATGCTCTCCTCGCTTCTCTCTTCACTTTCTGCTTAGTATGTCTAACCCTCCAGGATTTGCGAAATTTGTATAGAGCCGCGACAAGGAAGCCCTGTCTGTCATTTGTGAATTCAGTGGTAAAATGTTCTTGAACGATGCTGTGAACGGTGCTGATAAGCCACTCTCTTTCAAATTCTTGCGTATCATAGAAAGGCAAGCGACCGTCTGCCCACGTAGATTTTGGATTGGATGTGCAATAGTCTTCGTGTACTTGGCGAATGCGGTTTCGTATCCAAATATAATCTTCAGACGAAATTTCGAAGGTGCTCAGAAATTTCGCGTTGTTCATCTTCGCTATCGACGTAAGGTAAAAGGGAAGGTCCTTGTCATGGCGCTTCATAGTGGATAGAAGTAACTTGGAAGTGCGGATTGGGAACGAGGCGCAGAACGTTCAGCGTCCAGCGATGGACTGTGTTTACTTTGAGCTGAAGGAGTGCCTTACAAGCGGCGGAGGACTGCCGCTAGCTAGGAATAAAGTGCTGAACAGTGTCGGTGGTGTTTGAAAAGAAGGATCAACGGCCTAATAAGCCTTCTGGAGATAGAAATAACCCATATAGACGAGATGAGGGTCAATCTCGACCCGATTGTTTCTGAATGTAGTGACCAGAGATAGAGGGAGCAAAGGTGGTCGCACCAGGGCCAGCAGTCCATTTAGACTAAGCGGTGTTAGCAGCCTGCATTTCACTCAGAGACTTACAAATAGAACCTGGTAAGGGTTGCGGGAATCAAAAGCTCACTAGAGGATTAGGAGAACGTCCGTTTTGAGTGGAACCATCCATTGTTGCAAGCAAAGGCCGGCCTCGCGAAGATAGTGCCCAGACGACACCTGCAGCTAGAAGCGCCTCCTAGAGCAAGAAGACGTCCCAATGCCTCCTGTGAATCGAGACTAGACCTAGCGGTGTGACAGCATATTTTGATGCTCGTCAGGACCAATGCATGGGCCCCTCTGGACGCCGGACGACGTGAGCCCCTCGTGCTTCCGTCTGGCATGGAACTTCGGGCGGCAAGCACCATACTAGTGGGCTCAGGAGTGCAACTCAGCTTACATGACCTTACGTTGCCCATTGTCTTCAAAATACTTTCATCGAGCGACATCGACGCAAGTCCTGGCTCTGTGCACGCGCGAAACTCAGATAGAGCTTCAGCTGTGTCGATGGCATTGCAAGCACATGATTTCAGACAAAATGTCGCACGGCTCTTCGAAGTCACCACTGTTATCCACGTCCGCAAGACCTGGCGAATTCCGACCCAGGGTCGTACTCGAGAGTCGGTTGTTGAGTTTAGTGGAGCTCCAATTAGCAGGCTGCGAGATGCTGAGACTACTTTCGGGTCGAGATTGTGTCTTTTCACTAGTGACCTGAATCATTTGCTGCCGATAAACCGCGAGGTCAACCTCTTGTTTCTACAATACCTGCTCCCACTCTTTCTTAACTTCGCTTGTCTTGTCGTCTTGTGCTTGTGTGTCTCTCAAACGTCGAAGGAGCATACTTGGGGGCAAATCAAACCCATGGTGTGTCGCAAAAGCACTGATTCTTGTCAAATTAGTGGATAGAGTCTGGAAGTCTATCAACGATGATTGGCGATATAAGTGATAAACGCCCTTCGGAGGTAGTAACTTAGGCAGGGATGCTGGGTCCATTTGCTCCGAGAGTCGTGGCGAGGTTGAGGCCTTCAACCGGTGTGACTTGCAAGCCCCTGTCGAGCATAGCTCCAATGACTGCGATGGGACGGTCGCCTCTAAGGCCCAGGCTGTGCCTATACGTCATGAGGTGTTCGAAACTTGACCTGGCCGCAGTGTAGAATACGAAGATCACGGCGTCGCACGGGAGGACCTCAGATAGACTCCTACCCTCCACCATGGTAAGGTCAATCCACACCGACTCGATACTGACAGACACTTCATAAGTGCCCTAGTTCTTGCGCACATCAAGGTAGCTGCCCCAAGAATACTGTATGCAGAGGTTAACATGGACACTTGCCCCATCCCATGTTACTTACCTAACGGATAAGTGTCGTTTGCCCCGACCCTCTTGTCACCAACCACGCCAATCTTGTACTTCTTGCGAGTTTTCACCATCTGAAGATTGCAGTGTAGGCCACGCGCAAAGCAATCCGCAAAGCCCAGGCTGAGACATGACCGTCTGAATAGTTAATTGAGAGTGCTTGCTAGCCTCTTTTGTGGCGGTACCTCAAGGGTATGCATGAGTGCACCATATTGCAGCAAGTACCTACCTTCTGATGTATCCGGGGTTAATGAGACGGCTATGTCTAGAATCGTTCCTGATAGGGCGCTCATTTCTAGGCCGGTCCTTCCCCCCTCCTTCAACTTCTCCTTCTATCCCCCCTTTAACCTCTTCTTTAACTTCTCCTTTGTCTTTACTATTGTCAGGAAACACTAAGGACACCTCGGACAGCTGTCTGATCACATGGTGTGGTCAGCACCCTCACAGCATGATACGAGCTGCTGACACCCCTTAGAGTTTTCCTTCTCCTTCTGTAAGAGTAGGAGTAGTCGGTGTCTATAGGACTACTTTCAATGCATCTGTCCAATACCTTCGTGCTGTTCTAGTGCTATGCGCCGGCTTGCCTCTTATCTAATGGTTCCCCCTCGAGAGTACTCTGACAATTCTACTCCTACTGTTACCGAACCCTGACGATAAGACAAGCCGAGTAAGCGGCCAACGCTACGAGCATGTCGGGCCCAAGCACGTGGTACTCGGCAGTCCTCGCAGACCGAGCCTGACGAGGAGGGTGTGGCTGGTCCTTCAACGCAGCCGCTGCCGACGATTGAAGGTGGCGAGGCTAGCAGTGGAACGCAGCCTGCGCGAACGCCGTACGCAAGCCCGAGGCCTGCGTCGGCAGCCCCTCTACTCCCTCAAGCTCAGCATAGGGACCAGGCCGAGCCGGCCCCTACCCCTGCCTCTTCTATCGCACCGTCGGTTGCGCCTTCGATTGCCCCCTCGGTCGCGCCGTCTATGGCAACCTCGGAATTGTTGGCGGCAAATCTTGACGTTGATGCAATCGATGCCGAGCACGAGCGTATGAAACGCTTAGTATTAGCACAGAGAAAGCAGAAAGAGATTGCGCTTTTGAAAGCAGAGTTCAGGGGTGAAGAAGTGAATGATCCTGTCCGGATCGAAGGATCAACGCTGCCGGTGCGCAAGCGCCCAGCAAGCCTAGGGCTGTACTCGGGCCATCCCAAACATCTAAAAATTGCTCCTCGCAAGAAGTTTTCTGCGACGTCGCTGGGCGAACTCCAGGAATACCTAAACGAGTGGCGATTGATCTTTGATTTGGACCCAGACTCGTCGGATGATGTACGCATCCGACAACCAGCCACTGAGCTTGCTGAGACAGCCGCATCGACATGGCTCCGAGAGCCGAGGGAAACCGAACCCACCACGTGGGAAGGTTACACCACGTTTTTACGAAACGTTGTTCAAGCCCTGCCAACCGCATGTCAACCGCGTTGTCGCAGCTGTGGCGGTACAGGCAGAAAGACGGACAATCTGTGCGCGAAGTCCAAGAAGAACTTGCACGTCTCCGGCAGGATGTGACTCGATTGACTGAAGAGCAGAGGCATGCTTGGGAGCTGCTTCTGGCGTTGAAACCCGAGGTTAGCCTGGCAGTGATGCGCGAGGTGCGCGAAATTGAAAGTGAGGAGTTGGTACTCCGAGCCGCTCAGCGGCACGAAGAGCTCCTCAAGTGGCAAGACAGGAGAGACAAGCGGGAAGCTGTCAAGACGCAGTCTAGCAGCAAACCCGGAGCTGGTCGCGATTCTGGCGATGCTCCTGCGAAAACAAAGCAGGTTGAAAGCAAGCCGGCCGCTGGTGGTCAGCAATCAAGTGGCACCCGAGGTGCATCTCCTTCCGGTTTGCAATGCCATCGCTGCAAGCGTTATGGGCAGATTGCACGGAACTGTCTACAGCCGCCGTCTGGTAGCACGAGAGCCAACTCCGTTGCGCGGGAGAAACGCAAGGAGAAGGACCAGGGGCCAAAAAAATGAGACCTAGTACCTACTGCGCTTCTAGTGTGCTAGGTAACACCCCTACAGGCGTGCGTACAGAGACCTCGAATGCTTTGACGGGCTCTGTGGAAGTGGAGCTTGCAGGTAAGAAGCGTACTCTACGCATGCTAATCGACTCTGGGGCTCAACTCAACTTCATCTCGCAAAAGATCATGGTTGAAGAGCAAACCGCCCCGAGGGACTCGTCGATTAGGGCCCATGCGGTTGATGGCCGAGCTATCAACGTCTACGGCGAGCACACCTTCCGTGTCTATGCTACGGATACACGGGGGACGTGCTACTCAATGGATGATGACTTTGTGGCAACCGATGTGCAGGATGCAGATCTGATCCTTGGGTATCCCTGGCTTAGGGATGTGCAGCCGGAGATTGACTGGCGACACGGTGCTTGGAACCATCGACTACCACGCGTAGGCGATGTACAACTGGTGTCCCTGAAGAAAATCATCCCGCTGGGGAAGAAGCATGGCCTAGGAATGATACGATTATCTTCCGTCCTGTTGGGCAAGTTGTCTTCCGCAAGCGGCGAGCATACGGACAGCACCTCCGACGAGGATCCGTTGCCGCCAGAGGCTGAGGGATATAAAGATGTCTTCGACGAGGCGGAGGCGGGTCGCCTACCGCTAGATACTATCGTCAAGCATGCTATCCCGATTGAAGAAGGGAAAAATGTTCCCTACAGTCCCATTTACCCTCTTAGTGCTGAGGAACTGCGCGTGTTACGTGAGTACTTCGAGAAATATTTTGCCCGCGGATGGATTCGTACAAGTGAGTCCCCAGCCGGGGCTCCCGTCCTCTTTGTACCGAAGAAAGACGGTAGCTTGCGACTCTGCGTCGATTACCGTGCTTTGAACCGGGTGACCATCAAGAACCGACACCCATTGCCACTGATTAGCGAGACGTTGGACCGTCTCGGTGGCGCTGCAATCTACACTCAGTTGGATTTGCGAGACGCATACCACAGGATCCCTATCGCAGAGAAAGATATCTGGAAGACTGCTTTTCGCACGCGATACGGACACTTTGAGTATACGGTGATGCCTTTTGGGCTGACCAACGCACCCTGCGACCTTTCAAGCATACATCAACGAGGCCCTCGAAGGGTTACTGGATGTTGTCTGTGTTGCATACTTGGATGACATCTTGATCTTTCGTTCAGATCCCAAGAAGCATGCGACTCTGTGCTTGTCGTTGTATGTCGATTCTCTAAGATGGTCAAGTATATACCTTGCGATGCCCAGATAACCGCCGCGGCATTAGGGGACCTGTTGGTTGAGTACATTTTTGCAGCATTTGGCGTCCCACGCTCCATCGTCAGCGATCGAGTGCCAATCCTGACATGGCAGTACTGGGGAACCCTATGCTATTATCTTGCGATCAAAAGGCGATTCTCGACTGCCTTCCATCCGCAAACGGACGGACAGACAGAAAGGGCAAACCAAACGTTGGAATGTTACTTGCGTTGCTACGTAAACTACCAACAGAACGACTGGGCGATGCTGCTGCCTAGCGGGGAATATGCTTGCAACCAGAGCGTCAACCAGACTACGAACAAGTCTCCGTTCTCGTTGGTACTCACATACTCGCCTACTATGCACCGCAATCTAGAGCCCAAGCCGCAGGAAGGAGAAAACAATTCTGCGGCGAACAAGGCGAAAGCCTTGGAGGAAGCGGCCCGCCAGGCCAAAACATTCTGGGAACAGGCGCAACGATCGGTGACCAAGTATTATAACAAGGGTCGAAAACCGCGAAGTCACACCCCCGGAGATCATGTTCTACTGTCATCCAAGAACATCCGCTTGCGTCGCGCAAGTCGCAAGCTGGCAGATCGCTACCCTCGGACCGTTCAAAATCTTGAAAGCAATCGGTCGAAATGCATACTCCCTGGCGCTGCCAAAGAAGTACGGCCGACTCCACAACACCTTCCCTTCCATGTTTCGCTGTTGGAGCCTTACTCAGTGCGAGAAGGCTGCGAACCGCCTGAGCCTATCGAGATAGCAGGCGAGGAAGAGTGGGAAGTGGAGCGTATCCTGGACCTCCGAGAGACCAGGCTTGGGCGTCAATATTTGGTTAGATGGCAGGGCTTCTCAGAGGCTGAGGACAGCTGGGAACCTGCTGAATATCTGCTAAATGCCGGCGACGCTGCGAGCGAGTTCTTGAAAGAACGAGATTTGAGAGAAAATCATGAGGATAATGACTGAAGACGAGGAGCGATGATCTGAAGTTGCAAGAGTTTCCACTAAGAACTCGGCATGCTATAGGCATGCGACTCATCGACTGAGCAAACGCAATGACTAGTCTCCAACTATCACAAGAAGACCAAGACCCCAAGAAGGGACACACGGAATTCAGCATGCCACTAGCATTGAAACCGCACTCAAACCTCAGGGGTTTCCTCAGCACCACTATCAATAGCTTCACCTGGATCATCACCCATAGGCGCATCTTCAAGCAAATCATCCTCAACGGCTACCTAAGCCATGTCAGGGATCGTCAAAGAAGGATGCAATGATCGCATATCTTGGCCGGGCCAAGGACGAAGAGTGATGCCAGCCTAGCATGAAGAACGCACATGGTTAGCATTGATTCGTCAAGACCGGAATCAAACTTACAGCTTGAGCTGCCACTTCGGCCTGGGTACGTTTCATATGCAAGTCCATGGCTTCGGCCATGGTGAGTGGTTTCTTCACCTCAAGATTGATTGGGATTCCACCGAGATCCACGAGGACAGCCTTCTTCTGGGCACTATCTTTCATCCATCCGTTGATTTTCTCACCCATCTCACGAATACTACTGTCTGAAAGCAGGCGGTTAGCATGCGCAAAGCTGGTCAAGAGAATGTCTTACCTGAGTGAACGACCTTAAGGTCGAGGTTCGAATATCGAATGCAAGCATTGACAAGAGTGTTGACAGCTTCGCGACAGTCCAAGGGGATCCACATGCGGTTAGCGACTTCAACCAAAGCAAAAGGGGAACTTACGGTCTTGCACTCGTGGCCTTGAATTGTGCAATAACGGCACTTGCCTTCAGTGGTATCGCACGGCAACTCAGCATCTCGGAAAAGGTTAGCATGCTAAATCTGGTGCACACAACGAACGGAATATCACTTGAGCTCCTCTTGTGCGACTTTGGAGGTTCGACCTGTGAAGCTCTAGGGCTAGATGGGGGCCACCTTCCAGATGATCCCTTTTTTGATCCAACAAATTGTGAGATATCTACTCCATTAACAGACATATTTGGACTAGGTTCCATTTTCTACATCATTTTGACCGGGAAATGGCCACACCAGGGCCCAGAACGAATTGATTCTGACGGATGGAGCAAATACCAGGAACGCGTTTCAGAGCTCTTTCGTGGTGGCATTTTCCCCGAATTGACAGATGTGATCTGGGCGAACGTGATTATGGGCTGTTGGAAGCGGAGCTATGTTACTATGGAGGAAGTCTTAACTGCTATCCAGAAGGAGCTGCAGAATGGATAACTTCGAAGAAGTCCAAAGGCCGACGGCCGTTATGTCAACCATGGCGAGGATGTATCGTTTAGGGCTCTCGCCTATGAAGGCGCTTGGGAATGCCTTGCTTCGCAGTCGAATTCTGGCAGTGTTCGGGAAGAAGAGATAGGTCTTCTCGTTAAATAACTGACTGTCTTCGAAAGGAAGCAGACGTTATCGTTCGTACAAAGCTTCTTGGCTGTGTATTTGGCAAGAACCACAGCTGACAGCGATAAATGGTACGTCCATCTTCTGGCAGATAATGGGTTTTGAATGACGCAGCCAGCAATTGACACAGCCAACAACAGACTTGGTTGGAGTGCACAATCTGAACGAGATTATTCGATGCAGGAGGTAGCGCAGTGGCCCTTGCTGGGGAGAAACCATGGCTACTGTGACTTTCCACATCGCCGTCCATCCTATCTTCTGCTGCCTCAGATAGCAATCCCAACAGCAAGGACCCGAACTCTTATAGTGCATCTGCCACACGCCGTGGGGCGATGGCATAACCCATTTCTGGTGGTGACTGGAGCTGGCAGGAAACTTGCAATGCATTCATCTCATCTTGTGCGTACCTAACATTGAGAGTCTCCCTCGCCGCTTTCAACTTCAGAGGAAATCCACTTCGCAAAGTCATCACAAGGAGCCCTATATATGTAGTCTAAGCCAAAAGGAAGTTCTGGTGGTGGCTCTATGTTAATCCACAGAATTTTGGTGGTGGCAGATGAAGACGGGTGGTGGCAGATGAGGAGAGGTGGCAGATGAAGATAGATGGTGGCAGATGAGGATAGATGATGGCAGATGAAGACAGGTGGTGGCAGATGAAGACAGGTGGTGGCAGATGAAGATAGATGATGGTAGATGAGGAGAGGGTGGTAGATAAAGGGAAGTCTCAATAGTACAGTACCTAAGCGTGATCTAACTTAAATAGCTCTACCACTCCAACACCCGCTCACATCAACACCCTTCAATTTCTAATTTGCAATCGCCTACAAAGCACTTTTCCGTAAGCTATTTCGTCGGATCCACGCATGGATGGTCTCAAGCGGATCGGCTATTACTGTCTCTATATAACGTCAGCAATCGCAAATCAGGGCACGGCACAAGAGCCTAGCCATTTCTGGAGGCCCTACAGTACCATAAAGCATATCACGGTACCAAGTAAGCCATTTCAAACTCGTCATTCGTCATACGGTGTGCAAACATGCTCGAAAAAGCGAAGAGTCGGGGTGAGCGAGAGGGATCCAAAAATCTCCCACAAAATATCGCCGTACTGAGTTGCTGATTTTCGTATCTCTCGCGTTGAAGGCTCCGCCATAGGATCTTATGCTGCTGCCGTTTGCCTCAACGTCCTTTCTCCGAGAGTGGGTCACACCAGATTCGCAGGTAGAGGTTAGATCTTTCATTCTCAACACCAGTCCATACTCTCGAGGCAGTCTGAGTCTCCTTGCAACTTTGGCGGCCTCGGCTTTCATTGATGGGATGTTGTTGGCTCTCCAATCCAAGAGAAGGTGTGCATTGCATTAATCTATGCCCTGTGTTCGATGTTGCCGGAATTGTCCCTGATCAACTGAAGGGCCTGTGATGCCGAAATGCGATCCGACGGTAAGAGCATTGTCAACCCTTGAATCACCGGAAGAAAAGGCTTCAATTCCGGCTCATGGACATGCTGATCAAACTGCCTTTCCAGTCGCCAGTGCGGAGTTTGTTTCCATTTTCCAGCCCCGGGATCCCCTCTAGCTACAGCATCGGAGCTCATTTGTTCCCACTTGGACTGCCACTCCGGCGGTAGCTCCCCAAAAACGTCCATCATCGCTTCAACCAAAGGATTGATTCCCCACCAGCTGTAAGGTAAAGCTCCGAAGATGAGATAATAGATCTGGAAGCACAACTTTATGTCAACCAAAGCTCTCAACTATATGTAGCGGAACTCTCACCACTAAGCCTACACGCCACAAGTCTTGTTTGTAATCAACCTTGCCGGTAAAAATCGATTCGGGGGCTTGCAAACCTCCAGGCTGTGCAAGACTTTTAGGAGCGGCATTCTGATCAAATGCCTCTCCTAGATCAATAATGCGAACGTTTTCATCATCTTCGTCGTCATCAAGTGGCCAACCCGTCCACAGTGCTGACTCTACCAGCTGGGTAGGGATGCCTTGTCCGAGGGGTTTGCCATCTAATCGAGTTAACCCTTCTGGACTCGGAGGCCCAAGTGCTTCAAAGAGCTCTTCTTCGGATAGATGAGATAAGCGATCGTTGCAGAAGGCAAGGTTCTTTGTGCTGAGATCTGCAAACGTTAGACCGAGCGTAAAAGTGCTGCGAATGCAAGGTAACAAGACTACAGGCGGCTATACCTCCGTGTGCATAGCCAGCTTCGTGCATAAAGGCAACAGCCTCCAGCATTTGGGTCGATACTTTGACGATTATATCCGTACCGAGACGCTCCCCAAATTGATGCGCGTCGTTCACCATCATGTCAACCGTAGGGCCAAGAAGTTCGAACACGAGACACTGATGACATCCGTTGGGGCCTTCATGGAGGAAATCGTCGAGGAGTCGAACAATACCTGTAGAACCTGGAGTCACATTCGAGCACTGCGCCAAAGCTCGTAGAACTTGAAGCTCTCGTGACTGATTTGTCTTCTCCGCCTTCGCGATTTTGACCGACACCCATTGCTCGAGACTACGCACCGTCAGCACAAGCGAATTGAATGGTGGGGCAAGTCAGCGACATGCCTGTAGTCTCTAGCAACCCAAACTGTTGAGAAGCCACCGTAGCCCAGTTTGTGGTGTATTTTGTAGCGGCCATCTTTCAAAGTATCTCCGAGGGCAACAGGATGAAATCCTCCTGGCCGGTAGTCAAGGAAGTTCTCCTCCTCGAATAAGACATTCGATGGCTTGTCGTAGAGCTCATACAGTTTTGTGAATCGGTCCATGATGAGCATTACTGTAACCTAGTTAGAGAATCCGGTCAAATCAACGTCAAAAATTGATGTGGTGGCAGCCGGGCCCAAGCCTTGGCGCATGCTGTTGTCCGCGATAGGAATCTCTCGAATTCGTGTCGTTATATTGTAGGTTATCGAACATCCACTGTTGTGCTTCCTGCAACGGCTATGATTTGTGCTCTTAAAATATCTCAGCTGATGATCGTACATGCCAACGTAAAACAATGCGAGGGCTTCCTGGAGGCCCGCGGCCACCGTGTCGAGCGGCCAAATGTCCTCTGGTCAGGTGAGGCTGCCTCCCTCTCCCAATGAGGTGACTCGGTCTCATACTAATGGGGGCTTAATATACTGCGGCCAAAGTAACCCTTGACGGCTAAAACAAAGGCCTTTGGTGCCAAAGTTTGTCGTCTCAGGTCGTCTCGTGTGACAATCTGGTCGAATCTTTGTGCAGAGAAGAGCCCAGAATACACTTGAACTAGCCCACGAAGTGGCAGCTGAAACCGCAGCCCAAATGGTGGCCGGTATGGCGGGTGGTGCTCCCATCTCTTCCTTCTCTCGTGCATCAGACCTGTTACGGAAATCCACAAAGAAACCAGCCGCGCGCTTCTGGGACTGTGTTCGATTTAGAGTCAATCTTCAGGACGTGGCAAACCTTTCTCACAGGATACTCATCGACTCCTGGCGACACGACCTCTAATGCGTATATATAGGAGCCCTTGACTTCTTCCATTTGATGAATTCAGGCCACCCTATCACCCAGATTCGCAAGATGCCCATTCGAATCAGAAATAGTTTGAACGCTACCGATCGAGCTCGGTTTCAAGTATATGCCGCCACTTTCGAAAGTTATATCGTTAATCAGCCTCGTCACCGTGTTCAAGTCGGTGAGAGGAATCATGAGAGAATGGAAGTAGTCGAGTTCGAGGATGCAGAGATTACGTATGTTACCAGCCTCGTTGCACAAGTCTGGCGTGCTTACCAGATCGAAACAGCACCGCCTTTCATCCTTCAGTCAGTGTCGAGGATTCTGACCCAAGACCACATGTCACCGTACGTCTGACAAACAGCGCCCTGAGGCAAAGGAACGAATGGTATACCCTCCACTGGCGCCCCGAAGGGCAAGGCCCTACCCTGATTCTCCCGCGACGAAATAATGCAGCGTCCCTTGCGAACAAAAGACAAAGGAAGAAGGATAAGGATCAGAGAAGAAAAGAAAGAAGGAGGGACGACAAGAAAGACAAAGATAAGAGAGGTGAGGGTGGCAGCGCTGCCACAACTGGCTTCTCCGGCATGCACTCATAGATGTCAGCAATGGGTCGCGATCGCAGCTAGGTTAGCAGTAGGCCAAAACTCACATCCGTGATAATGAGCGATTTTGATTGAACGAAATCTTTCGGCCCTGATCGACCCAGGTGCCTCCATGTGTTGAATTGATCATCAAATCACTCAATCAGATATTCCATCAGACCATCAGTCTTCAGTCCAGGCGTCGTCGGCTTCAAACTAGTCTCCTCCAACTCTATCAACAGCTTGAACCCATCGCCATCGTCGGTATACTCGAACCACAAGAACACCTTCAATCGCTCCTTCAGTCCTGCCCAGCTATTCATGCTCAATCGCTGCGTCATCCGATCCAGTGTGGCTAGACCCCACCCTCTTTCACTCGTCCCCATACTCGAAATCGCGCCCATGACGGTTGCCCAAAGCACCAAGTCGCTTGCCTCAGCCTAGCGCGACTGCGCGCTCGGCAGGGACGATTGAGTTATGATATCTGTCGCGAGGTGGGCGAACGGTGCAGCGACCGTAAGGGGGGGAAGAGCACTAGGAGGCTGTATAATTAAGGTCCCTAGACGCGCGACTCGGTCCATGGGATGTTCGTCGGCATCGTCGAACGAGGGCGTGAGCTTCATGAGACTATGCTGGACGAAGTTGCGCTCGTCTCTGAGCGCACGTTGTGGCTGGACTCGGCTCGCTCCTCGATATAATCATCAACTGCGAAGGTATATTGGATGATCCAACGCAGCACGACAAGCAGGTCGGCGATGGCGTCTTGCCTAAGGTATTTCGGAAGGCACGCGGAAGCCCTTGCGCAGCCCGACGAGTGGGTGAGTCTTGCGTAATGCCGCGTCCACATCAACGTACATAGAAACGTGGGGTAGCATGGAACACACAAGTCTAGCGTACGAGAACGTTGTCACCACTTAGGGGAGGTCGGTTAGATAACGCGAGGGGGAGTACGGCTTAACTTACAAGAACATAGCCTAAGCAAGGCCAAGGAGCTTAATTTTCGAGATACGGCCACGCAATATCAACATCTTGGCCAGGCCTTGAAGGTGAACTTGAACCGTTTGTAGGCGGCTGTAGCGTGGTTAGTCGTCCTTGGGCCGGCGCAACTCCCGGTGGATCGCGGCGGAGGTCGCCATGGTGTGAGAGAGCATAGACGGATAGGGTGTTTTCATCGTCGCAGCTCATTGATGATCTCTGAATCGTTGGTGCATGTCTCGATGGGGGATGAAGAAAAGAGTCGGTTCCGCGTTAGCTGGCAGAATAGGGAGGTGCGGAAGAGGAGTCGATCACGCAAGGTCGTTTGAAGCCACATGTCGGCGGGAGGACTGATGCTTTGGCCTTGTTCGGGCGGGAACATCAAGGCTAGGAATGCATTGACTAGAGTGGCAAGTATGAGACGCTGTTATTAAACACCCCGAATACGTTCGACTCACCTTGATAAAGCACGGAGTTGACAGACTCTTTTCGAAAGATCGCAGGGGTTCGTTTCGAATGGGTCGAGAGGGTGGTATCTGGGGAATAATATAACCTCGCTGGCGGCGGGGGAGTCGGTGAGTCCTTGTTTTGATCCTCCTCTCTTTCTTTGGGGGACAATTTCTCGCTGTCCAAAGATGTAGAATCTTTATCTCGAGGTGTTAAAGTGGCAAGCGCTCTTCTCGACGGTCGGGCTACGCTTTGACTCGTGGAGCGACGACGCGGCGAGTGTCGACAGGCTGAAGGGTCGGTTTTCTTGTCCTTTTTAACTCGGCGCCAATGGAATTCCAAGCATAGGAAGAAAAAGCCGGCTGAGCCAGCAGCCGCCAAAGCCAAGTGGAGCCTCGGGAGGATACTCGATGGGTGGCGCATCGCGTATCTGAGTTGGAGCGTAGTTGAGTGTATGTTGATGTTGTTGGAATGGCAGAATAGCAGACAGAAAGGGCTCACTGTAACGCGGGGGCATGCATGGGGTTGTGTAAGTCTGTGGGAGCGTCTGGCAGACAGATTTCCGCCTGCGCCAAGATATCTGATAGGGGAAGGTGTGGCGATGGCCCAACAATGTGTTAGGGGGTTTGGTGCGGCGTAAGGCTGCGCCTTGTATTAGCACCGGGGCAATCTTATCCCGAGCTCTTGCGCCAGTAGATCTCCCTCTTACTTTGGTTAGTCAATCTACGCTCTCACGCCGCTACAACCATCATGCGCAAGCTATCACGTCCCGGGACTTAGCTTTGGTGTGATTCCTAAGACGCCAAGGCATGTAAAGACATGCCTCGCGGTGGGCATCTGTGGTAATGCCTCTGACGCCGGTAACTGAGTATATAGTCTGACATCTCACCTTGAGACGTCCTAATCCCACAAGGCTCCTTACGTTTAATCACATTGCTGCTTCACTTGAGCGCTGCACTCCCCCGTCCTTGCCACACCAACTCCTAACGATACGCGGTAATTAATATTCGGCCGAATGCAGAGCCATGGGAGAACCGAAGCGCCCTCTACCCTCCACGATACAGGACGCTATGAGTTTCGAGGACATGCATACATTGGGGGGGAAATATATCGGAGAGGGAGGCACTGGCGCCGTCTTCCTACTCAACGATATTGCAATTAAAGTGGCTTACGACCAAGATTACTGTGTGAAAATCCAACATGAAAAGAATGTCTACGAACGTCTCGGTAACTTGTGACGGTGTGATCGAGTGCTTCGATCTTTTCAGCCCCTGGAATTCGGATGACCTATATGGACCACGGAGATCTTCGTCAGTTCCTCGCTCAATGTCGAATTCCCGACTTTCCGTCTCAGACACAACTGCTTTCCTGGTTCCGCCAGATGGGCTCGCGCCGTGGCTGAGATCCACGAGCGCCGCGTTCTCGTCGCCGATACCAGTGCTCGAAACTCCCTCGTCGACAAGGAGCTATCGGTCAAGGCATGCGACTTTTCCGAGTCATCGATTCTCGACATCAACTGTAACGTCCAGACTGCGGACGACTGTGGCTATACTGTCTACACGGACATCGGTCAACTGGGTGCCGTCTTCTACGAAGTCATTACGGGAAATAAGTGCAGCTTTGATCTCTACAAGCATCATCCCCACGCGAAGATCGCCGTGTTCCCACGAAGGGAGGACCTTACGAGTACCCAGAACCTCTGGCTAGGACCTATCATCGAGAAAATGTTGGACTAAGGGATTCCCGACCTACTATGAGCTGTCTGCGACACTGGACTCAGCGCAACAAGTGGGAGAAGAGAGGGGGTGGCGGGACAGGGCTGACGATGAAGATCTGGTACAGCCGGTACGGACTTGCTTACTGCCTCCCGAGCTCGGGGCAGGCTACTGAAGCGCTACTACAGAGTCGATTTTCCAACGCCCACCCGCTCATATCCGCCACCGCTATTGGGTCTTCGGTGGTGTTATCTCTCCTCCTATTGTCTTTCCTCTGTCGGAAAAGCTGAAGAAGGCGTTGACAAAAAGGGAGCTCCCATTGATGAAGCTTCTACTCCAGCTTGGAATGCTCCAATCTCCGGCTCACCCCCGGGCATGCGGACTTCGCTGCTTGAAGCTCAGGCCAAGAGTCCCATTCTCAGAAGTTCGAGCCGTGGACATGGCGCACCGTCAGGAAATGGCGTGTCTTGACTACGCCCGCTGTCTCACCTGTATTCATACCACCCATCTCGTGAGGCGTTTCTGCCACTGGACCCACACCGAATTTTCAGCAAGGCGCTCATGCCATTGCAGACTGTGAGGAAGCAGAGCCATCTCATATCACTCGCTGGGACAGGGCTCCGATTGGGGTTGGCAACTAGGCTGCCGACTGCTCAACAAAGGTCGTCGTCGGTGCTGCTGGCTGCTTGGTGTTGTTGGTTGTTTGGTGTCGCTGGTTGTTTGGTGTTGTTGGTTGTTTGGTGCTGCTGCCTGCTTAGTGTCGCTGCCTGCTTGGTATCTTTGGCCGTGGGTGCTGCTGGGCATTGCTCGGTACTGCTGGGTGCTGCCGACCGGGCGGTCCAGCAACATCATCGTGCCACCGCGGCTTGGCCTCTGGTGCTGCTGGCGGACGGTGCAGCGATATCGTCGTGTCAAGGTGTGGTTGAACTGCTCGCGACTCACCCGTCGTGGCGGCCGAATACCTCGGGGACCTGCGTACGACCTTTGGGCCTGCATTGTCCATGAGTGATGCTGATTTGGAAAGGGCACCGGCATCACCTTCGTATTCATCCTGGAGAAATTGAAGCAAAAAGGATAACAGTCTGCTAGCCAAGCATTTGGTCGTTTCAGTCACGCCCTCCGAGTCGCCAATAGCGCGGTCAAGATGTTGAATTTGAAGGCGGACGAGCATCGCTGGTTTGGAGGTCGGGAGGTGGGAGGGAGCAGAGAGCACAATTGCAGTCGAGGACGAATCACTTTGCCCAGATCAACAACACCTTGCACTGCCAGAACTCTTATCACATTGGCATGCGTGACAATGGCTTCTTCTGGCAACAACATCGGTTTGTTATTTGCATTGGGCTCTCTGCCCTTGCCTCTTGCCGTTGGCATGTTGAGAATCTCCGGTCTTGAAGGATATCTGAATCTTCAAAGGATGAATTGATGCTTGAAAGTGATAAGGTAGCCGACGAATGTTTTGGTGTCGTTGATATAAATCGGGGAGTTTTACGAGCTGGCTTTGGGACTCTAAAAATATCGTTTAGATCACCGGGGAGGGCAACTGGTTTCCCACCAGCACGTCAGGCAGAGAGAGGTTCACTGTTATGAATGGCCAGACGCCAGCAGTACCTTCGTAGTGCTGTCACATCGAGGTACTGCTGTCACATATTGAACAACTACTATAGGTTGGACGCTCTCATGTTCCTTCCCTATCCCATGTCCTTCCCTATCCCATGTCCTTCCCTATCCCATGTCCTTCCCTATCCCATGTCCTTCCCTATCCCATGTCCTTCCCTATAGGATGTTTCTGTGACCGTTCCCCCAAAAAAAGGCAGGAGCTCAGGATCATCAATAGACAATACTACCTCGGGGGGGGGGGGGGGGGGGGGTTGACGTCCTTACTTTTCTCGTTTGAAATTCCTCTTTCCCATACTCTTCAAGCAGACGCCCGGAGAGAGAAATATATTGTTGAAGAAGAAGAAAGACCAGAATGGCACAACCTACCTACAGATCAGTCACGGTCTCGCTCCGCACCTCACGATTCGGAATGAATCAAGTCAGATTCCTTGCATTTGACGAGAACAGAAAATATCTTCTTACGGAGGGCTTGAAGTCTTGTTTCGTGGTGTTTCTTGTCTCTCACCGGGCGACTGTGGCTGCCCATATCCCACCCAATCCCGGAACAAGTCCCAACGATCTCACAGCTGGTGACAAAAATCTTGTGGCCAAGATGAGAGAGTTTGCCGGATTGTACAATGCCAACAAGGACAAGTACTTCACCAACTGTCAGGTTGCATTAGTATTTGCAACGATTGAGGGCAAAAGCCCGATGCCCGACAAGAAGCATTTTATCGAACAATGCCTTCGACAATTCAAAGTCGACTTTCCAATGCAAGACTACAAAATCAAACCTCGTGGTATGCCACGTCGCGAGGAGGATGGTACCGCCTTCGTCGACGGCTCGATGACTGATCGCGCATCGGTCTACGTTGAAGATCGCCTCTTGCTGAGAGTTATGGCTCCCGCTCAAAGCCAGCAGACCTTCAGCAACCCAATCTTCAAACGGTAAAACCATAAATCCCCGAGGCGGACACGCTCAAGCGGGGGCCTTCGTCGGGCGGAAGAGAGAAACATTTACGGACCAAGGGCTTGCGGACGGCATGGTCACGACCAAGCCGTGACTAGAGCGCAAGGTAAACCGGGATCCTGGGGTGGAACAAAGCTGGGGTACGCGAGATGTGGCTCTCATGCGTCTCAAAAAGAGCCATGCAGAGTTTGTAAGAGACACAACCAAACACATAGCTTTGCTATATAGTCAACTTCTTCACAATCATATCGATACATGTCAGGGGATCGATCAATTTCTCTCGTGTACCGACTCGCTCCATACGCAGTCTCACTGCCATATCCTCTTTGCACTTCACACTTGGTAAAAATTCTCCGACCTTCTGTGCTACCCTGGTGGACCGATTCGTAACAACCGAGGGTATTGAATGGCAGGGAGAAAGATGTTTCCCAAGTCCGAAGGCCCAGATCTTCCGCGCTCAAGAATTTTTCCAACTGCAACGAATGTCATCCGCTTCTCCTGGCCCAGTCTGCGAGGCTCAATCTTTTGATACCAAACGACATCACATAGCACATGCCAGTGCAGAACCGTTGATTTTTGGTAGATTTCCCAGAGTATCTCTGATGCCTGGTTTGGCTCCATGCAACAGGAGGAACCGGCACAGTCTCTCATTGTTAGCGCGTGCTGCTTCATGGAGAGGCGTTCCGAGTCCCAGCACACTCAATTGACAGTATGAGAGGTCGTGGCTTTCAAACATGATAGCATTGATGTCTGACCCTTTCTCTAGCAGTAGAGCAATCACATCATCGGAACGCCCCTGCTGAACAGCATAATGGAGTGGCTGCCCGAAATCCACTGATGCACCAAGCTCGAACAAGAGCTCGATGATCTCTTTCGGAGCAGATATGGCAGCAATCGAAAGAGGTGTCATGTCAAATGTACATCGAGCGTTCGGATCGGCACCGTGTTTGACGAGCCATCGCACAAGCTCAGGGTCAAACAATGCATCACTGGACTGGGATTAGGATTTCTCCAAAGAGCAAAAGACCATTTGTAGAGGAGTGACATACGCAAGAGGTGGAGGATAATCACATCGCCAAGCTTGATTCGGATCGTAACCATGCTGCAGCATTAGTTCGAGAATGGGATATGAAGCCTGTTCCACGGCGTTAAGGAATTCGAACGGTCTCGGCTGGCCACCGGCAGCCAGGAGGCTTTGGACCATTGATGTATCGTTATTTTCCACGGCAATCCGCAATGCATCGATCGGGTGCAGTGCAGACGTTGGGATGGTTGAGTTGTCGCCGTGGGTCATCGTGACTGCGGATGGGATGTCTGCAATTTTGGAAGAGATGGTCTGAGAGACGAGAAGGAGAAGTGGGAGGAGGACAGAAGAAGGATGAGGAGGAGGAGAAGGAAGAGAAGGAAGAATGGGTTACTGTTACTCTGCCAACCAACCAGCGGAACAGAGTGACGTAAGAGTGGTAAGTGTAGGCTCCCGGTTGGTCCTTTTTGTGCAGGTCTTTTCGGTGAAACATTTGACTGATTTAGGCAGCCGTTATGTACGACGGGAGGGTTTTCAGGATGGAACACGGCGGACCCGGAGAACATATGATTTCGCTTGTTCAACATTCCCGCCGATGGCGGATATAAAGGTTATGCAGCGAGACTAGACGATCGAAGTAGGGCAGTTGCTGGTTCCAGCACACAGAGGGCTCCAAACACGCCCGGGGGCGATTCGACTTCATTCATTTCCAACTTGTTGGCGTAAGGAATTCACCCCTTGGTGGTCCACAGCTAAGCAAGCCTCAGTATTGTTCTTGTGAATGTCAGAAGTCCCACTGGGCTCCACACAAATTGCATGATTCATTTGTGGTATTCTGCATTTTTGACTCTCGAACACTGTGCAGACCATCAAGCAACTGGTCCAGCTGATTGTTGATGGCGTGGCAAAAATACAGGGGAAGAAAGCGGACGCAATTCTGGCAAAGCCTGTCCACATTGGTAATGCAAACGTGCGCATAGTATTGCCAAAGGCACAAGGCTTCCAGTTGAGTGACATGCTTAATCGCAATTTGGACCGTCTGCGGGCAAAGTCTGATCGTCATGACATCGTCTTCCACAGGACTGATCACTTGCACCGTGACTTGTTCACTAAGCGAGGCTATGAACGCGTTGCCCGTTGGAAATTCCGAGAGCCTGGTTACTCTGTCCATTTGGATTGAATTTGACCGATTTCCTTGTCCCGAATGTGTAAGCTCAAGTTTGTTCAGGTATAGGAATGCTTTCTGACAGGTTTCAGAACTTTATTCGATCTGCATCGTCAATGGCAACATCAAGATTCCGCGGATCCACTGGATGAATGGTGGCGAGGTGATATCGTTCGCCTGGAAAATCCAACACCCAGACCAGCCAACGATGTCTACGGACAACTCTATCTGTATCTTCATGAGCAGATGATGTCTTTCTCCCCGGCGTTGTCAAAGCCAGCCCGTCCCGTACATTTTGTGATAACAGCTGCTCGTGTTAGAGTTCTGAGCAAGCTTTATTCCGACATGTCGATTTGATCGAATTGAGGTATCGAATGTCAAGGACGCCTGCTATCTTGATGTCGAGACCACCTTGATCAGCATCACCCCACTTCTGAATGATAGGAATGCACATACAACCGTGATCTCTCTGTTCATGAATGCTATCGGTCTTATTGAACGACACAGAAAACAGGAGGTATTAGAGTCCATCTTAGGCCAAGTTCAAAGCTACCTGCCACGAGACGCACCGCTTCGTGGTGCTCACGATCCTGAATTTCTTCGACCGCTTGCGGCGACGGACATCTTTTTGCCTTTTGATAAATGGTTCTCACAGTATGCTGAACAATTTCGAATCCATGAAGCTGCAAGGCGCATCGGCTTCCGAGCAGAGGGATCGAATACAGTCGTCAAACCGTGGCCATGGAGATTCAATCCAAGCTCACACGATCCCAAAGACAATGACAAATTCTGGGAAGTGCTTGGATCTTCTTGTACAGGAGTCGAACGATACGTTGAGTGGAAGCGTGGGTAGGGTGGAGTCAACGACTTTTTCGTACTCAGACTGGAGGCTCAAATTTAAGAGCCTCGGATTGCTGGCGCATGGGCCACGACGGGAGCCCAGAGATGTTGTATAAATTGAGACTCTTTGTCCATAAGGTCTCTCCCAAAGTCCGACAAGTGAGCAACACGAACACTTTGATTCTGCGATAACAAGGCGAATCCCACCTCCAGAAGTTGTAGCTCATCTTGCTGCATTTGTTCCAATTGTTGCGCTGAGAACTTGATGTGAGGGAGCGTTATTGATGCGCTCAAATCCAAAAGGTGGAGAATTGGCCGTTCTGAGTTTGAGTTCTCAACTAGGAAATTCGCCACAGCGAGGCCACACCAAAGGATGTGGGCTTGATGTAGTTCCCTGAGAAGTACGCGAGCCTGAGAAGCAATATCCTGGGTAATCGAGGCTGGTGAAAGTATCTCGCCATCGACCCATTCGAATAGTATTCCTTGACTCTTTGATCCTTCGCCGAATCAGGTCTGTCCCACAGACATGGTTGTATATTGAACCTCGACGCCACTTCCATTTCTGCATATTCAGGGACATCCGTCCAGCCGTAACAGAATCGAAAGATCTTGCCATTAAGACCTTGCTGAGCGAGGGAGCCGTTGGCGCGACATTCGATGTAAAATGGATCGCAAAAGTCTCGTCGGCGTGTGCCACTTGATCGACTGACGTTCAATTCGGGATTGTCGAATCTGAACTTGTTTGAAAATTAACACAGAGCTGCGAATTCAGATGGTCTGACTTACCATCTTGAATGCATATTTCTTCCCACCAATGCGAACTCTGAAAGTGTGTCCCGCGTTTCCTCCTCCAGCGTACGCTTGGAAGTGGACTATTCGATCCTCCAGTTGGAATTGTTCCAACAGAAGGGAATCCACGTCGCCGCGTTCAGGTGCCATTGTACGTTGTGCCTCTGTCGTGGATGGTTCGCAGCATTAGGAGGAATTCAAGGGAAGGATGCAATGACAACGTCGCAGCCACCTGCACCAACTTGATTCCAGTCGGAGAGCCTTGGCAAGAGTAACCACGTGCGCGACTAGTAGGTGGCTGGTTCGCATAACAAGCCAGTTCCAAAGCACGGTCTACAATTGTATGATTGTGCTTTTTGTAAATGAAGTCCACCGATGATTCACCGGTTAAACCGAGGTGCTGCTTGCGAATGGGCGGCGGATAATAAAAGTCCTCCTCCGAAAAGTCTCGCAGGAGAATGTCCCCATAACACTCCAGAATAGTCTCTAGATTGAAATCACTCCACGGTTGAACATCCTCAATTTCGTACGTGCCAATGGGAAGAGTGTTCCTACCAGGTTGGAGAGATGTCCGATCCACATCTGGATTTGGAGATGTCAAGTATTCAAGCAGCGTAGGCATGTCCAATATGAATCAGATTTTGGGAATTGGGAGAAGGTAGAACCCCGTTAGCTGAGGCCATCGAGCTCGATATCTTGACGTCCCAGACCACGGTGCCGAAGAGGCCGCCGACCAGGTAGTTGAAGGGGTCCAGGTAGTAGAGCCAGTACTTCCAGAATGGCTGCATGGCCGTGTAAGGGACCACCACGCCGCAGAATGAGATGAGACCGCAGCCGATGAATAGAGGGTTCGAAATGGCGGCGAAGTACTCGTTGGGGACGTAAGCGGCAATGGCCTGGCCCATCGAAGTGTACAGGAGCTCGTAGACTGGAAGATGTCAGTAGAGGTAGGTAAGCCGTGGAAGGAAATGCGTGGCACGTACAGATCATCTGGAGATAGACATGGCCCGAGATATTGGCGTCAACCGGGAACCCGGCAGTAAAGTACCAGCAGCAGAAGTAGAGAGTCGCGCAGATGATGAGGTAGGGGATCTCCGACACAGCTTGGGCGCCAATAAAGGCGAGCCAGTGGTATGTTTTGGACTAGTCAGGGTCAGAATTATACTCTTTCTCGTCCATCGATAGCTCCTAGCTCGCACCTTCTTCTCCCGAGTCTCGAACAGGTCACGGTTGTGCAGGAAAATCGGCTGCATCTGGTTGATACACCCGGGCGCCACGAAGATGAAGTTGAAGATGGCAAACACGCGGAACTGGAGATCGAAGGAGCCGTCACCGATCATCCAGAATGTGAACCCGCTGAAAAGGGCCGCAAATATGTGCAGGTTGATCTTATTCCAGACGTAATCCTTTGATCGTCAGCCCGCTACTCGCAGTCGTAGGGTAATAGACTCACTGGTGATCGCCACAGCTGTATCATCAGTCGGTGCAGCACCAATTTGAACTGGAACCACTTCGGCAACGCATATTCAGCGGTGTCTTCCTCGCCATCGCTTCAAGCAAGGCCCTGCTGGTTCAAGGCCATGAGCTTGCCGAGCGCTTGCTGACGTTCGGTAGATCAGCTCCAGATATGGATCCAGTCGATTTTGACGTCGCTATTACCCTGGATGACTTCCACAATGTGGTCCGCAGGGTTAGTGTCTTCGGGACAGGGCGCACCATTACGGGCAAAGTAGCCGAGGACCTGCCCGGAATCCTTGCCAGCTACAAGAGAGTCAGTCACCCGCGCAGCAAAATCAGCGACACAATTTACTTACTCTCGCCAAAATATGCCATCCGCCCTCCCTTAGCTAGGAGCAAAAGAGAGTCAAAAGCCTCGAAGAGGACAGCGGAAGGCTGGTGAATTGTACACTGAGAGGTGCAGGTATTAGCCATCCAACTTGGACACATTAAGAGACGGAATTGGCTGAAGTCTTACAAGAACAGCCTGACCGCCATCTACAAGACGTCTCAAGAAGCGCACGATGTTGTAAGCAGACTGGCCGTCGAGGCCGGATGTCGGCTCGTCAAGGAATAGCAAGGTGGGCTTAGCCACGAGCTCGACACCCAGAGTCACCCGCTTCCGCTGCTCGATGGTCAAGCCAGCGCCGGGTACTGTTGCGCGTTAGACTTTGACATCTTCCCAGGACTTCAGGTAGAGCCGCTTATACACACCTCCAATTAGGGCGTCACAGATACCACGCAGCTCGAGAAGGTCGATCATGTGCTCGACGTACACGAGCTTCTCCGCCTCCAGCACCTCCCTCGGTTGGCGCAGGAGCGCTGAGAAGACAAGCGCCTCCTTGACGGTCGAAGTGCCCTCGTGAACATCCATCTGCTCGCAGTAGCCGGTCACGCGTTGGAAACTGATGCCCTGGGGCTTGCCATCAATAAGAATGGATCCGTAGATCTCACCGAAGTCCTTCCTCTGGGCCAGGACGTCAAGGAGGCTGCGAGAAAGAGTTAACAGAGTACATCTACTTGACAGGGGAGGGAATAGTCTCACGTCGTCTTTCCGGCACCGGAACAGTCCATGAGAGCAACAAGATTGCCCGGCCGCACAAAGCCGAAGACCTTGTCGAGGAGCTGTTTCTGGCGGCCTTGGTACTTGACAGAGTAGTCAAGGTCATGCCAGCAGAACGTCGACTGCTTGACCGGTCGGGAGACCGGGGCTGCGTGCGGCGTCGCCTTCTCATCCGCTGCGGCTTCAACATCTTTCTCGGGCTTCTTGCCCCGCGAGCCCCTCTTGTAGAGGAGGACGGATGACCTTCCGCGGCTGTTGCGCAACTCGCAGCCAAGCGCTGTGACAATGATGAAGGTGACACAGAAGCCGATAAGGACACCGAATCCTCTCCAGATGTGACCGGTCGCGTAGGAGAACTGCTGACTGATGTATGCATGACCGTCAATCATTCCAGTGGAGTCACTTCCCAGGACTGTGCAACCGCGGTAGGCCGAGCTTTCGTCGTCGTATCGGCCCCCGTAGGGTACATACTGGGGCGCGACACACTCCAGTTCGAGACCACTAAACTCGTTGGCCATGAGCGGCTCGAAGGCGTAAGCACCAGGATTGAGATAGAAAATCCATCGGGACCACGGGTGCATCTTCTCAAATGGGATTAGCTACCCTGTGTGAATGTCAGCCTTTGTTGTCTCTCCCAGGAATTCTGCCGGTTCGACCATGCAACTCACCTCCATATACAAAGAAGACTGTAGACAGCAGACCGGTCATCTGCGATGCCGTTCCGATGTGCCCCACAAAGCGCCCACCATGCGGAACAACTGCACAAACATCAAGGTGCTCGCGTTGACGACGATCCAGTAAGTGAAGAACTTGTCGGCATCCATTTGCAGGCTCGACATGAAATAGATGATCAATGAAAAGACGGTAACCTGAAGCATGATGACAGGAATGTCGGTGATGGCGTTGGCGATGCAGAAAGCCGCCGGCCGGTAGAAGCCGAAGCGCTTATGGCGGACGAGAATGGGGCGGCCCATGAACGATGCGGTAGTCTCAGACATGGACTCCATGAGGAAGTACAGAATAGCGAAGAAGAGAACGACTGGCCGAAGGAAGATGGACTCACTGGTGTCGGGGAGGTTGTAGAAGAGGCTTCCACAGACGAGCGCCTGGACGGTGGACGAAAAGACTTTGACACCGAGCGAGAGCCGGTCACCCATAATAATCTGAAATCGTCCAAGGGGCAGTCTGTCAGTGATAGAACGGCGCATGTCTAGAATAGCGGCGGGGGCTTACCGAACGGTGCAGTTCTTGATCTGGTCTCTGAGGCCAACAGTGTAGACGCTTCGCTTTCCCTTCACGGGCCTACGCTTCTTCTCTCGCTGAACGGCAATCGCCAGGTCATCCACCTCGGTTCCAAGGCGCTCGACCGGTACCTGGGCCTCCCGCATCGCTCGGCACACGGAGCTCACTTGATAAACCTTCTCGAACTCCTCGGGCGTGTTGGGCACCTTCTCCTCTGAGCCCGGAGCGGTGATGCGCTCTGTCGCCACGGTGACTGAGGTGAGAAAATCGGCAATGTTCGCACCTTTCGGACAGACGAATCCAAGAGATTCAAAGTACTGCCGAGCAGAGCTCCTCGGACCGTAGTAGATAACACAGCCGTCAGCGAGAACGAGGACCTTGTCGAAGTTGTGGTAGATGCTGTTGCCCGCCTGGTACATGGTGCAACGATTGTCTTGCCATTACGATCTGCCTCGGCGCGCAAAGTCTCCGCAAACTCCAGGGCCGTCTTCGAGTCGAGGCCGCGTGTAGGCTGGTCCCAGAACTGCATTGGGCTCTGCACGCCGTGTTAGTAGTTGAAGCACCGGCAGGACGGAGTCTGCTCATTCTAACTGACCTGGCCAGCCATCATTTCCGCTAGAGACACACGCTTCCTTTCTCCGCCGGACACACCACGGATGAACTCGTTTCCGACCTTGGTCTTCACAGTGTGGCCAATGCCGAGGGCGTCAAGAATGTTGCTCTTGGCGTGCTGAACGAAGTGGTGTGGCTTCTTCAGATGCTCTTCCCTCTCACGTGGGACCTTATTACGCAAGGCAAACTTCATAGTCTGGTTCACAGTCAAGGTAGGGAAGTGAATGTCATCTAGATTCCGTCAGTCGCGGCATCCTTCACCTTGAGAGCTGCAAAGTGCTTGTCTAAACGTACCCTCGGTGTTGAGCGCGATCTGCTGGCGATACCTCCTGGCCAGCTTGTGGTCCATGTTGCCGAAGTGCACGTCGCCATGGACTTCGTCGAAGGCTTTCGGTGGTTGGACAACACACGAAGAAGCGACGTGCATCCTGCTCCGGGCCTGCCGAGGACGAGAAGCTTTACAGGACTCGTCAATCTCCCGTTTGACCATACTGTTGCTCCAAGTCACTCACCATTTCACCCGGCCTCACCTGGCCACTAATCTCGCGCACAATTGCCTACCATCGCGTTAATCTCTTGACGCGCCAAGCTCTTAGACATGGACGCTTCCATACCCTCTTAGGATGGTTCGCCCTGTGGACCCGGCCTGAAAGTTGCCGGGGATCAACCCTCGACAGCAACGTCTCTCCCAGAGCCTCACCAGGGGCGGTGACCCTGACCGTCACATCTTGGAATGTGAGAGTCAGTCGCTTCGGGACGCCGTCTTTGCCCCGCTCCTCGTCCGGGTGCACTCTGTGCCCCTCAACATCCGTCTTGCTGGCTGATGCATCGAACATGGCGTTCCCATCTGCAGCTGCAGCGTTCCACGACAACTCTGAGTCCTTGTGGTGGCTCGCATCCTCTGCTGCCGCCCCCATTGCGCTAATTCCAAGCCCGGCCCGTTTCGTACGGTGCGGATGACGGTTCTCGGCGCTCTGGCAACTAACGGTACGCTGTTTGTACTCAACCTTTGAGCGACCAACAAAAAGAACATCGTTTTGAAGTTGGATGCTTCCGAGGGTCAGATCCCATCTCAGCTTCTGCGCCTTGGCTTCTTTCCTCTTCATAAACAGCAGAATTGCGGCGAGTTGGACGACGCAAGCTGTCACATCCGTACTTCCGCGGCGCCATATATCCGCCACACAATGGCAATTGCCTGTACCTCCGTATTGGAGCAGAGCCGTGATTCCTTCCGAGCGCAAATCATAAGCAATCTCCCTTGCATGATAAGCTTGGCAAAGGCTTCGATCAATCAGGCTAGTACCGACTGCCGAACGGGGGCATGCGCACTCTCTCGGAGTCGTCACGGAAGCGTTCCGGCTGCAGCAGGTAGAATGCCAGGACGTGAGATGCTCCCTCGAGGAAGAAGGCGTGGTACTTGATTTCCTGCGGCGAGGTCAGCAAATTGGCGCCCATGAGGGGCCACAGACTGCCGCCCGGGGTCTTGGTCTTACTCGGCAGAGCACGTTCTGCTCGCTGGCCCCCGCCAGAAAAGCAATGGAATGCCGCGCCGCGTCAAGACAGTATTCACACGCCGAGTCCAGCCAGGGCGGTGGGGTCGGTAGATTGGCCGCCGCGGCTTCTCCGGCAGACGCGTTTTCGTGCCGCAGCTTGGGGGGCAGCACCAGAAACGGGCGGAATGTCAGCAACAAGGTGTGATGATACACTGCAGCTAGCGTTAGTCGATCTGTGGATTGCAGGATTCGGTGCGAAGATGCGCTTACTGGTCGATACCGTGGTCTGGCATACCCGAGCTCGCCCGTGCTCGGATCGCCGACAAGACCGAAGTTCAGATCCTTGCGCTGCTGCTCTACAAGCCGCTGGAGCTCCCGACGGATCTCATTGGCGGCATTCCATACGGGCAAGAGAGATTCGTGGTGCTGCTTGTAGATACGCGTAGCGCACTTGGACATGACCCGAGCGAGCATCACGAGTGATTGCAAGAGCTTCTCCTCGCTTGGGAGGGGAACGCAAATCTCGGACTCGGGGAACGAATTTGGGCGTCCCAGGCTGAAGCACAGCCAACTGTAGATGCTGTTAGGCGGTGCAATTCATAGCAGTAGCTCGAGACTGTTCGTGACTTTCACTTACATCTCCCAAAAGAAGACGCTCCATATCGTTATCCTCCTCTGGCGGGTGTCTTCGCGGGACTGAGCCGTCACCATGACATCCTTGTGCAGGCCGGCAGCGACAGCTCTGCGGACTGCGATGCCAGTCATGAGAAAGGCCGAGTTTGGCCTCGCTCTCTCGGCATGGAAATGTGAGTGAGGGACTGTTAGTTGATACCGACATGCACAAGGAAACAGGGCGGGTAAGAACTCATCATAAGCAGTGCGATCTGGACGGCCTGGACGTTGACCATCTCGTCGAGCTTTGCCGACCAGCGCTTCACCTTCTGGAACAAGGACTGGGCGACGTGCTCCTCTTCGAGCATCGAGGCACCAATAGCCATAGCCAGCAGGACGATGATCGTGTCTGGATTTTCGAAAGAGAACATTTCAGCTGAGCTGTAGAGCTGCACGAGCTGACGGCGGTACTCGTCCTTGGACCTGATGGGCAGGATGTGCCAGTAAGTCGCCAGATACCTCTCAATGAGGCGGCTCGCAAGTGCACCATCAAGAAACATGGCCGCGGTGTAGCTCGTCATGTGCGCCGACTCCCCACTGTCGGCCAGGTCGCCAAAGTAAAGCCTCCTGATGTTGAACAGGTCCAGGCCCGGCCCCATCTCCTCGACCTCTTTCTGGGGTCCCGACGTCGGCCGCGTGCCCTCAATCTGGTGATAGATGGAGTTGAGGATGGAGAAATTGGACGACGGCCCGTAGTAGAGCTACAGGGACATGGACGGAGATGCGCGGTGAGTAGCTGCCACGCTGTGGTTCTGAATGCTCCGGGAAGCCGTTCCCTCTGAAGGCACGCCATCCCCAACCAGTGCCGGCCCTGAGGCAGAGATGAGAGGCTGATGCGGCTCTCGGGAGACTGCACGCCGCGGCGAGCTCTTCGACGCTGCGGATCTTGCACCGCTGGCAGGGCTCACCGCCGTTGCAGCGGATCTTTCTGGCGCGGCACTCCTGGCATGCCTTGGATATCCGCCACTTGGACGGATCCATCTGGACAGAGTCGCGCCCGGAGAGCATGGCGGCGGATGCGTGTGGGTGAGAAGCGTCAGGGATGGATGAGTGAAGGTGCCGCCGTTCTCGGTGGGCCGACCCTACAGTTGGGATTTGACAGGGCGTTGATTGATTCCTCTGGCAGCATCATCACGCGGGCAAACGTATGTTTTGAGAGGATATCGTAGAATAGAGGAGAATTCGAGTATGATGCAACAGGATTTGGCACTGCTCAGAATCTGGAGTAATACCTTTAGCCCAGATTATGCGGGATGTGGATTGAAGTCTAGATGCCAAATTTGCGGCAGTAACAACAAGATTAACAGACGGCCGTATGCCGACGGCCAAGTTGGAAAGTCAAGGGCTGATCCGAGACCGGCGATTTATGAAACACCGAGTGTGGTTAACTCCCGGGCGGCGAGTTTGGATCTGGAAAGAATACATCTCAATCGTCCTTTTGCTCATGGTTTCAAGGACTTCTAAGCAGCGCTTTGCCGGTGAGCAAAGTTCCGTTAGAGCCTCCAGGACCGAGCAGGCCGTTAGAGTAAGAAGATCGATCTCGTCGCCACCCTGAACACTGGTGATTAGCTAGGACAATGGCGAAGGTATTTCGTACCGATTACTCACTATCTTCTACTGGACGCTCGCGGAATGCCAAAATGAGTGCAGCAGAGTGGTTGCTGGGATTTGGTCAGATGAACGTAGGCGATTAAGACCAAGATCTTTTGCTTACCTGCGAGGAAAATGTGATACGTGGCAAGATAAGGGTAGCATAAAAGACCACGCTGTTGCAGTTGCCGGTACAGTCTTATCACATGTTGTCCTGCCTCTGCCAATATCAGGTGCTCATCTTCATATCCGCTTTTCTGATCATCGTGCATAGGACCTCGACAGATGATCGCTTGCGTGGTGGCAAATCTTTTTTGGAAGGTTCCCGGCAGGTCCACACGCTGGCGGTAGAGCATCATCAAAGCTTGCCAATAATTGAGGCAAAAAAGTACATCAAATGCGACCCCAGTCTCTTGTTGCGTAGGAGCGGACTCGCACCATTTCAGAAGACTCTGGGCCTTGTTGGTTCGCCATTCCTTGTAGGAGGTCGCGCTATGTAAGAATGACAACAATGGCGGCATGGCGTCTGAGGGACTGCCATGAGGATCTCCTAGACCCCACATATCTCGTGCTTCCCGGTTCTGCACCACTTGTAGACGCCGGTATCGGAAGAAGTGTTGTGCAATCAACTTCGAGCCTGCTCTCCGGCCGGAAGCGTCCGCTGTGATGCCCATGGTCGTAATGGCCGATTCTTCGCAGAGAGACGGGAACCTGGTACTGATTACCTCGTCTGCTATCCCAAACGGCCTTTCTGTGCACGTGCATAGAATCCGATCCAGCGAGTATACACACCACCAAAGTCTTCTCTTCAAATCTTTCGTCCGTATAGGGGACCATTCAGCAGGGCAGAGGTCGACCGCGGGGGTTGATTCGCTTTGGCGTTCTGAGAAACATTCCCCGTCACGATGCAGTCCCAGATCGACCGAAAGCCGAACGGCAACACCGACGGTATACCAAAGACCCGAAGCTACCGGCATCATCAGGGCAAGAGTCGATATCAGAAGCACAACCTGGAGCTCAGACAGGCATGCGAGGTAGTCCCTCCTGGAGTTGAGGGAACTGAGCAGCCTCTCCAGGTGGGACGTGGCAGCCGTGTAGTAATTTTCCCCGCCGTCGCCAGTGCTAGGAGGACGTTTTTGGGCATTGCTTGTCCGAAAGGTAGACTTGAACAGACCACGAGAGTTCGTCAGCCGTTTGCCAATGGCAAGCACAATGTCGAGGATGAAGAGGCTGTACGGAGAATTGGCCGAGTGGCCGCCGTTGTAGATGTCGTTGAAGAGCTCTTCGAATTCCGTTGCATGTAGAATCGGTAACTGACTATTTGACCTTTCAAAATAGATTTGAACCAGTTAATGTGCAGTCGCTTGGTCTGGTAGTGAGGCGGGCTGTACACCTGGCAAACGTTGCGCATATATCGGGAGTCCTAGGCGGGAGCCGCTCCGGCTGGAGCTAAGCTGACATACGGCGACTCCTCCATGGAGAGATCAGCCGATGAAGCTTCGTTGGATTGGGTGCTGTATTGTCCTGAGATGGGATTCCACGTGTGCGACGGCGCTGTGTTTCGAGGTCGACCTTTCGGGGGGTGCAAGCCATCCTTCGTCATGCTTGATGTGTGGGAGCAAGATCCATCGTCATTTTGGACATGCTCGAAGCGCTCTAAGTAGTCGTAGTTTCTCCAACTCTTGTGTCGCGGGCTGCGTCAACAAGAGGATTTTGATTTTCTTCCAGAGATTCTGCAAGCCAACCCTTATCGTCAATACCGCTTCGAGGGGTTCATTAAGTTTTTCATCTGATACTATATGGCGTTACGCCGCCTTGTCCTCGTTTGTCGATATTTCCGGTGGAGGTGTTAGATTCCGCTCGCTGACAGTCCAGGCACTGTGATATGAAATGTGGCAACCCCTGTTCAGTAGACGTTCTCTTTTTCGAGCTCTCTCTCAAGATCCCCAGCCGACGCAAATCCCTTGGTCCAGCATTTCTCGATGATAGAACCCAGCCATACCTCGCTTGTTGATGGAAGTGTTTCCCGTCGAGGCCAAGTCGTCGGATCCCCCACTTTCTGCCAGTCTTCATAGATATCAAACGAACAATGTTGACCAGTTATGATCTCAAACATTACTGCCCCAAATTGTCCAATGTCGGTCAGAATAGAAAATCCATATTTGTCGTAGCCTTCGAGGTCCCACTCGAGATACATTAAAGAGGATTCAGAGAAGTCAATGAGCCTGATATTCATATCATCGTCATACACGATATTGTCCAACCGGAAGTCACAGATAATAACACGATTAGTATGTACGAAGGCCATGGTACACGCCAACTGAAGTAACCAGGAGAGCTGGCGAGACCTTTTTGGCCGGATCTCGCCTAGATACTGCCGTAAGTCGCCATTCATCAACGGCATCTGGATTGAGGGTTCTTCGGAGTCGACGTTATAACAGCGGATGATCCCAGGATGGTCGCCTAGCCTTTTGTAGATAGCTTTTTCGTGCTTAAAAGATATGATGGCAACGGCGAGCTCGTTATAGTTATCTTCATTGTGGTTCAATATTCTGTCATGAACAGGAACCCCATCAATTTCGGACAACTTCGATATCCGAGGGATTTTGAAGGCGTATCCTCCTCGATTGACGACAATGCCTGCACCACCCACTCCAATAATCTCCTCTTTCACAATTGTGCCGTCCAGATACAGGTAGTTTGCGATGTCCGATGCCATGAATGGTTGGGTCCGTCTGTATATGAGTCGGGTGGCTAGGTTGGTGGGTGAAGCGCGTAAGGAGGGCTAAACAAGTTCAGCTTAGTCTCATCTGCTGGGAATTCCGGCAAACGAAGGTTGGAAGCTGGAGGACGCGTGGCAAAAGCTTCGATCACGCAATGCCTGTTTAGGGAGAACTCTAGACATAAATGCATTGAGAAGTGAGCTGAGTTGTTCATTGTCGCTGCTCACGACGGCCCATTGGCGCACTGATCAATTGAGTAGGGTGAAACGCTTGTCGTGCCGAGGTAGTTGTGGTCGCACCGCCATAGCGACTAAGGCGGATCCTGGTCGATCTTAGGCTTGGAGGAACCCCCGCATATCGTTTCACGTCGAGCTTCGGGTAGCTCTTCCTTTTATTCTATCTCCTTTCACCTGTTCGCTATGAGCCACATGACTCATCTTCGAACACAACGCAACGACGGAATCGAAGATGAGGTGGATTGTCGGAAAAAATCCGTCGCACGCTGCTTGTTCCTCAAAATTGCAGAGAACTTTTCCAGAACTTATAACAAGGGTCCTTTCAAATTGATCTGCGATGACCTACGTCCTTCGAACGTGATCGTCGATGATGAAATGAACCACCGTTGTGTTATTGACTGGGAGTTTTCCTATGCCGCTCCAGCTGAGTTCACATACTGTTCACCATGGTGGCTCCTGTTGGCACATCCAGATGACTGGGCAGACGGCCTTGATAGCTTTTTAGCTCAATATCTCCCTCGACACGAGATCTTTTCGCAGGCCTTGAAAGAGTCAGAAGATGAGGAGATCCGGTGTGGCACGCTTTCCGAATCTCAACGTTTGTCGGAAGAAATGGCACCATCTCTACAGAATGGAACATTTTGGTTCTGTTTGGCGGCCACTTCGAGCTTTGCCTTTGACGATATCTGCTGGCGCTTCATTGATCCAGAATATTTTGGCACACTAACTTCCATTGAGGAGCGGATCGAGTTGTTGAGCTCAAAAGAACGGGACTCTCTGGTGGAATTCGTCCGTGTCAAAACACAACAGGCAGAGGAGAGAATGTTAGACGAAGATCGTACCCTGGATGAGATTCTCGCGTCTTAAGCGCGTGTCAGATGCTATGGTGGGATAAATGCTAGCTCCAAGTTCGTCCAATCTTGATAGTCATCCGAGTCGAGGTGTCGTGCACCTGCATCACCAGAAACTACTTCGCAAGGCATGCTCGTCCTAGAAAAATTTGAAAACTGAACCTGGCCTATGTAACTAACAGGGGGTCACAACATTTTCAGAGATCGCAGTACAGACAGTGCACACCTTCAGCACGAGGTATGATAATATTGGTACGACGATTCCTTTGTATCGCACTTCTCTTTCTATCACGTCGGATGGCCACCAAAGCCAATGTAGTCGTCACCCGAGAGATGGAGTGGTTCATGTGCTCGAATTGTGGTTTCCCAAAGGCGGAGGCTGGGCAAGGCGGTGATCCGTCGCTGTGCTGCAAGGCTGGAGAGGAGGCTGGGCTGAGGGGTTGAGTTGAAGATTGGGAGAGCGGGATCGCGAAGGCTGGAAAGGCGGTATGGCAGAAGTGACTCATGAAGATGTCGTCCGGGTGATGCTTCCGCTCAGATCGGGTGACTGCAGATGACGAAGGACGGCGGACGGCGGACGTTGATCTTCGGGCTGGATTTATCAGATGATGCAAGCAAGGTGCGAACAGGAGGGCTTCAGACTGGTGTTCGTCATTGTGGTGCGAGTATGTATGAGTCAGACGAGATGCATCTGCGCTGCGGTTTGCTCAAAGCTGGGCATCATTTAGTAGTCCTGACTAGCCGGCAAATTGGGCGGAGCAGAAGCTGCTTCTCAACCATATCCTCGTTGTGACCTGCACGGCATCAGGTCTTGCCATTGCCCGTATCATATACCAGCGAAGTGGTTCAGTGTTGCCGATCGCAGCTGATGTTGGCCTCAGCAGGAGCTATGCGCTCAGCGGCCCGGTGTAAGCGACAATCTGCAGGAGTTTTGAGCTTGCATCAAGACAGCGGATGCACAGCAGCGCTGGTGCGCCCTGCTGCGTACTCGTTCAGCTCTTGTCCTGATGCTTATATGTCGTGGCTGCACGATTCTCCCCCTTTTCAACCAGGTTCAGGTGTACGCGTCCAGTCACTGGCCCAGATGAATGTATTGCACCTCCATTGGCTTCCTTTCTCTTGCTTCCCACTTGGACCCAATGGCCGATTGCACATCCAGAATGATCGACCGCAGTTTACTCCTGGCTTCTTCGTGAGCATTGTTTTGCACGGCTCGCCATGTTCGCAGTTGGGCGCAACAGGCTTGGAGAACAACTTGCCCCAAGTCTGCTTCGTGGTGAAGTTTGCTGCTTCGTCTTCGAGGGAGGAGGCTGATTTCGACGGCGAGGGAACGGCCACGGCTGCTGGGGTGCTGGCTTCTGTTGTTGCCTCCTCGGAAATCGCTGTGTCAGCTGGAGCGACATCATCACTGCTCGTTACTGCAGCAGACACTTTGGCTGCAAAGAATCCTCTCAGGCTTTGTTGGCCCTTACCGTGGCCATTCGTGGTAGACTGCGTTCTGCTTTTCTTCGCTGCTGGCATCGCATCTGTCTTGGCCGGGCGCTTGCCATTGACCATTTTGGAATTGGTGGATGTGTTTGAAGTGCTCTTTGATAGCGTATTGTCTTCTTTCGGTGGTGAACTGGCGGTCTCAGTGGGTGGTGCAGCAGGAAGTGCAGCAGGAAGTGCAGCAGGAAGTGATGGTGGTCGCATCATGGTGGCGTTGTCTCCAGTCTCGCTGACCGTAGTCGTTGACTTTGGCAATGATGGCTTCCGGGTGAACATATCTCGGATGCTTTGCCTCTTGTCAAACTCCTGAATGAGCTTGCCAGACATGGGAAGCAGACACTTGTTTGACCACTCTTGTTTCCGCACACCGTCTTCGAACATACCCGGTGGGTTGACAATGTCCAGTATGTGCTTTTCCGTTCCGTCCACCATCACCCTATCTTTCGTGACCGCGTAGACAGGACAGTGGTCCGAGCCCATGAGGCCCTCTTGGATGTTGGCATCGCGGAACCAATCCTTCATGACATGAGAGCAAAGAACATAATCAATTCTTGAGCCATAGTTTCCAGGTCGAGCATTGACTTTTGTCTCCCAACATGTGTACATTCCTCTGCGCCCTTCGTTGAAAGCACGACATAGGTCCCACAAGATCGGGGTTTCTCTCCCTTCATCCCTGGGACCATGAACTTTTCCACCCACAAGCAGCTGATTCAACATCCTTCTGGCGGGTGTGGAGATCCACTCGACTGGATCCAGGCCGTGCTTCCTCATGCTCTCTTCGGCAGCCGCAGTGTCAATCTCTTCCCGTGAAATATTGAGGTCTCCAGTCCACACAACCCTCTTGCCCATCCTCGCCAGATTGCGTATTCTCGCATCGAGCACTCGCAGGAAGCTCGATCTGAAGTGCGTCCGTGTCTCGTCGCGTTCGGCAGGACAGTAGGTACCGATGAGAACAAAGGCTGGGAATTCGAGGATAACGCATCGGCCTTCGGCGTCGAGGGTAGCAGGATCGAAATCAGCTTCTGCTAGTTGTTCCGCGTTTGGGTAGCCGCCGATTCGTTCTTCATCCGGCAGGTCTCGAAAACTGGTGGAGGAATTTGGAGGAGTGAGGATGCCCGTGATGCCTTCCTCTGCTTTGATGGGGGCGCAGGTAGCATTTCGCGTGTAGACGACGACACCAGAATATCCTTGGATCGTCAGGATGACCTTTCTGTTCAACAGAAGCTTTGTTTCATACCTTTTTTGTGCTTTGGTAAACTCCAATAATTGTCCCAACCAGGTACCAAGACCATATCATCTCGAAGATCTTTTCTCTGGATCTTTGTCTCTTGAAAAACCACTATGTCTGCCTCCAGGATATCAAACATGCCCTCAAAGGTCCTTCTGTCCCTCCATGGCTGGTATCCGAAAGGATTGCGAATGCCATTGACATTCCAGCTTGTGATTCGAATGCCCATGGCTGGCTGTTAGCGGCGCCGCCGCCTCATCGTAGGGAGAGCGACTCACCGCGCCATCCACGTGGCACGAGAAGGAGAACAGCTGCTCACGGCCAGCGCAGCTGAAGGCAGGGCACGCGAGTAGATTCGTTCAAGATGCGTGGCAGTGGCAGCCTAATCGCGCGAGGGTCGCGTGGTCACGATTGACATGGAGATGAATGTCGTAATCGGTCGAGAACTGAAGGGATCAGAGGGCATCAAAACGCCATCAAAGGGCCTCACTACCTGGAGAGCCTGGTGCTGAGGGTGCTGAGGGTGCTGAGGGTACTGATTAGGCGATGACTGGGCTTGCTGGAGCGACGAAAATGCCCGCCGAGGACACTTTAGGGGGTGACGTAATGAGGCTTCACGGTTGGTGACCCCAAACCAAGTAACCAAGTTGCTGTTTCTACGGTTCGATCAATTCCATCACAGTCTCCATCTTGACAGGAACAGTAACTTCAAGTCGGTCCTTTTGATTAGATTGTTTGTTCATTCTTCAATTGACCTTTGACGTGTTCGCAGAGCGATCAGATTGACGCCTTCAAGTCTTGCTTTACTACTTCGTATTGCTCTCACATTAACCCCGCCACAGTTGCGTGGCTGTGCCATTGAACCTCGAATCTTTTCATTTCCAAAACATCACTCAATCGATTCACGATCAGCCATCTCGGCGCCTTCCACTGGCTCAACCAGTGCGCTCCTCTTATGTTGCCCTCACCAAGATAGTCACTACCTATTGACCCGGCCTGGGTGACGGCCACCACCGGCCAAGATGTTGGAAGGACTGGTAGCCAACCTCCTCAACCGCTTCTTGGGTATGTACGTCAAGAACTTTGACCCGAAGCAACTCAATGTCGGCATCTGGTCTGGAGATGTCAAGCTACGAAACCTCGAGCTCAAACGTGAAGCTCTTGACCAGTTACATCTGCCAATCAATGTGGTCGAAGGTCGATTGGGCGAGCTGACTCTGTCGATACCGTGGTCAAATCTTCGCGGAAAGCCTGTGAGAGTCAACATCGAAGACGTCTTTCTGCTTTCGGCCCCAAAGTCCGAAGATGACTACAATGCCGAGGAAGAAGAAAAGCGCGCCGTGGCTGTCAAGCTGGAAAAGCTGGAGAGCGCCGAGCTGTTGAAGGAGCGGAACACGGAGGCCATGAGTCCGGAAGAACAGCAGAAGAACCAGAGCTTCACTCAAAGTCTGGTCACGGCCATCGTCGACAATCTTCAAGTCAGCATCAAAAATGTCCACATACGCTACGAAGACTCAATAGCCACCCCAGGCCATCCATTCGCGGTGGGCTTCACGCTCAAAGAGATGAGTGCCGTCAGCACGGACTCAGAATGGCGGCCCACCTTCATCCAGTCAAACTCAGGCACAACACACAAACTTGCCGTCCTGAACTCTCTAGCTGTCTACTGGAACAGTGACGCAGAGCTGTTTGGTACCGGAAAGGGTGGCGACGTTGGTGCAGAAGCGCAAGAAATCGACAAGGACGACCTCATCCGACGTTTCAAGGAGGGTATCGAGGATACCAGCAACTCTCAGTACTTGCTCAAGCCGGTCAGCGGACGTGCCGGTATCGAATTGGACAAGACTGGCAAACCCGACAAGCCCAAAATCAAAGCACGCTTGCTGTTTCAGGAACTCGGATTCATTCTTGACGAAGATCAGTACCGCGATGCCCTCATGCTCGTCGATCTCATGCACTACTTCATCCGCCACCATCAGTACAAGAAAGAACAACCCGAGAAGAGTCCGAAAGAAGACCCAAGGGCATGGCTGAAGTTCGCCGGTACCGCGGTCCTCGACAAGATCCATGATCGCAATCGAAAGTGGACATGGGACTACTTCAAAGAACGCAGAGATATGCGGCTGAAGTACATTGACCTATTCAAGAAAAAGAAGAAGGACCAAAAGTTGACCGACCAAGAGACGAAGGATCTCAACGACCTCGAGTACCAATTGAGCTATGAAGATCTGCGTTTCTGGAGGTCCCTCGCTCGGAGCCAGCTTCGGAAAGAGAATGTCGGGGTCAAGAAGCCTGCGCAAAAGCAAACATGGTCGCAATGGGTCTGGGGGTCAAAGCCGACGGAGCAGCAAGAAGACGAAGACGCCGGCATGACCGAGGAGCAGCGCAAGGAGCTTTACAATGCCATTGACTGGGACGAAAAGAAAGCCATTGCCGAAAGCGTCGACCTGCCTCGAGAAACCATCAAGCTGCAACTGGAATCGAGTCTAAGGACCGGAAGTTTTACACTCAAGCGAGATCCTCATGGCAAAGGAAACGAGGTCCTCAAACTCGTCTTCGACAACTTCAAAGCCAAGGCCCTCCAGCGCCCGGATTCCTTCTTGGCCGATTTGGCACTCGGCGGCTTCCGTGTGTACGACGGTACCACGGAGGGGAGCCTGTTTCCCCAGATCGTCAAGGTGAAGGGGGTAGAAGACCAGCCAAAGGATGAGTCCAAACAGGACGCCGAACAGGACAGTCTTGAAGAAAACTCCGACGTCGACGAAAAATCTTCAGAGACGGAAGAGGTCGAAGATAGCCTGTTCCATCTGGTCTTCGAAAACAATCCGCTTGATGAAAGTGCCGACACCAAGGTCATGTTGAAGCTGAAGAGTCTCGAATTCATCCACAACCCAAAGTTTGTGGTGGAGATAGCCAAGTTCTTCAAACCTCCAGAGCGCCATATGGAGTCAATCGGTGCTCTCCTGGAGACCGCTGGTGCAACAGTGGAGGAGATCAGACAACAAACCCGGGCCGGCCTCGAATTTGCCCTAGAGGAGCATAAGACCATCAATGCGAATCTGGACATTCAGGCACCCATCTTCATCATCCCCGAGAGCATCACGGAAGAGAGCACACTCTGCATGATTCTGGATGCCGGACATGTCAGCCTCAACAGCGAACTCGTGGACAAGGAGACAATGAAGGACATGCGTTCCAAGCAAAAACAGACTTACACCGAGGAAGACTACAAGCAGCTTGAGGGCTTGATGTATGACAAGTTCCATCTGAAGCTTGAGTCTACGCAAGTCCTGATAGGGCCTGGTATCGAAGCTACAAGAGCGCAGCTGGAAGATCCAGACGATGCACGGAATATGCACATCATCGACCGCATCAGCATGGCTTTCCTGCTTGAGAACTCCATTGTCCCTAAGGCTCCGGACATCACGAAGATACGAATTTCCGGGACACTGCCTGTTCTCCACGCCTCGATATCGGACAAGAAGTACAAGAATCTGATGAGGTTGCTGGAAGTCGCGATACCAAAGTTTGAAAACTCGGAACCGGAGACGACCAGGGCTGAGCAGGCCACTGAAGCCCACAAAGAGCCGGACGACATCAGGTCAAAGAGGAAATCAGTGCAGTTGCTCGAAGCGAAGAATGTGCCAATCATTGACCCAGAGTCCGATGCTGAGGACACCCAAACTCAGAAAATCACCGAGTCTGGAACATCCGAGACGCCAGCCAACATACATCAACGCAATTTCGAAATCAATTTCACGGTCGAGAAGCTGCAAGCCTCGCTGTACAAGGCCGACCCCGAAGGCAAGAACCCGGATCAGCTTCTGGTCGAACTCGTGGCAGAGCATTTCTTCTTCGACTTCTACCTACGTCCATATGACATGGTAGCAGAAGTGCTACTGCGATCTCTGACTGTGGATGACCACATCGAAGAGCACCCTCTACCGGAGTTCAAGCAGATCATCTCATCCAAAGGGTACAAGGCTGAAGAAGGCAAAGACTTGCTCAACGTCAAGTTTGTGAAAGTAAATCCAGAGTCGCCGGAATTCAAGTCCACCTACGAGGGAGTCGCAACCAATTTGGACGTCTCAGTGTCGACGATCAACGTCATCGTGACCAGAAGGACGCTGCTGACCTTGCTTGACTTCGTGCTCACGACATTTGCTGGGCCGCCAGACCAAAGCCAAGGACAAATTGATGAGGACAAGTCGAAGAGCGAAGCCGACACAGCAGAGGATCCGCCACAGCCGAAGCCGCAGCAAGACAAAATCAGGATCAAGGCTGCGTTGACAAGTATAGCACTTGTCTTGAACAACGATGGCGTGCGGCTGGCCACATTGTCGCTCAATTCCGGTGATGTGGGCGTGTTCCTTGACGCTGGAACAATGCAGGTTAAGGCAAGGTTGGGCAGTCTGTCCTTGGTCGACGATGTTAACCAAGGAGCACCTGAAGACTCGCCCTTGCGCCGGCTAATCGCCATCGAGGGAGACGACCTGGCAGACTTCAAGTACCAGACATTCGACTCTTCTCGGGCCAACTACCCCGGCTATGATTCTGGAATCTACTTGCGTTCCGGTTCCATCAAGGTCAACTTTTTGGAGGAACCATTCCGAAAGATCATGGAATTTGGTGTCAAGTTCGGAAAAATGCAAGCCATTTTCAATGCGGCCAGGCAAGCTGCTGCAGAACAAGCCACGCAAGTGCAAGAGAGCGCCCAGAAAATGCATTTCGACGTGGTCATCAAGACTCCGATTGTGGTTTTCCCGAGAGCAATGGTTGATGACAGACCGCGTGATCTACTCACTGCCCATCTCGGGGAGATCTACGCCAATAACAAGTTCGTTGGAGTCCAAGGACACAAAGGGGGTCCCCTCGTGAACAAGCTATCCGCCGGCATCAGACACATTCGGCTGACAACTGAATTTCATTATGATGATGGTCAATCCGAGGAACTGGAGATGATTGACCAGGTCGACCTGGATTTCAAAATCAGATACCTGGAGCATCAAGCTGGTATTGAGAGACCAGACCTGGAAATCGATGGCTCGATGTCTCCTATCAACCTGCGCGCTTCCCAGACTCAATTCAAGTTGCTAATGGAGCTCTCGAAGACCATCCCAGCAGCCTTCGCCACTGATAGCGAATCCGAGGAAGAAATTGCAGAAGAGTTGCCCTCTTCCACGACTGAAACCGCCAAAGCGGTACAGCACGAAGAGAAACCCTCAGAGGAATTGGCCGAACCAACCTACCAAGGCCCTGAGCTTGGCTCAAGCGATGAAACCTGGACAAAACTGAACTTTGTGTTCAAAGCTCCCACGATAAGTCTCGAGCTCTTCTTAGCAGAAGAGAATCAGCCAACCGAGAATTTTGAGGCCGCGAGCATTTCCAAATTTTCTCTTAATGAAACGAACGTCAAACTACGCATGGTCAGCGATGGTGCTATGGAAGCTGAGCTCCTCATCCACTCCTTCACTATTCGCGACAGCCGCAAAAAGGAGACCAACAAGTTCCGGAAGATTATGTCCTTGATCAACACCGACGTCCAGCAACAATTCATGGCCAGCATATCTATAACTGGCGGGCAAGAGAGACACATGATTGTGATGTTGACCATCGATAGCCCTCGTATAATCGTTGCTCTGGACTACATCTTCGCCCTTCAGGCGTTTGCCAATGCAGCATTCCAATCTGATGAACCACCGGCTATTGCAGAGGTGGAAGATTTGACCGACGATGGCGACCTCGAGAGTCCCGCAGAACAGCGCGAGGAGCCACATGCTGCATCAGACGATGATTCCACCGAGTCTTCGATGTCCATGTCTTTCCGGATTAATGTCGTCGATGCTCAAATCATTCTGATAGCAAACCCAACCATTTCCAACACCGAGGCCATTGTGCTTGGTACCAAAGAGGTACTTGTTGGAAAGCAGAATGCCACGACGCTGCAAGTTTCAAAGGTCGGCATGTTTCTGTGCCGCATGGATAAGTTCGAAACCAGTCGCCTCCGAATTCTGGACGACTTCAGCATCTACATGTCCATGGACAGTCGGAGCCAAGGCAAAGATTCCTCTCTGACTTCGATCAGTATTGAGGTCGAGCCGCTCGTCCTCCGCCTCTCACTCCGAGATATCTTGCTTGCTATGCAGATCGTCCAAAAGGCCTCCTCTACAATGCCACAACCCAAGGTACAACAAGACACAGAACCTAAGAAGATCAAGGATGTCAAAGCGTCATCAGACGCACCATCAACCAAACGAAAGTCAATAGCAGGGCAGACAATGACGACGGCGAAGAAATCTAAGAGGTCAAAATCCGTCAACAAGATCGATACGAAACAGCCACCCAGAAGGTCTGTGGTCATGAGCAGAGAAGAACTGATCGCAACAATCGATGGCATCAGGGTCATCCTCATTGGTGATCTCCACGAACTTCCGCTGCTAGATTGGAGCGTCAAGAAGTTCCAGGTTGATGTCAGAGATTGGTCTGGCGCAATGGCGGCAGATGCTAAGATTGACACTTTCATCAATGTGTACAACTTCTCCAAGTCGGCATGGGAGCCTCTCATTGAACCTTGGAAATTGGGCTTCCATATGTCCAAAGAGCTTCATCCGGAGGCTCTGTCGATGGAGCTTTACTCCCACAAGAATATGGAGCTTACGGTGACTTCGGCCACGATAGCTCTGGCATCCAAGTCGTTCAACTTCTTGTCCACAGACGAAGACATCCTGTCGAAACCAAGAGTGGCGGATGCACCCTATCGGATTCGCAACTACACCGGTTTCGACCTGAGCGTCTGGGCTGATGAGAAGAGTGACAATGCAGCTGCGGCTAAGCTGAGCGACGGTGAAGAATATGCGTGGCGCTTTGAGGACGCCACCTCAATGCGAGAGAGCTTGACGCCCGAGGGCAACGCAGGATTGGTGGGTGTCAAGTTGGAAGGAAGCGGTTTTGACAGTGTCAGTCGCATCCCTGTCATTCGCGAAGGAGAAACGCTGTACAACCTCAAGCCCAAGAAGGACAATGTCCAACATCGAATGCTGGTCGAAGTCAGACTCGGGCCCGACAACGTGAAGTACATCACCTTCCGTTCACCACTATTGGTTGAGAACAAAACCCAAATACCGATAGAGGTAGGCGTGTTCAGTCCGGAGGAAGGCCATCTCCTCAAGATCGAGAAGGTGCCGCCTGGAGACGCAAGGCCCGCCCCTGTTGGAGCAGCTTTCGTGCACTCTCTCGTGGTGAGACCTGATCAGGGCTTCGGCTACGGATGGTCAAACGAGAGGATGTTCTGGAAGGACCTGTTGAGGCGGTCTACAAGGACGCTGACTTGTGAGACTGAAGGAAGGGACGAGTCTCCTCCATTTTTCTTCCAGATGCATGCATCGTACGACAGGAAGGATCCCATGACCAAAATTTATCCGTACATGAGGATACAGATATCGGCACCAGTGGAAGTGCAGAACCTCCTACCATACGATTTCAAGTATCGGATCTACGACAAGAACACGAAGAAGGACTGGACCAACTTCCTACGCAAAGGTGGCGTCAGCCCGGTCCACGTGGTCGAGCTGTCCCACCTACTACTGCTCAGTGTTGAGATCGAAGACACTCCGTTCAGGCAGAGTGACTTTGCCATCATCAACAGCAATACTCAAGAGGAGTTCCGCCGTGAGAAAGCAGTACAACTGAAGGACGAACAAGATGGTCAACTCAAACTCAAGCTCCATTATACCAACATCAAGGACAGTGGAGGTGCATTCAGAGTGTCAATCTACAGTCCGTATGTCCTTCTGAACAAGACCGGACTTGACATGAGTGTTCACAGCAAGGCATTCTTCGGATCTTCAAAGACTTCGGCGTCTCAAGGTGCTCGAACCAGCTCTGGCCACGGAAAGGCGCTGCCCATGTTATACTCTTACGCGACAGACGACCGCAGGAACCGTTCCCTGCTCAAGATTGGCGATTCCAGTTGGAGTAAGCCGCAGAGCTTCGACGCCATCGGCAGCTCCTACGAAGTGGTCTTGCCCTCCTCATCAGGGAAATCTGAACTGCACGTCGGGGTGTCAGTCACCGAGGGAGAAGGCAAATATAGCCTGAGCAAGGTTGTCACCATTGCTCCTCGATTCATGCTCAAGAACAAGATAGGAGAAGACATTGAGCTGCGAGAACCCGGGTCCTCGGATGTCCTGAAGATGGGGAACAACGACCTTCTACCGATGTACTTCATGCGGCAGTGTCCTGAAAAGCAGCTTTGTCTTTGCTTCCCAGGCGTCAACAACCAGTGGTCGTCTCCCTTCGATATGGCGAATGTTGGTATGACTCATGTCAAGCTTGCGAAACATGGACAGCGACAGAAGCTCATACGTGTGGAAATCATTCTGGAAGACGCAACACTGTTCCTGCACTTCAGCATTGAGACCAAGCACTGGCCATTCTCGATGAGGAATGAAAGCGACACGGAGTTCTTGTTCTTCCAAGCCAATCCGAATATCGCGGAAGACGAGGAAGAGGATCGAGGCAGCGGTTGGAAGCCCATCCGATACAAATTACCTCCGCGGAGCATCATGCCTTATGCCTGGGATTATCCTGCTTCCAAGAACAAAGAGCTTGTTCTTACTGCGCGAGGAAGGGAGCGATACGTGAAGCTGATGGAAATCGGCAACCTGATACCAATCAAGCTACCGCCGGATGAGCGTGGCGGGCCTGTGAAAGTGATCGATATCAACATTGTCGCCGATGGACCAACCCAGACACTGGTGCTATCGAACTACAAGCCATCAAAGTCACTCTACCGACAGAAGACAGGTGCAACCAATGCTTCACAGACGAGCCTCAGCCAGGGCTTCGAAGTCAAGCAGATCGAATCAGACCTAAACTTCAAGGCCGAGCTCCGGTTAGCTGGTATTGGCGTCTCTCTGGTCAACAGCAATCTGAAAGAGTTGATGTATCTCACCTGGCGTGAGATTGAATTCAAGTATGGCGAATCCAAGCTGTACCAAACGCTGAATGCCACCATCAAATGGATACAGATCGACAATCAGCTCTACGGCGGCATTTTCCCGATCCTGCTGTACCCAAGTGTCGTACCAAAGACTGGCAAGGAAATGGAGACTCATCCTATCTTCCACACGATGGTCACCCGCGTCAAAGATGACTCGTACGGCGTGCTGTACATCAAGTACGCGACTCTTCTGCTGCAACAAATCACTGTCGAGGTGGATGAAGACTTCATATTCGCCATGCTTGACTTCTTGAAAGTGCCAGGTGCGTCCTGGGCTGAAGAGAAAGAAGGGAAGTTGTGCGACGAAGACCTCGATATTCCCGAACCTACACGAGAGCATCAAGGGCAGGATGTGTACTTCGAGCTCCTACATCTGCAACCCATTCAGCTGGATCTTTCATTCGTCCGAACCGAACATGTCAATGCGGAGGACAATTTCGTCAACAGTCCTTTGATGTTCTTTGTGAATGTCATGACTATGTCGATTGGCAATGTCAACGACGCTCCCATCAAGCTGAATGCGTTGATGCTTGAAAACGCAAGGGTGTCGGTGCCAGCATTGATTGCGAACATTCAGAACCATTACACGCAAGAAGTCCTTCGTCAAGTTCATATCATTCTGGGTTCGGCCGACTTCTTGGGCAACCCAGTGGGCCTATTCAACAGCGTGAGTTCTGGAGTTGCAGACATCTTCTACGAACCGTACCAGGGCTTGGTGATGACGGATCGACCGCAGGAGCTGGGCATTGGCATCGCCAAGGGTGCCAGCAGCTTTGTCAAGAAGTCTGTCTTCGGTTTCAGTGACAGTATGGCCAAGTTCACGGGTTCAGTATCAAAGGGTCTTGCGGCAGCGACCATGGACAAGGAATTCCAGGACCAGCGACGAATGTCCAAGAACCGCAATCGGCCAAAGCATGCTCTTTACGGCGTGACCTCCGGAGGCAACGCCTTTGCCGCAAGTATGGCCAGTGGAATCGGTGGACTGGCGCGACATCCGCTTGAGGGCGCAGAGAAGGAGGGTGCGCTGGGCTTCGTCAAAGGTGTTGGCAAGGGCTTCCTCGGGTTGGCGACCAAGCCAGCCATCGGTGCGTTCGATCTGGCGTCCAATGTCGCCGAAGGTGTTCGCAATACCACGACCGTGTTCGACGCCGAGGGTCTCGACCGAGTACGTTTGACTCGATTTATCGGTATGGACGGGATCGTGCGACCGTACTCGCAGCGTGAGGCGCTTGGGCAGTTCTGGCTGAAGACATGCGACGATGGCAAGTACTTCAACGAGGATTATATTGCGCATCTGGAACTGGAAGGCCGAGATATGATGGTCATGATCACGTACGAGCGCGTGCTCATGATTCGGACGAAGAAGCTGCGCATGGAGTGGGATGTCAAGTTGACGGATGTACAAACTATCAGCAAAGAGAGGACGGGCATGAGTATCGGTTTGAAAGGCGGCGCAAATGGTCCGTTCATCCCAGTGGCGGACGAGGGAAGCAGGAACTGGTTGTACCGGCAGATTGCGATTGGTGAGTTCATGTCTGGCCTGAACATGAATGGAGACATGCTGACTATTCGATCTAGCTGTGAATGCGTTCAACGACAAGTATAACGCCAAAGGATGATCGGGACGAAGTCATGCTGAGAGGGCGAGGCAACGACGGCCTCGATGGGAACACCAACATCACACGGGTCCGGTCCCAGCTGGTAGGAACCATGAGGCGGGACTTGCCCGGCAGCCTGCCATGTTCTTGGTGTGGTATCTTTTGAGGTTTTGGGACAAGAAGGACTGAGCGGTATGCCTTCATGCATTGTATCATTACCAGCCGCAGACGAGTATGAGTACAAAGAGTCAATGTAGTACAGGTAATGATAATCCAAGTCATTGTCATTCATTCATTCAGTACTGCAGGACTACAAACTTCCACGTCGCTCTCGTGACACTCATCCATTCATCGCATGGCATTCAGGACCCCTTGGACTGAGGCTGGTGACACTGAGCAGTGAATGACAACCTCAAAGCCCCAGGTGCATGCCGTCCTTCATTCTTGATAACATGTGATGCCTCTGCCTCCATGGACAGTCCCTCCCAGCAGCAAAAGCTCAATCGAGCACGGAAGGTCAGTGAAGCGCTGTCGGTCCTTCACCTGATGTTGTGGTGCGTGCGGCAGTAATTTGGGCGGTCGCAACATGGGGATAGCCATCACCCTGACTTTGAGCTTCAGTGGGTTTTCTGGATCGGCACAAACAACCAACATCAACTGCCGGCCAGCCAACATGATGGGCGAAATCAAAATGTCCCCTGGGGACAAGGTGAGTACTGACCTGTTTGGTTGCCTTCTCTTTCTCCCATTTCCCCCCTCATCTTGCAAGGGCGGCAGTTGGAAGTGAGGCACCGACGATGTGTTGGCTTTGCTGGCTTTGCTGGCACTCACCTCTTTGGTCGCCCTCTAAATTTCCCCTCTCATCTTGCAAAGGCTACAGTTGGAAGTGAAGCGCTGACACTTTGCTTGCACACAACAGCTGATCATCGATCGCGCGCCGGATGGCACAGCTCAGCTGAGACACATCGCTTACCAGTACGAGTATGACGGCAGCACTGCCAGTGCTCATGTAAATGCCAACGCCATCACCCAGCATCGCGGATGTTCAGAACCGCCCAGTAAACTCATGAAGCTCGAAGATGGACAGGGCATCAGCACATTGCCAAGAGGTGTGGACGTGGACAACTCATCAAAAGACGGACCAGGAACAAGCGAGGCAGGGGGAGGCAACAAATTGACAATCATCGCTTCGAAAGACCTCGAGGACATCCGGGCGGGGATCGTGGAGTCTTCGAATGAGAATGCGCAGTTGAGGCACCAGCTCGCGATGCTGGAAAAGAGGCTGGCAGATGCGGAGTACCATGCTCGGTTGTATTGGCAATGCGGGATGGATTGGGCGAGGCAGGAAATGCAGTGGATCGAGGAGAGGGAGAGATTGTTGGGCCGTGTGAGGATGCTCCAGCAACGCATGCTGGCGGAGAAGAGTGTGCATGAGGGTGGTGGTACAGCAGGAAAGAGTGAAGCCGCCACTTGTGGTGTTGTTGCAGGGAAGAGTGTGCATGAGGGTGGTGGTACAGCAGGAGAGAGAGTGCATGAGCGTGGTGGTACAGCAGGAGAGAGAGTACATGAGTGTGGTGGTACAGCAGGAGGAAGAGTGCATGAGTGTGGTGGTACAACAGGAAAGAGTGAAGCCGCCACTTGTGGTGTTGTTGCAGGGAAGAGCGAGTCCGCTGGTGGCGGTGGTGGTGGTGGTGGTGGTGATGGCAAGCCACGTTTTCTCCAGCCTTCAGCCAGATACGAGGGTGTGATGGTCGAGAATGGGCAAGGTATCCCTGGGCTTGGTGATGGACCAGCCTCCTCGAATAAGGGGGACATGATGAGCTGCAAAGCTGCCCAAAGTGATGCTGGAAAAGAGTAACAATGAACCGTGAGCTGCAAAGCTGCCCAAAGTGATGCTGGAAAGAGTACGAATGAACACCCGTGAGCTGCAAAGCTGCCCAAAGTGATGCTTCGGCTGGAAATACCACCAGGGACAACCCAGGGATTGCGAAGTTCTGAGCAATGGTGAAGTTGAAGCTGAAGGTGCGGCACGCACCATGCATGGCTGCCCAACACTGGTGGGCTTGACCATGTCTCCCGTAAACAAGGCTGAAGATGGAGAGATGTTGCGCAACCCATGTCTCGACGTCTTGACTTGAAATTTTCAGCAAATGACTCAACCAGTCGTTATGCCCATGTAGGCTAATGCATTGCCAGCACCTTCAGAGTCTGGGCCAGAACATGTCAAGTGATGAGCAATCTTGCATTAGAGAGCAGCTGATATTCCTCAATCATCCAATTTGGTGCTGGCTGTCACAAAGACGCGAGAAAAGAGGGATTGCTTCTGAGCAGATTGGCTGCTTCATCGATGCGCATGACAGTGATGATGCTACGAACGCACAATCGTGGAGAGATGTGGTTCGTAGCTTCGTCTCTTGCAGCTTCATGCGTCCGAGGCTGCAGCCTCATCTTGCAAGGAGTAATTTCTATCACGCAGAAATGCCTTCAAATCTGTTGAATGAGAATGCCTGCAAGTCGGTTGCGATGGCGCCTCAAAATGAGTCATGAATCATTGATGTATGCAAGTCGAAGGGACATCACAGGCCGGATATGTGTGATGAGGAGTTGGATGTCTCTTCTGGCCAGGGAACTTTGGTCTCGTCTCCTCGTATTCGTGAAAATGGTGATGTCCTGGGTGCTTTGCATGTTATCCCGTGTCGTCGAGGGTGTTGGATGGACGGACTTGACTTGACACCTCCGTAGTGTGTCCAGTAGTTGCGAAGTGCAGCTCAACACCCTTGCCCTGGCCAGCTGCATGTTTGCCTCGCGACAAAAAGCCTTTCGTGAGAAATGAGAAATGAGAAATGAGAAAAATGAGATATGGAGAAAGGGAGAAAACGAGTAAATCCCTGTAAGGCCTCGTGTTCGCATGGCCCACCTCGTCACAGCCTATCGCCAGGCTCCCTCTGCGGAAATGGAGGACGCCATCGGACGCGAGGATGCCCAACGACACCTCCCATTGTGTAACAACACAACCCGTAGGTTGTTACAGGGTCGGTAAGATCCCTTCTCGACTTGCTGTGGACAACACCAACCCCTCTTTCTATGCACGTCCATGATAGCTGTCACCTGGCTGTCGGTGCCATGGTTGGTGCCCGCAGCTCATGGCTTACAGTAATGCTCTTGGCCGCAGACGCCACCACTGAATAATCACCATCACCATCACTTTGCGGGTTGCAATTTGCAACTTCGCTAACTGGTCGGAGCGATTAACCGACGGCTGAATACGATCTCGAGAAGTTGCTTTTTCTCTCTTGTGAGGGATGCTACGACGAAGCCTAGCTAATCACCTCTTGACAAAACGGAGAAAGTCGTCGAACCCCTGTAGAAGTGGCCCTCAAGCCGTGTCTGGCCAGCCTAGTGAGCCTCACCCTGTTTGCTTTTCCGAAAATTTTGAAAACTTTCAACACAAGCGGGACAAGGGCCGAAGCGCTGGCTGGAATGGCGATCACGAGCATCCACACACCCTTGAGAGGAGCTGAAGTCGTTACGCAGATCTGGCGGAGAATGGAGCCAGCCATCCATGGTTTGGAAAGGGATATTTGTTCCGCAGGCATTTTCCCAGCAGCCTCCACGGCTTCCTTTGGGGGCTATCTGAATGTGCCCAGGATGCAAACAAACAGGGGCCTTTACAGGGCAAACCCCATGTATCATGCACTTCTCAGCCCCCTGAAAAGTTCGGATGGGCTTTCGCACGGCGAAATTGTTGATCAAATGAGCCAGGGTGTACACACATGCACTGTGACTGCCAATGTTTGGTCAAGACAACTGCAGCAGTCGAAGTAGCAGGTCCCTGCCTTACAAGCCGCATTGCATTACGGCTTAACTCGCATCGAACCTGTTCCCTTCGCCAGGGTCATGGCGCTTCACTCATTCACGAACGCAGTGCCGATGCCTATTTCAGCAGGTGGTTGGAAAACCGTACGAGGCTTCCTGCGAGCTGGCTAGGCTGAACCAAATTTTCAGTCTACGTCGAAGCGATTCACCCTGCTCGAGTTCGCTTGGGGGTGACGGAAGACTCTGCAGGTCGACATTGGAAGAGAAATCTTCAGCCAGACCTTGTCACGGTCTGCAGGCTTCACGGTCTGCAGACTTTGGCGCAAGTCCAAGGTCCCTACAGAGTAGGGCGACCATGGATGTTCGACGTCAAGACGCCCTGGTGGTTGTGACTCGTCCAACATTGCATATCGTCGATTGACAACAGCTTCTTGCCAGCGCAAAGGACGCAACGGACAGAGTGATTGAAGGCCTCAATACTCCGCATGCACGAATGCACGAATGCACGAATGCATCGACAAGACTGGTCTGCCTCTTCTCTTGTGCGTTGAGTCCCTTGGCCGACTTGACTACATATATGGGCATGAACAATCATCAAAGTCAAACAACAATCAACAACTTCTTTTCCTTCCATCAAAGTCAAACAACAATCAGCAACTTCTTTTCCTTCCCTCAAAGTCAGCAGCAATCAATCACTTCCTTTCCTTCCATCAAAGTCAACAGCAATCAACAGCAATCAACAGCACCTTTCCTTTCATCAGAGTCAACAGCAATCACCAACATCTTTTCTTTCCTACTTGTCCATGCCCCTTGTTTCCAGTCGTACCCCTTTTCATTCTTACCATATCACTCAATCTTCCCAGCCACAAGGATGTCCATAGGTTACAACAATCGGCGACTTTCACTGCGGATCAGGCTCCAGGCCTGCGACGAGGCCAGAGACCAGGACAGAGACCAGGACAGCGACGATGAATTGGACCAGTCCGGTGACGAGCTCATGTTCCAGGACAGTGACGAGATCGGTGATGAGGTGTTGTACCAGTCCGGTGACGAGATCGGTGACGGGATCGTTGATGACCCCTTCCTGGAGAGCGACGAAAGCGGCGGCGAGTCGTGGGACGAGGTCAGTGAAGACGAAGTCAGCTCTGAAGTCGGTGAGGAACCTGAGCTCGACGTGGCCCCGCTCAACTATCTCGACACTACCACTTGGCCAGCCGCTCTTGAGGGATTCTACGCCAATCTGTTCGCCCAGACCATTCAAATGACCAAAGGCTGGGAGGAGAACGGCCATGGTATCTATCGTCCACCAGCGCACATGCGGTCGGGCCATAGTCACTTTCCCTTGGAGGTGCCTGCTTCGCTAGGCAGACCAGACCGGCAGCCTTATATCCCTGACTCGGATAACCGCTTCATCGTGGACAAGAATGACGACGATGACGACGATCTGGACGTGAATGTCAAGTTCCCAACCGGCATGTCTTGGGCAATCTGGGGAATCCCCGACGAATTCACCTGCACTCTGGAAGAGGCCTATTACTTCCACACCAAGTGGTGCCTGCTCGACCCTGAGGCCAGTCAGGACTTTGTGAGTGAGAGTGAAATCCTGCAGGCGGAATTGTGTCGTCTCATGGACCATCCCATGTCAAACGCGACTGATCTGAGAGCGCTCATCCATCGTCTGTTGAAGGCTTCTTTCCGGGAAATCGAGCTCGACATCATTGGCGAAGTGAAGCGAGGCAAAATCGTCCATTGGGTTACCAGCCCAAAGGTGAGCTCAGGATACCTCCCTTTGATGGTCTTCTTCGAGCCCGCAGTCAACACGGGATCGCGCTACTACCAGCTCCTCAGGACGACATTGGAAGACGAGGAAGATGCGGCGGTCAAGCAAATTGGCGGGGAAATGCTCACCTTCAACCAAGTCACCCAAAGACGTCATCCAGTGGCATCGTCAGATTCGATAGGATGCTAGGAGGCGGGTTCAGAGACGGAGGACTGCTGGTGGTTTGGGGAAATCTATGCTTTGGTCGGTCAAATTTTTCATTCTTCTTCTTCCCTACAAAGACAATGATGAATCGCTCACTCTTTCTCTACCAGGACACGCTCTCTACCAGAACAACAAGTGCACGCTCTCTACCAGGACAACAAAAGCTGCACTCTCTTTTCTTCGGCTTTCTCGACAACGGCAACAAGAGTTACGCAATATTTTCCTCTTGGATTTCTTTGGAAGGGCAACAAGAATACGTACTTTTTTCTTTCTGGGTTTCTCTGTGAGGAGGACAAAAATTGAACCATCTTTGATGTGTGTTTCTCTATGGAGGCAACGAATTGCACACTCTTGTTTTTTTAGGGCAGTCTACGAGGTATCTCTACACTCTGAAGGGACGGATAATGTGTATGGCCAATCATTCATAGCTTTCCTTTGTCTCAAAACACAAGTTCAATTCATATGGTACCGACGGGTTTCATTGTGGCTAGTCAATTATTCCGGCTCTCGTACTTCGATAATCGCAGGGAATAACGCTAGTCTACACAACGTTAAGCGTGAATTCTGACACTCAGCGATGCTGTATCAGTGGACAACGCTGGTATTCACAGCTGGAATTGCGTGGGGATGTTCAGTCGGGCATACTTGGGTGAGATGAGCGGTACCATGGAGACGTTAAAGTCTGATTTTGATACATTTTCGCGGGTCAAAGTGGCTCTCTTTTCGTTGGAATAAGGAAGCAACAAAGTACCAGCTCTCTTTGCTTTTGATCTTTCTTTCGTTGCGGCCAGGGTCGAGTACATAGCCCCGCTGATTACTGATGAGGTTGATTCCATGTTGACGCCATTGGGTGGTGTAATGTGTGTGTCCGAAGACCCACCACTGCACTTTGCTCATCTCCTCGTGGACTCCGATCAAGTCTGTTGCAAATGCATCTGCCCAAGGGTTATTCTGGTTTTTGGGATGGCTGCTTCCATTTTTGATGGGCGCATGATGGGAAATAACGAGGATACGTTTCGCTCTTCGACTGTGCTCCGATTCGGACCTGATTGAGTTGATCTCGGTCCGCAGCCAATCGAGATCTTTTTGATGTTCCTCGTTATGCAGCTCAACCGTCCAGTTTGGTATTCTGGCAAAGTCCTTCACTCTTTGCTCAACCGCTGTACGATTCTCCGGCCTGATGTATGACTGGAGTGTGCATCCAAGGATGCAGAGGGATGGGTGAAGGTCCAGTCTTGTCCGATTGAAGACTTTCAGTCTTCCCATGGTCTTTTCCTCGTTCTCCAGCCTGTGAGCACGAGCCAGGCCATCAGATCGTGATAGACCGTAAAATTGATGCTTTCCAAGGACTAGATAGACAGCATGGAACTTCGCACATTGTGTCGTGATGGAAAGAAAGGTATTTGTCGTAGTCTTGAAGTCGACCAATGTCGCCCGCAAGGATGAGAAAAGGGGCTTGGACAGGAATATGGAAGCTCAGATACTGGTCCCCAACTTCAAGGTGAAGATCCGACAATACTTGAAACTTTGACAAGGATCCACCTAGACATCCCAAGCTTCTCTTGTAATTGAACATCGTTGTATTGACCATCTTGACCATCTTGACCATCTTGACGGCACTGGACCATCATGTTGCTTGAAGTTCACCATGCCAAGCCATGAGTTGCTTGCTGACTCATCAGGGAGCGCGGTGCCCAATTGGGTATAGTGTTAACGTGACTCTCTTGCTTGGCTGCGTCTACCTCCTAGGTGCCTCCCGCCAGATCAATATGGATCTGGTTGCGTTACAGACGGCGCTGAATCTGCTGCAGAATTCGAGGCTAACCACTGTCGTTATTGGTGAAGTTGCACTCAACTACTACAATGTACCGTGTATTTTGCACGTTGGTATCCTTCATCGCTATCATCACGGATCCAGGAGTCTAACATGTAACAGGAGATCGAGATCTGCGTTCCCAGCTCGCAATTCAATGCGGCGGAGCTGGCGCTGAATTCCTCTCCCGTCTTCGAAAACCTCCCCCCAAGAACCCCCAACCTGTACAGTGATTACAAAAAGGACTGTCCTCGGTTCGTGGACGTCAGACAACATCAGACTCCCATCACTTTACTTAGTGATCAAGGAATAGGCATTGAGAAATCAGAGGTCCTTGAACCAGCGGCCTATACTAGGGAAGCAGTTTACAGCGATCAAATACTCGGTTACATCCCAGTCGAAGGAATCAAATATCTTCCAATACCGACTCTTCCGTCATTTGTCCAACACCTCTGCCTACTCTTTTTCCGCAGCGCGGACGATATGTATCGGATCCGCATTGAACAACTGGTTGATGGGATGAACATAGATGAAGCATGGTGCCAGAAAAACCTTTCAGACCAGGGACATGTGCAATACCTCTTGAAGCTCGTGAACAGCAAGATGGACAGGATTGACGATTTTTCTGGCAACCTCGTGACATGCTACATCGCTGATCAGGAGGCCGCAGCCGCCGTTACTCGCATCCCTGGCTACTAACCTTTGACTCACGAATTGTATCGAAGTACAGTACTCACAACTACTCTCTTCTATTGAGCCAGTGGAATAGTTTGGTGCCGCTTCACAGTTCATCGACCGCTGCATCTAGCCACCTGAATGTTGCTGGTACTACAAAGTACCCTCTCGCGTCTCATCTTCTCTGGCACGCCCTCTTCCCAGGGCGTTGAGAGTGGTCAGAAAAGAACCGAGTGCTCACCTCTCTGGACCGCTGAAAAGCGAGGTCCAAGCTCTGTGAAGCCGCCAACGAGAGGCTTGAAGTCGAGCTAGACTAGTTTCAATGACAAAGACTGCTTTTTTTGCTGAACAATCGCACACCGTGATAGGTGATGGGCCGCAGCCGGACAAGAATAAGTCCATGAGCCACCTCCACAGATATCATGCTCGGGACTGTGACTGGCTGAGCATATTGGTCCATGATGAGCGCCCAAATAGCCAGTGGCCTCTTGTACGAGCCTCGCATGTTGCAGTGCCCTTGCGGAGCGGTTGAGACTGCTCGACGGGTGATGACGGGCTTGGTGTTAGCGGCAGGCTCAATTCGACACAAGAGGCAGGAGTCTATTGGCAGCAAGTCCCAGCAATGCCAACCACAAGCCAGCCAGCCAGCCAGCAGTGCCAGCATACTCCTTATTGGTCCTCTTACACCTGGGGTCTAAGTTACTACCGAGCTACGGAGTTGCTCTCTTCCAAGTTACCAGGATTGACATCATCACACCCAACCCCGCGCATGGCCGCGTTTCAAGTGGTTGGAAAAACACTGTGTGAGCCATTACTCGTAACTCAGTGACGCAACGTTGCCTTTGGTGTGGATGGTGTGGAGGGTGGAGGATGGACTGGATCGGCCCCCAATGGCCCGATCCCAGCCATCCCATCATGCTACCATAAGTTTTATGCTAAGTTGCGCGTAGGAGAATCAGCCGGTCCACCACGCTTACTACTCGTACTGTGTATGTACACATTTGACCCAACGATGGGCGGCAATCTGGGCGATCAGGCGATCCCCAAGCAGATCGGCGAGGTTGGCATGGATCTCAGACTTCGGAAGGGGGAAACCGGCTGGACACGCTAGACGGTGCGCGAGGCACCTCTGGCGACCTCTCAGTGCCTCGCGTCTCTCGGAGTGCCTCCTCTCTCAGTGTCTCTCCCATCTCTCGGTGGCTTCCCTCTCCCGGTGCCATCTTCTCCCAGTGGATAGCTGAGACTTGCATACGATGGGCTTGCAGGTGGTCTAGCGGAGCCAAACTCCAGGCCCAATTTCCCCGTGGGATTGGATGCAAGTGCTTGATGGGAGTTTTCATTTCACCGCTTCACTGTGACAGTAGGGGTATCTGTGGAAGTGATCCGAACTTGGCACTGTCATTCCAAGTCATTTGCCTTCAAATGATCGACTTTCAGTGGGTTTTCGGCCAAATTTCTTTGTCATTTCATTCTTGTCCTGCCCACTTTCCGGCGCCTGCTAACGACGACTGCATGGTGTGAAGGATACCCCTACAACCACAGTACCCTGTTCCGGGGCAAATCACTAGAATAGGCGTTTTGTCGAATGTCACGCCTGGTACCTTCCATGTTGGAAGCTCTCTCGCTCTCTCAAACCATTCAGTCGGGTCGGGGAGACATATGTTTCGATTGTGGTAGGTCCCCGTCGAGGACATACACGAGTTCCTGGCATTCGACTCGAGGTAAATAAGAAGCCCCAGCATCCTGAACGATGGCTTGTTGCTCTCTACAGCTCTCTTCATTTGTTCTTTCCTCAACGGTTGTTCAACATCATGGCAGATCCTGCATTCATATGCAGTATAGTCAATCTCATCCTAACTTTCCCATCCGTACTGGCGGCCAGCGCCAACTTGAAACAACCGAAGCCTAAAAGCCCCTCTACCTATTTGGTAAACGCTTCCATCCAGCTATTACTGGCCACTGTAATTGTCGTCCTCGTCGCGCTGCCACTGCCGCAAGCCGTCATCGGTATCCGAGCATCCATTTTTATGCTTACCTTTCTGGATGTGAGTTGGTCTTTAGGCCCCTCTTTGCCGCAAATCTTCTAACAGCCTACGTAGGTTTTTGAAGTATACGCCGTCCATGACGATCTGGATCGCCCACGCCAAATCCATTTTTTCCGATGGGTCTATACCATCAAGGTGATCTGGATCGCCCGGATCGTGCTGATCAGCTGGGCTCTGAGCGCTATCAGCCTGTTTATATCATCTTGCCTCCTGTGCGTTGTTTCTTCTTATGTTCTCGGGGAGAACTGACCAAAAATGCTTAGCAACGACGTCGGCGCTGGTCCGTTGATGTTTGCCCTCTCAATAGCAGTCTCCTGCTTGAGCAGAGCTTCTTGGGCAGTGGCATTATTGATCGAAGTCAGGAAAGCAAACAATGCGTTCCGGCGCCCATTCAGTGGCCTACTTCGAGGCACAGTGCCGGCCGGTGTTATGCTTTGTTTCGAGCTATCCCGATCGCTTGTTAATCTAGTCGCGGCACTCATCGTCTTCGGGCTGGTCCAACACTCGCCAAGTACGCACAATATGATACTATGCTACGCGGTAAGCCGAGAATTGGAATTTCGGTGGGTACTTTCAACTAACTAATTGCCAGATTGAGATGCTGATCGCAACGACTCTAAATGTTCTTGCAGGATTGCCCAAAATTCTTCGACGTTGGCCGATTGGAAAGCGACGCCTTGGGCACGCGGACTCATCACGAACACTCAGATCGTCCTCCAGTCGCCAACCGATTGTCGGGGAAGACCAACAAGATCCTGACAGCACTCCGATGCCACAATCTGGGTGGTGTTGAATTGGAGGTCTTCCTTTTGGCCTGGAGCACCATCAACCATGGTCCGTCCTTCGTTCACCCATTACTGGCTCAAAAAGCATTACCTGACTCTGAATCACTAACCTGATACTATTGCAGATATTCCTATGGTCACTATCTCATCGATCGCTGCCCCTGTCGCTGCAACACTGTTACATGGCTCTACCTTCGGGGGCGCTGACCAAAGTCGGGAAAGGGCGTTGTTGGTTGGTATCTGTTGTTCTGGGCCACTCGCGTGGGCTGTGTGAAAGATTGATTCATGCCGTAGAAGGTGATGACATTCTGATAGCTGAAGAGGCTGTTTTCTCTTTGTTTTTCTGGTAAATGGACAGGTAGAGGCTCTGTGTCCCGCGTAGGCGTGTTGCGCTATGCTTTCTCCTTCGCAAATGTCCACATCCCCTGAGGAAATATGCAGAGGTGCTGAAATCAACTTGGACGCACTGAGTCCTACATGACATCAGCCCAGTTGCATCCTTTTGTCTTGAGGGCTTTCTGTCGTTCTTTGGCTTTGTCGTCCTCTCGATCGCAGGCCTGTTTGTACGTATCTCCCACACTTCTATGGGGGCCTGTTGCGTAGCCTCCACAGCATGGTCTGAATCTTTCGGCATGTGTGGGACAATCGCGGCCCCAGTGATTGCCTCCACAAAGTATACAGGGAGACGTGGGCATGGTCGACGGCATTTGAGTTGTTCAGTCTTCAGTCTTCGTTGTTCGTTGTATTGGTGATCGAAATTCCTTACGACGCGGGATTCAACTTGTACATATAGCCCATGCCCTGATTTACCTGACCGCGACACCGCCATCACTGAGCTTTTAATTCTCATCACCTCCTGCAAAGACACTGCTGATCTGGCAGCCACACCTCGTAGTGACAGTGAGGGTGGTGCTGCAGGGTCTTATGCGGGCGGCAAGCCATGCATTCGTCCGAGGCTCTGGCTGCCAGGACCGCTTCCGGTGCCGCACTTGGGCTATACGAGCCCCGAACAGGCGGTGAGACAAGCGCCCCCTAATCACCCGAGAACACCAAAATGGAGAACCAGGATATGGCCTGTTACCTCTTGCCGTCTTTCTCTACAAATCTGTTGGCTCAGAAACAGCCAATGACGCCACTTACTTTTATTTGAAGACTGGTCTTGACGTGCTCGATATCTTCATCAAATTCCTGCCGATATTCCCACCCGCCTTCCTTCTCTACAAATATCTGGCAAGACTCAGGTCCCCAGCCTCTTGTCCGGTACACGCTTACATTCCAGTGAATTCCAATCTTTGACTCCCACCACTTACTCCTCGGCAGCCAAATCCAACCTGGAGCCCGACACTGTCACGCCCCAGGATGGGGAGGTGACGCGAGTTAAGGGCTTCTACTACGACCATCGACCCAGGGTATTCCGCTGTCTACCTTGCCGACAGCGTGACCGTAATGCTATCGTCAAGTGCAATGGGCAGACGCCGTGCCAGAGATGTGTTGCCCACAACATCGAGGATAAATGCCGTTACAACAGAAAGTCTCGGCAGGTTGACGACAGGTCTGGCTTCCCGTTCTGCTCGTCCGTCTTGAAGGTTCAAATTTTGACTCTCATCTCTTAGCAACGTTGCCAGCCAGACCGCCAGGCCGTCCAGCCGGACCGTTGGGTCGTCCAGCCGGACCGCTGGGTCGTCCAGCCGGACCGTTGGATCGTCCAGCCGGACCCCTGGGTCGTCCAGCCAGACCGTTGGATCGTCCAGCCAGGCCGCTGTATCGTCCAGCCAAGCCGCTGTGTCGTCCAACCAGACCGTTGGGTCGTTCAGCCTGACCGAAGAGAAGATGCGGAAATGTCAAGATATCCTGTTTAGGCTACTTCCCGGTCTGGTCGAGAGCGATATCGATTCAATGAGACTTCTTTCGCGAGAGGGACTTATCGAAGTGGTCAATCTCAATCTCGATCTTTACCCCCTTACAAAGGTCCCGGAGGTCATCGTGATAGAAGACTCACCATCTACCACCGAAAGAGGAGATTCACCAATCCCACCAGTCTACGACAAAAATACACCTATGCCTTCCTACGAGGAGCAGGAAGAACCTAGCCTAATGCTATATGTATGCTTTTCCGGTCCCCACCGAAGGGAATTCTATGGTTCTAACTCAATCTGTTAGCAACAGAGCCCCGAATATATACTTACACCTCCTAGCGAGGAGGAGGACGAACTCCAGCCAACTCCCGAGGTATGCTTTTTCCGTCCCCAACGAAGAAAATCCTGTTTCTGATCCACCCTGTCAGCAAAAGCGTCACAAAGGCAAGCAACGCTTCAGAAGTCCATCATCAACTGTCCAGCCATTGTACATCGATGCCACAACTGTCCAGCCATTGGATAGCGATGATTCATTGCTTAACTCTCCTTTTAGACCTTTTGAGAACGACAACCTTCCGGTGATGGCATACCTACGTCAGCATGCCCCATATCAGCAAGACCAATATCATTATGATGCAGATGATCCTCAAAGTCCATATACGCACAATCCATATCCGCCATATGCATATGATCCTCCCGGTCCATATCAGACCTTGCCATATCACCTATTACCAGGTGTATATCCATCCAGCATGCCCAGCATACCCAGCTTGCCCAGCATGCCCAGCTTGCCCAGCTTACCCAGCTTGCCCGGCCTGCCCAGCTTGCCCGGCTTGACCGGCTTGCCCGGCTTGCCCGGCTTGCCCAGAAACGACTACCGCCCTCGTTCCCCCGACCTCTCGAGCTTGCCCGGCTTGCCCGGCTTGCCCGGCTTGCCCACCATGCCCACCATGCCCAGCAACGACTACCGCCCTCGTTCCCCCGACCTCTCGATGTTCCCTAACTTCCACTCTAACCATGATGAACTGTTTGATCGCTTTTGTTACCACCCCGGACCTCAGGATCGAGAAACAGCACAGGCAAGAAGGTCTCCCTTGTTATCCTACCGGCCACTGCAGCTGGACTGGGCTAGTTCAATGCCCAGCCAAAAGGAGGTGGCTCCTGACCGGGCGGATCATGTCCTGGCCCCATAACCCCGTCGAAGGGCCGTCGAACCGTACAGGTCAGAAAACTGAAAAGTGTGTTATTGGTCCGGAGCTCTTGCTGGCTAAGTTGGCTTGCTGTACACGTTTCCTTTTATTGGGTGGATTAGTATCACAGTCTGATAAGCCAGACTTCGTTGGGGAGATAATCCTTTCGGGAAGGGCAAGCACATGCAGATTCTTGGTACACGGTGGATTCGTCCACAGGACTACTGGTAATGGCGGCTCACTTTTTTGATAGTACTCGGCAGCAATCATATTCATTCCTTCCACATCAAACAGGCCACATGAGCATCTGATACCTTGCGAATAGGGCCAGAGACCTTTCATTGCATATCATCTCCAACACACTAGAAGGTATCTATCCAATATTCTACAACCGTACGAAGGCAAGGCTTGATGGGATGGCCTTCTCTCAATCCCACATGTGAAGAGAAAATGATGGCTCACACTAACGGACGCTACAGTAACCTATACCCATCCAATAGACTTTGAAAGTCTGTGGTAGTATATGGTTCTTCGATTGCTATGCTTGCTTGCTTCCAGACTCGATCAGAAGATGAGTTGGAGTTGACTTTGACCTCCAACCTACTAATATATTCCCTCCTCGGCCTCAAGTTGTGTTACGTTCAATGGTCTTTTGGCGTGGGATATCTCGACGTTTACTACTCTGCCACGACGTATCAAGACGAAGCGAGCAAAAGCCTTGACGATGCCCACTGGTCATTGAGGGGTGTCTCTTACTTGCCCATTCGGCTGGCTGCTAGTTCTATGCTCTCGCTGCTGGTGGTGGTGCTGGTGGTGCTGTTGGTGTTACTGCTGGTGGTGCTGCTGGTGGTGCTACTGCTGGTGGTGCTACTGCTGCTAGTTCTGGTGGTGGTGGTGGTGGTTCTGCTAGTGGTGATGGTGGTGGTGCTGCTGCTGCTAGTGCTGCTGCCTTGAAGATCCTCCCAAAGCATACGAGGACGGTTAGATACATCGTCGTGATAATTCGTGGATTCCGCAGTGCATAGATACGAGAAAGGGGCAGTAGCACTAGCAATGAAGAATCTGGGCCCGATTTGTCTTCGATTTCTTACCGCAGGTACGATTGATTGGATTCACGCTGGTCAAGTATAAGGCAGCAGCAGCAGAAGCGATCCAGAACGCCTTGATGCTCGAAGCAAACACGATCTGAGCAAGGTTCACCATTCCGTCAAAGAGCCCGGACGAATTGTAACCTTTACTGAATGAATTTGTTAACCGCCTGCATGTGATATGGCTTTATATTCTGTCAACATAAGAATGTCGACAGTCGAAGTACTATTCCACATTTCTCATCATCACTTATGATGGCATGTTTTGGATTTGGTAAATCCCAGATTGCCTCGTCTTGCTACCCTCACGTGCGGTCCTGATCACAATCAACGTGAGCTCCAACGTCAGCTTCTTCGCCTATCTCTGCCAGTTCCCTTCGCAACATCGGCAACACAACATTTATGGCGTCTTACAATGTCGACATCGCTGAAGTTATCGGCCTTCCTGCATTCCATCAGGCTATTTACGTTGAATTCAAAACGGCCACAAAAAGGACGGATGTACCATGTCCTGGGCGGACATTCTGTTGGCTGGCAAGGTGTTGAAGGGCAGCAAATCCATATCGAACCAAATGGTCCCTTAGTTGAACCAAACTGGTGTGAAGTCCTCCTGCATGGCTGCCTAAAGACTCAAGAGAACATTTAACGCCCAATGATTCATTCCCCCCACCGTTCATGAAACAAGTCCATTGCGGCTACAAAAAACAAGTAGGGGTTCACGTGCTAGCCTAATCGCCAGGACAAATCGTTGATTGACAACTGGCAAAACATTTTTCAGGGGGGGATTTGAGCTTGAGAGAACATGCACATTCCACAATGCAAGGTGTGAATACATTCCTACGCCATTTGACGTTTACCCGATTGCGTTGGGTTTGTCCACCTAAGACATTTCGTCAACGAAATCACAACATGACATACGGTGGAAGCCATCGGCTGATCGAGGAGGAAACACTACCCCTGTTTTCTCAGAAGCGTTACTACCCAGTCAAAATTGGCGACATCTTCAAACAACAATATCGAATCATTGCAAAGCTAGGTTATGGAGCGTATTCCACCGTTTGGCTTGCTCGAGACGAGATGCTAGTAACCCGAGCGTCTTTATAAATGTCAACTGATTCTTGTGCAGATCGAAGCAATATATCTCCCTAAAAGTCCGCATTGAAGATGGAAGGGAGACATCGCCAGTTGTCAATGAAGTTACCATACTCAGGCGCTTGAGTGAATTTGCTAGAGAAGCTGATGACCATCCGGGCATAGACTTCACGCGTCTTGCCCGCGACATCTTCGAGATTGATGGGCCATATGGCCGTCATTACTGTATTGTGACTAAACCACAAGGAGGTAGCCTTCGCACATTAAGTGGATGTCCGATCCATATCGAGCTCCGGAGGTGCTCCTGAAGCTTCCTTGGGCCTTCCCAGTCGATGTTTGGTCTGTGGGGGTCATGGTAAGTAGAAAAGCAAAGTATCAAAGGGCGTGAACCTGTATTAATGACCATCATCAGACACTCGAGCTTCTGGAAGGGAGAAGTCTCTTCGATCCCATTGATCGTGTTCACAATCAATACGTTCTCCCGTTGGCATTGTCTCAGTATATCGGATACCTTGGCCCTCCACCGCTGGAGATGATCAAACGAAGCCCGCTTTTCCGGGACATATTTTGACCAAGAAGGCAAGTTTTAGTGTTTCCTACCAATGACTTTGTATGTTTGCGCGAGACACTAATAACATTTGATGAACAACAGGCAATTGGATATCGGAACCCCCAATTCCAGAAACATCCTTGGAGAACTTTATCACCACTGTTCCTCCTGGAGAAGAAAAAGAGATACTTCTAAAGTTTATACGAAGAATATTGACTTGGGACCCGGAAGTGAGAGCAACGTCCTCTGTGATCATCAAAGATGAATGGCTTATGAGGCCCGTACTCTCGGCCTGAATCGAAGCAAGCAATTCAACGCCAAGGCCCTATATACGGGTTAGTAATATACTAAATAAAGGAGTAAACTCTTTGAGTTCGTGCCTCAGCCTCGTCGAGTTGTAAAGCCTCGTCGCTTAGTCATCCAAATCTGACCAATAGCATACAGTATCCGGTCTCCGTAAGGCTCACATGAATCGCCCAAATCGATTCTAAATCGACCCAAGCAAATCTTGATCAAGTGAGCGCCTTTGTTGCAAAATGCCAAGCTGGAGCCTGTCCCGGTCTTCCCAACCGTTGAACCTTGAAACTGCTGCCCTAGCATTCTTCTTGCTAGGGTGGACCAAGGATCTTCACACTGCTTTTGTGCTGACACACCTACTGTCCAACGCCTCTCCCGCTTCTCGTGCCTCCCCCCCGTTGCACGATTCTTTTCTGATACGGTGAGGCCAACTTATTGATCGCTTTACCCGTAGATCCATGGCCGAGCCAGTGAGTCTTTGACCGATCAGGACCGTACAGGTGGGTGCGGGAAATTTGGATGTCCGACAGGATCTCAGAGCAATGATAAGGAGTTGGGAATGAACATATGTATCAGACAGGATAAGCTTGGCAAGTTTCATTATATTCAAAGGGAAGATCGGCCAGAGGAAGAGATGGACATTTGCCATTGTCTACATTGACCCATACAAAGTAGATAGCAAGAGTAAATCCACAATCCCCGTATACCCGAAGATAGTTGCCTCCTCCTCTCCACCTATCTTCCCAGCTAGACCAAAGGGAACCGGTATATCCTCACAAATTCCTGGTCTGCTGCTTGATCGCAGCCCTCCTCTGTGGCTCCTGGTGGCTATACCTCTTGCCGAACAGCTCCTCGCATCGCCGCCGTCGTCCTTCGCCAATAAGGTTCCCATCGCGCTCAACGATGGCTTCCATGTGGCAAGGCACTGGATGAAAGCACCCTCCCCGAGATAGCCATCCTCAATGTCGGCCACTATGCTAACAACTTCACTGATACCGGAAGTAGGGCAAACGAAGGGGGACTGTTTCTTTCAATACCGATCCAAAGAGGTCTGAGACCGCTTCGCCTCCACTTCCTCAAGTGCCTCCCTTGCCTCTCTGGCCTCCCTTGCCTTCCACGTCTCCTTCGTTACGCGGCGAGGCCGTTTAACAAGGAGCTCCGTCGTCGGGAAGAACTGTGGGTTGAGTCTGTGGCCGAGCACCCGTTTTCGATTCGGTGCTGCTTGGATGACAGCGCCAGGATCAGATCGGGTAGCCTCATGCGTGGTCATGGGAGGCGGCGATGGCGGATATCGTGTAAGGGAACTGGCACTTCCTGTATCTCCGCATATCAGAACAAGGACGAGGCTCAATAGCACCGATGTAGAACTCACCCGAGTGGCAGTCGCTGACCAACGTGGAAACACACTGGGACCTGACATCCTCGTTCTCTGCCTCTTCCTCTTGTCCATCGCTCTCCTGTCTCAATTGGGAGGCGGATCCCTTCTCGATCTCCTCCTTAGACGGGTTGTGGCGGCCAGCATCACTGCCTGCGGCCTCTGCAAGCTGCTTCAGGTCCGCGGCGGGCTGTGGCACCCCACGACCAACTAGACGCGGGATAGAGGCTATTGTGGTGTTACAATGTGGGCAGTCACGCGGGGTCGCAACCGTCGTCTTCCGTATCCACCTAGCCAGAGCGAAGTATCCTCAAATTCGGCAAAGATGTCGTAGATTTAGCCAACAGCCGCCAGTGCATCTGAACCCATACCACTGCCACTGCACTCGTTACGACCATTGCATCAGATAGACTTTCCCTGATGCTCGATACACCATCCCGACTCATTTTCTTTGGCGCATTCGCTCGGCAGGCACTTCGGTTGCATTCCGCAAACTTTGCGAAGTTTTCCCAGACGGTTGTGGATGATCCATTGAATCCCTTCTCGTGGAAGGCTCTCGTCCTTTTATCGACAACTGAGCTCGGCGTCGAGGTGGAACGAGACCTGCCTCAGTGGAGTCGAAGGAAGTAGAAGCGCGACCGGATCGTCGGGCTGTAGATTCGTGGTCTTGAGAATATTCTGCTGAAGCAGGTCTTCGTCGCTTGACCGGTGTCACCTCATCGCGAGCCAGCTCGTCTTCAGAGGTGTCCGATCCGGCAGCAATGACCGTCGAACGGGATGCGGCTGGTCGTGGAGCTGGCGTTCGGGGTGGGCGCGGGCATCTGGCGAGCCACCTGGTTGGCATGGGCAATGGAGCTGTCCCGCTCTGTCTTTGCTAGGTCCCGATCGTTGCGGTAGGTCGTAGCGCCCTCTCGAAACCGTTCTGCTGTGTCTGTCATTGCGAAGGAGCGCGTTTGAGTCGTGTGATACTCTGGCTCCGCTCCAGGAGTGAGCGGCGCAGTGAGATGGTGCGCATAGGTTTGAAGGGTGCCGGTGCCTGCGTAGTAGGTAGCAGAAAAGCTACGTGCTTTGTTATCATACTCTGGCTCTGCAGCTTTGTAGTTCCGAAGTTCGTGTATAGCTCGAGCCCCAAATGCTCCGTCATACATGGCTTGTCTCTCGGCCACGTCCGCTCGTCCTTGAGCGCTTTCGCCCTCGACGAAGAAGTTCGGAGCAGCCGGACGAGTCGTATCGACCTTCGATGGAATAATATAAGGTCCTAAGTCAGCACGAACCCGCGGATGGATAGTCGAGAGTGACGCTCCGTGATAGACGTCGGGGCTGGGGTCGCTGAGATCTTTGTCGAACGGTTTCAGGTTGCTCAATGGCAAACCCATCTCGAAACGATGGCCCGCCTCATTTCCGGCGATGAAAGGGAGTACATTATACATTCCAGTAGTCTCGCCGGACGCTCTTGCGTTTGCCCGCCGAAAGGCTTTAAAATCTTCGTCTTTGAATCGCGACGGTGAGAGAGATGCCCGAGGGACGCGTTGTGCGGCCTGGATGTCACTCAGATTCGCCGGTTTTTGTGATAGACGACCATCGGGGTGCTCATACAGGCTCGGGTAGATGCCATTGTCGATCAGTTTTTGCTCAAAATTGCCGCTATACGGGGTGATCTTAGAAGAGGTGGTCCCAGTATAGGCGCTCGGCCTCGAGGAGGCTGAAGACCGTTTCCCGTTTGAGGAACTGGTATGACCGTTCATTCTGTCAAGGATCGGAGGTGAGCTGGCAAGCTGTCACAATCTCTGGTCAGTCTCCAAGGCCCACATCGGCATAGGAAAGACGTACCCCTCGAAGGTGTGATAGATCAGGCCCACCACATCGAGCAAATCTCTTGAGCAGTAGGCGAGCACGCCCTGTGGGAGATTCGGCCTTCGGTGTGAGTGTGCAAAGTGGCTGAACCTTCTCTTCAATGTGCCTGCGGTCAAACTCCCTGAGAGCGCCGCGACTCAATCGAATTTTGGACAGCGTGTCCCAGAAGCTGGGAGGACGATGGCGAGGGAGTGCACGGCTTTCCGAAAGAGGTCTTTGTTTCTTTGCTATCGGCTCCGGCTTGAGATCCTCGGGCTCTGGTGGGGATCGTCGTCGCTTTCTCGACTTGGGTTCCTCGAGGGCGAACATAAGGGAAGAGAGAAAGGGTCGAGGAGAAAGGGGTGAGGAGGCGGCCGCGAAGAAGGACACGATATTGCGCGGGGGGTTAGGCAGGGTTGCATGTTGAGAGGAGAGGTGTGACAGGATATCGATGCAGCACGTCGCATCCAGTCAATGGATTGGTGATACTATGGTATGTCTGTGTTGGATCGAGGCTGACACACGATTTCAAGCCGCAGGCGCTAAAGAATGGCTAATTGGACGAGAGGGCGGCGAGTGGTGTTAGCGTGTTAGCGTGTTAGTGGTACGGCGGCTCAGGTGGACCACTCACGACCAATGTCTCATGCAACTTGGTCTTTGATCTTTGAGAAACTCGACTCACTGCACCTCCAGCACATGGCAGTGTTGGTGCAATGATGGATTTTCTCAAAGACCAAGTTGCAAGAGACATTGGTCCAGTGGGCCGCCGTAGTCCAATCAGAATTTAACACGACACGGCAACGCTGCAAGCATTGGCGGTCCTCGACTGAGCGTGGCATCACCCGGTGAGGCAACCCTGTCGGATGCCCATTGAATGTTGTGCCTCGTCCATACGGAGTACAAGGCGGTGAGAGGAGTATTCTATTGTCAGCTATGTCAGATTCTAGGCATTCCCAGCCCCCAGGACTGGCCTGGGTATATAGTCAGCGCGTCCCCTGGGACCCTTGGACAGAGAACAGAGATTCCTTTTCACACTCAAAGCCTCCTACCTTTGACATATATAAGGAGCGTCTCACCGGCCCGATCCTGGTCCTAGGTGAAAGCTCACAACCTCACAACCTCACACGGCGTCTTGCTTCTGATATTGAGACTTGTCGTTGTTCCCTTATTGTTGGGAAGGGTACAGTGATATCGCCATGGTAAACAACTAGCACCAACCATCACCCGATATACCCTTGCACCATAATCGAACCCCTGGCATCTCGGAGCTGCATCCCACTGATTCATGTTTCTCTTCAAGACACAGTCCGCTGACCATTGCTTTTGTAAGGACGAATAGCCACCAACCATAAGAAAGGGGCCGGCCGTATTTATATGGAGTTGCGTGAGTGCTGCCCGGTCCATTCAACCACCTGTCCAAATTCAAGGTGTCTAAGCCTTGAGCTGTCTCGTCCTGTCTTCCTTTTGCTCTAAGGTATGTGACTCAGCTAGTGTTCCCGCTCACCACGAGATGAACGCTGATCAATCTAGGATCGCAGGATCTCTCTCTTTCATGTTGCGGATTGTCCACAATTGCCTCTACCAAGAACCATTACATTGTCTAACTCGAGGAATCCACCAGTGTAAATGCGGAAGAGGCGACATCTCGATCAAAACCAACAAGTGTCCGTTTTGCGACCACACTCGAGATGCAAGGTGCAGGACAGAAAAAGTGAGTAGATGATCTAGCTCAGGCATGGGGTCATCTGGATGGCAGAATCTTTTCGGCTTCCTCTCTGGCATATGGCTGTCTTCATATTACTGACGAACCTGCTAGCACCGATGTCCAGTTGGAAAGAAAAGTCATGTTTGAAGTGGTGGGCACTTTCCACGCGATCGAGTAGCGGAGGTAGTCTAGAGAATAGCTCCAATATGTCTGGTCTAGATTCCAATCCCCCTCTTGTGCAAAACCTCGAGATCGATCGTATTGGTTATGGCACCGGCTTAGTACCGATGGAATGTTATTCGGCAACACAGGCTGTGATACAGTTAGGAAGAGGAGTCGCAGTGGTTCCGATACTCGTTACCCTTTCTGAATACTGGGTAGAATCTTGCGATACCCATTCCTAAAACCTAAAACCTGAACAAGATATCTAAATTGTATACTTTATCTACAACGTCGGGTCATAGCTTTAGAGATAAGGGAATAATACGAGTATTTCGTCTTTCCCAGCCATTTCTCAATCGATTGAGGACTTCTCCCCTCGCCCACTTTTAATATCTCCTACCAGGCCTGTATATCGCACACCTGTATCAAACCGTCACTTGCATCAACGAGCTGCTGCTGGACGACGAACGACCACTGCCTTGGAGCAGCGTGTTCAAGCACTAGCAGACTCCGTGGTGGCCAGCCGGAGCCGCTAAAAAGGACAAGACGCCAACAACCCCCCGGCACCGCCTAAAGAACCGGCCTTCACTTTCTCGACGATCTGCACCTCTCGACTCTTCGGTTCGGCAGCACCTTGGTTCACTTGGCGCCCATTTCCCAGCAGGTCTCCATCACCTCTTCTTTCTTTCATCAAGCGACTTGTTAACCTGCTGTTATCCCAAGGCCGTTCTTTGCTGAATCTAGCTTCCCTCTTGAATTTTTTGACTGCTCCAATATTTGCAAGGCTTGAGAGGCAGAAAGTCTGCTAGATCTCTTATACGTTAGGAGGCCTTTGATCACTGGGACAAGTATTCTCAAAGTCTCTTCTGGAAACCCCTCTGTCACATAGTATATCAAGGGGTTCGGTCGTCTACCATTCGCTCCTAGCGGCAAAAGCGTTAGCGAATTGACGTTTACATTGTTTGGATAGATTTCAGCCAAAGCACACCCAACAACTAGAATAGTCCCGACCATCAAAACTGAAGTTGGAAGAGGGAATGACTGTTTTTCCTGGTAGGGATTGCCATACTCTCTGGATCCAACGGCTCCGGCGACTTTGAAGCTTGTTGTATAGTCTGCCAACGAGTTATCCACTCCTTGGGCAGGTCACCCAAAATATCCATTATGGTTAGGACAAGATTTTCGTAGCCATCGAAGGCCGAGAAAGGAAACATGCGGAATACCAACATATATATCTTTGCGCCGAGACCGTTAGCACCGCTACCTGCACAACCAGATCAAGAGTGGGACGTACTGCGCAGCCAGCTTGCCATAGGTCAGTTCTGTGATCGAAAGAATCCTCGAAGATAATTTCTGGGGCCCGGCATTCGGCTGGTAAAACGCATGGAGGAGGATTTTCCCCTTGGCTGAACACTTCGCCCAAATCGAGTATCTTGATATCTTCAAACTCTTCATCATTCCAGTCATACCATGTCTCGGTTTCCACATATTCCTTCGGAACCGACGGGCTTAATGGTTTACCATCTCGTCGAACCAACTTACTGCAGGCGGGTCCAGCAAGCTCGATCCAAATTCGTTTTTCACTGCTTGCCAAGCGATGACAGGTGAAAACAATATTGTTCATATTCAGATCTAGCCCGGTCAGTTGAATGAAGCAAAAAATACATCCCTAAGCAAGATCGACGTCGTAGATGATTGTAACACCTCGAGGGTTTCCCATACCTCCGTGCGTAAATCCAGTTCGATGTAAGACTTCAATGGCCTCTAGCAACTCCTGTGCAACTTTGAGGACGATATTCGGTGCAAGCCACGTGTCTTTATCTCTCAACTCCTCGAGAACAACAGGGAGACGTGGACCAAGGAGTTCGGTAACGAGACACAGATGACTGCCATTTGGCCCTTGGTGGAAGAAGTGGTCTCGTAGTTGCACGAAGAACCGAGATAGCCCAGACTCCTGTGGAAGCTTCGCCAGACGCTTATGCGATCTTAGTTCTCGAGAATTTTGGGATTTCTCAGCAGTCAGAATTTTGATTGCGACCCATTCATCCATGCTAGATCTTGTGAGTACCGTGCGTCGTCTTGTGAATGATGCTACTTTACCTTCCGTCAAGTGCAAGCCATACTGTAGAAGATCCACCATGACCCAACTTATTGTAAACTGTGTAGCGACCATTGCCGAAAGTGTCCCTAATCGATACAGGGTGGTAGCCTCCAGGTCGGTATTTATCGATACGCTCTTCTGTGTGAAGGAGAGGTTCGGTTTCGTACTTCTCCAGCTCTGCCTCATATGTCGACATAGTGGAAAGCTTGCAGATTGATCTACCCCATAGGAAGGGCCTAGAAGGTCTTTTGAGAATATTCAGGTAAGTATTGCTGGGTGCCGATGTTGAACTGGTAATGAGGAAGTGAAAGTGGAGGTGAAATTGACCGTGACAGTGTTGTGCAGGCGTGGGTTCGTCGGGGGAACGTCCGAAAAGTAGGATTCCAGGCAACACCTTCTATCACGGAGCTAACTAGTTTGGGGAAAGAACAAAAAAGGGCGATTTGTACTGATTTGGATGGTTTTAGATGGCATTAATGCCAGGTTTGAATTAACGAAGATGCAACAGGAAACACTTAAAAGTACACCTTGAGCCCTAGGTGCCTGGCTGCAGTAGGTGGGCGGTTATTTTGGGGGAGGTGTAGCTACGCCCCAGATATTGGGAATACCATTCGCCAATCTTGCAGGCCGCCAAAGCTATCGACTGTGAGTATGGCTGACGCCGGTAGACCGCCAAAGGCAACCGCAAGGGAGTCACGATGATATAAAGAGATAAGCGGAAGACGAGTTCGCTCTGGCGATACCGCCTCGACATATTGTAGGCGATCCGAGGCAGCATACCGGCTTCAGCTATGACCCGTTCATTTTTGCGTAAGCGGTCGGCCCAGCCTATGCCTTGTTTTGGAGCTCCTCCTTCATATTTGCATATTCTGCAACCATCGAGGTCCAGTCCTGGGTAGGATACGACCAGCATTCCGTCCAAGGCAACTTTTTGATACTCAGAAACACCTCGACGTTCAACATCCTGCTGCAGCTGGACTCTTTCACCGTACACCCCTTGCCGTTGCTGCCCGTTGCTCTAGAGGCTCGGCGTGGTTGGCTCTGTCTAGTGCTGGTACGTAGCGTGCAAGCGTGATATACTCGGTCGTTTATGGCCGACATATCGCTGCGAAGGTATCTCTGAGATGTCGAAACGCCTGCGGTCCTCCGAAAAATGCAAGAAGAGACGGATCAGATATTGCATTTCGGGAATCTTGAGATTCTGTGTAGATTCCTTAAGGGATTGATAGATGTCGTTGGGAGACACTGCTTTTCCCACGATCGATTCAAGATCTGATCTGTCCACGCCGTCGAATCGTTGTCTGGTTCATGTTTGGGATCTTCGTGAAGCTTTCCTTTTCTTGATGATTGGCTTTGTGGAATGGCCGAAGAAGATGCCGGATTGTTTCGAGCAACGCGAGATCTAGTGTTTCGACGAGGATCATCATTCTCTTCCTCAATCCTGTCCTGTGGTCGTATGCTCGAGTCGTGTCTGGTAAGGTCTGACGTATGCTCAGGATCCCGTTCGCCGCCACGCAAGACGGATGGTGACTAGAGGCCTGGATCAACCTGAAGATGAATTGACAACTAGGTCTTCGCTGACCGTAGTGACCTCCGAACCCTCAAAGATCTGACAATCTTTAGCTTAGCTACCTATGGAGCTGACCATATCAAGCGCCTGGGATGCTGAAAGTCGATCTGAAGGTTTGAACCTCATTAGGCCCTGGATGACTGGGAGGAGACGCTTCAGACTCTCGTCGCGGATCCGGTCTTCAAATTTTTGCTCCAGCTTAAACCGGGGGGGTTTCTCATCCACTAATGAATTTACTAGTTAGATCCCATTAAGAATAGACCAAGAACAAGTTCAAAATCAACTGGCCATGCGTTGGAAATTGACTTGCGTAGCGAATAATCCCTTCCGGATTTCAGTCGCATATCGTTCCATTTTTGCTGCCATTCCACCGGCAATTCCTCCACAAAATAAATCATTTGTGCAACCAGCCCGTCATCGTACCAATATTGAAACGGCACCGATCCAAAGAGGAATGTATATATCTGCCCAAGTAGATGTCAGTATGTCTTTTGGAGTTTTGGGTGGGCGTTCACACCATAATACCCGCACGCCATAAATCGTGTCCGTAGTTACAGCAGCCCGTGAAAATCGTTTCTGGAGACCTTAAATGTGAAGGTTGAGGGAGCTTGTCAGGCTCGGCTCCTTTCGGGAAAGCCTCTCCCAAGTCAAAAACCCGAATATCTTCCTCATCTTCATCTATCCAGTTATCCCAGCCTGTTGCTTTTACCAGCTGTGACGGTACGCCTCGACTTAAAGTCTTTCCATCTCGACGTGTCAATTTTTCCGTCTCAGGCGGGCCGAGGGCCTCAAAGAGTTCCTCTTCTGTCAACTTTGATAAATTATTAGACGTGAAGGCAACATTCCTGCCACTCAAATCTGGATAAGTCAGCGCCCGACTCGAAGATTTAACATTTCGAGCGAGAGATCTTAAGTATAACATCTGGATTCCGACATACCCCCATGTGTGTAGTCAACCTCATGCATGAATTGAATAGCTTGCAGCAGTTGTTTAGACATTCTGAGGATAGTTGCCGGTTCGAGAACGTCTCCACCTAGATTGATATCTCCGACGACCGCATCAACGGTAGGACCAAGTAACTCAAACACCAGGCACTGATGGTTTCCATTAGGCCCTTGGTGAAAGAAATGACCGAGTAACTGGACGATGTATTTGGAGCCTAGATTTCCATTGGCCATGCTTGCCAATGATAGTAAATTATGAAGTTCTTGAGATTGCTTCGAACTGTTCGCCGTTTTAATTTTGATCGTAACCCATTCTCCGCGCCTGCGATCAGTCAGTAAGACACAGCATGTAATTTTACGTCTTGCTGTGATATACTCTTGGTCTAAAGCCAGCCAGACGGTGGAATACCCACCCCAGCCAAGCTTGTGATGTACCTTGTAACGGCCATCCTTGAAGATATCTCCAAGGCAGACCGGATGGAATCCACCAGGGCGGTACTTCGACATATCCTCTTGGTTCATAAGAAGGTTTGTATCATGATAGATAGATAAGTCTTCCATGACGGATCCGCGAGGGGACTGCGAATGTTGTTGAGGAGGGACGGTAGAATAAACAAGTTGGTGTAAGCGCCATCCAAGGATAAAGTCGCGATCTCTACGGCGGAGTGCAGTCATATCGATACAGAACAGCCATTCTCGAGCTGCAACGAGACGATTCTCCCTAGATATTCAATTACTAGCGGTCCTTCTCTGGAGTTGATGTGTCGAAGTAGTGATTGGCTATTCAGTAACATCATTGCAGTCCACATCCTATCTTATGTCAATAAGCCAGTGGTGGAAAGACAAAGACCATCCTCGCGAAATCGCTACGGTAAAAGCGCAATATAAACAGGCTTCTTCCATCTGCAACAGGTTTGTCAATACTTCTGGGATGATGAATCTTGGACTGATATCACAAGATTCACGGCGATTCGACGCACAGAGTTCTGAAGCAGAAGTGGGAGAGTCTTTGGCAACTCATAATCTTGACATAAGTATGATGATTGCGATAATTTTCTATGGGTTGGACTAGCCGTTTCAAAAGTTCTTCACCCTAAAATCTTGCTCAATTCTTGTCTTTTTCAACGCACTTTGTGCGTGCTATAGTACCGAGATGAAGCGTCGCTTCGAGAGGATTCATGACGTTGTTGAGTCTGTTGAAGAGTATCGACACGGTGGTTACCATCCGGTGCACCTCAACGATATATTCAACTATAGGTACAAAATTGTCGGAAAATTAGCCCATGGTCAATATTCCACTGTGTGGCTAGCTCTTGACCAGAGGTACAGTCATCTTCAAACCTTTCCTCAAAAAGTTCAGGGTTAAGTTAAAGGGAGCAGTTCTCAGCGGCATGTCGCACTGAAAATTGTCAAGGCGGACCAGTCAAAGACGAACAATGAACTCGAAATTCTCCAACATCTGTCGAGCTCATCACTTTCACACCCTGGAAGAAAATATGTAATAGAGCTACTCGACCATTTTCAACACAATGGCCCTAACGGCACCCATCTCTGCCTCGTGCTGCCAGTGATGTTGTCTGACGGCAGGGAAATGACTGTCCGGGGCCAACTACGCGATGCAGCCTATGTAAAGAAACTATCTGCAGAGATAGTTCTTGGTTTGGATTTTCTCCACGAGTCCAACGTTATCCACTGTGGTAGGCTTTGCATTCTGTCCTTCCTGCCCCTTCCACGCACGAGCTACCCCCTCTGACTCTTGTCAGACCTGCAACCAGCAAACATTTTGTTCTCTTTGGCTGCCTCGTCCGACCTTGATATCCCGCTCCGACAGCCAGAATTCTGTCCTGTGAAGTGGCTTGAGGGAATAGTCGTTGACGAATCTGCTCCAAAGTACTTGCTACCTTCGCAGAGATTTCGTGGAGCGTTGGATAAGGCGGAGATTTCTTCTCTTGTTGTCAAAATCGGTGATCTTGGGGGAGGGAAGTCTATCTCGAACCATGGTATTGAAGGTCGTCAAAGCTAAACATTGAAAACAGCTACATCGCAAGATATTCGAGTTCGCGAACAGCCAGTAACCCCGAGGGCGCTTCGTGCTCCCGAATTGATTCGCAGAGGCCACTGGGATGCTAGCATCGACATCTGGTGCTTGGGATGCTTGGTGAGTCTCAGTTGCTCTTTTGCTATAACTTAGCCAACCTAACCACGTGGAGATCTTCGAATTTGCTACAAACGAGCCACTCTTTACATTAAACACCTTTAGCGTTACTGCAGAGTACGTCAACGAGGAACATGAGTCTCTCATCTGCGACAGAATCGGCAATGATGGTCAGGATTGTGGTGTCTTTTCGGACTACCTGAAGCAACGGCTGCCTTCAACCTTCGGAGAAAAAGATATCCAACCATTTGCAGCATTTCTCCGCAGCATGTTGCAAACGAATGCGCGTCAACGTATTTTCTCGGCACAGTTACTTCGTCATCCATGGCTCGTGGAAGGACTTAGATGCGATACCTTGTCGTCCGAAATCTCGAGAACTGTCAACAAGGATGTCGGGTCCCTTGAGCACTCTACTTCATTTCTGCCCCAGAAGCCCGAGGTTGTTCCTTAAACCAAGGAAGCTGGATTTGAGGAATTCATAGCTGCACTGCTGGCAATACTCGAAAGGTCGAAAGGCCAGATCAAGCAGACGTTGGAGGAGAATTGAGGAATGTGCATTATTACAGTACAGTAAGCCAGTTTCGAGACGCATTTGTTGTCCGTTTGGTCTCGGCTCGGATGTATTCTCTTACGTGCTCCTCATTGACGGCTGGAATTCTGTGTGCACAAACCTATCGATCCGCACATTTGGTCCCTTATACCGGCTGTTGCTGTGCTCGTGTAGTGTGCTGATCAGACAATCGTTTCTTGGAAGGATGTCGCATCCCATCCTTGAGTTTGGCTCTGTCGACCGGTTGCGAATAATAAGTTCTAACCGACCGACTGCCTCCATTTACCCATTCCTTGCCTTCACAGGACCTCCGCCATCGCCGCCTCCCATGGCCACGCATGCAGTGCCACGAACTTTCCGGTGCTCATGAAGCCCCTGGCTGGTCCTTGGGCACAAACTGAGTAAGGAACTCATCTTCGTAAAGGTCCTGGGCTGACGGCCTCTCTTCCGGAAGCCAACGAAAAATTTTGTGAGCGAGGGCTAGGAGTAGTTCCTTGTCCTTGCCCTCTAGACGTGTCTCACGCGACTCAAGAGTCTGGTCGGGAATCGGTGTCGCAGCAATCCAGTTGCCTTTGATCGTTAATGAGGCTATTCCAAGCGATATAGAGACACTACCAATTCTAGAATCGGGGATCCTTACCTTCTGAGTCCCAGCACTGACGACATCGATCGCTGCGATGCAAAAACTGCTTCGGTGGGGGTCCCATGAGAGAGACCATCTCAGCAAAGTGGAGCTCATCGTTCAAATGGCCGTCCTTGACAGCATAGAAGAGATTGCCGCTTTCGAATAGGCTCCAAATCTACCGATATATTAAAAGCGACACATAAAATGAACCTTAGGACGTTATGATACGTACCATGACTCCAATAGACCAGATGTCTATCTTCGAGTCCCATTCTATACCAGCGATAATCTCAGGCGCTCGAAAAACCCCCGGCATGACGCCGCCAGAGTACTTTTGCCCCGGATCCCCCAAGCGAGCAGCGCCGAGATCGGTAATAAATGGCGGATTGTAGGTCGTTGGCATGGTATAAGAAAGATAGATGATGCGATCCGCTAAAACCTTACGCGGCGATGGGCTAGCAAGTTCGGCCTGCTCGACTTTAGACGTCGCAATAGCGTCGGCCCCGACTAGGATGTTGTTGGGCGATAGGTCTAGGATACTTCTTAACTAATACGCTGCGATGTGGCCAGATAAGGGACAGACCTGTATGCACTACCCCCACCTGGTGCAAGAAGTCTAGGCCCGTCACAATCATGAACAAAACTTTCTGCAAGAGTGTCTTTTCAAGAGCCCTGTTCTCGAACAAGTCTCTTAAATTGGTCAGGGTAACGCCTAGTGTCTCGAAAACCAGACATTGGTGAAATCCATAAGGACCTCTGATACGGAAGTCGTCCAGCGACACGCGCGGCCTTTCCTTACCAGGGTGGTCCGCGTTAATAGACTTGATATGGTGAGAAATGGCCAATTCCTGGGTATCATCTTCTCCGACGATGCAGACCTTGAGAGTGACCAGGGCGTTTTCACTCGATAGGAGTCAGCAGGATGCGACGGAAACACGGTATACCAAAGTCGACTTACTGCAGATCCCGGCAAAGCCAGACGGTAGAGGCCGTGCCAAAGCCCAACTTTGCGACGACCTGGTACCTCGACTCGAAGACGTCGCCCAGTCGGACGGGATAGAACTTTTCGGCTTTGTAGCCAACGAGTCTCTCCTCCTCGAACTTCTCATGCTTCGGGAGGGCGGCGAAGCCGTCACTCGGAAAGGTGCGAGGCTGAATAGACATCCTGCGTGCGGAGCTGGCCATCCACACCTGTTCAAGTCGCCTGGTGAGTCGAGGAGTAATCAGGTAGTTCCAGGGTACAACTGGAGACCAGGAATGTAGTTGGGGCCTTATTATACGTGGAAAGGCCAACGCCATCATCGTTATGGTTAGGAGGGCAGGCAGTCGGATGTGAAGGGTAGGAAAGAGCGGCGGGACTGGTTCTGCCGTAGGCGGCTCGGCAGCCTTCACCCTATCTTGACGACCGATCAGGTGAACTCGAGACCCAAGCTTGATCCCCCCCTTGACCTAGAGTCGACGTTTGAGTTGCCGCCGAAGCCACCCAGTGTTCTGTTGACGGGAGTAAAGCTTCGCATCAACAAGCAGCATCACACAACTCTAGCAGCGACAGACGGGCAGAAGAGGTTAACTCCACTATCAAAATGAAGAAAAACTGTCTGCTCGTACTGTGCAAAGTCACGAGTCTGACGCTTTTGAGGGGGGAAGATGGCCGCGTGTCCTCCAAAGACCAAGCTAGCCTCCCCACAGCCCGCTTGTCTCTCGCGAATAACCAAGAGAGCAGCTTCACCTTCTTTTGATCAAAGGTTTAGGGGCTGAGACGGGCTGGGACGGCCCCGAATGCCGAGATGGCTGCATCTCAAACGCATACCAAGCTTCGTAAGGGGCACATCGAACTTGACACCATGTTCGTCCACTTTCAAGAGGATATCTACGACTCACAGCAATATGTACCTTCTATTTAGTTAACCCCCCCGCCCTTCGATATGTCGTCTCCGATCTTCACCGACACAAACTTAGACTATGACGATGAATCATGGGAGCGAAGTATGCAGATTTGCGATGCATGGAAGAGCAAGCTTCTCAAGAGGGACAACCTCGTAAAGATTGGGAAACTGATAGACAAATATAGGGGTGGCATTCCCGACTCGCTCTCAACCCCTCAGAAAGGTGCTTTCAATGCTTGGATTCGCTTGAAGTTTGTCGATGGGGGCTCTGCAGTCATGCGAATTCCAATGCCTGGAAAGACAATGTTCCCGGCAGAAAAGATCCAACGTGAGGTCGCTGTGATGCGATTTCTTGCGGATAAGACCAGTATCTCGCTTCCGCTTGTTCTCCATTCGGGCGCAGCTGAGGAGAGTCCGGATGGCCTAGGTCCGTTTATTATCATGGAGTTCATTGAACACGAGTGTGACCTCGTTGACGCGCTCAACACACCGGACATCCCATACGAAGAGCGCCCCATTCTGGATCCATGCATATCCAACGAACGGCTACATTTTATATATGGGCAAATGGCGGATATCATGCTTGCGAGATGTCTCTTCCAAAGACTGGCAAGGGAAGGCCAGCTTTCCAAATACGGCAACCAAGGGCCATTTCCCCTGGTCAACGATGATTTTAGGCCAGCAAACGTTCTGTCGAACGCCAAATTCCAAGTCACCGGAACAGTGGACTGGGAATTCACGTACGCTGGGCCCTGCGAATTTGCTTACAGTGCACCAGCCTGGCTTCTACTTGAGCTTCCTGAGTAATGGCCGGAAGGACTGGACGATTGGACGCGCGTCTACGAGCAACGCCTTCCCATATTCCTGGCAGCTATCCGTGAGAGAGAAACTGCTGCCATCAAACGCGGGATATTGAAGCAAGACCAGTGCCTCTCGCTTTTTGTTCACGACAGCTGGAAGCCTGGGGATTTTTGGGTCAGTTATGCAGCGAGGCGATGCTGGGCATTTGATATGGTTTATTGGGCGAAGATTGATAAGAGGTTCTTTGGTGATGGAACCGTCGACGATCGCCTCAAACTTCTGACTATGGAGGAGAAAACAGAACTGGACCAGCTTGTGAACAGAATGGTGAAAGCCGAGCACGGAATTGACGGAAGCAAGTACTTCAGGAGAGCGGTGAACTTTGCAAATTTAACCAGTCAGTCTTAGGCTGGCAGGTATGGCGATCCTTAGGTTAGCCACGTTCGAGCGTTCCTCCAACTCTCGCTCTTGTATTGAATGGCCACCCTGTTCACAAGATGACGGCCGTTGCGGTGAAGGAGTATATTGGCTCGACCTCGACCTTCTATGAAATCGAGGAGGGTATGATCCTAAAGTCGATACATCCGACCCTAGCCGAAAGAGATGGATATAAGGTGCTTGTTGAGATGAAAATCTTCGAAAGATTGGGAGAGCACCCGAGCATTGTCAAGTATGTAATTCCAGATAACACCACGAGACGTGTCATTTTTGACGATACCCAGGTACAGAGGCTATCACGATGGTTCAGACCTCAAAGGATTACTATTTCTTGAGGCAAGCCACGGTAATCTACAGGACTACATCGACCAGAACAACGACAATATACCTGTACCACTGCGGAGGAAATGGTGTCGACAAGCGACCGAGGCCATTCAGTACATCCATGGCAAAGGCATCATACATTCGGACCTTCGACCAGAGAACTATCTGGTTCACGCATCTTCTTCACGCTCTCTCAATCTCCAACTGTGCGATTTCGGTGGTGCCATGTGTCGAGATTTGGGTCTGGATGGAAGAGGCCTACCAGATCCTCCCTTTTGGGATTTGAAATGGGAGTCAACAGTCGGCACCGACATCTTCAGCCTGGGGTCCATCTTCTATACCGTCATGACTGGTCTGTGGCCTTACAAATCGAGGCACCTAATCAAAGAGGTGGAAGAAGAAGAAGAAGAAGAAGAAGAAGATAGATGGCAATTCGAAGACCGAGTTATTGCGTTACTAGAGAAAGGGGTATATCCGGATGTGGAAGGCATCACAGGCGGCACCATCATGATGCGATGCTGGAAGAAACAGTACCTCAAGGCAGACGACGTCCTAGAGGCTCAAATGGATCTTTCCGAAGAGCTCACAGACTCAAGCTGATCAAGAGAGGCTCACACTGCCGGGAGGTTGGCTTGGTAGTACAGTTAGGAGAAACAGAGACAGGGTTGGCGATTCGAGCCCTTCGTTTGCTTGCTGCGTAGCCACGTGCTGTATGACCAAAGATTGTCCTTCATCTGCCCGAGTACGACCCCATCGCCGAGACCACGAGGACTGAATGACTGATCTGGCTCTCGTCCGTTGAACATCGCAGCAGTATGCCTTTTGGAAATGGCCCTGCTAATTCAGAACACTTGCGGCCGCCTCTTTCGCGTAGTGCTTCGACGTCGGCAACGTGACCGTTCCCAGTACTTGTCCTTCTGTTAAAGTAAGTGGGTTAAACGCCTGCCCATACCTCATCCACCGAGACTAGCATTTATACACCGCTCTCTTGGTCAGCCAAAGACAACCAGGCGACAGGTGTTCTGCTCCATGTCACTGGTGCGACAGGATTCTTCAGCCTCGAGCAACTTCCAGGAGCCAACCCTACACAAAGCAGGGAGTTTGTCAAGCAAATCCCGGTGGGACCCATAATTGGCGCGACCCGAACAACAGCTGATTTCGGTCATCACGGGCACGCCCATCGACAAGCGCACGCGATCGTGGAACTGCCAGCACTGGGTGGAAGCTGGCATCAGGAGAGTCGCGAATCAGAGGTGGATGGGTGGGCGAACCAACTCCGAAGCAATTAGTGCCATGGTTGATGTGATCATGCAAACTAAGGACGAGGAGGATTAGATATGTCTTTGTAATCTAGTGTTATGAAACATCAGGATCGAGAGACTGACCGTTCTAGACATGCCATTTGCGAGCTACCTGCCAGTCTAATTGGCTGGAATCATCAGTGCCTTGTCAAATGGCCCAGGAAATGGTTCACCATGAGCTCTGGCCGGGTATCGTGTGTCAAAAATGATGGCGGCATATTCGCGATAGTCAGTATGAGCAGCTCGGAAGAATTGAACAAATTCCCAACGCCCGGGGTACCATCCTGCCGTTTCCTAGTCGACGAGGCCCACGAGACGACCTTCTCTGACGATGATGTTGGTTATGCTCAAGTCGCCAGGGGTGAAGACGATTTTGTAGGTCGTCGAGAGAAGGTCCTGAAGCTTTTTTCGGTAAATCTAGGGTGTCGAGGAAATGGTGTTGCTCAACAAAAACTCATTAAAGTCGGTTTCTCTGAAAAAAGGGGGCCGCGGTTCACATCGCGACGGCGGTCGACCGCTCGACGACGCTCGACGCAGCCGATATAGCTTCCGTCAAGCGAACGTAGCAGATTCGCCAGTCGGCGTAGTTGTTCTGCGTAACCGATTCTTTCCTCGTGCGAGAGTCGAGGCCATATTTCCTCCAAAGTGTCCCCGGACCTTATCTCCCTCTCCATGACTGGCATCCATTCGTAGGTCCCAGACGAAAAGACCTTGAGCACAGGGATGTCGAGATACGAACTGGTCATAAATGACAAAGTTTCCGCTTCGTGCATGTCCACACGTTCGCCACATTTGACGATTCTGTCATGATAGCGGAGGACCTTTTTGCCAAATGAGTCGAGAAAAACCGCCGACGGATCCTTCTAGGTGGCTGGGATGCCTATGTCTGATATATCTAGGGTCGAGATCAGCCTGCTGCTTGCCAATACTGCCATGCATGTTGAGACCTATTGATCAAACGGCCAGAACTCATAAAATGGCCAGAACTCGTCAAAGTCCTCTGCATCTTCATCATCGAGCGCAAGCTCGAACCAAAGTTCTTCTTTCACTTCTCTGAGCAACCGCTTCGTTTCATCGTAGTGTTGAGCCAGTACAACGCCTTTTTCAGGCCAAAAGTCCCCCTAGTCGTCTCCTGATTTCGTCCATCTCTTGGATCCCAGCATCGGCAGGTTCGGCGTCACTCTCGATTTGCTGATGTTCGGATTCGGAGAAGCTGAGTGAAGCAGAGTCCTTCAGCGTGATGCACGGCAATGAGATCGCTCCACTCGGGCTCTATCTAATCTGCTGATCATGGCCTGCAATGGAGTGTTCTTCTGAATCAGCCTGCGATAAGCCACGAGGAGAGCCTTGCTATAGTAGAGCCTAAGCTCAGCAGCCTTGTCGGCTCCAGATAGCTTGTTGAAATTTTCTGGAAGTATTGGCTGCTCCAAGGATTCAATATCTGGTCCGTCATAGTCAAGGATACCGGGATCAATGGCATTTTCAAAGAGCGATGCTGCCAGAGTTGATTGCCAGTGGATGATGCCAGTAATCTCAGTGGGGATTGCGGGATCGACGAATATATTTTCATCGTGTAGGTCGTTGTGCCATATGTGTGATGCACATAGTAATGGGCCAGGAGGAAACAGGGAGCTAGAGGTCAGGATCTCGACGTAAGTACTTCCCATTTCCATCTTTGGGCCTGAGCATGTCCTGAGCCTCGCCCGAGACATCACAGCGATTGGAACATGTGTAGTGCTTGCCATTATGCCGCAAAACTATTTGCCGATGTGGTACAGTACTTATTCCAAAACCAGACTCCAGTCGAACTCGAGATGAAAAAAGGCGAATGGTACTAGTCGGGTTGGAAATGCCCATTCGAGATGGCTGCCATGATCATATCAGTCTCGTCGTAATGACGATTGCTGATATCTGTTAGTGTCTATAGTTAAAAGAACAATTTTCCCACCTTGTATGATGTGCATTGTATCTGTAGACGAGAGTCAAATTTTGAACTTTCAGCCTCTCTGTAGGAGTCGTTTGAAGAAGGTCCAAAAGTTCCAGGTCGAAATGAGTCCCCATGAGGTGCTGCGAAAACTCGATTAACCACAGTTCGAAGTAGCGGGGGTAGAAACCAGCCATTGCCCAGTCAAGCAGACAGAGCCTGCCTTGCAAGTCTATCATAAAGTTACGTGGTACCACGTCCATATGACAAAAGCACAGGTTCTCTTCTCGCAACTGTGTTGCCAGTCCCAAAGAATGCCAATTTTTCGTTCAGATAAGTCTCAAGCTCTTCGATACTGGGAAATGCAATTCCAGCACCATCCTCCGACCATAAACTGCCGGGTGCCTCACCACCAGAGATAGGACCAGGACATTTGCTCGTGATAGAGTGTATTGCATTCAAGCCCGGAACAAGTCGTGCGGACAGGCTAGATTTGTCCCACTTAATTTGTTCCAGATTCGCACCGATAATTCTCTCCATAACTAATATTGCGAGTCTGTTCCCGCAAAGAAGCGGTAGATGTGAGGAATGCTTAGAACTTCGCGGCTCACTCTTTCAGACGCCAGCCGCAGTGCGTTCGCTTCCTGTAGAGTTACACCAGGTCCAAACTTGACTACAACATCATCAGTAAGCTTTATCACTTCACGACCGAGCGATGTATTGCTGAGTACGCGTGCCCGATCTGAGCCGTGTCGCTGGCAGTATTGTATAATATCCGCATCTCGGAGTACGGAAAGATCCATTGAAGGTTTGGGGTCTGGCGTCGAAGCTGAAATGAGTAGCAGAAAAATGCCTATAACTCGGGAGATAGTACGGTGGAGTGTGAATTGGTTTAGTGCAAACAGTCTCGATGTGGCGTCTCGACGTGTGGCTGGTAGTATTCGACTATCTGTGGCTTGGATTATTGCATGCGCCAGCCAACAACTCCTGATACCCAGCGATCAACATTTAAAGCTGCCATCACTATGTCTTCTCGTCCTCTTGACGCCATGTGGAATGATTGATCCCTCGCAGAAGTCAAGCACATATTCTACGAGTATGATACAGGCACCTACCAGGAGCCGTCACGCCGAGACGCCTCATTCAGCAAAGCCATGACCCACAAAGTCTGCTTTCTCATACCATTCGCGGACAGGCCCATCATCAAGCAGGCGACGGACCTGGTGGTGTCTCCCGCACAGGGCCACTTTTCCCTCCAGTCCTGCCTGCCTCCATCTATCCACACCAAGAAGATCAAACCTCCCGCATCAATGCTTGCGAACACGTTTGCCCAAATTTTGTCCGCGGTCTGGAGTGCGTGCAAGCAGACCTGCAGTTGGATATGCCATCTCGGCTGGATACTGTGGATACGAGGACTGCGCAGTAGGCTGCTGATACATTGGCTGCTGATACATTGGCTGCTGATACATTGGCTGCTGATACATTGGCTGCTGATACATGGGCTGCTGATACATGGGCTGCACTGGTGGAAAATCCTGCCCGTGAAAAAGTGGTTGGGACGATTCGGGGTAAGTCGAGAACAACGCCGGGGCAACCACAGCGCGCTGTGCGTTCTGATCGAATGGTTGATTTACCGACCGACGCGGTGGCGCAGTACCCATTGCAACGGCATAACTGCGCTGCGTACCAATCTCGCCGCAGTAGGAAAAGCTGTTGTGGTCAGAGATGCGCAACCGTCCGGTGTCAGGCATGTCGCAGCCGACGCCAACACGTTGCCAAGCTGCTTTGGTGATGTGACCACTTGCTCCTGGGACGAATACCGGTGCATTTGAGGTGAGTCTTGATCCACGCTGAGGCTGGCCGTCAACTCGGAAGGGTCTGATCTGCGTCGAGGCGGTCGAGGCGGTCGAGGCGGTCGTGGTTGTTATTCGATCTGGTGCGCGAAGATGGTTGAGTGCTGCGCCGGCCACTTTGCCAGATCCCAACCGAGGGAGTCCCAGGGATCTTGCCTGATGAGGTTCTGCGCCCAAAGTTGACTCTCCTCCACCAAATCCTCTGTCCACGCTGTCCACAATGTTCGCCAGAGCAGGACCATGTCGTGGTTGATAATTGCTTATGTCGGTGGCCATGGTCTCTCTCGTCATCGTCGTTCGAAAAGGATGTAGGACGATCAAGCCTGGATATCACCACGGTCAGATGGAACCTTTTTGTCTCCGCTGGAAAGATCTCAACTTACCTCAAGGCCGAAATTTGGTAATCCGCAACGAGTCTCCTGGCACAGAATACTGTGAACTAGGTTCACACAAGCGACTTCCTGGTGCTTTTTGATCCGTCCGTCGTGGATTATTTGTGTAGGTAAGGTTGGTGGTGAGTGATCGTCTGGGACATGGCCCGAAAACAAAGACATGACACAGTCGCCTATATTTATTGGCTTTCGCTGCCTTGTCTGTGTTGTCACGGACGCGCGTGGCAATTCACAATGATGACTGTCACCGCGGCTACACAAGCCGCGCTGCCTTGGTCCCCTGTATCGTGGAGCTTGCCTGATATCGGTGAAGGCCATGACATTTCAGGTCAAATTATCGCGCTTGCAAACCGGAAAGAAGAACGTCCCAAGGGCGTGCTTTTACATGTCATTCTTCATTACTATCGTGCAGTGTTCTATGCTTGACCCTTTTTTTGTTTCAAAAGTAGCATAACATCAAGGAGTGACAATAGTTGGACATAGCTGACTTTTTCACCCAATGTACCTATACCCTTTTGTGGCAGCACCAGTTCCTCCGTTTTCGGAGCCGAACGCTGGGTTGCTATCCACAATCATCGCCCTCTTAGGAGAGTCTCCATCCACGTCTCTTTCCGCCAGCTGTAGCAGACGGAGTGGCAGAGGACCAGTCACCCCAGGCGGTTGAACCACATGATACCGTCTCAACCACGGTCGTTGTGGCGCCCGAGCCCGAGCCACCAACTGTCGATGTTACCACGCGAGTCACAGTCGAAGTGCCTCCGCCGCCACCCACAGTGACGGTGCTGGTTCCGCATGGACCTTGTGTAGTCACAACCGAGGTGACGGTCTGGGCCGGGCCAGGTTGAGCGCTCGTGATGGTGATGGTTCTGGTCGAGGTGGCGGTATTCCCTGGCAATGTGACTGTTTGGGCCGGTCCGACCTGAGTCGATGTCGAAGTAATGGTCACGGTGCTACCTGGTCCATTTTGTGTGACTGTGGACGTGGTTGTCGATCCCGGACCTTGAATCGTTCTGGTCTCTGTGATAGTTTGCGCCGGTCCAGGAGACACAACTGTCGAAGTGGAAGTAACTGTTGCCGTGACTGCCGATCCCGGAACTGTGCGTGTCTCCGTAACCGTGTTCGCCGGCCCAGCAACTGTTGACACGACCGTTGCGGTTGACACGACCGTGGTGGTAGAGGCGCCTCCCGAGACCGTAGACGTAGAGACGACAGTTGTCGTTGACCCACTACCTGGCACTGTTCTGGTCTCAGTCACGGTGCTGGTAGCACAGGGGCCGACTGAAGTATTGGGAGGACAAGACGATGATCCGGCTGTTACTGTAATGGTTGAGACAGCTGGGCAAGTGTTTGGAACAGTGATAGTACTCGCCACGCATGATGAGCCTCCTGTCGGGCCAACGGGAGTCACCGGAGGGCAAGACGATGGTCCTCCGGGCACGGTGATAGTGGTCGGCACACAAGTGCCTGGTATGTTTGGAGGGCAGCTTCCAGGGGGCAATGTCACTGTAGACACGATCGTGGTGGGAGAGCCAGCAGGTGGGCAAGCGCTTCCCCCGGTAGGGCCTACAGGAGTGCCACAGGAAGTGATCGTGACCGGAGGTGGCTGAGCGGGACAAGAGCTTCCTCCATTGCCAGGAAGAGTAACGGTGACGGTGCCGGCACTTGGGCAGGAACTTCCTCCGGTAGGGCCTACCGGCGTGCTTGCGCCGCACGATCCTGGCGTCGTAATGGTGATTGTAGAACCTGCGGGGCAAGATGATCCAGCACCACCTGGAAGGGTGGTGGTGATCACACTGGTGCTGGTCACCGTTGCACCGCTGCATCCTCCAGTAACGCCGCCGACGTTCGTAGTACCAGTTCCAGAACCACCTCCGGTTTCTGAGGTAGTCCCATACCAATCGGTCCAGGCGGATGAATCCTGTCGAGGCAGCACCGGGTTGGCGGCAGCAAAAATGCTAGAATGTCAGTACAGCAGCGAACCATAGGAGGGACAAGATCACCTGAATGCAGAGCTGACAAGCAATGCTGAGTGGACAAGTTTGCTGTACATGGTGGATGAAGTACGTCCGTGGAGCCCTTTGCAGCTTTTTTAAACGAATGGCAGACGGATGAAGTCCTGTCGAGGCGATGTAGAGTCGACGTCTGGAATGGGATATTTCTTCGTCTTTATAGACGTCCCCGTTTGCACAACGGTAAGCAGGAACCGGTTATCGTTCCTGAGTCGGTGTTGCTTTGCTTGCATCTGGGTAACAGTTGCCAGGTACAACTCAAGGCTGGAGATCTGCATATGCAGTTGAGAAACAAACCAATTTTGGGACCTAGTTCCAGAAACAAGGTACATGGACAAGGGCTCTTCTTGATGCGCTGGACGATCGCATGCCCAGGTGAAGCTTGGAATCACGATTGGAGATGGACCGACTCGGTCCTGTAGTACTGCAGCTGCGGCCTCGGCGGACAAGTCTTGAATTCATGCAACGTTTCCAGCCTTCTCTTTCCAGATGGTGGCGAGCTGAGGGTCCCCGGATTCCAGCGATCCATAGCGGATCTGTAAGTGAGCGTATCTGCAGTAAGAGTGGAGAGGAATATGGTCGGTGCATCAAACAAGCTGCTGCGTGACCGGATTAAAGACGAGAAACATTTCATGAGTCTCCATGTAGACAGTTGAAAAACTCGCTGCGGTGACACCAAAGCCGGCACCAGAGCCTTCAGTTCTCGTGTCTGCTAGACCGGAGAATGGACAAAAGCTCTGCGATCCGAAAGACCTTTCGAAGCACCGCTGAAAATAGCCCAACGGCAGGGGCGAACGTGGCAATAGCGAGAAAGAACTCCTTTGCTAGAGGCGACATGGGCAAGTTCTGGGCTCAAACAGCGTTTCGATCCTTGCAATTTGATATCCTTGCAGGTGTATGGTCCTTGGCCTTCCGAGTAGGTCTAAACTCATTCCACGTTGCGTTGTATCCATGCCGTGGGAGCCATAGTGATCGGAAAATCAGTTGCAGTACAGTGATTGATGCCGAGAGGGTCAGCCACCTGGCAGATGTACGTCAGTCTTGGTGTGAGATCCCGAGACTTACTCTGCTGGCAGTGACCGTTCGGCTCCCAGCTGAAGTATTGTGAGACAAAGCAGCCCATCCCGGTATTCTCTTACTTGATCGGTCCCAGTGTCCAAGCAAAGCAATTGCAGCTGCATTTCCCTCCACTTCGGTCTGGATCTGGTCCAGAGGTCAATTCAGATACGGACAATCTCCGGTTGACCTTACCACTGGGACAGATTCGACGGTAGGCAATGTTGCCATTTTTCGGAGCACAACCAGGTTGCGAGAGGGATCTTGGTTGTATGACAAACATTTCAGGCTGGTGGAGAACCGTGTAACCGACGACGCAGCACGAGTGCACAGCAGAGGTCTGTGTCTTAGAAGACGTTCGACGGCTTTGGGAGCAAAGTGATTGTGCATTGAACCCGCCCACGGAGAGCAGTTACGCATCGGCATTGAATGCTTGCGGAAGCGAGGATGATGATACACAGACTTATTGTTGACGTTGATTTGTGACGCAATGTACTCCGTACCATCCTGTCGAAAGCGCAGAGGTCAGCAGTTATGTCCCGTGGCTGCGACGATCGACTCACATAGCGCCGGTCAGAAGTCAGACGTACAGCTGACTTGGGAACAACATCACATCACCGGGCATCACCTACAGCAACCGATAATACTATTCGAGCGTAGAGATCAGTGAATCGCTGCCTGTCAATGGCGGTCGAACAGTGGCTGATTGACTTCGTGACCTTCGAATCATGACATGGAAAACGAGAGGATGTCTCTGGGCCATGTCTGCGCACAGTCGGCTTAGAGTGTACCGCAAAAGTGAGAAACTAGCCTGGACTTCCTGCACCACTCAGGATGATTGGCCATGACGAGACAGGATTCCATAGCCTGTGAACGACCCTGGAGATGCATCGAGATGCCGAATGTTCGAGCACGAAGGTGCTACTCGGGCAGAGATGGCTGGTCAGTAAATCGAGCCACGACTAGGGTATGCCCCTAATATTGCAGAGGGGGTTGAAGCAAATGTATTCGACGATGCCAGGCTGATGTTGGAGCAAGAATGAGGCCGTCAAAAATGAGAAGGCGTGTAATGTTGTCGTTGCCTTCGCTCAGCGTTTCTGCCCGATGTACCTAAGAAGTCAGCGTGTCAATGTGGAACGCAAACCCTGGCAACTTCGTAAAGGGCACTCGAGAATATCGACATGGAAATCAGACGTTTTCATGACATCTCATACAAGAAGCCTCGCTATCCAAACACCATTTGTGCTGCCCTACACCAACCGGGTATCAGAATCTGGGCCGCCCCAAAGCCTGCGGGGAGCACTACACTCGTCAATCGTCGTAAACATATCATGATCCAAAGACAGCCTATACTGTCATGCTGCTGAGACCCAATTCTCCAGCCATCCAAGCTGGCAATTTATCCAAATCAATGTAAGTCGGCCCCAACTTGGCAAGTTGTTTCAGACCTTGAAACACATCAGTGCCGGTGAAGGTCAAAGCAATATCGGATGTCTCCGGGCCTGAAGGTCCTGTAGTGATACGCTCGTCTCCCTGGATCGCCTTGTTGAGCTTGACGTGCACTCGATCAAGTGCCGCGTGGTGCTGTCCTTCCATGCTGCCAAAGCGCTGCTGCACTGCCGACTGTCTCTGACGGTCTTCCTCTTCAGCACCTGGTACCTCGATTTCATTCATCTCGATGACTCCGTCTTTTCCCACGAACTTGCTGTACGCTCCTCCCCCAGAGCCGGGCTTCTGATTGCCCCGTAACTCCAAGATACTTCGCAGCGATCTGGCATTGAGTTTGGTTGAGTCAAGAGCCCAGCGTTGCTGCGGCCTCGACAAGGCTTTAGGGATTGCCTCCAACACAATCTTCTTCATAGCAGCCATGTCCACTTTCGCCATAACTCTTCCTTTTGAATCCCTTGTGCCTTTGCCGCGTACACTCGACCCTGATGCGCCAGATAGGGAGACATAGACATAGGGGCAGCTGTCGGGAAGGGCTATGTACATGACTCTTCCAGCGTCGGTAGCATGTTTGGCACGCCGTGGGATGGTCGATCGATGACCACCAAAGGTAGAATCAGGAAGGATATGTAATCGGACAATGTGGAGGTCATGAGGTGAGGGCATCTTATGGACGTGATAGTGCGCTTTGACCAGAGGCGAGATCTCAGCCTTCAGTGCCGAAACGAAAGACTGCGCTGAGATTTGGGGATATTGGGGTTCATCTTTGTCATGGCTGATTCTGCGCTTCTTCTTTGGAGGTTGGGAATCAGAATCCTCTGATAGTGAATCTCTAGCTGAATCTGGTAACACAAGACGGAGAGCAGTCCATCTCAGAGCAGTGTCGTTTTGTTCAAGATATGCAAAATCGACCGTCGCAAGTTGATGCAAGGACAGTCCTCGACGCCAGTCACCGTCAACGATCCGATCAATGATATCTTGTTTTGAAGCAAGATTTACATCATTCTGCAGTTTCCTGTATATCGTGCGCAGTTCCTCGGTACTCTGAGCTGGAGTGTAGAGATAGTCTTCTTCGTCGGCTTCGAATAATCGTCGGTTGTTGAGGAGGTATGGAGTTGAAGTGCGGTCGTCACTCAGCCATTTGATCGCAAGGCCAACTAGCGAGTCTCGCGACAATCGGTTAAGGGCTTTTGAGAGAGCAGGCGCCATGTTGACGGCTTGGTGGACGGGTCATCGCATGAAGCAATCTTCGAGAGGGCGAGTCGGTACTCCGTATGCGGAAATCAAAATAAACTATGAGTCAAGTTCAGTCAGACGAAAGGCACTAGCGAGTCATCAGTTTGTCTTGGTATCACGTGATTCTGGCTGCTCGCAAGAGTTGCTGCTGGCTGTGATGAAATATACCTAGGTACTCTTACAAGTGCGCGACCATCCTGATCCTTCCAGTGTGAGCGCTTGCATGCAATGGGAACTAGATCTGACATCCGGAATGGTTGTGCTCGTGGTATCAATTGAGCCTGCAAAACCACGCGCGAGAGACCAACCCCACACTAGGTTTACCACGGTGTGCGGCAGAGCAAGGCTAGTGGAGGAGGGATTTAACGAACACGTTGGGTAAACACAGCGGAAACTAATCACCACCACTCGCTTCTCTTATCGCATACGCGAACTGCACCAAAACGAGGGGGTAAAGGCGCCTCTTCAACGACAAGACGATTTGTGACCAAGGTCGAAAGGCGGATGAAGGCGGCTTTTTTGCCAGTGAGAGCTCGGTGATGAGCGCTCGCCACCACAAGCCGATCGTATTGCCGGGCCGTAGGACATGAGATCATGATACCCGTTGGGTGCCCGTGTCAGTATCATTACCATTATCTCATTCGAGCGGTCAGCAAAGGCCGGGGGAGAATTGCTACTGGAGGATGATTTGTGCACAACGAGACTGTAGATAATACGAGTAGCACCTAGGCATGTTGATTAGAATGTACTGTTAGTACCTGGTACTCTTCAGCTCGAGATCGATGCACGGGCGAAGCGTTACAAATGTCCAGGTTGTACGAGTATTGGGTGACGACGAGTAGTACTAATAGTAATAGCCAGCCAGCCATCCACTTGGCGGGCATCCCACTTTTGGCTGCGAACTTGTTCCTCGCACGGGCTTCGCTAAGCCCTTTCACGCCCTTTCTTCTTTTCTCTCCCACCAACTTCCGGGCGGGGCTTCTGCGCACCCGATTCATTTACGCTGTCCCATCCGCAGCTTTTTCACCTTCTCCTTACCTCTCCTATACTACCTACCCTCTTTGCGACAACGACTCTCACGGTGTGCCCTGGAGAGGGCAGTTCAAGCACTTGGTCTCTAAGCCTGCGTCAACGTTGTCGACCGGACTTGGGTCGCTAGCTGCAGCGACGCCCCGCGCCTTAAATTTGTCATCAACGCCCTTTTGTCGGTCAAGACATCCACAGCCAATCGACTATATCTCAAGCGACGGCTAGCACTACACAAGAGAAAGAGTTGGAGCGGCGCCATAGTGGTTACAGTCGGGTAGCGAGGATAATGTCCAACTATCGTGGCCGGACAGGGCCAAATTTCTCAGAGTATCTCAACAACCTGAATACTCTTGCGCCCTACGATCAAGAACATTTTACGCCTGAAGAATTCGATCTCAACCAGGATCTGGCCATGTTCACCAATACCGACTTTACTCATTTTGACATCCCTCCTCTACCCGAAGATGGCTCCTTCAACTTCGATCTGAACGATTCCAAGAACAATCCCAACGTGAAATACGAAGGCCTTCTCTCCGGCGCTGACAGTGCTCACAACTACCCACCCCCGCAGATTGAGACCTCGGTTCCAGAAGCCTCTCATTATTATACCACCTACAACACTCCCATTCAGCCTGCACCGGCGCACGGTTTCGGCAACGTTGACAGCCACGCGTCTCCCCACGACGCACCATCAGTGGGCTCTCAATCTGCCCCTAGAAAGGGTGAGACGCCCGGCGCCAACAGCATAAATTCCGAGGACAAGTCACGGCACGCTGCTGAGGAAGATAAGAGGAGGCGAAACACTGCGGCCAGTGCTCGTTTCCGCATCAAGAAGAAGCAGAGGGAACAAGCTTTGGAGAAGACGGTCAAGGACGTCCAAGACAAGAATACGGAATTGGAGGCCAAGCTGCGTCAGCTGGAGATGGAGAACAAATGGCTCAAAGATCTTATCACGGAGAAGAATGGTTTGCAATCTAAAGAGGAGATGGCGGCAGCTTACCAGCAGTATCGCAAGGACAGTGAAGAACGAGACTTGAAAGACTACGAACACACGACTGGAGTTGGCACTCAATGAATATCAGCCCAAAAGAAAGCAAAATCTGTTTCTTAGACTATATTTAATGTTGGCTTCATATACCGATCTCAGATACATCCGATCAAAAATGCAATCAGTCTTCTCTACCTCCACCTGTTAGTTCTGGTCGATGTAACATCCTGACCATGATCAATCGTTTTCACATGACTAGATTTGACACGAGTAGAGTAGATGGCGAGGCTAACCCAGGTCGTTGGTGGGAGGCAGCCTGATCGATTATTAGTAATGAGGGCGGGAGCGGATATCATCTGCATTGCATTTGCAAGTCTTGGAGTTACTGTGCTAGAACCACCGCGGTTGCCTCGCCTCGTTCACGCGTTGGGCTTTGACATCCACTTCGCCGCGCAGGCATTTACATCGCCCAGTCTCTTAATCTTCTTCATCTTCGTCTCAGCCTGTTGATCAACTCGGTCCACTACCGCATCAGTAACTGCCATTCAATCCTTCTCCTTCTCCGCCTCTCTTTCGCTATCATTCCGTCCTACCAAATCCAGCCTCAAAGCCTACCTCCCCCGCCGCTCACTGGTACACCTTCCGCGCATTCAAACGCTCGTTGAGCGCTTCTCTCTTACAACCTCCAGTCATGTCGGTCTCCGTCGAAGAGCTTGATGCCACCGTCAAGGCTTTCCAAGAGGGCAAGGGTGAAGTGCAGAAGCAGGCCCAACAAAAACTGAACGAGTTCAAGTCGAACCCAGATGCATGGTTGATGGTGGACAAGGTCCTGCAAGAGTCTGCATACATGCCAACAAAATATCTTGGTCTTCAGGTCCTGGATGATGTTGTCAATACTCGATGGAAGGTTCTACCTCGAGAGCAGTGCCTGGGAATCCGGAACTTTGTGGTCAACCAGATTCTGCAGGCTTCAGAAACTGAGGAATCTCTCAAGGCCAACAAACTCTTTCTCAACAAGCTGGATCTGACTCTGGTCACAATTTTAAAGCAAGAGTGGCCGCATCATTGGCCGACTTTCATCAACGAAATCATCTCCGCATGCCACAGTGGCTTGTCAGTGTGCGAGAACAACATGACCATTCTGCGACTATTGTCCGAGGAGGTCTTCGACTTCTCGCAAGACCAGATGACTTCCTCCAAGGCCAAAAACCTGAAGACTACTATGTGCGCCGAGTTTTCGTCCATCTTCCAGCTCTGCAATGAGGTCCTCACAACAGCCACCGACATCAGTCTGGTCAAGGCAACTCTAGAAACACTGCTACGTTTCTTGAACTGGATTCCTTTGGGCTTCATCTTTGAGACGAAGCTCATTGACACTCTGGTGACACGATTCCTGGAAGTCGACCAGTTCCGCAACATTACCCTTAAATGCTTGACTGAAATTGGTGGTCTGCACCTAGGCCAACAATTTGAATACGACGACAAGCTTATCCAGATGTTCACAGAAACTCTGACAGTGGTGTCCAAGACCATCTCGCTCGAGACAGACTTTCGTGAAGCATATGCAAAGGCTAAGCCATCAGAACAAGAATACATCCTCAATCTGGCCATCTTCCTCTGCAATTACTTCTCAGCACATCTTCAAACCATTGAGCGACTACCAAACCCGGACTACTTACTGACTGGCCATTTCTACCTGATCAAGATTAGTCTGATTGACGACAGAGAGATTTTCAAGATTTGCTTGGAATACTGGAACAAGTTAGTACAAGAACTGTACGAAGAGATGCAGCAACTGCCAATCACCGAACTCAACCCGCTCGTCAGCATGGGGATCAGTGGGCTGGCGAACGGTGGTGCCGCTCATCCCAGCACGCTCGCCAATTACCCATTGCGGAAACACAAGTACAGCCAAGTTCTAACGAGCCTGAGGCAAGTCATGGTAGAAAAGATGGTGCGCCCTGAAGAAGTTCTTATTGTTGAAAACGATGAGGGAGAAATTGTCCGAGAATTCGTCAAGGAAAGCGACACGATTCAACTCTACAAGACCACCCGTGAATGCCTGGTGTACCTCACGCATTTGGACGTTGTTGACACGGAAAACATCATGTCCGAAAAACTAGCACGACAAGTTGACGGTTCCGAGTGGTCTTGGAACAACTGCAACACTCTATGCTGGGCGATCGGCTCAATATCCGGTGCAATGAACGAGGAGACCGAGAAACGATTCTTGGTCACTGTGATCAAGGATCTGCTTGGCCTCACCGAGATGAAGCGTGGCAAAGACAACAAAGCTGTCGTGGCCAGCAACATCATGTACATTGTTGGACAGTACCCTCGCTTCTTGAAGGCTCACTGGAAGTTTTTGAAGACAGTGGTCAACAAGCTATTCGAATTCATGCATGAGACCCATGAAGGTGTTCAAGACATGGCTTGCGACACATTTATCAAGATTGCAAACAAGTGCAAGCGACACTTTGTGGCTCTACAACCTGGTGAGAGTGAACCTTTCATCGATGAAATCGTCCGCAACATGCAGAAGATCACTTGCGACCTTACTCCTCAGCAAGTGCATACCTTCTACGAAGCCTGTGGCTACATGATCTCCGCCCAGGGCCAGAAGAGCGTACAGGATCGACTGATTGACAATCTCATGTCGCTGCCAAACCAGGCATGGGACAATATCATTTCTCAGGCGAACCGCGACTCGTCCATTCTCCAAGATGGCGAAACCATCAAAGTTATTGGTAACATCATGAAGACCAATGTCGCTGCTTGCTCGTCGATCGGCACGTATTTCTACTCTCAAATCGGCCGCATCTATCACGACATGCTCAACATGTACCGAGCGTCAAGTTCGTTGATCTCAGACGCCGTTGCTTCTGGAGGTGAGTCCGGGTTGTTTCAAGGATTCGCTGTGTGCTGACCTAACGTAGGCAATGTTGCGACGAAGACTCCCAAAGTCCGAGGTCTCCGTACCATCAAGAAGGAAATTCTCAAGCTTGTCGACATCTACGTGCAAAAGGCTGATGACCTCCAAATGGTGAATGACACAATGGTACCGCCACTGCTCGATGCTATCCTGCTCGACTATCAGCGCAATGTGCCTGACGCTCGAGATGCCGAAGTCCTCAGTGTGACGACTACTGTTGTGCACAAGCTACATGTACGTTGGACCCCAAGAAGATCTCGGCATTTGGTCAGAGACTTGCGACACAATGAGAGAGCAATTGCTGACATAGTGCAGAACCTGATGGAGGACAAAATTTCACCGATCATGGACGCAATCTTCGAATGTACCCTTGAAATGATCAACAAGGACTTTCACGAGTATCCCGAGTTCCGAGTCGAGTTCTTCAAGCTTCTACAAGCGATCAACTTGTTCTGCTTCCCGGCGCTTCTGAAGCTCGACGGTCGACAATTCAAGCTGATTATCGATTCGTGCATGTGGGCGAGCAAACACGACAACCGCGAAGTCGAAAACACCGGCCTGTCAATGTGCCTGGAGCTTATCAACAACATGGCCGAGACAGACCCTCAAACATCGGGCGTCTTCTTCCAGCAATTCTTCATTCCCATCCTGCAAGATGTCTTCTTCGTTCTCACGGATTCGGATCACAAAGCTGGTTTCAAATCGCAGTGCATGTTGTTGGCTCGCATGTTCCAACTGGTTGAAGCCAACAAGATTTCTCAGCCCTTGTATCAGAACGGCCAGGCAGCTCCAGGTACTTCCAACAAACAATTTGTGACCGAATTTACCGCCAACCTCTTGCGGACTGCTTTCTCCAACCTCCAGGAAGTTCAGATCCAGCATTTCGTCAGCGGACTGTTCACCCTTAATGAGGATGCAACCAAGTTCAAGACTCATTTGCGAGACTTTTTGATCTCACTGAAGGAGTTTGGTGGGGACAATGCCGAATTATATGCCGACGAACGCGAACAGGAGAAGAAGGATCTTGCCTCAGCCGAGCGTGAACGTGCCATGAAGGTCGGCGGTCTTATCAAGCCAGCAGACTTGGACCAGGATGACGAGCTGTGACTAGAAGAAGAGTTACGGACGGAATTCGCTGTACGTACGGCAGAGGACTCTCAGCCCGTCGCACCTTCCGTGGAACACTATGCCATGGAGCACCCAGACCAAGAAGAAGCTTTCGAAAGTGGTTGGATGTTCTACAAGTGCTAGTTGCGGCGACCGCGTGGGTGCCGGGTGCTGGTGCATGTTGTTTGCCTTGGCTGAGCCGGCTGCGAAGCATGATCCGATGCCGTTGAGAAATGTGTAATGTTTTCTTGGGCTGTGTTGAGATACCAAAAAGCATGGCCTTTTGGCAGGATATTTACTAGATGATGGCTTGACAGTCTCGGATCGGGCATGATTTTTGCGTGCTTAGAGTCTCGCAGCGGTCAGTATTGGTGTTCAGCTCAGGTCAATGCTAGCAAATAGATGGTGACATCGCCAGCCACAGTCCACTCACGAAACCACCGACTTTCTCTGGCCCTATGCAGTAGTTCAGAATACCCGATATGGAAGGCGCTTGCTATTTGATCGGTCGACAACCGGCAGTTCCCAGCTATAAATTGCCTCATCTAATTCGTACCTAGTATTTCACTTTCGTATTGTTTCGTCTCATGGCCCAAGAGCGGCGTTCTTCCACTCAATTGGCTCATGTCACAAAAGCCGTCGATCCTATATTGGTCCCTGGTGCTGAGGAGTCATCATGCGTATCTCACCGACTGTGAAAGCTGAGTTATATCAAGCAGTCATGCAAACTCGCCAAATGCAAGTCAGCTCCGGAATTGTTGTGGATGGAAATGGCTACAGGGCGTGGCCAGACACAGCTCGATTCTTGTCCGCCCCGTGTCTTCGTTCTGGTAGCGTGCCCCAGTGAGGCGGTTGTCCGTGACTTCGTGTTTGCTCCGGTTCCTGTGAGCAAGCAGAAACGCAGCTGAGAAAAGGCGCCTGTCGCACGTGGTGGGTGGTAAGAGAGTAGGCGAGTCGGCGGTAAGACCGGTGGACGGGCCTCGACCCGCGCCGTTGAGTATTCATGATGCCAGATGGGTGTGATTGTATGTATATAAGACTGATTGAGGATGTGAGGGTGTGAGGGTGTGAGGGTGTGAAGAAAACGGAGAAGACAGGCGATGCTTGCATGAAATAATAGTGGTCTGACGGATGATGCTATGTCTTCTCCAGTGGTTCTGCTGCGGAGATGGTGGACAAAAAGACTGTCTGACATTTAATCCGTTTGGCCTGGTGGGCCCTTGAAGAAGCCCGAGGAATCCTAACATGTCACGCATGGGTGCCATCAGTACCTTAGTTCTGGGCGAGTGCGTCACTTGATTTTCCGGGGCGCTTGGGCGCTGTCTCGTGGTTGTAACCGCCTATAAGCCTCGGGTGTCCGCATCTGACATACTGACAAACTGCATCATCTGCGTTTGCGCCAATTTCCATTGCCCCGTCTGTGTGTGCCGTGATCACAGTCAACAACATTAATCAAACGAGCTGTCGATCTCAATCTTCCGTCCTTCGACTGACCCGGGGAGTCCCTTAGGTTATACTGACTATATTCATCACCCTCTTTCCTGCCTTCCCTTGTGACGACCACCAGCCAGCCAGCCGTTTCTCGCCGCAGAGTCCAACAGCCAATCTACAAGACCTTCACTACCGATCGATCTGACTTGCCTTGAGCATTCGCTCTAACTCCTCATTGTTTTTCGAACGCCTCATTCGCCCGCTCGAGTACAATTGGACACAAGGACTAGAGACTTGGAGAGAAAGAACATGAGCACACCTGCCTCGACCTTATCTACAATGTCGAGCCGCAATAATTCGCCACGACCTGGAGTCGCAGGACCCAGCGCACTCAGAACTTCGCACATCGCACCTCGATCTGCCGCAAGTCCTAGTACAGCGACGCGCGGCCTGAACGTCGGCTCGGCCACACAGACCATCACGCCGCCGGACAGCGCAAGCTCGCGGAGTGTCTCGCCGGAACCGCTTGTGCTGAGACTGCGTGGCGCACACGATGCGAGTGGGAGCACCTCGCTGAGAAGGAGAATAACCTGGGCCGAAGATGTAGTTGACAACGAAGGACTGGGGCGGAAGAGCAGTAAAGTGTGCTGCATATATCATCGGCCTAGGGAGTTCGGGGAGAGTTCGAGTGAGGAGGACAGTAGTGACAGTGATTCCAACAGTGACAACAGCGGAGGGGACAGTGGCGATGATGGAGGGGCGAGGATGACTGGGAACAGACGGGGCCGGAAGTTCGAGCATAATCATGGGAAGGGTGCTGGAGGGGATGGCTGTGGAAAAGGAAAGGGGAAGAGGAAGCCGAGTCCGAATGCGTATGAGAAGATGCCCAGCTATCATGCCAAGGGAGGGCAGCAACAGGTGAAGAGATGAGCTCGACTTCGATATGGGGAAGCAGGGCTTTCCTCCAGACCGACGATGAGATGAACGGCGACAAGGAATGAATGTGCATAGTTGGAAATCTTGCACGAATGCGATCATGGAACAACAGCACGGGAGAAGGGAAGCTGCCTTGGAGACAGAGGTAGTGTTTCCCCTTCGCATCTTGACCTCGACTGCATTGCCACTGGCTGTGGAGGTGCTTATGGTTCATGACATTGTTGGAAAGTGGGCACGAGCGTCTGCTCGCGTGTGCAATCATATGAGCGGAGGCGTTACGGGGGTATGACTTCTTGGGGACACAGATTGTTCTCGATTGGCGGTCTTTCAAATGCAATTCGTGGCTTGAGGGCCCGTTTCTCTTCTTCTGATATTTTTGCTCAAATCTTTCTTTGTTCTCGGGCACGACATACGGGGGACTGCCTGGTATTCCTGCGGTGGCCGATGCCCGGCATGGCGAGTCTTCAGTGATCACGCCGACAGCAGACACTTTGAGATCTCAGACACTGCTGCCCTCCTATCGCGCAAGCTGCTCGCTTTGGAGGACTTCACACACGGGCCGATGGCAATGCATCCAGGGCAAGTCCCTCCACTGACCTGCAGACAAGCCTTTGCGGTCGAAAAGAAGCTCCAGATCATCGACACTTAATGCTGCCAAATGTGTACCCCATTCATGATCTCCCATCAGCTTTCCAGGCACATGCCCACTCAAGAACTGCAAAAGGGCCCGCCAGTGACCTCAAGACGCATGCACAGTAAGCCTCATAAGGTTGAGGGAAACCCTGTTCATTGCGGAGGAACCACCTTCAGGGGCGGCCAGGGTTTGACGCCAATGCATGAAGTTCTATCCGCGAACCCGCCGTGCGCACTATTGTTCATGCTGGTCAGCGTGCTCCGTACAGCGCGATTGATTGTTGTTGGTCTTGATGAGGCTCTGATGTGCAAACGTGCAGATTAGGCAGCGCACACTTTCCGCGACACCTACAAGGACTCGTATTGAGGGGATCCTGCAGTCATCCTCTCTCTCGTGCTGACCATTTCGCTACTGGTTCGACTCCTGACGCAACGACGTGAAGACTAGTTAGGTTACAACAAGGTTCAATATTCGATGATCAGAGATGGAGCCAAGAGTCATATTTTAGTTACTTGCATGAGCAACCACTGCATTAAGTATGGCTTTGGTGGATAAGGAGATCTACTGTACTGTACGGATACTGTACATACACCAAATCAGCCCACCGTCGATCATGTCGTTCTTTTGGAATGCCATTGCCATGTATGTCCATGCCGGGGAAATGGGTAAGCAAATTTTGAAACCGTGAAATGAGGACCTGAGAATCCTACGCTGTTACGAGTAGCACCTACCATACGTCATGTCCGTCTACACTGTGGTCGATCACGCAGGCCACAGGAAGTTGGCTGGTAATTGCCGGCAAACACACAGCAGCGCCCTGGTCGTCGATCCGTGCATGTTGTGGATATTTGGCATGTTACTTCGTGTGCTGGCAACGAGGGGAGCAGACAAAGAGAAGGTCCTCGACCATGGCTCGTCCCCTCGGCCTCGTCTCCAAAGGGAGCCACTCCGCAGCTTGATCAGTGACAGAGGCCCCCTACAGGGTAGTAGCCCGAAAACAGGAGAACCCACGCAACGCCTGGCCAACTGCAGCTACTTGAGCTAGGCCAAATGCTGCGGAATACTTTCTCCAGGGCCGATCATCGAAACTCCAGAGGTCTATCTTGACGTCTAGGTTTTGAGAATCACCCAAGGGTGGTACGGCTCTCTCTTTCCTGCATCAAAGTCCACGAAACACGGAAAGGGCGCAGTATTATTGCCTCACCTGATCGGTTTCTGAGGTGCATTGGGTCTTGCGATTTTTGTCAACCAAAATCAAATGCCTCGGTCAACATTGCCCGTCGTCCTCAGCCAGAGACAGGAGCCCCACGGACCAGGGGGGCAAAATTCCCAGGTTTGTCAAGTCCAGTTGTGCTTCCTCCACCTTTGGCCATGACCGAGTCTAATATGGCACGAAAGAAACATTACACCCTTCGGGAAAGGTCCTTCGGGGCTTGTGCTCTGCCGGGCCGTGTACAGACGTGGTTCGTACGCAACCTCGTAGCATCAAAGTAAGAAGGACGTTTCTCTGTGCGTCTAGTCGTCGCAACAAGAAACTCTGCAGCAGAGGAAGATGTCGCCAGCAGGAGAAGAACGTGCGCGCTCAGCCAGATTACCCGGTGGTTATTCTTTCTTGTCCGCGCGTTTGAGGACGATGAGAAACACCGAGCAGCAGCAGCCATGAATACTGTCCGGCTGTCTGCGCAAAAGTCGTCACCGCTCGCACGCTAGCGCCTTGCCTACACGAGCAAGAAGCATGTGCGGTCACAGGATGGAGTTGTTTGCGGGAAAGGCCTTCAGGTGTATCCGTGTTCCGCACAACGTTAACTGCCACCAGCGAGATCGACTTGATTGATTTTCCAAGTTTCCCAAACGTCTTCATTGTCTCAACTACTACATATGGGGATGCCCAAGGTACAAGATGTGTCGAGGACTCGGGAGAATGTATGCACACTGGGACTGACTTCGCGGTTTGTCATTGCCTCGGCAGCAGTGGACTGATCGAAATGGTGCTGCGTCGTAAATTCTATATCTGGAGCGGACTAGCGAGTGTGTCTATCACAGTATTCCGTACTATGGTACGAGCAATCCGCAGCGAACCGTTCAGGTCTCTGCATCACTTTTGTGCATAGTACCAAGTATTTTGTACGATAGTGATAGTATTTGTTTGGCTGCTTCATCAGCCGTCCCTGCAGTAGCTTGATACTCATTGATCCTTTCCCCTCTTCCTCGGGGGGTTACTACGAGTACGTAGTACGTACTTCCTAAGGTAGCCAGGCACCGAGGCTGCGAGCTAGCACCAGTACTGCATTCCTTATAGGCCGTACCTGTCGCCCAGGAGACGGTTCGCCATGCGCGAAGACCATCATTGGATAAGTTCTCGTCTTAGCGGCGCGGTCCGATTTGCCGGGAACACAAGTTGAAGGAGAATTTTGTTCTGGTCAGTGGTCAGTCTTCAGAATTCATACTCGTACCTACTATGTACAGTAAGTCAGTGACCTCAGGCTCAGGCTCTGGCTCGGAACAACGGGTGACAGCTGTCTTGGTGCGAATCATCTGGCAACAACAGCACAAAGGATGCAAAACTTGTGTCGTCCCGGACCTCCGGCCTTCTCGATTTACGCCTGCGTAGCCTGGGCACTCTCGCACTCTACGCTTTCTTGATAATCAACCCCCCCAAGTTGAGCGGCGTCGACGTCTATAGTAGTCACTTTCCAAGAGCCGCATTCTGCCACCACACAAGTTCTTTGTCCTCGCTGCTGTTTGTCATCGAATGGCACCCTAGCGTCCAACCCAGTCCAGGTTTCTTTCCGTGCTTTCGCTAACCTCGACAGCCAGAGGACTCGGTCCACTTGTGCAACCATCCCATTCGGATGGCGTTCCCCGTTCTCACTCTAGTGAGTTTCAACGTCGACGATTTTCCATTTCCCCATGTTTCCACTTGCCCGTCGCTCTTTCTCCTCTTCAGCGACGCCAACCCGGTCTGGACTTTGGGAAAGGAGTTTCGCCAGCCCGGAGACTAACCATCATCAATGGTCAAAGATTGCTACCAGGGGTGTCCCTGCCCAGTGCCTATGGGTCGTCAAGTCCAACCCCGGGTGGACCCGTCCTGCATTTTCTGGAGCCATCTGCGTAGTACCTCGTATGCAATCGAACCATGGGAGAAGCGCTGAGAACCAGATTCAAAAACATCGACTTCTCCCCCACAAGTACTGGCAGTTATTAGGGACCTGACTTTCGTCGCGGGTTCTTGGAATGTGTCTGTGTCGCGGTTCACTTCGCTGTGACAATGGCATTTTCAGCATCACAGCTTCAAGCCTTCGATACTGCTGAGAAGGTGGCCTCTGTCTTTTCCGTCATCGGGGCCATCTTTATCATCTTCACCTTCCTTCTTGATCACCGGTTCCGAAAGGCTATCAACAGACTCGTCTTCTACGCGTGCTGGGGGAATCTTTTCTCCAATGTCGCCACCCTCATATCCCGCGCGGGCATCAGCCTAGGAGTCAACAGCGCATTATGTCAATTCCAAGCATTCTTGATTCAATGGTAAGCCTGCCCACGATACCGCTAGGAGATTGCCCCCTGACTCGGTATGGCAGGTTCATGCCGGCTGATGCCTTGTGGACTTTCGCCATGGCTTGCAATGTCTATCTGTCCTTCTTCCACCGCTATGACGCTACGAGACTACGGACACTAGAATGGAGATACCTCGTTGCGTGTTATGGTGTTCCGTTCCTCCCGGCACTCGTGTTTCTGTTCATCGACACACCTGACAAGGGCAAAATTTATGGAGACGCTGTGGTGAGTAGTATCTTCACCTTTCTGACGCGCACTGACCGTCCTCCAAGCTGTGGTGCTGGGTATCAGAGGACTGGAATGCCCTTCGAATTGCGACCTTCTATGGTCCCGTGTGGCTCGTCATCCTCATCACCATGTTCGTCTACATCAAGGTCGGTTTGGTCGTGTTTCGGTGGCGAAAGAAGCTTTTGTCGTCTGGAAATCACAGCAGCAATCAAGTTGCAGCAGGCAAACACGAAACATTGCAGCGTGAATACTCGATGCGAGACATGCCTCAGCAGAGATATGGAGTCACTATTCACAGTCAAGTACCGCACACACCTGACCACAAGAGGGGGTTGAGTTCACCACGGAACACGTACATGGAAGATCGGATCACAAGTCCTACTTCGATGACGAGCCCGACCCATATGGGGTTCCCATCCGGTGATGATAACTTCCCGGAGAGGCAGACCAGAGTTGTCGTCGAGAGGCCCAACATCCAGGTCGTGGACGCGAATAAAGCGGCTTTGAGTTACTGCAAGACGGCGATGTTGTTCTTCGTTGCCTTGATTGTTGTTTGGTATGCATCATCGAAACTCTTTTTTGTTGTCGCCCATACTGAACAGTCTCATAGGGTTCCTTCCACCATCAACAGAGTCTACACTCTCGTAAGCCCGAATAACCCTCAGTTCGGCTTGGAGTTCGCATCCGGTCTCGTGCTTCCTCTCCAAGGGTGTTGGAACACAGTGATATACATTGTCACCAGCTTACCCGCTTGCAGGGCCTTGTGGGCGGATCTGATGGGAGGGGTGCGTAGTTCCGGTGTACACATGCATTCTTCGTCCCTGACGCTACCGAGGAGCACGCATCAGACGCTCCCCTCGACTGATCAGAGGGCGGATATCATGGTGACTTACGAGGGGAAGAACAGGATTGTGCATCACTCGAGAAGGGCGTCCAGGGACCACAGCACGAGTGGAATTATAGGTCATGCTGGCCAGATGAGTTGAACGACGTACGAGGAGAAAGGCATTACTCGGTTGCCTTGTATATTATAATATGTACCATAGCATGATGTCAGAGTGACCCAGACTAGCACGAGACATTGGAATCCTCGAGTGCGAGTCCATGTGAGTAATGAGGATTATCTGCAGCACATTCAATGTGGAAATGTCGCAGCCGCCGATGCCAGTATTGTCTGTCCCAGCTGGCGTTGTATGGAAGGCATTGTTGTCATGTTGGGAAGCAACGTCGCTTGATAAGGCAGATTTGATTCCTTTTGCAATGAAGAGGTCCGCTCGTCTGCATCGTGGCTGAGAGTCCGACAGGGAAAGATACTGCTTGCTTTTTGTTAGGTTCTACCAATGGAAACCGAGGGTAAGTCGTAAGGACGACCGACGAACGAAACCTCGAGATTTTCTTTCCCTCTCTGCACTTCTCCTCGCCTTTCACCGCTTATTTGCCCAACGCAAAAGTCCTCCTGTTCTTATTGAACCGCAGATGAGACGACTCTTGATGATTGGCACGCCCTGAGATTCGCCTTCTGTGCGACCGCTTCATGCATGGGGATTTTGACGTGCTACTCAGCCACTCAGCGCCCTGCAAGCACTGCCTCATTCTCCAGCTCGAGGCGACAACGCCTTGCAGTCCTCCACGATACTTACACTAGCCCGCACCGCCCACGACCGCCCAACGCTCTGCCTGGCTTCTCATGACCATGGGGTCATGCGAGTTTCGGTCACTAGCTGACCGGCACAGCCCGAGTGAAGATCATAAGTACTCAGGCTGGAGATCCTACTGTCTTTCCTGATTCCTTCTCTAGCGCTGGATTCGACTTTGCTTGAATCGTGCGAACGGAGCGTCTTTTTGCATTGTTTCGAGTTTCACCCTGCACGATCCATGACACTGTCTCCCAACTTGGCTCGATCCACCGCTGAAGGACTCTAAGAAGGCCCGCAGTTTTTGACCTGCATTCGACCTCATTGAGTTCTTCGGTCGTGAAAACCGGGTCAACGCGCACCTTCGACTTTACGAACGAGATGGCGGCACATACAGTTCATGGCATGCCTTTTGTTACAGCGACTCCTTCACTCCACAGACACCCGCCGTTGTTGCCCCGCCCTTCAACCGGTGTGAATGTGCCTCTTGTCCAAAGGTCCGCAGCAGTCGTCCCTCGGACCGCTGAAGAGTGGAACGTACACCGCGACTTGATCACCCAGCTGTATCAGGACAGGGAGTTGCCTCTTCGTCAGGTGCAAAAGATAATGGAGACTGAGTACAAGTTCAAGGCAACGTGAGTACCTCCTTGCTTAACCATATAAGACCACCACGAGTCCCAGTGACCTGAAAGCTGACAATCACCCAGCAAACGAATGTACACCACCCGGCTGAAGCAGTGGAATATCTGCAAGAACTATCGTGCCGAAGAAAAAGAACTGCTCGCTGCCCGGATTGCTCAGGCACATCTTGAGAATCGGTCGCTCGATACTATCACGTTCAAGGACAAGCCGGTCAAATTTCATCGTGTGTTGCGGCATTCTAGAGCTACAGCTCGAAAGAGAAGAGGTGCAGAGATCGAGCCCAGCCGGAAGAGGAGGAGAGTCTTAGAATCGGCAGAAGAGTCGTCTGATTCAAGCAGCTCAGGAGAGTCTCCCGGCCAAATGGTTCGTGTGCCAGGACCATGGGAAAATACCACACATAGGACTTCCGAGTTCGTGAGCTCCTCGAACCGCATGGCCTTGGTCACCCCGGTGTCAGGCTACAGCAGTTCAACGATTCTGACACCTTCAGGGGGCTCGTCGAGCGACAATGAGGCCGTCCAGCCCACCACTTACCCTCCAAGTCGAGACGATCGAGTCTTGAGCCCAAGTCCTCCGCTTTTCCCAGCCAAGGGCGCAATGAACGTCGAACTTATCCTCGAGCAAACCAAAATATACTACTCGGCTCAGCTGGACACCATTCGTCTGCAAACGGCCGAGATCCATGATGCCGCCGACTTATCGAGCCTGTTCTGGTCGAATGTCAAATTAGCCATATACTTTCTGAAGACGAAAACTCCGTCTCTGGCATGGCCGCTGCTCAACGAGGCATGTCGCTTCGCCGGAAGCATGCTCACAAACGCACCCATCCTGTTCCTGAACAGTGTCTTCACGGTCTTGTCGCCTGTCAACACCAGGGTCTGTCCAGTGGTCCGTAGCATCATCCTCCGGTACCTTTCCCAGTTGGCCACGATCAGGCTGACACCTAGACACCCATTGTCAATTCTCTTCCGCGAAATATCTCAGGAGGACGATTCTGGATTGGCGTCAGAAACAGCATTGAATCTCACTCTGGATATGTTGATCAACAGCCTCGGTGGGGACCATAGTGCGACCTTCACTGTTCGTCGCTCGCTGATCGCTCTCCTCCGGCGCGACAAGCGGCTCCAAGAAGCGAGACAATACAGCGAACTTCTGGTCAAGGTGGCCGAGCAAACCTTGGTCTCACAGGTCTCACAGGCCGAACTTGCCATTCCCATTCACCAAAAGAAACCGACCAGTATCAGCATGACGGATTTGTGTATGGCCATGACGGAGTTGGTGCACATACACATCGACATGAAGGAGTACTCTGTGGCGCGGGGGATTTGCTCGTCCGTGATCCAGAAGTATAACATCGTGCAGGGGGTGAATTTCCCGGACAGTCGAGCAGCTTATGCGATGGAGGATATGGCTGAGATTTGTGGGCACTTGAATGATTTTCAGGGAGCCACATACTGGCTGCGGCGGGCGTTTGATGCGAGCTGCATGTTGAGAGGCGAAGGAGACGCGGCAACGAAGCATGTCAAGGACAAATTGGATGGGATGATGGTGATGGTGATGGTGATGGAACCAGGTGTCGATGCGGTGGACATGGAGATGAGCATGGACATGTTGGACATGGAGATGGGGTATTACGTTGGATGAGACGTTCCGCTGGCAATACTGTACGTTGCGGACGGGTGCGTGTGCTGCAATGCCATGGCCTAAAGATGGATTGAGGCGCAGCGCACTTATGTTTTAGCTGCACTGGTTGATGGTGTAGCTGTACGGAGTACTGGTCAGAAAGCATATCCAGCACCTGAGGGTTAGTAACCAGTGACGGCATCACACAACGTCCCTACTATAAGGGTTGGTAGTGCAGGATTGGAGAGAACTCTTTACCGAAGAGCACGGAGTCTAGTCATCGAGGTCCGGCTATCGAGATTTCTCCATGATGCCCCCCCGATGATGCCCCCATTGGAGTAAATCCACCACTTTTGCATTGGACGTGACTTATTAGTTGACATGGCCAAACAAACACCCAAAGGCCCGCGAGAAGTGGCCTTCTCCAAAAGTGGCTTGTCGTCTGATATCACCTAGCAAGATATATTCCTCGGATGTGCACATTTCTCTCGCTCTCGCAGTCACATTTTTTTTGCCGACCAGAGCCTAACTTGGAAGTTAATCATCTATAATTTTGGGCGCGTGAGGAGCAGGCAGTCCACGGCTGTTGAGATCTGGGGATATGAGAAGATAGAATTTTGTCTGTTGTTGACCCGACCGGCTGCAGAAGACTTTGTGCGGACTCAGTTGTGCGGCCTCAGTTGTGCGGACTCATTTGTGTGGCCTCGTGGGTCGCGCGCGCACGTGTTGTGTGCCGTTTCCGTTCCAGGGGCGCAGGAGGCGTTTTTGAAAGATGTTTGAGAAGACACCGGATACTACCAAGCTAGCACGGCTAGGTGCTGAGTATGCGTACGACGAAAGGAGATGCCCAATCGGAGGTGGTGACACGACTGTGGTGCGGGATTCCGACCCAAAGAGCAAAGTGGTGCCGATTGTTCTGATCCATGCTTTGGCGTTGGATAGGAGGATGTGGGATGATGTGTTTGATCGGCTTGTTGCCGGTGGTGGCGGCGGCGGCGGCGACGGTGATGGTAATGCGAGAGATGATGTGCGGATGCGGATGCGGGTTATATCGTATGATCTCCGTGGTCATGGGGAGGCTGCGGATGCGGCTGCGGTTGCGACGAGCGGTCAGGCTGATGTTCAGGCTCCGGTAAAGGACTTGGAACACCTTGCGGATGACTTGCGTGTGCTGCTGGACGATTGCGGCGTGCAACAGGCCGACATTCACGGCCAATCGTACGGAGGCGCCGTGGCGCAGTACTTTGCGCTCAAGTATCCGGAGCGCACGCGCAGTTTGGGTCTGATCACGACGGCCGGGCAGAGTCAGGCGTCGTGGGTGAGCAGGGCGACTAGGGCGGAAGAGGCCCGGTCCGTGAAGCCGTTGATGGACGAGACTTTGGCGAGATGGTTCTCGGCCGAAGTGATCGCCAGAGACGACGAGGGTGTGCGGTATGCTAGGAGTTGCTTGGAGAGGATCGGTGTGAAGAACTGGGCCGCCGCGTGGAGGGCGATGAGTGGGCTGAATACGCTGGACAAGCTGGACAAGCTGAAGGACCTCTCGAGGGGTTTCAAGGGTCCTGTGCTCATCGTTTGTGGAACGCAGGATGCGAGTACGGGGCCGGAGCATATGAGGAGGTTGAGGGATGCCTGGGAGGCGTGCTGCTCACAAGGAACAGGAACAGGAACAGAGGTGGGAGTGGTACAGTACAAGGAGTTGGATCCGGGGGTGCATATGATGGCGCTGGAGCAGGGTGAGGCTTTGGCCAAGGAGATCCTCGAGTTTCGGAGGTTTGTGGATGGTATGGACTAGTCAGGTCTTGATAAGGAACACGACCACTCGAGGATGGCGGATGGGGAATGGATGGTGATCACGGTGATGTATTCGACCAGCTTGCTATGTCAGGCTAGTAGTATATGGGAGTAAGTCAGAAGGAGGAAATACTTTGTGTTGGATTCGACTAACTATAACTTACGAGAGGTCTGGAGTCTGGCTCGCGTTGTCAAGCACAGTAAGGTACATGAACCCCGTTCCTCTGAGGTCTTCCTTATTCCATCATCGCTTCCACATTCCAAGGGAAAGGAAAATGCCGAGTCTGAGTCCGTGTGAAGCTGATCGTTCATAGCCATGCTGGACGCCGTTGACCGAACATTGGGGTCGTGGGCGCCAGAGCATCTTGGACGGGTTGGTGCTCTTCCTCTGTTCTGGGTTGGCCAGTCGTTTTCGAAGCAGTGACCTTGCCGCCGGGTAGGTCTCCGACGTGGCCTTGTTGGTCTTGGAACGTTGAGCTCCGAGTAGGAGGTTCAATGGGGCCTAACCACCCTGACCATGCAGGCCCTGTCTGAACTTGAACAGATATTCTCGTAAGGGCTGCCGAGACGACTTTGCTACCTCTATCGTGAGAGGGTCTTGATCGCAGTGTTTGCAGGCGTTAATGCGTGGCGGGAATGTCTGGCAGGCCGTCAGGTCTCGTGCTTCGGGGAGCTCCAAACGATGTACCAGATTGATCTGCTGCGTGTCTTCCCGGTTCTCATTCCCAAATTTTGGCTCAATTCCATCGGGATAATATGTCTCCCAGAATGTCTCTTCAGTGCCCAAGTTTTGCCTGCAATCCTTGTCGTCCAAGGTCATCGCGGGCGTACCAGGGCCCGATTTCTTGGTCCATGTGTCGGACCACAGTTTTGTCCACGCCCTCTTAAGATGTCCCTCTGTGCGGCGATAACGTGCTCCCTGGCACTCATAAACCTGTCGTGGAAGGCTTTCTGGATGTGGTCAAGGAGCTCATCTTCCAGGCAGCCCCAGGCACCACCATGAAAGTCACCGTCGCCGAAGATACCACCTCGGCTGAAGAAGCCATGAAAGTGCCTGCCCATCTGATATTCGTATTCTGAGCACCACAACTTGAATCGATCGCGCCTTAAAATTGCCGCTGTTAGGCCGTTCAGGTCGTCGAGAAGATAGTCGAGCCATACGTCGAGGATGCGTCTTCGACAGCGAGAGTATCGTCATCGTTCAATCTTACTTCCTCACGCACATCCAAACCGAAAGATCTTTTCTCGATGCAAGAGCTAGTGAGTCGATTTGTGAAGTCATTCATACTTTCAGTCGACGGTGCATCGCGTGGAAGTTCGATGGCGAGGGTTTCGGCATATCTGATCCGTGAAAAGGGTTTCAATATGGTTTCCACGTCAGAGTAGGACTTGGGGTCGGAGTGGTGGAAAGAAGATGTTTTCGTGACAGGGTCCCACCTGATAAAGCTGGGAATAACCAGTACCACGGTACAGGACAGAGAATAGGGTGTTGGCTGTTGGTACAAGCATTTTGCGGATGATTGTGTTGCAGGAGGGTGAGAAACGAGATGAGAAAGTTGTTGGTGTTGATGTTGGAGTGAAGCTCAAGTCGATCGATCATGTCCGTTCCATCGTTTTCTAGAATTCCGCCCTTCATATCGACACCGACATCGACATCGACATCGTCTCTCTTTCATCAACCTGCATCTCGTCCATCACAACCTCCATCCCTCCATGCTAGATCAGTCTTTTTCTTTTCGTATTAACACCTGATCCTTGTCGTGGTGCTATTTTTCCTCGCTTACACCCCACCATCAGCTGCCATCAATCATCTCGGAAGGTCTTATCCGGTGTTTAATTTCCTCTCGCCACCAACCACAACAAGACTCCGTTCCAAGCCACAAACAATCCCCAAAAGTCCACATCCGAATCCCTCCATTTCTCTTGTCATCCCACCGTGCACAGAATCACGACACAAGTACCACTGTAGATCCAAAAAGACGCCACTTCATGTCCTTAGCCCAGCATGTCTCGGCTGTCGAAGGCGTTGACCAAGATTTTGCTGATGACATAGCAAGCTTACGACTTTCCCGACAACCGAGCTTGCAAATCAACTATGATCCCATCCCACCTGGCCTGGGATCAGGATTGAATCAAGAGGCTGTAGTCGAGAAACTCGAAAACCTCCCGGCATATGAAGTATCTACGGGGCTACGAATAGGTGGGTTCATTCGTGCACCTGCAAAAAGAACCAAGAACTGATTCCGACGACAGCTCAAATCTTTGTGGGCGTCTTATCATGTGTGCTAGCAGCCGGCATCGTCTTTGGCTTTGATGCTTTGAAGACCATTCTTGTCGAAGAAGGGGTCTATCGAGAGTATTGTACCGATGAGGAGCTGCGGAAAAACTTTCGCTTGTGCTACATGCAAGACCAGAAGTGAGCTTCATCACGGAACCATCATCTTCAGCAAGACTGACTCCTCTCCAGACTCAACCTCACTTTCATCATCGCCTCCGTCACAGCAAACATCTCCGCCCTGCTGGTCGGCGGCATTCTCGATCGCTATGGCCCCAGGGTCTGTGGCATAGCTAGCTCCGTCTTCCTCATGCTGGGAGCCATCCTAATGGCCTTTGCGAAAGAGTGTCCCTTCGACCCGTATCCGGCTGGGAGCTTCCTTCTCTCCCTCGGTGGAACCTTCACCTTCGTGCCATCCTTTCACCTGGCCAACGCCTTCCCTCGCTTCCAAGGTCTTATCCTCGCTCTCGTGACGGGTGCGTTTGACGCCTCGGCCTCGGTATTTCTCATCTTCCGACTCATCTACCAGAAGACACACCGCGCGTTCGGCCCTCGTCAGATCTTTCTGGTCTACCTCGTCGTTCCTATCTTCATCCTCATCACCCAGCTCACGATAATGCCGACCAAAAGCTATGAAACCCGCGGCGAGCTTGCCGAAGATCTCGGAAAGGCAAACGACGCCACCCAAGACGTCCACGACTCCGACGACGAACTTGACACGGCCATGGAAATCATGCGCGTGCGCTCCGAGCGTGCCATGCGCCGCCGGCAGTCCATCACTTCCATCAATGAACTCCTCGGCACACAAGCCCAGCAAGACAAGTATGAGCAGAAAGAAGACCAGATCCGCGTCAACAGTGGCGTCTGGGGCGTCTTGCACGGTGTCCCGGCGTCGAAGCAGCTCCGCACACCTTGGTTCATTCTTATTACACTCTTCACCATCTTACAAATGGCACGCTTCAATTTCTTTATCGCGACGATATACTCGCAATACGTGTACATGTTGAATTCCAAAGAAGCGGCCATCAAGGTCATTGAGTTCTTTGACCTGGCGTTGCCGATAGGCGGTCTTGTCACTGTCCCATTCATTGGCGCCTTACTGGACCATACGAGTACGGTTGCCGTCCTGAATCTGTTGGTCCTACTGAGTACAATCATCGGCGTCCTGGGTGCTGTACCAACATACTGGGCGGCCTACGCGAATGTCACTTTGTTCTGCTTGTTCAGACCGCTATATTACTCGGCCATGTCGTAAGTGTCCTGACAGCTTCACTTATCTCCTTCTTTTCTGCTCTGTCTCTGGCTAATCTTTGTTCGTGGTAGTGATTACGCGGCCAAAGTATTCGGCTACGCGACCTTCGGCACCGTCTACGGTGCAATCATCTGCCTCTCCGGCCTCTTCACATTCACCCAGTCGGGCCTGCAAGCCCTTTTGCACAATGAATTCGGCGACGACCCGGAACCCATCAACCTGGGCCTCGCCACCGCCGGCCTAGTCCTGGGCGTCGCACTGGTCATGTACGTCGATATCCAGGGCCGCGCGATGCAACGGGAGCGCGCGATCGCAGCCATGAGCGATGAACGCCGCCCGCTCTTACAGCAGCGCAGTATAAGAAGCAACCGGCCCATGACTGCGGATGCAGGCACCTTCAGCGCGGCCGGGAGTTTGAGAGTGCCCAAGATCTCCCGCAACGGTGGTGCTGACGACGGCGGCGGTATGGGATTCGGCACCAGCCCCGGCCGGGGCCAAATGCAGGAGGAGGATCTCGAAAGACAACACAGTCTCATGTCCAGGACGAGTAGGCAGGGCTTGAACAGGGCGTTGTCCACCGTCCAGGAGGCCCGCGAGCTGGAGACGGGTGAGGTGCAAGAGCGGCAGCGGCAATTGTATTCCGCCGATGGTGGTGCCTGAGTACGTAGTACTCCGTGGCAGATACCTACTTTGTGCCTGGCAGGAGTTTTGCCTTGCTTTGACTCGATGTCTTGGACGCTTGATGCCTGTTGGACGGTTTATGCCGTCGTTGCCGCTGAGCGTTTGGCGTGTATCAGTTGTCCCTACGCTGAACGATTTGGCTTTTGGCCTTTGGCTTGAGCGTCCCAGAATTCGGTGGGGTGTTTCTCTTTGACAGCGTCACGGAGCGGGCATGCCTCTTGAGCAGGGCAGTAGGCAATTACTTAGGTCTACCCATCATCTATGTATTTCGACAACGCAGGTGAAAAAGTTCCAAATCACGAGTTCGCCAGCGTTATAATCTTCATCAGTCATCTCGAGGGCTCGTATTTGCACTACCCGGCAGTCGGAAATTCTGTCGCCGTAAACTCGTACAACCGTACTGTACATGGACTCCTATAGGAAGGAGTTTAGGCTCGAGACGGGTCTCTGCCACGAAGTCCCGAGTCGTCGCGGACCATACCATACGGGGCAGCGCCGTCATGTAGCATAAGGACTCTTCTCCCTCAACTTCGCCCCGACCCTAAAAAAGACCAGCGGCGCGGGCGCGAGCACGACGGCGATACACCCAAGCAAGGTACACACCCAGTGCACGCCGATACCTTCATACATGGGCCTCGCGGCCATGACCATGCCACCGGCAACGAGATACCGGGCCATGGTTATACTCGCCAGCGCCACGGCCGCATGCTCTCCGTAACTGTCGATGATATACTCATAGCAACTGACATACATGGCCGTGGCGACGACGCCAAAGACAAAACACGCTCCGAGCCCGGACCAGATCGAGATGGACGGGTAATTCGTCCAGCCCAGCCAGAACAGGCTCACGGGGAGCAGAGGCGCAGTGATGATGGCGGGCCACAAGCGAAACTCGGGCGCGACGTGGGCGCCAGAGACATGGCCCGTCGCGCGGCGTGCCCAACTGTAGAGCACGGGGGCGCTGAGTGTAAACCCCGTGCTCCCCGCGGCAATCGAGGCGAAGCACGAGCCCGTCATGCCCGTTGACAGACCGTACGTCTTTTTGAAGATGTAGTCGAACCCGGACAGGAAGGAGAACAATATGACATACAGGAGGATCAGGTAGCCTCCCAAGACGGCCACGACGGGTTCCGAGCTGAAGAACGTCACAGGCATGGGGAGGACTTGTCTGAGCCTGCCGAAAAACGAAGCGGTCTGCGCGTGTTTCGAGACGTACCGTTGGTCGCCGGTGACGGCGCGGAGGTGCCGTGCTTTCCAGTCGACCAGGATGGGAAGGTATGTCTCTGGTAGGAAGACGAGCGCGACGAGAAAGGCGAACGCCGAGATTATCAGTGTGATGTATGCGCACCATCGCCAGCCGAGGGAAGGCGAGGACACAATCCAGCCGCCGGCTATGGGGGCTATGGCAGGAGCTGTAACATTGGACATCAGTTGTGTCCGGCCATTGACAAAAGGAACTGACAAACGCGAGCAAGGGGGAAAAAGGCGGGGGACCATGCTGAGTCGGAAATGCAAGAGGATCTGAGGCCAAAAGGCCCGCGGTTGTCGAACATGGGCGCAGTTGGAAAAGAAGTGAACATACCGGCAACATTGGCCCACGCGATGACCGGAAACACAAACGCTCGTTTGACCGGCCGGAACTGGTCGCCGACACTGGCGCCGTTGATGCCCAGCGTCGCGCTTGCGAACAAGCCGACGAAAAACCGACAGCAGAGTTGTCCGGCGAAAGTCTTGGTCAGTGCCGAGCCCAGGACGAAGAACAGGTAAATAAACGTCGAGACCAGATACGTCGGATTGCGGCCCAGAGTCTCCGAGAGCGGTCCGACAAAAAGACAGCCGCACCCAATGCCGAACAGGTACAAAGCCTGCGAGAGGTTCTCGGCGACCTTGCTGACATGCAGGGCCTGTGAGATGGCCGTGTTGGCCTGGGAGTCTGCGGCACTGGCCCAGCCTTGAGTGAAAATCAGCAGCGAGAGGACGGCAATGTTGGCGCTTCGAGATCGGAGTGACCAGTTATGCGGATCCAGAATGTCGTCGTGCCCTTCCTTGCCAACCACGATGTTGCCGGAAGCATCGTGGTGTTGGTAGTTCGGTTCGCTTGTGTGCCGTCGAAGCGAGGCGTCGTATTTCTTCTCGTCGTCGTGCGCCTGGGATGGGCGACGGGGCGCAGTGAGCTTCTGCGGCGATTGGGAAGCCTTTTCCAAATCTGGTTCTGGTTCTGGTTCTCGTGCGCTGTCTGATGGAGTTGTCGGCGGCGGTGTGGACGATGCAGAAGCGACACCAGAGATAGGCCTTTGCAGTTCAGACTCGCCTCTGGCCTCCTCGTCCTCACTACTAGTGCGACGCTTCTGACGCTCCCATTCTTGTTCGACGTCTTTGCGAATCTGCCTGTACTGCACCAATGACCACATGGCCGAGGTAGAAATTCCTCACGTAACTTCAGACTTCCCTCCTGCACCCTGTGGTTTTACCATATCCCTCCTAAGCACCTCCTCCGTCGAGAGTCTCAAGTTTTGCTGAGACGGCAGAGGAGCTGAGGGGCTGTAGACCTAAATTGACGCAATATTTGGAGTTGGGTGATAGGAAGCAAGAGTGGGAGCATGACACATTGGAGAGAGATGACCACGAGGAACAAGTAACATTCAGTCGTCAATGCTGACTTTGTGCGCGATAGCAATAGGCCATTGAGGAGGGAGATAGGCCGCTAATGATGCAATTTTCAACGATATTTGTAGCTGATGGGCACGGATGTGGAGAGACGGGAGTCCTAGGTTAGTCCAAGCGGGCGCCATGTTCCAAAGGCACGCCAGCTTGATGGCTGAAGCACCCCGGCAGACACTGATGGATGTCAGATTGGATGGATCCGAGGCGAAGATCCTCCATTTGAGGCAGAAAAGGATTGCTTGCGTGTGCTCTGGTCTTGATTGTGTCGTGTGACAATTTGCCCGTCTTGGAAGCCCGACATGACAGACCAGAAGCCAGGCGAGCGAGCGAATGGAGGAAGAAGGAAAATTGTAAGCGAGGGTTTCTAGTCTTGTGCCCATCAAGTGACATTACATCACGGTATGGACGAAGGCGAGACGAGGCGAGGAGAGGCGAGGAAATAGGAGAAAATCAATTGGGCGGCCATCCCCGAAACGAAGTTCGCATACGGAGGACTAAGTACCTAGGTGACTAGAGTGACTAGAGTGACTACTCCGTACAGCAATTGGACAATTTGGCCCGGAAGACGCTGGAATGGAAATCCTTGTATCAGCAAAGGGATTTGCAAAGAACAAGACAATGTCCGAGAAACTCCTTCTTGCCGATTATCTTATAATTCTATGTACTGTTGTACGCAAGAACCCACGCTCCCGACAGCCAGTGAAAACATGCTTCCATTGGGATTCACTCGTTGAGAAGTACAAACGCGTCCTTGTCCATGTCCCCTTTAATCATCTAGCAAGTTTGGCTCGCCGTTGACCTGCTTCCCACCGCCCTCATTGTCCCTCGTATCCTTGTTGCCTGGTCTCTCTTTACCATGACTCTTTCTGGCGTAAAACTCGTCCAGGATCTTGGGGTTGATACGGTTGAGTAGTTCCTTGGGGAAGATTCGAAGCAAGTTCCATCCAAGTTCCAGACTGTCAAAGATCGACCGCTTGTCGTATGGGCTCTGTGCGATGAATTGTTTCTCAAACTTGTCCAAAAATTCGAGCGACAATTTATCTTCGGAACTCAGAGCTTCCTCACCCACGACAGCCTTCATAGCAGCAGCGTCACGACCAATGGCGTATTTGGCATACAGTTGATTGGACACATCACCATGGTCTTTCCTGGTCAGGCCCTCACCAATGGCAGATTTCATCAGACGAGATAGCGAAGGCAAGACGTTGATGGGTGGATAGATACCCTTGTTGTAGAGTCCTCGGTCCACGAAAATCTGTCCTTCCGTGATGTAGCCGGTCAAGTCGGGAATGGGATGAGTGATATCGTCGTTCGGCATCGTCAGGATAGGAATTTGGGTAATCGATCCATTTCGCCCTTCCACACGGCCCGCTCGCTCATAGATGGTAGACAGGTCAGTGTACATCTGCGATTGGTTAGAAAGTTGTACCAGTAAAAAGACTCCTGCTTGAATACTTACATAACCAGGGTAACCACGCCTTCCAGGCACTTCTTCTCGGGCGGCCGACACTTCTCGGAGTGCGTCGCAGTATGCTGAGAGATCTGTAAGAATGACCAGGACGTGTTTCTCGAGCTGATATGCGTAGTATTCGGCGGTTGTCAGGGCTAGTCGTGGTGTGATAATCCGTTCGATGGTGGGATCGCTGGCCAAGTTCAAGAACAGTGTAACTCTTTCCATTGAGCCGTTCTCTTCGAAGTCTCGGGTGAAGAATCGAGCTGTTTCCATGTTGACACCCATCGCAGCAAAAACAATGCTGAAGTTCTCTTCGTGCCCATCGTGGACGCCCTTGTTGGGCTGGTGCACTAAACCAGCTTGCCGACAAATCTGCGCGGCGATCTCATTGTGAGGCAGACCGGCTGCAGAGAAGATGGGAATCTTTTGACCTCGAGCGACCGAGTTCATGGTGTCGATGGCAGAGATACCTGTTGAGATCATTTCTTCGGGGTAAACCTTTATCCATGTCAGTGTCCTGCGTGGAATCCAGCAGATGTCCAACGTACCCGCGAATATGGATTGATGGGACTGCCATTGATATCGAGATAATCCTCTGCCAGCACTTTAGGACCTTTGTCTATAGCTCTTCCGGATCCATCAAAGATTCGACCAAGCATGTCCTCTGAGACGCCAATCTTCAAGCTGTGACCTGTGAATTCGACTTTCGTCTGCGGCGAGTGAGCAGAATGCGTAGTGGGTAGCGAGGGTGGTTGCCTACCTTCTTTACATCGATACCAGTCGTACCCTCAAACACCTGCACGACTGCTCTGTTGCCTGAAGCACCAAATGTCAATCTTCCACATCTCTTGCGGCGCCCGCACAGTTGTAGAACACACCTCTTGCCTCCAGGACTTGACCGGACCTCGACGAGCCATCGGGTAGAGTCAGACTGACAATCTCGTTATATCTAGGGAATTTGACCTGCGAGGATGCTGGTCAGCCATCTAGTCCACGCAGCTGCGTCATGGTGGAAGACGTACATTGTCGAGGATGACCAGAGGGCCATTGACACCACCAATTGTGTTGTAGGTCAATCGAGGCCTGACACTGCCCATGCGGTGATCTATCTCGGCCATGATAGCGGCCTGGGGAGGGTGGATGAGGATGGAGAGGCAAAGGAATCCCGTGCTCAGAGCGGAAAGCTGTTCAGCAGGATGAAAAGAAATGCACGAATCAGCTAGCCTCGATGATGCAGGCAGGTAAAGCTGGTGAGGATCTCGACGCTTGGAACAGCGCCAAAGATGAAAGACGGTAGAAGGAATTCAGCGAACAAGTAAGAGCTGCAGCTCTGCCAGGCGATGAACTGTTGAAGCTGCCAATGACGCTGACCGCAGCCAAGAGGAGCACGGAAGAGATCCATTGGTTACCAGCTCCCCCTTCTTTGGGATGGTTGGTGACGCCGCCCTATTATACTGCCACGCCGCTCTAAGCCCTAGAGAATGGTGAGGGAAATCATCAAACATTGAAACAAACAATGTGTTCCTCTGATGGCGATGAGAACACCTCGACCTTCAGCGCGGCCGACACTGCATACGCTGGTCGTGATAATGTGTACCCTCTGGGCTGCTGTCGGCCACGAGCTGTCCCTTATGCTTCGATTGAGAAACAACAAGATATTTCTTCGTTGAGAACGTGAATCCATGCTAGCGTCAAGATCTCGTCCTACCACTTGCTCAACGTGCGCGTTTAAACCCTCCTTCTCTACACGTGTTAATCATTCCTTGCAATCTCTGTCTATATGCCTAACGAAATATGGGATGACGGTACTTCACAATGGTCAGTATCATCTTGGGCAAACCAGTACAAAGAGAGTGCACCAACAACTCATGTGCCAAGTCAGGTGTGACGTTGGCTCCTGCCGAGTCTATGGACGTACTTGTTGCGCCTTCGACAGTATGTCTCTCCTACACCTTGAGATCTCTTACGGTAGTGTCAGCCTGCCCTCAGATCGACCAGCACTCAGGCCTGTGCCGGTTCTCTTTGATTTCTGTCCTTCCTGCAAGGAGAGAACCATACCCATTGCTTCCTGTCTGCGCTTGGGGAATCCGAATGTCCTCTGGCCGCGAGCGAGACATTGCTTCTGCTACTGCGGGAGAAGGAACCGATCGGGTTCGGGCGTGGGATTTGCGACGGGCTTCTCGTGTCTGGAAGCGCTAAAGCCTAGGGAAGTAGCTCATTGATTTCGGCAGACCGTGACCCGCCCTTGCAGTCTGGAACCAGGTGGCATTCTCGTCCTCGACGGAACCGAAGGACTCCTCGTCCGTATTGGCGATGTCGCTGGAACGTTTATTCCGTATGAGGTAGAGGACCTGTGCACGAGAGTGCAGTCAGCGGTGCAGCGCCGACGATTTGATCTGGCTCAATAGTTGGGCCGGAAAATGGGCCAAGAAGGGTCGGTAGAGACACTGCCGAAGGTGCTGCGGTCTCGATGAATAGGCCAGACGGTTGGATCTGATCTCGTCTGACCGAACCTGCCATCGCATTCGCGGGCTGGTATGCTTTGATATTCCACTGAGTTGACAGGACATGAGGACCTCAGCCACAGTGGATTTTGTGTGAGGGAGGATTGCTAGCCATCTGGATTCATCTGTGAGCATCACCGAGCAGAAATGGTGGATCGATTCTAACTCATTGATATGAGGCGGACGCTTTCTCCAAGTAATGCACCAGTGAGATGGAAATTCTGCCTGTCTTTCACCCGATTTGCAGGTGCCGAACCAATCCCTCTGAAGGCTCCGAGACTTGGAGCTGCCGATACGCCTTTGCAGGCGCCTTGTATGGCGTTGCCGCGTGGAAATTCTTCCTCATCACCATTGCTTCTCCCGTGGAGAGACACGAGATAGTAGGGAAACAATGGGCGAAAGGCATAGTGGATGCTATCTGCCTGCCTCTGACGTATAAGTTGTTTCGCTTGAGCGGTTCATCTTCGAAGCAAGCTCCCCAGCCTGGATGCTTCAGGTCCGCCAAGAGATGATTGGCTTCTTTGTCATGCGCAGTCACGACATGTGTGTGTCGCGATGGAGGGTCCACGTACTAGATACGATGCTGGATTGCCTTCCATTCTGCCAGCAGGGGTAGAAGTGCAGTCTTGACCCAGTACTTTTTCACTTTGTCCATGGCAGATTTTGCACCGGTAGTTCTCGTGTTCTGGTCATGCCTTGGAGGTATGATAAGGCTGAGATCTTGAATGACAGTGCGAAGAATTGGATTCTGCCGCGGCATCAATCGCTTCTCGTCCAGCGACGGTACTGGTATTGGTATTTTCCTTACCAAGGCCTCCTCGAAAAGACCATGATTGGAGGAAGTCGATGAATCCACCCACTTTCGTGGTCCTCGACGATTTGTGAGGATGGCTGGGGAGCCCTCAGACACCTGGAAAATGCACGCTTTACCTACCTTGGATTGTCAAGAAATTCGACGGTCTAGGTTAAGCGTGAAGCATTTCAGCTCCCTGCACCTCTTCACCGCCAGACTTCGCGGCAGGGTTGATATCGGGTCACCAGCGCCACCTTCTGGTGACTAGCGAATCGTGATGCATGTCTCTGGCGGAATACGAGGTGTACGAAGCACATTCTCCGTTCTTGGAGAGTCTCCGCCGCGAGCTTCGTCCCGTGGCACACCTCCAAGAGCCCGAACAACCCTTGGATCGACCACGGACATTCCAACCTCTATGCACTGTTGACATCAGCATCAGCATCAAACATTGGTCATATTTTTCGACGCCTTGACCTGTCACTTTCTCTCTGGTGCACGACCTATCATGTACCTCCGCTCACACGCTCAATGCAAGAGGAGGAGGAGGTGGCGGCCAATATTACTGATATCGAATCTCGGACCATGCGCAAGGCATTCAATCGGAAGGTACGCAAGCTGCCTTCTGGCTGCCTTGCATCTAGCATTCCCCGTCAGTGTCTCCAATCGTTGGGCTTGACTTTCGAGGCGCCTGGCTGTCCCCGCTGGCAGCTGCCCAACCGACCTGTCTTTTCTCCCTCACTGTGTGTGCTATATGAACAGGATCAGCCTTCCCTCGCTTCCCAATCCTCCATCATCCCTTCGCACCACATTTACTCCTTCATGAATAAGACCATGTCAAAGACTGAGACCATGCCAAAGACTCAGAACATGTCAAAGACTCAGAACTTGCCAAAGACTCAGAACACGCCAAACTCACCTGTTTCAGACTCGGAGGGCGAAGAATACATCAACCTCTGTCCTCATGACGAAAATCCTGCCGTTGGTGCTGGGAGCCTTGTCACTGATGTCATGTACCTCTCTGGGTGTACGGGCCATGACAAGCCTACTGATGGGACCGTCATCGCCAGTTTGATGGTCCCAGGCCCACTCGCCTCCGGCCCTCGCAAATGCAAGCTGGGAGGAGACTACTTCGGAGTGGACTCGGAATATCTCTTCGTCTACTACAATGAGACACCTCATCTCTGCTTCGGCTCGGAGCGTGCCGAGACAGCTTTTCTGGCCAGTGCACATGAACGCGGCGTGATCCTCACGCCGGCCAGTGCGTACCCTTTGTCCATGGCACTGTCCTTTTGTCCGGCGCCGACCTTCCGCTCATCTCTTCCCGCCGGGGATTTCAAGTGCCTGATGGAGTATGTCAAAAAGGCCCACTCGAATGAAGTGTCCGGCCAACTGAACGTTCGAGGCGATCCATCATCTGCATGGGCTGAAATTATGGCGCTCCACCTCCACAAGCGTATCATGGACCCAGAACTATCACAAGTCTCAGTCATGATCGATGAATTGGGGAAACCCTCAAAGGCCGGCATCACCCATGTTTCTGGGCAGATCACTGATGCTTTCGCGAAGAAAGGCACCACTTATGTTACGGTTTCATTCGGTGTTTGTGCGCGTTTGCACCAGGAGCGGTTTGCAGTTGATTTTGAGATTGCGGACCTCAATCTTTGGGGTGTCTACTTCTACAAAGATGATGATGTGATGGATGTTGGGAAGATTCTCAATGTCCCCGAGGCAAAGACAGCCAAATTTGAGCTGCAGGAGTTCTTGCGAGCGCAGCCCTGGGGATTGACTGACTAGGAATACGTACATCCAGCATCAGACAGTATTGCAGCTGACCATGACTACATGGTGTAGGAAATGTCACTCATTTGATTTGGCCATTGCCTACCCTGCTCCAATCCAAGGCCATGCACTCTGACCAGGTTACGTCTTAGTGTTTGAACCTATTTGTGAGGCTGAAAAGCTGCTTCATCTGATGGTGGTTCTTTAGCCGTTCCAAGCCTAGTAGATCCTGGATTACGACCTCCTGAGTCCTGGCCGTGGAGTATCCCTGCATCGAGAGTGAGGTTTCTGAAACGCCACCTAGTATAGCTTACACCAACCATATGTCTTCCCTTCTCCCCGTCCCCGGGTGCCACACCTACATTTCAAGAAGTGGTTTACCTGGATGGTGATGTCAGGGTGCGTGCATGGCTTCTCCCAGGGAGGCCAGAGACGAGTCCCTTAAGTAGGCGCTCTTGCCCTCGGCAGGAAATCTTTTGGCGCACAAGCAGCCGGCCTTCCTGGAACCAACTATTTGAAGCAGACTTCAGATATTCTTGGAGTCGACTTACACTATCTGGATTTCCACCGTATGAGACACATTCTTTGCGTGCCGTGAACAATGGCTCGTGATAATCCAAAACGGAAAAGGAGGATGATAATTGCATGCCAACCTTGTCGACGAAGGAAGGTAAAGGTACATCTTTCTCTTACTGCATCGTCAAAGCCGAAAATACTAACAACTTGTGGTAGTGCAGTGGAGGAGATCCATGCATACGATGTATCCACAAGAACACCAGGCTTGAGTGTTCTTATCTTGAGGTCTCACCTACACTTCCTCTTCCAAATGTGCCGCTTCCCGAGCATTTCTCACTAGCACACGACCTCATAGCGGTAAGTCCAACGCTGTCTCGATATAATAATTGACCTCCCTAACGAGTCCTGCAGTTCAAGTCCCAACAAATCGGACAACAACGAACGAGATTTGATTCTCTTGCGCTGCTCACCTCCAGGTTCAAACCTGATCAGTCCTCGGACTTCAGCCTCGAACCTGATCAGACCTCAGACTTCAACCTCGAATACTCGATAGCTAAGATACCCTTCCGTTCATATCTTCGACAACGTACAGAGCGTGACAACCCTTTGAGCGAACTTTACCCAAGATATCTATCCACTCGACAACTCCTGGATGCCGGTCATGTCAAAGCCGCTTGGATCAAGCTTCCTAGTGTCATTCGTTCTGCAGAAGCCTTGAAAGAAAGTAGGTGCCAGTCCTCCTGAGTGACTTCTCTACTCAGCTAACGACCGAAGCATACGGAGACCATGAATTCTTTCGCCGTATCTGGTGGATGCTTCTGGACCTCGATGCGCAATTGAGCTTCCTTCTTGGTCGTCGTCCTCATTCACCCCCACAATCGAAGGTACCTTACCCAGGAAACCACCGCTTGAATGGCAAAGAGTTCCGCCTTCACAACATTATCATAGAGATATCTCTATGTTCGATGGAAATCTGTCACACCACGTGTCAGCCTCAAGACGACTCTGTACTCGAGTCATACCTATTGCGATTACAAACATGTCACAGCAAACTCTGCCAACTCCGGACGGAAGATCTTGATTTGTTGCAAACCATTCTGGAACATGAATTTGAAGTTCTGCTTTTGTCGATGGCCCTCCGCTGTCGCATCGCGGTAGCGAAACAGACTCGACCACCACTGTATTATGGCCATGATCCCCGCCCGACCGAAGATGAATGCAACGTAATCGTTGGATTGGCACACCATATTGTAAAAATGTACACCATTCACAAGGCCGTTGCTCCAACCTTCCCTCGCCTTTTTGGTGCATATTCTGCATGTTCATTCCTCCTCTCAGGAGGTGGCAACAAAGCAGAAATCAGGAACATACACAAAAGGCTCCAGGACACCTTGACAGCGTCACATGATTCCCCAACTTTGAACGTGGCGGCAACTCCATCGATGGCGAGGCTAGAATCTCGTCGAGGCTCTTGCGCTTCTTCTGGCCAGAGGGATGAGAGATCTCACAGCAATATTAGCGAGAATGCTTCCAACGTCTCGAATCAACCTGCTTCATGCCCAGATTCAACAGGACAACTGAACTGGGTCGAGAGCACTACGTCTGAACAAGTTAACAGACCCGACTATGCACCCAGAGAGTGTGTTCCTGCTCCAATGTTACCAATGTTACCTAACGGATTGCAAGCTCTCCCCAGCTTTGATCAACCTCGTATTGGGTACGCCTGGCCAACCAATGTTTACCCTGCGAGTGTCCAGATCGCATATCCGGAAGCTGAACAGCATTGGACGTCTGTACAGCAGTTCCAGAATCGGGACATAGTCGCACAAAGTGCCAGTCAGCAGTATGCACGTGGCTTCATGTATGAGCCGGGCCCTGGACCTCAAGGATACGTGCATGCTACCCCGGCCTGGGGGTTTCCGCAGTGGCCATACTCATGTTGACGACATGGAGAATTAGGCGTTGACAAACTCACTTGCAGTTGGTATCTCTACTTGGGGCTATGTACAAGTAATTTCGGGATGTTGTTCAATTCTCACACCGTCAAACAAAGGACAGACTTCGGTCATACTATCGATAGATGTACCCAGAAACATTCATCAGAAACCCGAGGACGACTATGGCGAAGAGCGTGGTGAGAAGAGTGTTGCCCAGATGGTTCGGCTGGGATTTGAAGTCAGCACCTGCATCATCTAGTATTTCAGCTAAGGATGTAACAACCGAGCCTGTGAAGAGAGAGACCAATCTTCGGATCTAGGATCGTCAGTGTTCGGAAGGCATGTGTCTGAGATTGCATGCAGCCACGTTTTGTTGTCAAGAGAACATTGGAGAGACTCGACAGGGGTGGATCAACAGTCTGCCAATGGACGAGGTTGGTGGTTGACACTGACGTCCTGGTGGCTTGTTTGACTACATGAGACCACGATGCACTGCATCAATTGCATCAAGATCGAGTACCGTGTCCGGACATTCTCTGGTTGAAAGATTCAGCTCACCTTTCAGCCTGATCAAAGAAATTTGATCTTCTGGCCAGGCTGTTGGCACCCAAGGGAGAGTCGATGTTCACTTTGCACCGTTTTTGACCTGTAGTAACTCGACTGTTCCGTCATTCTGTTTCGTCCGTCTTCTTCTGTTCTCTTTCACTCCACCTCTGAGCAGTATTTTTGCGCCTTCCAAGGCAGGCTCCTGGTCGACTTCTGAAACCGTGCAGCCTTACGGGCACGCTTGACAGTGGCTACCGGATCAATCGTCTTTGATTCAACGGAAATGCAGGTCATTGACGCACATTCAACTTCTGGAGAAGAGGATATTGACGGACATTCAACTTCTGGCGAACAGGAAAGTCTTACCGGTACCACTGGCGAACTCACATTGAAGCAGAGCCTGCTCATATTGTGCTCTTTGACAGCCGTGTCCAGTGTCCACTACAAAATCGGCGACCCGAGATCGCTGGAGGACTTCCTCGAAAGGGAAGAAGATGCATGGCTTCCCAAGGTGGGAACGGAGGACTACAAGGGGCTCCAGGATGAACGAACAGAACAGATGATCAGCTGGAACGGCTGTGCCTCAGCCTTTGACTTGGCCTTCCCAGATGGGCCCTTCGACATCGAGGAGCTGCGCAGCCAATTGAGGCACAACCTTGAGGAAATGAGCCAATTGAGGCACAACCTTGAGGAAATGAGCCAACTTCAGGTTGCCGATGACTGCCCTCCACCAGTGACAGCGACAACGCTGGACCAAAGCACTTCGCGTCCTTTCCACTGGAAAATGAGCCTCTGGCTTGTCCTGTTCAGTTGTGCAGTCATTCCGTCTGGGCAGCTCTCCTCGACTTTCTGGGACACGGAGAGGCTCGATTTGCAACAACTGGCCAAGTTTCTGAGTACGTCGCCACTGTTCCGAGACCCTCTCACCGCCACGAAGCTTGAGGACTGGATTGGGAAGCTGAAGTTCTTGTTCTGTGGTGCTCTTTAAGGAGAGTCTAGGTAAGATTTGCCTTTCCAGTATTCTCTGGCTCTTGCCTGATAATGCGTCGCTTTCTAGGCTTTCTCCTCTGCGTATGCCAATCTATGTAGGGGCCCTATGTCTGGTGGGTGAAGCCGACGACTGGCACATTTTCGGAAGATGGCATGCCGTGGCAAGCCCTAGGCTGTGCGAGGTGATAGCGGATGTATCGTCTTCGTAGCTGTTCACAGACCTCATCTTGAGGTATCAGAAGCCAGTATCCCATGAGGAATCTGCGCGCGGGGAGATGAAACTTGTCAAGGACAAACAATAGTCCTAGGCTTGTGCAGGACGGTACCGAAGATCGCACAGTTGTACAAGCAACGAACAAGCCGTGAAATTCGTGTCATACCAATACCTCTGTCAGATTAAAAGGCCTGCTTCATAGGACTTCAACTGATACTGGGCTTTTCTAGATTTAACGCTGACATATTGTACGCCGGCAGTCTGAAAGATGCGCTTTTCGATACTCTTTCAGTGAGATTTGTTGATGCTCCGAGTGCCAAGACTATCACCTATAAGATCTTAACTAATAGACCCGAGAGTGCCAAAACTTATAGGCGAGATAGGTAGTCAGATAGCCTAACTTTTAAGCGCTTTATGGGCGGTATACTTGGCACCACCAATGAGGCACCATCTTCCTCGGCAACTACCCAAGATACTGGCGGACGCCTGTTGCAAAGGTGCTCAGAGCAAGAAGGAGCGGTATGTGAGGGCTCATTTGAACTAACCATAGGACGCCCAGGACTACCTACTGAGGATTGCATTTTCAGGATCCGTGAGTTTCGCAGGCTGAAATACGGTATGGTTCCAGACTCTTTCGCTGGGCTTTGATCGTAAATGAATGATCGCATCCTGAGGTTCTCGACCACGTCGCTCATATGATGACGTGGAAGAAGAATCATTGAGGAAGTTGCTTTGCCAATGGTCGTGCTTCTGGGAGTCCGGTGCAGCATCTTCCGAGGGCAAGAATGTTCCAGCTCGTCCTTTTCGAAGTCTTCCATTGCTAGCATGATGTTTTTCTCTTGGACATCTAACTCACCCAGATGAGCATGATGCCGGGGCGAGGGCCATACCAGTATGAATGACGCCGGCTTTTAGAACGTAGGAAGTCAAGAGCAAGAAAGATGTGAGTCAAGGTGAGTTTGGGAAGATCTTCGGCGAACTTCCGCCGGGTCTCGCCCTTAAGTCCTGCCAGGCTCATCCCAAGAGGTTTGTGAATAATGCACGGATGATGGCCTGTGGGTGTCTCAATGTCGAAGAATTCGAAGGCAGTCCGTACCAGCGTCGAGCCAACATACTCGGTCGTGTAGGAGTTGAAATGGCGATATATCTCAAGTTCCTTTTGGGAATCCCGCTCGTACACTTTCATGGCCACGCACCGGTAGCCGCTGCGCCATAAGCGGTGAAAAAAAAAAAATCAAAAAAGAAAATGAATCGATGTCCACAGGATTCTTTGATGAATGTTAGTTATTGTTGACTGAATAGATGAAATATACTAACCGAACCTGTGCCTCCGAAGAGAACACCTCAACTGAACGTGGAGTAGCAGGGTGTCGCCTTAACCGCTCGGCCAGGACATCATCTCGGGTATTGTCGGATGTTTGGTATCAGCCCGAACAGATTCTTTGTTGAGGAGGTTTGAGTAATTTTAACTTATCTCAATTTTTATTTTTGTTCACGTGATTTGACGCCATTATGGGGTTTATCACGTGAATCACGTACCTAGCGAGGCTGACGAGACTAGCGAAGCATCACCCGCAAACATGCTCTTGCGCTCCACCATCCGCCTTCAAAGGGTGTCAAGCGTACAATGTTTGCTAAGCAGCATTCCTATGCGGTTACAAAGTCCATGGAAAAGGGTAGAAAGAACCAATTCGCTTTACATCCACTGTCTCCTATTAGGTTTCTTCGTCCTTCTTCGTCATTACTCTCCTTCTCCTCCTCATCTCCTAAGATATCTCTTTCCCGGTCTCTCGCTGTCTCTAACTAACTCCCTTCGTCTTATCCATTCAAGAAGAGAACTATGTCGCATGGCAAAGTGCTCCTTAGCCAGCTGCCAAGGCAGATCACACCTCTCAGCGACGAAGAGATCGACATCATTGTGAAGCATCTTGAAGCCTCATCTCGAATGAATTCTAGGAAACTTTCTTATCGGTCTAAAGATCTCAATATAGGAAAGAAGATTGAGCTTCCGGCTCCGGTTCAGAGGATAGCAGATATCCGGCTTGGGGACCCAGATTTCCACGCGGCTTGCGAGCACTTCGACCCCGATCTTTAAAAGGCCGCGTTCCAATTCATCAAATCTGACAGTCGTATTGAGGTCGGCCTCACGAGGACTCAAGCATAGATCGAGATTGAGGGTATCGGACGCAAATTCTACCATTTTCAGTTGTACGGAGCCTTTCATCTACTGTGCCATGAACGTGGACCACGCCGTGGGATGATGCTAGCGGATATGATGGGACTTGGCAAGGTATGTCTCCTCGGCCTATTCCCCTATTATAACTCTCTGAACATGGCTTCGTCGGCTAACCCTGGTCCTAGACAACCACCGCCTGTCTCTACATGTTGTTTAACTATTTCGTTTCTCGAAAATCGCCACCATATTGAACAACACCCTGAGATGCATTGCCGCCAGAGCTCTAGTGACTACGTGCAACCGCAAGACGCATTGTGTCCGTCGCATTCCAAGTCGCCTATCGCATACTACTACCAGGAACATTCGGTCACAAGAAGAATGCGGCTCGAACCTCTTCCCGGTGCCAGTCTCGTCCTGGTTCCAGCAAGCCTTTTGGGCAATTGGCACTCCGAGTGGAAAGAGCTCAAGGTGTCCACAACCACGAGTGTGCGACTGCGTATCCAACACCATGATTTCGAAGACCTGATGCTGACGGAAGAGGAAATGTCGAGTCTCCTTGTCCCAGCGCAAGAGAATCTCGATCATCCAGAAAGATCAAGACCAATTCCATCTACAATCTCGGCGGAGGCGTTGATCGTGGTGACGTCAGTCCAGTCATACAAGACCCGGTTGCAGATATGGTACGACAGGCGGAGCAAGACCGGAAAGTCATACTCGGGCGATCCGCACTGGGGCCGCATCCTCCGAGACGAGTCTCATGTCACTCCGAACTATGCAGCGCAGTTTTATCAGATCGTCAAGTCACATATGTCAGGTCGCCGGGAGCCACCAAGCGTTGTTATCATCACAGCCACGCCGGCGCTTCGCAATGGCGTCTGTGACATGCTAGGGAGCGTCAAGACCATCAACCTGGTCAGTCCAGAAATTTCCCGGCATCCCGAGTGCAGACATTTCGCCGATCCTACTCTGCTCGACAGTCTCGGCGAGCGATATCGTCAACTACGTGAATCAGAGAAGCAATCGGGTGCGTACCTAGACGAGGACAAAGAAGAGGTCATTGGTACGGTGCGCGCTCTTTGGGCCGCCTACTGCTTACGGCGCCGGGTCGAGACACGACAAAACGGCAAGCTACTGACCGATATCCCTCCACTGGAGTGCTACGACGTACAATGTCCCACCCGCCGGGTCAGCGCTTCTCACTAGACGACGTTCAGCCATTCCTCAAGTCAGACATCAAACCAGAGGACATCCAATTGCATCCTCATGGCACGCCCACCATGAGCCTGCAGCAGCTCCTTGACAATGCCTATCAATCCAACGTGCTGGCTACGGTTCCAGGCCTAGTCCTCCTCAAATGTTGGCGAGATTTGACGTTTGACAGCATCGTGCAAAAGGGATGGCATCTCGAACCAGAGAAGTCACCTGTCTACCACCTGATGCCGGAGATAGTGGCCACCAACGGCAAGCTACAGGTGTTGAAGGATATACTTCGCCGCTTTGGAAGTGAGACAGACCGCTGTCGCGTCTATCGCCTCATCGCCCCAGAGTCGGTCTTGGAGCAAAGTATTATCGACGACCAGAAACTGCAGCTGGAGCACGCGTGGATGTCGGAGTACGATTTGGACGGCGCCACTGCAAAGAACGGGTTAGAGTCCCGCGAACGTCAGCAAGATCTAAGTAGACGGCTTGAGATGTTCGTGTTTGGTGATGCGGAGGAAGAGGCCTTGGGAACATGAAACGATGTACAAGTCTGAGAAGCTTTCACCATGTTTCTTCATTATGTGAGGTATGCTATTAGTAGAAGGTCAATTGCTATTCTCTGTGACAGAACTCTCTCCCCGAATTGTTCCTGGCCTTCCGTGGAATCACAATTTCTGCTTCTTTGCCGCCGGGCCTCCCTTTGCATCGTCGCCAGATTGCTTTCGCTTGGTCCCGGTCTCCCCATGCTGTCCTTTATCAGTGCTGACAAAGAATTCTCGGATGTCTCCGTCACCTCTTTGCAGACCTCGCTTATTTTTGAGAGAGTGCTTGCGGTTCGTTACCCCTGTTGCTTGTTTTGGTAGTGTCGGTCCTTTCACCGTTGAGCCATCGTCTTTGTTTTTTGATTCGGCAATGACTGGGATCGGCGCCGTGTCTTTCACGGTATTGTGAGGAATATTGACGAGTTCGGTGGCTATGGCCTTTTGACACCTTGCCTCACGAACCTTCTGAGAGGCCTTGTCTCCAGCCTTCGAGGCTTTTGATGCTTTCGAGACTTTCGAGGCCTTTGGTGCCTTTGGTGGTTTTGGTGGTTTTGGTGCCTTGGCTGCCTTCGGTGCTTTTGGCTCGCTTTCCACCCCTTTCTTCGGCTTCTTCGGGGCACTTCGCTTGCGAGACTGCTTGGTGAGTGGATTTCGCTGGCTCGATGAGACTGAGATCTCCTGGGGTGCGGTATAGATTGTCTTGCTGTTTTGAGGGGTCACAGTCTTGGGCTTGAGCCAAGGACCCGCTTCGCTAAGGTGATTTGGTCGGTCGCGCCACTTTTGGTCTTTCGGTTTCGACGCGGGACGTCCAACTCGTCTGAGCGAGTCGACCGCCATAGTGTTAGGATCTTCCGACCGAGTGGGTGCCAGTATCAGCTGCGGCTGGTTGTGTTCTTTGGATGACGGAATGTTGTTCTTATGGTCTGAAAGGAGGATATGGAAGAGAAGGGCTTTATGCCCGGCAGGAACTCATAAACCAGATATTTGACATCCTATATAGGCGACTGACCGCCTCATTTACTTGACTGATCATATGCCTGGGCGGCGAAGTGGTGCCTAGTGACCTGCCTTCTGTGCGGCGTGGGAAGCTGACTGATGTGAAAGCGGGCCGGCGAGTGCAACCCGCACATCTTCCCTAGGCAAGGCAAGGTACAAAGCAGACTTCGTCAGCCGAGCCGCCATACACGTCCACATGCTTGACAACCTCTGAAAGCACAGCGGCACAAAATGCTGAAAGGTCGGTCCTAGACATCATCTATCGTCTCGTCTTCTGCAGCTTCGACCACCCGTAAGAATTCCACTCGACCCATTTGATATGGTATGAACTGCCTGAGTGCTTCGCGCTGAGTGCTAAAGTACTTCCTAGGGTTCGCCGCTTGTAGGCTTGTAGGGCTGGTCTCAGATGTTGCCGGGCGAGCTTCAGCAAAGCGACGAAACTGGTCGACGATGTCGTCCTCACGCACCGCAAACGTTGCCACGAAGTATTTGTCTCGGTCAACAATGGGGCGGGCATTTCGCGTTATTTTTGACCACCCAACAGCGGCGTCGATGGCTTTCTGGTTGAGCTCCTCACGCACGTCGTCCTCGGCGATGATCTCTGATGGCACCACGTATCGGTAGAGGTTCAAGCCTTCGAACTCCCGGGGGTATGGGCTGATAATGTAGATCGATGGGCTCAGACCATGCGTGGCATGCAAGAACTGTACTTGGCGTCGTCGGTCGCAGATTCCGATCTGTTCGATACTCCTGGCCTGCGCAAAGTTCAGAAAGAGCAATCGTGCATGTGGTGGAATGTCGCAGATGAGGCTGGGAGGTTGTTGTCCTTGCCACTTGCCGGCCACAAATACATGTGTGCCAGAAGGGTGATATCCAAGGTCGTAGACGGCTCCGTATTTCCTGGCATTTCTTAGAGAATGTTTGCATGCTTGGCCCGATACTTACTTTTTCTCACACAAGACCCTCAACCAAGCTGTCTGAGCGGCTTCATATTGCCTGCGCGACCATCGCGGTCCAGTCCCGATCAGTGGTTTTGCGGGATTCAGCGACGATGTCTCCGGTTCTTTCTCCTTGTCCGGCAGCCACCCAATACGGTCCTCCATCCCAGGAACAAAAGGTCTGTGTGTTGTGGAACCCATTAACCCTTGCCCTCGGCGCATATCCAGTAATCTTTCGATATCTCGCACGGTTTGCTCTGTCGCTTTTTGACTCCATGTGACCCTATACTTGGCGACGATGTGGGCCGGAAGAAGTAAGCGTTGATGTCTCTTTGCGTAAAACCACGGTTCAGGGATTTCGTCCTGCGGAATGAAAAGGGCCCAATCTCGCTTGTCTGATACGCTGAGCAAACAGTCCCAGCAGGTGAATGGAGAAAAGAGGGGTCTAGGTTCACCCGGACGATCTTCTGTCTGAAACGCTTCGTGATGGGCGATCCCAGAAGGAAGCATTCTCATGAGCCCTCGTTTCAGTTCAACGACAATACATTGGCGAGAGTTCCCAGTATATACGATCTTGAAATCACCCACGGATGGTCGTAAAGTGAGTTCTTCAAAGCGGTACGACGTCGAATACCTATTGAAAGTCTGCCGCAGGGTTTTGAGCACGTCGAAATCAGAAACTTTGGACTGCGGTAGTAGAGCAGAGGTACTGCATGTAGCGGGCTGCGGGCAGTCATCGTACGTGATCCCGTTGTATGGATTGGACCTAAACGGCGAGTTAGTTCTTCGTTCTAGTCCCGTAATCAAAAGCAGAATTCACTCACCACCGTTTGCTTTTGTCGTGGTGGTAGGCCAAGAGAGAGCGTATCGCCTCTGGGAGCATGGGCAATGGCAGTACGAAAGGCGCCCAGGGGCATTGGGAAGGGTTCGGTGGGTCGATCCGACAACGGCATTTCCGGGAAATAGACGTGGGTTTCTCCGCTGCTGCTGACAGTCTTTCCTTTGCCCTTCCACCGGTGGATGTAGAATGCTGGAACAAATGCAACCCACTGTGGTGCCGAAGGGTTCTGCACCATAAAGGCAGCGCACTGATTTTGTCCCTCTTTCATAGAGATTTGATAGTAGTAGACACTACCCCGGTATGATGGAGTGGGCAGAGGCCGGATAGTTTTCATGTCCAGACCGAGGAGCAGACCGTGTCCTTTATCATCTTCGGTCACGGCGCTCAGTTTTTCCAGGGGTGACTTTGTTAAGAGTGGGTCGTAATCGTCGCGAAGCACGAGGCCGCAGTCGACAGAAGCACCTTCTCCTCCCCTCACATACTCCTGCACTGTCTCGTGGAGAAGCCAGGAACATCTTGCCTCCCACAGGAACGGCCCTGCAAACGTATTGAGACGTCGTTTGTACTTGATATGAAGGCGACTGAGCGAGTCCGTTGTAATTACCGACATTATTCCCGCTCTGCAGAGGCTCTTCGGGTGAGGAGGAGGGGAATGCGCAGGTTCTAGGTAGACAGACGGCGTATCTGCTGAGAATGGTGAGGGCAAAGGCAATCGAAATGATCAATTCAGGCGCCTCGATTCGGACTCTTGTGGAAGATGGAGGAGGTGATGCTTGCTTTCGATTCTCCGTGGAGGGTTCCAGTATTGGTTCGAAGCATACGAGGATATTAGTAAGTAAACACCTGCTGTGAGTGGCGTGTCTTGGGATGGCAAACAAGTTTGATCGGACGCACAACAGACGCTCGCAGAAGCTGAAAGGCCCCCTGTTTGACCGATTGCTGTTGCAGAGGTGGCCCATGTCACAATTGAATAAATGATAGAGGGCCGATACGAAATCTCTGATCGCTTGAAGTCCGTTGTGCCCTGGGAAATCTCTGGAGTGCTAATTTCTGCCGAGAGGGTACCTTGACAGACTCTACCAGAAAGGTTCGTGGAAGATGGCGCGACAGCCCTTGATCGAAAACATGTCGCCCAAAGACTCATGGTGTCACGAAGAGGCAGATGGCAGACTGCTTCTCAAGAAGGCCTATTCGAGACTCAAACACGGGACCGGAGCCGTGGTGTTGTCAGCGCCGGCTGCGGCTGCCCTTGCGTTGACGGATCTCTGCTGTGCCAGAGGACTCGGGATGGTGAGGTCTTCGCAAGTCATGGATGTTGATGGGCGTTGCTGACAGGATCAATCAGGTGTACACAGTTATCCAGTGCAAAGAAAGTCGATCACTCCCGGATCTTTTGTACGTGTCGAAAATGTGGACTGCCGTCCAACAAGAAGAGTGGAGGGCAATGAAGCCGGTGGTTCGACTTGACCGTATCGCCAGCAGCCACGGATGGATCCGAGATGACGTCTTGGTGTTACCGTTCTACCTCAGAGAAGCCCGATACATGTCACCTGGCATCACCTTCCTCAACAGCCAGCACCCGTACTTGATCAGATTGCCTGATGATCGTGGCCCAGCCCCTCCGTCCCACGTCAAAAGCGAGCCGACGCAGTCCCCCCCACCACCGCCACGCAGCGATAACGGTGGCTCCTTGGATGTCGAACGCTACCGTGTCGATGGACTGCGAGGTATTCTGAACGAGCTGGAAGCGGTGTATGAGAGTGCGACCGAGACATTTGTGATCAAGTTTGAGATGTTCAATATTTGGGTGGGCCAAGTGGCGGATAGGACATGAACAGGTCAGCAAATAAGTCCTTCGGGTACAAGCTAGTCAAAAGAGCTTGCAATGCCGACTGGGCAAGTGAATCTGATGTTGATGACTCCAGTGGGAGGGGAGGCTGCTTACAGGCGTCGACGAATGAATTACTCCGCGGCGGATCGTTTCATTGTAAACAGCTTCCATCACGATGTCAGATAAACCATGTACCAGAGACTACCGAAAGTCCCCCGCGAGTACTGTATCCCAGCCTCATATAGTTCACAAGTCTCACCCTCACCACGTGTATCGATTGTGACATGTCAGCAAGTATCGAATGACTATTTACAGAGATGAATTCCGATATAGGTCGGTCGGGGGTGTCGAAAAACATCGATGCCTCGTCAGACGACAGCGTCCCCTTCGATCATCGTCGCGTTGACCCTTCAATCTACAACAATCTGGAGGAGGTCAGAGATGTCAAAGCGTTCACCGATATGGTCAAGGACTACATGGCTTATGTAAGAGCGGAACCTCACCAGTACAAAGGTTGGGATGAGGATAGAGAATTGGACACCGCTAGTATGTTTGTCGCAATGATAAACAACGAGAAAGGATGGACATTGGCAAGCAACATGGTGCCAGAGTTCCAATCACCAACGTATGCCAATGTTGGACGCTTGATTGACAGTAGCTGATGAGCCTTAGAATTGACACAACGAACCTCCCTGATCCCCTGCGATATATCCTCGATGCTGTCGAGAGTCGCTTACCGATGCGGGCAGCCTACATTGACAAGGGAACACGGAGTGCGGATCAAGTATGGGAAGAGGATCTAGCCTGGCGTAGTGAGAAGAGGTGGGTGGAGTACTTAGGATGGCAAGCAGGACGATTACACCACACAAGTGATGATCGACTAAGGCGAGAACAGGAGCATGAACAGGAGCATGAACAGGAGGTTGGACAGGAGTATGAGGAGTATGAACAAGAGTATGATCAGGAGTATGGACAGAAGGATGAGGAGGAAGAACAGGAGGATGAAGAGGAGTATGATACGGAAGAGGACATGGATGAATGATGAGGTGGCTCAGTAGAGTCAAACAACTACTACTAGATCGAGCACGGAAATCAGGTATGATAGAATATATGTTTCGACAGAAGATACTATGGATGATCTCTTTCCCTGCAAGAGCGATCCGAGTTGGGTCCATCTTCTCCTCGGTGGCATTTGTCATCGACAAAGGCCTGGCTGAGGGCTAGGAAGTACATTCCACGAGAGTGATTGTTGGGTTCAGGAACTGAAGCACACATCGTCAGCCCTTGAAAATCTGGGACAATGGCTGGCTCGGTGCCCGCCTCCAGAACTTTCTCAAGGATGGTCGAGACCATGCCAGGATCTTCTGCAAGATCAAAACCAAGGCGACTCAGCTTGCATGTCGGGTGTCTCTGTATTATGAAATTCATGACAGGGACCGGTGTAACAAGGTTTGAGGGCGGCGGATGAAGTATTTTTGCTGCCCAAGGCAGCAAACATGGTCAGAAGAATACTCCGTGCAGAGATCAATCGATCCAACTCCCAATGCAGAGAATCTATTGGTATCCTTTGTGTCACGACCAACTGCGGCTGATCGATCCGTTACCGAGTTACTATTGATATATGGTCCCATATCCCGCGAGGGAAAGAAATGGACAGGATGACGGGTCTGAGCAGGGTCTGCTGCGAGGAGACAGACCCTACTCGAAGCCATACATTCAACGAGGCCGGACGGGTTGATGAATTTGAGCAGGGGGTGCTGCGGACCATGCAGAGAGCCACAAATCAATGGCTTTGGTACATGCAACGATGATAGTGAGTTGATCGACGAGTTCGGCTACTTATCAAATCGTCACCGACCGGATATTATTCTCTTCGAACATCAGCTCGTCATCTACATCGAGCACAACCTCGTCCCCCGAGACCCCATCTTCAGCGACCGCCGCAGGAGCAGCAGGAGTGGCTGCCGACACGCAGTTATCCTGGACTCAGCGGTGGTGCTGCAGCCGGCATTGGTGCTGATGGCGGGTCACCATCGGCGCCGCCGCAGGATCTGGATTGCTTTGACCAAATTTCAGGTCGAAAAGTGTTGCTCGGAGGTATGTCCTGATCATCAATCGTCTGTCACTTTGCAATAGGAGAGCGCAACATCCGCAGCTGCGGCGACAAGACTTTGGATTACGGGAGGCGACATGACCACCCAAGTCGGTCTGACTTGGAAGAACTCCAAAACTGACGGAGGAAAACCATGATTGCAATCAGAGGTGAGCGTCGATTTGTTCCATGCAAGACATGTATCTTCATTGCAGCATGCCAGCCTAGACGTCAAGGCAGCACGTCATGCCCGACGGATCGATGATGACGACGGCTTCAGGATGGTCGGTCGAGCAGGTTGTGGGCGCCCTTGAAGGCATTCGGCTGTTAATGTCAAACACTATCATCCAAACAGATCTTGAAAAGGAGACGAAGTTCTGATACAATTTATATTGACTGGTCTATCAACTCCCTCGTCTTCTTTCCCGCAGGCGGCGGCCTTGTGATCATTGCCAGGATCATTTATGCATGACTGTAGCATGTCTGTCAATGTGGCAAAGTCTTAACTTGCGTAATATTTTAGGGCACATGGGCCAAGTGTCATGAGGAACACACTGATCCGAGGTTTTGGAAAAACATCTTGTTTGTTGTGCATTTTTGGTTGGCGTTGAAAAGAGAGCGAGCAATGATGTGGATGAGAACATGCACTGACGAAAGAATGTGTTCTCTGATGGTTGGAAGGATGGACGTGCAGTAGGATTGAGGTTTTGATGATGGTAGAAGGGTCGATTTTTTGGGACGACAAAAGGGGGGAAGCCTTGTTTACTTGACTAGCGGCCATTTCTGGACTACGCCACAGTGTGGCTCACTACATACATATAATACACGCAGTAGGCGGTGGCGGTGGTGAGTCTGCTGGCTTCATCCCATGCCGGCCCAGATTAGCCAGTGTGACATGTGGGGAACTTAATGTAACCACCGGCCCTGGCTTAAAATGGGGGATCCAAGACTGCACTGCGGGAGGCCGTCATCGTCAAGTGGCGCAAGTGCTCCATTCAGAAGGAAAGTAGGGGGTACCTAGGTAGGTAACGAAGCCTCAGCGCGTCCGCTCGAGTGAATCGTGCTGGATTTGTGGGATTCGAGTACCAGCCTGTATTTGCAGCTGTCAAACCTATAAAAGTAGTTCGATACCTTGACGCAATTTTGCAATTGCAGCTTATGACTTTGCATATCAAGGGTATTTTCTTCTTTTGACAACGTCACACCTACGTGATTACCCAATATCTGAGCTTACCGGTCCGTCTTGTACAGGTATTGACGACATTACATCCTCTTACACCGGGGCAAAGCAACCATCTCTTACATCGCGGCGTCGACACTACCCACTGGACATTAGCCAATACAATGTTCCTTCCCGACTGTCTCATGCTGGCTTCCCACTCCGACACGCGCGCAGTCTACCCTGTTCATGCGTTTCTCAGCGGACGCAGCAGACCTTATTTTCTTTCCCTTCAACCGACCGCAATGAAGCCTTACAGAAAGGGTTTAACAGAGGTCGAACGCTGCCCGCAAGTACTTACGATTCACCAACCAAGTGACGAGTCTCCGAACGACTGCAGACCTTAAAGAACTTGACAATCTCCTACCTCCAGAATTACATCCCACGGCTGCGGTGCGAGTGGATTGGGAAACAGTATTCTGACGCTGACCCTGTCTGTGGCTCCTTTCCCAGCTCCTCTCCAGCTGCTCTCCCAGCTCTTCTCCAGCTCCTCTCCTACCTACCAGAGACTTTCACTGGAATACTGAGGGGAAAAGGCAACGACTGTGAGACTGCTATTACTCTGCCACTTGATCAACGGCACATGCGACGGTGGAGAAGCCCAAGCAGAGATGAGACTTTCTTCATATGAGTGGAAGGTATCTAAGAGAGGGGTCCGACTGGACTGAGGCAGAATCAATTCAATAGCAAATTCTCTATTTACGCAGGTTCAGACTTGTTCCATACTAACGTAACTTGATCGTGGCGGCATCAACTCAGTCCTGCCGACTCCTCCTCCCCTGCAAGCAACCCTTCCAAACAAATACGGGGTGCAAGCAAGACGAAGGAGGGTCAAAATGCTACCTGGCTCCTGGGGCTTCGTGCTTCTTTTACACAACGCGATCTGTTTGTGCACAACTTCCAGGCTTAGCATGCATGCTTCTGTTGATGTTCCAGAAGCCAGTTGGCAAGGTAGCAAGCGAAAACAATGCCATCCAAAACCATGTTCAGCTTCTTGCCGCTTTCGTCTTGTTTGATATGTTCTTTGGGATCCTTCATCATTTGCACAATCTTCGGGCCAGCTTGCTGGATTTCTTCAACTTCCCAAATGTCATCAAGCCAGCTAAGGGCCGTTACCTGCACACCAAGAAGCTTGGCCCGCTCGTTACCTGATGAAGCGATGCTGTCAAGAGCGAGTTTGTAGACTTCAAGTTGGTCTTTTCGGTCGTCTGTGTCGAAGTCCTTCCAGAGCTCTTTGAAGGGAATTGGGGACTCGCTGGGCATTTTCTTGAGAAGCGCCTCCCAGAGCCGCCCGACAAGTGCATTTTTCCGAAACACGACGGTGTAGTCTGGTTCTTGTTCTGGTTCTGGTTCTGGTTCTGGTTCTGGTTCTGGTTCTGCTTGGACCATTGTAAGGAAGACTTCAAGCTTCTGAACTTTTATGCCACTGCTCGCCGGTTCAAGGTGGGCCTCTTTGAAAGCTTCGGCGTCGGCATTGTCAGTGACACTGGTACGAGTACCTGCCCAGGCACCCACAGACCAGCCTAGATAATTCGACATGAGGAACATCAATCTGTGTATGTGTGTGTGTGCGTGTGTGTGTGGGAGGTGGGAGTGGAAAGGGCTGGTCGTGATGGGGGAGGGATCGTCCTTTCTGCGTTTGGAGTGGATAGTGACAGCAGCCTCCAGCAGCTTGACTGCTGAAGTAGTTTGAATGCTACCTGGTGCCTCTGCCAACTAGAGACACCCCACTAGAGACTTGAGTTCGACACGTATCCTATTCCTAACACGAATAGTCCGGTTCTGGGTCCCGCCAATCACCGAAAGCGGTGTCACATCTTGGGAACCGGCCCCGGACTTTCAGCCATCTATTTCCTAGGCTGGGTAACTTCTAGCTAGAGTCTCGAGTCCCCATCCCAGGCTGGCCGGCCTCAACGGTAATTTCGTCCGCCACTAGACACAATCTGCTAGCTATAACGCATGACAGCGAGTACAATTCATGGGTTGCCCCAGTGCTCAGACAGGCCAAACATTGGATCGAGAAAGAAAGGATACGTTAGGGTGGGGACGGGGCAAGGAATGCTTGCTGTATTGGCAAACCAAGGAGAACTCATGTATTGACTTTTGAAACACTATCGACGTCTACGAATCCCTGCTCTCCCGCTTTGCAGCTCTGGCTCATACACCTCCTCGATCCAGAATCGCAGGTAACGCATAGGTGGGTCTCTTCCACCACCATGTCCACCACGAGGACCTTGGGAGGTCTCTTTTGGGTTGAAATGGACTCGTCGAAGATGAGCTGCAGCGTTGTAGTTTGTGTTGTATGTCTGGCCGTCTCTGCATCTCTTACACCCGGACAGGAACCTTCCGCCCTCGGACACGTCCTTGCAGACCCATACTTTTCGGGGCGCTGTTGGGTGATAAACGCTTCTATGCCGATCCAGCTCGTATCTGGTGCGATAACCTTCAGGCTTAATCTGGCATTGATGACACCAATGCCGGTCTTTTCTGCGTAGTGGGACGCCTTGGGAAGGTAGAGGAAGTGTGGAGCTCGTCGAGGATGACGCCGAGTTCTCTGTCCAAGAGAGATCTTCGGGCAATGATAGTGATGGCGTCAGCCCGTGCTTTTTGTTTGGTTAGATGAGTCCCAAGAAGCAGTCATTGAAAAGGTATGCCACCCACCTGATCTTCATGGTGGACAGCGGGGAAAGGCGTGTACGCTGGTCCGTCCCAAACGGTCGCCGCCAAAATTTCAGACGGCGTCACCGATTGGTAATAGTGCTGTTGCCAGACTTCGTATTGTGACACGTTTGTGTGTTCCGCGAACTGTGCAGAGTTCAGAGCACCCTGGGAGGCTGTGCCCGTGTCAACCATCCATGGATTCAACCAATATGCCCTGCCTGTCCAGTCCAGAGTTGCCTGACTCTGCGGTGCTTGTGTAGCATACGCCCATGGATTCATGCCTGAAGGGCTGCTGTTTGTTGGGAGAGGGGTAGGAGGTGTTGGCGGCGGCGGCTGCCAGAATCCACCGCGGGTCCAATGGTGAGCCATGCGGTAAAGCAGTAGTGGGCACAGAAAGGCAACCGAACAAAGAAGATGAAGAACGGGTATTGGTGATGCTGAGCCATTTATGTTCTTGCGGCCCAAATCCAATGGAAGGGAAGATCGGAAGAGTCCATGATGGGCATGAATGTTTGGTTGTGGGTCGTCTTGTTCTGTAGGAGTGATTCGATGGCCTGTGTCTCACCGGAACCGTTTTTTGGCAGAGGGAATCTGCACCGATGTCTCCAGAGTTACGAGTTATGGAGGCATCCCTGCAATTCCATTGCCACCTATTCCCTCCTTCCTCCCCAGCCGCAGTGGAAGCCAAAGCTGTGCCGACCCTTTCTTGAGGTTTTGTTGTCTCGCGACTTCAGGAACGATGTATTAGTGGGATTGAAATGTTCAAGAACATCCCTCGAAGCTGCTGGCGAGCTTGAAGGCAGCTTTTCAATCACATCGGCTTCCCTCCGGTCGACAAACCATCGTCGTGTGCGGTACGAGTGTGAAAACCACCAGGCAGTGGTTCTGGACGAGGGCTGCAGTGGTTATCAAGCCCGGATCGGCACCTCCTCATTCGTTCCTTCGGTGCGAATATGGTCGGTTTGGATTTTGCTTTGAGCCGAGCTCAGCAGAAGAGGTGGACCTGCTCAAGATCACGGTAGAAGCCGCCATCAAGACGGTTCTGGAAGTCAAGTACGCGCAAGTGACTTGTGATTTGGGTCAAATAGCCAGGTACGAACTTGGCCCCAACTCACCCCCATCGAAGACGCAGTTTGATGACTTCCAGTTCGTTTAGTACAAGATGCGTTCGAATGCTGGCTGTTTTCAACAAAGCCCAATCCACCCTGGACAACAAAGCGGAGCCCATTCTCGCGTGTCACGACCCATATGAGCAGGAACTTGAAGTTGTCAAGCTGACCTGCAAGATATCCAAGACCTTGTACAAGAAAGACGGTGGATTCAACGTTCTTCCCCATGGATTGAAGCCCATCCCCACCGGACTCTCTTTTGAGCAGTATGGCGGTTTGTCTATGAACTCCCAGAAAAGAAGAGAATCAGCAGCAAAGTGCTGGCATACAGCCTCAAGCACACTTCGTGCACCTTTCAGCATTTCTATGGCCGACATGAGCAAGAGGCCTTGTGTTGTGCCACCGAAAATTCCTCAGCTACCTTATCGCGATACAAGGACCATGTGCGGCACTGGGAAGGGCGAGCTTCCACCTCGGGACGGCGGTATCAGCCCTCATTCCCAGTCGGAGTCGGGCCGCGTTTCGAGTGTGCGAGGCTACGATCAGTGAGTTAAGACTCCTCCTACCAATGTTTCTTCCATGCACTAACGTCGCAAAGGGGACTCGCATAGGTTTCTCCATCCTGGCAGAGGCGCCCATCGAAAAGTCGCAAGGCTTCGGCCCACGTTTAGCATCACAGATCGAATGGCCTGCCGAGTCGCCTGCAGATTCCAGCGTCCTGCGTCCTCCATGATCATATCTTGAGTGCTGGCATGCTCAGCGGGAGACAGTAAGAAAGATCGGAGCACAGGAGTTTTGTGACACCACCAACGACGATTTGGTGCAGCTATGAAGAATTTCGAGCCGTGCTGCGCAGGCTGCCGGAGAGGGACGCTTGGTCGCTGCAGCCTCCACCCGTTGCACAACAGACATGGGGCTGCTTGAGGCAGACGGGCACTGGCATCGTCGGTGTCCATCCGCCCAGTGCACCCGACTGCACGGGGTTTCCGTCACCCAGCACAGATGCCTTTGATGGTACATCCGTCCTGCGACGCAAACTGAAGTGCAATTGTTGACACTTCCTATATTGGACATCTCGAATTATTTTCCAAAACCAGCACTGTTCGTCTCACCAGCAAGATCAGCAGCGACAGTCTAAAAGGAAGATCAGCGAGCGACAACTGGATTTATCAGCAAGATCAGCAGGCGACATCCTTTAAGATAGATCAGCAGGCGACAACTATAAGCAGATTTGTACTCGTGCGAGTTTCTCTAGTCAGGGGTTCAACTCCGCCTGGCTAGAGTTTTTGCCCTTTTTCTGGTGAGAATATACTGTGGGTTGGAAGTGAAGGTGTGCCGACGAAAAGAGCTGACATTTTCTTCGACAGATACGTCCGAGTTACTTTAAAGGGATAAAAGAGAGACGAGGCTGTTAGGAGAAAGTTGAGACGCAGACGAAGACACCGGCAGGCTGGCTGGCCGAAGATTCAGAAGTCAACGCCGCAAAGCCATCACAGCAACGCATCGACGAAGGTGAGCTTTCTTGTCCTCTTTGTTGGGTTCTGCTAACGTGCCATATGACCAGCAGCGTATCTCTCTGCGGATCAGACACTTGGGACATGATGGTCTTGATGAATTGATTCGGTTGGGCGCCGACCTTGACAAGCGTGATATTTGGGCATATTCTTTCCATTCCATTAAGATCTCCAGCTCTTGACAATCTGTGGCCGGCGCGGATGACATCTCTGTCTCATTGGTCAGTGGCCTTTTCTGAGCGGTATGGCAGGTGTTCGACTCGGAAGAGCTTGCCAAGTGGCTGCACCATACTGTAGCTCGTACATGTCAAGGCTTATGATTTCCGAAGCCTGGGGTTGACCAGAATGCGCTCTGCATTGGGATAGCCGTTGCCGCGGCCTGACGAGAATTTGCGCACGAGAATTTGCTCCTCGACAGGCGGCGAATTCTGTACGGAAGGTGCCGTTGGTTCGTTCATTGAGATACGAGTACCAGTGCAGGTAGCTGTCAGATTCAGAAGTTTCAACATGCGCCACTTACAGGCTTGTGCAGGATGGTGATGGTGATGATGATGACAACGACGATCAATGCCCCCATCATCCCCCTTTAGTGCACGTGCATTGGGTGAAAGTAATTTTCTTGCCAGCCACCATAAGCCACCTGCACTGTCAAAGTCCACCGCGCAGCTACTCGTATCTCTGGCTCAGACAATTATTCGTGAAAGAGTGTGATGTCGTGATGTCCAACCCTGGAAAATCGAGACGTCATCCCCACGAGCTTCAAGGGGGTTGCCAGGAAGGAAATCGAAGGATCATTTGAACGCGTCCACTACATACAGTACACCGCGTACATTAATGAAGGTACCTTCAGGATTGACAAGTACCATGATCGGCTGGCTAGTGACGTTTCCCCATCCGTCGTTTCCAATTTTAACCCATCAAACGTCCAACCTGGCAGCCGTCACAAGGCTGCCTTTTTACTGTTTTCCCCAAGCTCTGGCCAGTTGGGCTTGGCTTGTGATTACTGCATCGCGACGTGCAGGGCATGCTTACTTGCTTCAGCCTTAAGGGAGTTGACCTGATCTTCTCTGGGAATCACGATTGCTCGCAAGCCATGGCAACCTATACTATTTATCTTGTATCATACAAAACGATGCCGGTATTCCATGAAGGGCTCTACATCGAGGAGAAGGCGGGCAAAGGATGGTTGTACCATGTCGGAAGGAGGGACGGCGCAGACTGGAAGTACGAAGCAAAGGAATGCAACAAACTCGAACATTCCATGCAATTCTATGCAAAACATGCGAAAGGGACAATAGCTCAAGCAGACCTGAAGCGCGTGGATCCCATCTGTCGAGCAATCGGCGTGCCTAAAGATGAGTGCCTCGAGGGGATCCAGATTCAGCGGGATTGTCGACATTGGGTACGGAGGGCGCTTGCCGAATTGCAAAAGCAAGGTGTTCTCCAGCCGGCAAGTCGATGACAGCGGGCACAAATGGACCTCAGAATGTTCTTTCCTGTCGAAATCCCACCGCCCAGTTTCCTGGGTCTACGTCGCGAACCAGGCATACTCGTTTGGAAATGAATCCGGGAAATCAGCGATCCAAAGATACCAGTCGCCCCCATCAAACACGACGCGAAAATGGTACTAGCATATTTACAGTATCTGGGATATCAACCCGCAGCCTCCCAGTCCAGCAAGACCACGTGTCCGGCACTCCCTGGTCGGACCAGGATGTTCTTTCTCGAATATCTCCATGTGCCAGAACTGTACTTGACGACGAGGAGGGCCGACGACGACATTCTTTGCAGCTGCTCGCCCTCCAGAGCTCTCATCTCGACCATGTAGGGCAGCCGGCAGGCAGATCCGTCGCATTTACGTAGTAGGCCATAGAGAATAGAGATAGCAGCCCTTGGCGGTGTTGCTGTGCCTGCTGCATACGTCGTCAAGGAAGGTTTGTGCAGCTGACGGCTAAAGATATCAAGAAGGACTCACCAGGAGCACGAGAAACACCCACCCAGCGAGCTCAGTGTATGTGGTGAAGGCGGAAACAAGTAGACCGAGTTGGAGGCGAAACGAGTCCGGCCCGTTCTTGGCGCGCGCCTGTCGGCAGATGCCGGGCTGGCGAGGTGGTAGTGCTGGTACTACTGTAGAGGGATCGCGAGGCGAGCGAGGCATCCACATATATAGCACAGTGTAACATACCTAGCTCGCTAGGTAGATAGGCTTTGATCCGGATGATCCCGCTATGTCATTTGTGGTATAGACCAGTACCACCGTAATTCCCCAAACTACACATCCTTAGGTAGGCACCTGGCACTCAGGCACTCTACGAGCAGATCTGAGGCAGAATCGTCTACACCCCATGCTGGGAGTCATGCAAACCTCGCCAAGCAACAGATTACCATGTGATTCTAGAATGACAAAAGTACACGACGTCGGTGAATCCTACTGTGATAAACGCTCGAGATCCAGTTTGGTTCAAAAGGACCATCTACTGTACTAGGTATGGATTTGAGTGGGTACTGTACGGAGTACGGAGTATGTCAATGTCATTTGATTTAGGGCCAACTTTCGTGCCCAAGGCTCGTGGTAGGGAGTACTAGGCCCGTCACACGTGCCCGTCCCTGTCAAATAAGGTACATACTAGTACGTAGAAAGGCTCCATCAACGCACCCGCTTAAAATTACTCTGTCACTCATCTGTAATGCTGTGGTATTATCCCATAGAAAAGTTCTGGGGAAAGGTTACACTACCACTCCATACATACTAGGCACCTATTCTAACACCAACCTTCGGCCACGCTGACCAATACAACCTCAAAGACGACGGACCAAAGGCACTGCCTCCACAATGCCTTGCCTAATTTGCATTCTTTCAAAGAGTCCCTGCCGCAGTCGGGGGTTTCACTACCATCTTTCCTGCCCCATGCTCACCGACCACGGTGTTGCCATGATGCTGCTGCGAACTGCTGACCAGGCGTAGCCTCACAAGCGTAAACGACGTCCCCAACGTCGAGCTGTATCTCAAGATCTGCTCGGCCACCGATGGCGTGTCCAGCTGCTCTTGAGAGCCCCGACGATGGAGGCTGCTCTAAACTTGGCTTTGGCTTTCCGATTCGAACGGTCGGCCAGGTCCACTGCCTGGATCACTTCTGTCATAGATTTGAAAGTGCCATGCCAACAACCCTGCATCAAGGGGCCCAAGGGCAGATGCGAGACAGCGGGAAATTGGGCTCCCTGATAGAGTTGCCGGACAAGGTAGGACCGGTAATCGGACGTTCCGAATTCCTCGTAGGGGGGACGGCCTGTGATGATCTCGTACACCAAACAGCCATAAGCGAAGATATCAGTCTGTTCGCTCACTCTCGGCATCGACCGTCGATAACTGAACCATTCATAACAAGCATTCGCGTCTTCCCCATCGATACTGCAGCCGTCAGAGTCGATTATCTTCGCGCGGTCGCCCGGGTCCACCAAGATCACGTTTTGGCATCCAACATCGGCATGCACGATTCCTTTTTGATGGATATGGCGCAGGCCCTCCGCAATATTCCTGAGCCAGCGAATCTTCCTGGGCAATGGAATCTGCGCTACATTCGTCCTTTGGGATACTGTCCGAAGGGCCTGGCCTCGTTCCAGGATGATAGAACCACTGAATGTGATCCCAAGACATCTGGCAATATTTGGATGTGAGCCAAGCCGCTGGTATGCTCGACGCTCGATGAGCTCCTCTTTGTTTTTGGTGATTGTGTATTCTTTTACGACTCTCTTGCCGTCAACCCCATAGACAACGCTTGACTCGCCGGCCGCTAGCACCTCGATCGTTGACATGAATGTGTCGATTTCGGTGGGCGCGGGATTGGGGACCAGGGTAAATTGAGCACTGGCCTGAAGCACAGGGCTGAAGCACAGGGCATTCATCCAAGATATCCATGTAGAACACATGGCGGACTTTGTCGGGCAGAAACTTGGTATGCTGGCAAAGAGATGTAACGGTTGTTCCCGACATCACTATCGGAGAGCCCGTCTCGTCAACCACGGGTTCAGCGCATACTACTTACTCTGGTCTCATCCGGCTTCACCAAGAGCCGGGAAGTAGTTGATAGTTCGATTTTCCTCCAGCCTATAGATGGCTTTGTCACACGATGGAACAGGGATGTACCCATATGACCTGGGAAGCCCGTCCTGCTTCGACAGGGTTCCTTCTAGGTGACAGCTGTCGTACACGGGGAAGCATGATTTTCCAGCCATCAACTGGATGACAGGGCGACTTGTCAAGGTAAAGTGGTCCGTGCATGGTGATCCGAACATGTTCAGCCATGTACGAATCGCCCCTTCCAATGCTACTACGCTCACCATGCTCCAGGATCTTGTTCTTCGCCGGTGTGCGTGGGTGGCTGATTGTGATACGTTTCACACCTGGCTGTGAATTGACAACTGACTGGCCGCATAAAACACAGGGACAACTCAGGAGGTGACCAAACATTGTGATGGCTCAAGATAAGTTGCACCCTCTAACCTTCATACATTGACAAGAAGGTTGCTCTACGCCCGGAATACTAGTAACTGCAGAAAAGTCAAGACTTAGCAGCCCGCTTTCAAGACAACAATGCTCAGTAAGCCTTTTTCTTCCAATCCTTTTCATCCGAGGCTGACGGGTCGGGTCGCCAGATGACGGCCGCTCTGGTGACGGGAAGCGTCAGGGCGCCTACCCAGAAAAACAAGACCACGCCCAAAAGAGCACAGAAACGGATCCAGCAAGACAAAAGATTGGCGAACGCAAGGCTATCGACGGCGCAGCGTCGGGGAGAATGCTCCCCGTGCCAGGAAGGCGAGTGTCTGTGATCTCCGAGAAGATGAAGCAACGCACTGGCACTCTAGAGACAGGCCAGATGCCCGAGGGTGCTATCAGAAGGATCATGCGTGAAGAGGAGCTTGTTGTCCGTGACAATCAAGGAAATGTCAAGGGAGACTTGAGCCGGGAGTTGTTGAGGCATAGATGGTTTACCAAGCCCGTCGTGGCGGTCAATGACCGTCTTCTTCTCCGCTGTAAGACAAAGACGGCCCAATAAGCGTGAATAAGAAGGCGCCTTACATGTTCTGGTGCATTCCGAAGAAGTCGGGCACCTCTTGAGTACTGCCATACACTTGATCGTATGGAGCACCACCGTTCCGAACTTTCTCAGGAAACTCGGAAAGGGGCGATACGAGTGGCGTTGAGCGATCCCCTAGCTAATCTCGTCGATTGGCCGTCAGGCTCTGGGATCTGCGCAGGATGCGGCTTAGACAACACGCCTGACTTGGATGCAGTCACCATGATGCGCCTCAATGCAGCACGAGACATGCGTGAAGCACCAAAGTTCGGACCTGGGGACGAAAAGTACGCCCAAGATGGTTGCGGCAGTCAGTTCTTGTGGAAGCAGTGGCATTTCCTACATTCGGAATCACTTTTGCTGCAGCTTGAGTGGTGCCTACAACAGCCTATGGTTATGTCAATCCAACAACAGCTGTACTGCATCTCATGCCTCCAGTCCATCTGCGGACCAGATTGTTCTCTGCCTTGACAACTATAGTCATAGTTTCATTTGGTATCATTACCGGACTCTTATTGCTGGGAGGTCCTGTTACATTGCACCAACCCATCATGGTCAGGGGCAGGTGCCAAGTCGAGTGAGGCTGCACGGAATGGTGGTAGGCGTGGAGTCCACGACGCACACCGCTATTGGAGCTTCAACCTGGCGAACCATTGATGTTCACCAGCGTGGTACCTCCTGTTGTCACAGGCAGAGGCCTCCTCTGCTGTGGTTTCGTGATGTCACAGTGTTCCAATCGGTGTGCAGACTCAGAGAGGTCAGTTGAGATCGCAGGCTTCGGGGCTTGCACATGCTGTGATCTATCAACGCGTGCCGGAAAAGAAGAGCTCGGAAGCGTGGGCATGAGCATGTGCTGCAATAGCTAGAGCCGACACCACAGAGAATGTGGTGGAGAAAAATCGACACTATTGTTGTTGGGTCAGACATTGAGAGGGGGTAGTCTTCATTTCGTTCAAGATTTGATGATCCCGAGCGGGATTCAAGTGGACGAATTGTACCCCGTAATACGAGGTGACTATGAAAGCTGTTGGAGGCCGTCGAGATGGCCTCGTGCCTTCTTTGGCTTGTTTGGAGGTACTCGGGTTTCGTCTTCTCCTAGGGCCAATGGTGAATTCTGCTCGTCGGCAAGTTTATCGCGAGTGGTGAATTGTGATGTTTCAGGATTGCGATGAACCATCATCAGGACCACTCGATCCGCACTGACCCGAAGGTTAACTGACGAAAAGTTCCATTCGGGTGGCCATTTCCAACACAGTCGTGGTTCTCTTTGCTTGAATTGATCGACGATGGTAGGATGGTCACCATCCATCAGCCGTAATCGAAATGTCCGTGAGAATTTGACCTACGTGAACTGTACCAGGTTGTGGCTGAGTTGCAACGTGCTCCGTGAACGACGACACCCAAAAGGTTCTGTAATTGAGGGACTGTGAAGGCATTCGGAATGGCAGATTCTGGAGGTCCTTTGAGAGAGATTGAGCTTTTGATATGATGGCAACGGAGCTCGAAGTCCACACAGAACATGCTCGGTATCGTTGTTCTTTGCGCTCCGGTCAGGATCATAGACGACTCACCCCCTTATACTACAGTAGCATGTCGACCACTGAGCGACTTACCTTGACAGACACACAGCTGTCATCAAAGCGAATCCGAACCATCACAACCCGGGCAGAGCATTGCAAGGATGAAGATTCGAGATGCTCGGTGCTCGGTGCTCGGTTTCTTGAGGATGCATGAGTTGGGCGCCGGACAATCTTGTAGCATGGTGTCACTCGGGAAAAGCAGTGCATTGATCTTTGAAGCCTCATCATAGCCCAAGGATTCCACCCTTGGTCCACCTTGAATGACCTCGAGGAACAAGCAAGGACGTGTGCCAGATATAAACGCGTTCGGGATGTGCGCCCAAACTACGTGCTATCCTGGACAGCAACCTTTGCACCATTTGCATTGTCCGAGCTCTTTGCCTTTGATAGTTTGTACCTTCGCAGGCGTGATAGATTGTGCTCAGAATGACCCTTGCAAAGCAGGGCGCTGGGCCGGTCGCAAAACTCCTGAGAATATCTGCTACGAGGGCGACGATCGGATATATCATGTATGGTTCTTGAAGGGGACGGTCGCTCGTGGAAGATTTCTTGACAACATTGTGAGTGCAACTGCACCATGAGGCGGTACAAACATAGGATGCAAGATGCTCAAACAGCGAATCTCGTTGTCGCTATGGGTGGCCACCATAGATGCTGGATGAGGAGTGCTCAATTTTACACCCAAGTGAGGAGGAGCGATGTTGTCTCGAGGACAGTGTCTCTGTGTTGATGCCGAATGCTATGGTTTTTTCAGGCGGATAGCAGGCGAGCAGGGCAGCTTTCATATGCGGCGCAACCTCAGTGTCACGTGCCAGCCAAATTTACCTGTCTTTCATCCGCCCTGGACATGGTTTAACTGTCCTCGAATTTTCACCTTGGACATTGTACGAAGCTACAGTCCTGTGTAGGCCAAAGGCTCACTAACTATGCTCGGCAGGAGCCAACAATGGTGACGCAGCCCTCTATCTCAAGAGGGAGTGAGGGTGTCACCCAGGCGCCATGATTGGGAATTGTTCTGGTGGCGACGCGTCGCCTGCGGAGATGGCAAATCAATTTTATGGGGGGAGCATGAGATGGTATCCCACCACTATCACTGTAAGAGTCTTTTGAACATGGCATCAGTCAAATGAGCCAATCCTCCCTGGTGATCCTGCTTCACTTTTGCCAGGACAAGCGAGTTCAATGGCACGCAAAGGCCATTTCGAGTCCAGTCCGGATGACGACGGCAACGGTATGGAACCTTTCGACCTAGAAGACCTCGACCTCGACATCTCGGATGAAAGCCACCGACCGTTCGCGAGTATTCGCGGCATGACACAGAAAGACACTGCTTTTCCTTCCTCTTACCATTTCATGATGAACCTGCGCATCGCCTGCGAGAGAACTTTCCTCGGAACGGGATCTTACAACAATACGTGGGGACTGCGAAGACGCTCAATCGTGAAGCTCATCTTTTACGCCCTCATAGTATGCTTATGTACCATGTCTGTCTGCGCGGCCACTCTCTCATCTTTAGGGGCCCAGTGCTTCCGCTGACTCTTCATTCGCAGTGGGATTCTGTCCGTCTGTGAAAATGCCGCCGATGCTTTGTCGTCCCCATATCCACCGGGCAGCCTGAGATGGAGCCTTCTTCACTGGGGCCAAATGGGCGATCCCACCGAGAATCTCGTACACTGGCCGACCGATGCTACGGCCGACACCACCCCCATACAATGTCACTCTCACAATGACTATTGGCGACAAGTGCCATTCTACTCGGCTGTCGCAGTCGGCTGTCGCAGCGTCGAAGCCGACATCTGGCTGGTGGACGACGAGTTATATGTAGGACACCGAAGAATGTCTCTGACCGATGGACGAACTCTCCGAAATCTGTATCTTGACCCTCTCATCTCGCTTTTGGAAGCACAGAACGTTCATCCCAAGCTTCGGCCCGACGAGGACTACCCCATCGATCCTGGCGAGATATTGCCGGTCAACGGAGTATTCGACAGTGATCCGACCATGTCGCTTGTTCTCCTTCTCGATTTCAAGTCTACCGGCCCGGCCACCTGGTGGCGTCTCCAGTCCCAACTTGCGCCGCTACGAGAAAAGAACTATCTCACCTATTTCAACGGCACCGGCGTCGTGGAAGGACCTATCACCATCGTCGTTTCAGGTCATGCTCCATTCGATCATCTGACAGCAAATGAAACATACCGTGACATCTTCTATGATGCACCACTCGAAGATCTAGCTGATCAATCCGAAATGTGGCCCAACCCAAACATTGCTCAAGACCCGTCGCGGAGATCAGGGGAGCCCCAGCACGCTCCTCGCCAACCTATATCAACCCGCGTCAAGCCAGTCGACAATGCATACGATCGCTCCAACAGCTTCTATGCATCGGCCAGCTTTACGGCATCGGTCGGGCGCGTTTGGGGGTCACGACTGACTCAAGCGCAACTTCAGCGGATCAGGGGCCAGGTAAGAGGTGCACACAAGCATGGACTCAAAGTGCGTTACTGGGGTGTGCCCTCCTGGCCAGTAGGGCTACGCAACCACCTTTGGCACATCTTGGTCAGGGAAGGCGCAGACGTCCTGAGCATAGATGACCTCCATGGTGCCGCGTACAGTGATTGGCGAAGAGCGAGGAGAAGGGATGCGGAGTGGCCAAGAATTTAGGCCAGAGCTTGTTGCTTGCCCTGAGTGTCTGCCTGGACCATAGGGGAACGATCCTTGGCTGTAGTCGCTTGTTGCCGTTTGGAATTCCAGTAGATGCATCGCTTCGATTCAAGCAAACCTCCAGCAGCGTGGTCGTAGAGTTTGCTGCACCAATACTATCGAACATATGTCGTCACAATGGCATCGTGGTGGTATCATCGCTTTGCTAAGCCAACAGTAGGACACACTCATGTCTCCAAAGCTTGTGCCGGCTGAAGTTGTGACAACCGCTTGCTGCAAATGTTGTCACTGGTCGTCCTCATCGTGCTTGTCGCATAGAGCAGCAGTTGCAAAGATCTCTCGAACGCGATCGGAGTACTGATCCTGTTCCACGACCTTCGAAGAAATGAATTGTGAAGTATCTCGATCCCAGTAGGGCGTGAGCACACGATTGAATTCCTTCACTGCGGCGGTGGAGAGCTTTGCGAACAACGGCTGAATATGATCAATGAACACAGCGAGTAGCGCGCTGGGATTGTCTAACGCCTGGAGATACCAGAAAGCCCCTGTCTTCCAGCAGTTTTCAATAAGTCGAGAACATGAGTCGGACTTGGAACACGTCAGCTCTTCGTCGTTGAACACATCCAGAAACTCCTCATGTAACCTGGCATATTCCTCTAGGTGGAAACCAAGTTCTTCAAGGCTGCGATTGGACAGCCAGGAGGGAGGGCTGAGCATTTCGATGGGGCGAGCACATGCCCACTCGAGGTCGATCACTCGTGTGATGTGCCAGTCGCCGTCCACAAAGATATTGCTCTGGTGCAAGTCGGTGAGTGATAGGACAAAAGGTCCTTCACGGAGACGTCGATCCGTAAATTTGGTAAGGAGAGCCCGCATGGCGGTCAGGCCTGCCAACTGTGCCTCACCATCGCTCTTGTCATGAATTGAATTGGGTTGACACCGAAGGCGCACGTCATGGCAAGCGATGAGGTCCAACAAATATGGTTCCGTCGACGTATAGGTTAGATTACGGGGCATGTTTGTCGGAATCTGTGCATTTTCCAACTCGTGGAGGAGGCATGTAAGTGGACGATTTCTCAGTGCGAGGAGACCTCGATCATCTATTGTCCATGAGCCAATACGAGGTAATGGAACCTTTGCAAGACACAGCATCATTCGAGATAGGTCCCGGAAGAGGTTCGTCCTTTGATTGTTGTCATGACGATATTGATCCCAAGACTCGGAAAGCATCTTGCCCTGATCCACATACTCAACTATTAGGTATCCAAGATCCTGGAGATGTTGGCGACGGTGCGAGAAGTACGGGGCAAGAGCAGATCCAGACACCCACGATGTAACGCGACGAAGGTGCCATAGCATTCGATGGTAGAACGATTCACTGGCCAGCGCCGTAAACTGTAAAATTCCCAGTCAGTCAATAGTCATCAAAAGGACATGTGATCTACCGATTGCATTCCCGGGAAGCCAAAGCCCAGGAGGCGAGGCACTGGAATAGAAGGACAGTTTCTCTGCAGCCAGACGTAGGTAGCAGCTTCACAGCGCAGCTTCTCGTCAACATTTCCGGGGTTGAATGTCTCGCCAATCCGGTATGGTAGCGGAAAGCGGATGATGGCTCGTGGAGGTAACCTTGGATGCCGAGTGCTTTCGAGAATAGTGATGGGAATACAAGCGTTGAAACTGCCATGAATCCACTCTTTTACCTCTTCTAGTCTGAAGTCGGAGGGTGGAATATTAAGGTGCCGAGAAACAATTTGAACGATCTGAGGACGACTGCGGTAGAGATGAAGCCAAAAGTCGAGGCGTTTGGCAGGGTAGGATAATCGTAGGATGATGTCGTCATCCTCTGTTAATGCATCTTGGAGAGATATCTTCCCTCTTAGAAGCGGCAGGGTGGTCTCTATCGGATCAAGATAGGCCATCATGTGTTTGGATCGAATTCTGAGGACGGTGTGCAGGACAGAATGTCAAAGAACGTTGTGAGGGGACGAGGCTGGTTGCGGGCTGCTTTCAAGGGTGCTCTAACCCCAGAGCTCAGCCTATGATGGCGCGGACTCACTAACTTAGGCTCAAGCCTACATAAGCTTGCGAGCCTAGTATGGCATGTCCCTCCGCACCTCAAGTTAGGGCCGGCACGGGCAGGGCGGCTGAAAGTTGGAAGGACCCCATTATTGTCGAACCCCGGATCTCCGGCTCGTTTGACTGTCGGTGGTGGATGGTAGAGCAGTTGATCATCACTCAAGTGCAAAACTTTCTCAAAGTGCAGGCGATGTCGGGAACATGGTGTCTTGCTGCTAATTCCAAAGTTTGTCAGGCGTGAAACTGATAACTGCGTCGCCGGTAGCAGTATCGAGGTGCAACTACTGACCTTTGACTGTGCAACTCTGCGTGCAACTTGTTAGCCATGGCCACCATCATCGACTCAGTAACCATCGTGTCGCCAAAAAAATAGGGCCAAAGTCTCGAGTCAATGCCTGCAGACAACTCAACACAAATTCAAAAAGAAAATGCTTCCACACGGATTTGAACCGTGGACCTCGGCATTACTAGTGCCGCGCTCTACCAACTGAGCCATAGAAGCCGCGCTAAGCAAATCCAGTTGTTGGAACAAGTTCCTGGGATTTGTTGAGAAACTTTACGGTCCAATAAAATATAACAGCAAGATTGTTTGAAGTGTGGGCCGCATAGAAGTCGAGGTCGACAGGCCAATTAGAGTGCTTAACATTGTCTGGGCCAATCGAATCTGCGACTTTTTTCAGTCAATGGCCTCCGCAACAACGATGCGTAACGACCTGGCGAGCAGCTGGTACTTTTCGGCGACGTTCTGCAGACTACCTCACTGTGACACAATATTTCATGTGATCAAAAATTGGAATAGCTACCGAAATGCCGCGGTTTGAGCCCGAACGTAGAAAGGCCTCCAGGACGGACTGAGCAAGAAACCATGTATGCACGTACGGTATACGAGGAACTAAATCCGCAGAACTGTTGCAAGACCTATCTACGTCTGGTGGTCAGCAGCACAAATAAGCCAACACGGACGTCTTGCGCCAATACACTCCCTTTGAAAGTCGTTACGACTGCCAACAACGAGTAGGGAACCAAAGGATAGAGTGGCATAGCGGGAAGATCTGGGACTCCCGAAGGTGGCTGGTTATGAAGTTCTGGGTCCGCAAAGCTCGGGACTCTTCAGGAACGGAGGTAGAATCTTGATAGAAATATATTAATGCAATGAATTTCGTTGTTGCTCGAAGCTATGCCTTGCCAAAGAAATCCAGGTACTTTGGGTGTTGGAAGTCAGCTGCGACCGCAGGAGGCCGACTTACCTGCGGTAAGTACACAACAATGATCAAGCATAAGCGTCGTGCAGTTTGACGTTTTAAGATGTTGTTAGTATTCAAACAATTTTCCGTGCCCACAAAACCAACTGAAGAAATCGCCTAGTCCAGCCAAAGAGATTGAAAGCAAGATCCCCCGAGAGCCCTCCTGCAAATTGTTTCCTATTGCTGGAATCAAAGTCCTTCTGTCCGGTAGTCGTTACCCAAGCATCATATTCGACTTGAGTCCGACCTCATAGTAAACTATCCTCGGGGCGGCGGTGGAGGGGGGATGTAGTCATTGCTCGGCGGAGGTGGCTGCGCATCGGGCGGTGGCGGTGGAGCGGCTCCATCCGGTGGAGGAGGAGGAGCCTGGCCGTACTGCTGTAAGAAAGAGCTTATACCGGGAGGCGCAGCGGGAGGAGGCGGGACACCATAAGCAGTCTGGGGATCATAGCCAGGATAACCACTGTAACCATAGCTTTGTCCGCCTGGAGGAGCTTGTTGTTGCCAAGGTGCAGCTTGATGGGCTGGAGCAGACCCATAATCTGCTTGACGACTTTGCTGCCATGGTGGAAGTGAAGATCCGGCGTCGCGGTCCGGGCGTTCTCGCTGCCATGGTGCAGGCGCCCCTGTGGGCTGTCTCGCCCATGGTCGTGAGTCGCCGCCGCCACCACCACCATACGAATCTTGCTGGTCGTAACCGCCAGGCGCGGCCTCGATGCGACCCGCAGGTGGTCCAGAAGGATTTCCCGATAGTTCTTGCATGAGGTTCTGGAGGACGTTAGTAGATGTCATGGAACCCCAGAGAGAATCGGCACATACCTCCATTTCTTGGTCGACAGCATCGGACGGACCCAAGCGACGTTGTTGAAATCCCCCAGGGATATTGTTGCGCATGTCGGTGCCACGCTGTCTGTCAGGGCAATCTCTGGCCATGTGGCCGGCGTTGCCACAGACTCGGCAGATGATGTTGGCAGTGAAGTTGCGCTGCTCGGGGCAATCGTATTTGCGATGTCCGATTTGACCACCTGTGCATGTCAGTCGGTGTTGATTTTCATCATGGGCAAACTTACAGTTTTGACAAGCTTGGTTCTCATCGTCGCGTAGAGTTCCGTTAAGGGCTGCCAGCTCTCGAAGCTGATTGCGCTTCAGCTCGTTCTGGCCTTCTGGAATTGAGGCGGCGGTCTCGATAACGTTGTGGATCAACGCCTTGGCCTTGATGATTTTTTCTTCCGTGTCGGCCATGATGAGACAGTGTAGGTCTTCTTCCTGGTTGCTGGTATGTGCTGCGTCAGATCGTCCTTTGCCTTCCTTGACGGAGCCTTTGCCTCGAATGGCAATCTTCGCTCCTGATTCGGTTTCCATCTTCTTCAAGGTATTGCCACGAGGTCCAATCAGTAACCCAACTTTGGAGCTAAGTGTTAGTATCAGGCACTCAAAATATAGACGTTTTGGGAAGAATTCTTGTTAGTGCAGGGAGCCACGCCTATCCGCACAGCCTCAAAGACCGGCGATAGCACGCAGAACGAGCAAAGCAGAACAAGAGGGTTAGGAACAGAGTTAGAGGGTTAGTTAGCATACTAAAGTTAATCTCGGGATAATCATTCACAGGCACGTAGACCTTCTCTTGGGTCTTGGTTGGGCGTCTGTAGTCAGATGGTGGGTGATAGTTGGGGATGGTCTTCATGGCCTTCTCAATGAGCTTGTGTCTTTCATCTTCCAGACGTTTGCGGTATCGAAACTCTCGAGTGTTGACGCGGCGACCGAAGTTGTCGTATTGCGGAGGTGGCGATGGGGATCTGCAGAGCTTGTAAGTATGTGCGGACACATTGTCAGACGGAGTCTGGGACGTACCTGTCGGCCTCCGCGGGAACAACATCGTTGATGCGCAACTTTTGACTGATCTCTTCGATTCGTAGATGAAGGGTGTACGCATCAAGCTGTTCTGCTGTCATGTTTGCCTGGATCATCGTAGGAAGACCCATGAGGCCCGCGGCTTTGTTCTCGCCAGCTTCACCCCATCGGTTTCGCTTTCTGCGCCTCTTCACACCGTCGGCGGCAGGCTCAGCTAGGACTTTGTCAGTATCGCGATATGACGGGGAGGAGAACCACGTACCTCTGGTAGGACTTCGCCCACGCTTGCCCGAATCTCCATATGCTGGAGAGTCTGCGAAGCTGCCATTTTGCGAGTCACCATTGCCTTCGCCTCCGAATCGACGACGGTTGCCGAGGGGAATGTTATTCGATCCTGTAATGCCTTGATTGCGCCACGCCATGTTGAAGGATGATGTGTGGCTAGGTCAGAAGATAACGCGCAAAGTGGGCGCGATGGATCAACTTGAAGACCTCAGTTCGAGGGCAAATTCAGCGCAGGACGAAAGCGCAGCCTGGCTTCGGCTTTCAAAGGGGCGACTTTCCGCACCAGTGCCAAGCCTACCACGTGACCATCATGGAAATTCGCCGCTCGAGGGTCGGATCCTTAAGGTATGCCTGTCACTTGTTCACGGCCCTGTCTTAACTTCAGCTATAGGACTGTCTATTGTCCTACCAGTCACAGCCTGTGCGGTACAGTGGAAGGCATGACGTGCGCCAGTTTCGCATATTCCACTGCAAGGCCTGTTGTCCACGGGGCAGGTAGAAGCAGGTCATCATGACAGAGTACTCGTAGTCTTTGATGCAACATACTTCAGAGGCCGATACTATCTGCTACAGATACAGCAAAACCTGTCATAGTTCTGATCTGGCCAAGCGCGCAAAGAGTGAGGCGGTGACACCTTTCGACTCGTGCGTCAGCCAGCACATGGTATTGACTTGATCGAGACATACAAGGACGAACAGGCTGAAAAGACTACAGGTTGAAATCACATACAGGCATTTCAATCGCAGACCTTGTCTCCTTCGGCGATCATCCCTATCGTCTTCCACTGCAATATCTTGCTGAGTGAAAAAGTAGACAAGCATCAGGGTGATTGAAATTGTTATCCAGGCCAACATGTTCCGGCTCAGGTTGAAAAGGTCAGGCTCCAGTGCTGCCGACAGGCGAAATATCTGCATGCAGCCAAAGGAGAGCAGGATAGATAGGCTGCAGAGACGGACCAAGACCGCGAATGGAGAATAGTGTAGTAGCCATCTGCGGAGGCGTTAACAGCGGCAATGGAGCGACCAGAGGGCCGATGGAGTGGACAAAAGACAGGAATCAGCCGAGACAGTGTCTCGATGGACAGACACAGGTCCAGTCTGACCAGTACTTGTTTCGGAGGCGAGGAGAACTTACCGAGCCATCAAGGATGATGCGAACAGATGGGCTAGATATGCAGCCGCACCAGCCTAAAACGTGCATCAGCTTGTTGGGGCTTCGGCACACTTGGGTCAGAGCATATATATCATCTTCAAGGGGTCCGTTGCAGAGAAGATATCAGACTCACCCAAAGGAAACTCAGAGCGATCTGCGCGATGGCCACGCGCATCAAGCTCCGACTTTCGAGCAACCCATCACTGTTGCCGTTCCGAAGGTCGTCCTTCACTGATGTATGCGTATTATAGACCAGACGATAAATGCTAATGCAAGCATAACAAGCCCACCACGCAGCAGAGACGGTCGATAAGGCGCGACATAGCAGTAGTGGCAGGTGCCATTGAGGCGGGACTCCCAGTACCACAGCTACGCGTGGATACTTCGCGCTTCTGGCAACACTCCTTCTCCTGCCGTCGTTAGGACACGCGTGAGCATTGTGAGCGTTGATGGCCGCAGATTGGGATGTAGAAGTGTTCAAAGCATCACTGTAGGAGGGGATGGGGTTGGTGTTCGCCAGTGGAACTTTTGGTTGCAGCTATGGCGGCTGCATCGCCTTGCTCCGGATCAGAATAGTACGCCAGCAGAACTTATCGAGCAGTGTACGCAGTGATCTTTCGATTGTGAGGTAGAATCCCGAGGAATCTATGAAAAGAAGTGACGAACGTGATCATAAACTTGCAACAGTTAAGATTCCCCGTGCTTCTTGGCATTACAGGCCAATGCCGTTTGGGGACGAGGATGATGCCGCCCTGTACTCACCATTCGACATCTATGAGATTTCATCACCCATCGTGGCAGTCAACTCGATAGGCATGTCGTGGATATAGCGGGACAGGAGAGAGCCGCTAGTCACGAGCTAACTTACTGTACTCACTTGTTTACGAGTTGTAAGTCGGCGTAGGGTCGAGGCAGTCGAGAAGAGCCATCATCCCGGTGACAACGGAAGCTATTCGGCCACATGGATAGCCTGCACCGAGAGCCTTCGCGCCGTGTGAATGAAGATGCTATGGCCGTACAGAAATCTCGAAGTGTTCGATCTTTCCAGGTGCTCACAGGAATGTATGTCTTCGGCACTAACATATTCATTAAGAAGCTATCGTGCAGAGCTGGTAGCATCAATGAGAGAAAAGCCCGGTCTCGTTTGTCCAGCCACCAGTGCTTCCAGCACCTCCTGTCCTAACCGTCGAACCTGTCCACTGCCCAAAGGACGTGACCTCATCACATCATTCCAAGACTCGTGTCTACTATTGTGGGTATCATGAAAGCATACAACCTATCCCATCCTGCAAATGCTATCGTATTTTGGCCGCTGCACGGCCGGAAGGCATTCGATGGAAGAAGCAATCGTTCAAGGAAAAGTGTCTCGTCAAGCGACAACTTCTATCTGTCCTCGATGGCCGAGCAGTATAGCACAGGATGTCGGTTGAAGCGTTTAGAAACCGTGGACCTAGAACAGTCAGCCGTGTCCGAGATCGATTTCGCAGAGTGGTACCTTGATCGTCTTCGCATCGAGTTCGAGGCCGTCTTTGGCGACCAAGAACTCCTGAACATCTTTACGTTGATCACCCTGAAGCTGGATCACCTCGCCCATCTCACTATCCGCAACAATCGTGCCATTGCAAGCTATGCCGTGTTAGCGCCTGCCAACAGTTACTCGTGATCATGCAAGACATACCGAATTTCTTCTTGATGACCTTGAGGATCTTCTTCTGGTCAAACTTCTTGGGGAGACCTTGGACAGTTGTCAATGTCTTACGACCATTGCGTTCTGTGTCACTCTGTCAGCATCATGCCATCTCTTTCGTGATTGGGGATTCTTCTTACGTTGAATACGGATGTGGATGTAATTCTGGGTTTGCTTCGCTTCCCCAGTGTCGTCGTCGGCCTCCGCGAAGGGGTCTGTGGGCCAAGGTTGTTAGTTACAATTCGCAGATAAAGCGGATACGGCGCGGAACGCCAAATTGGCTTGGAAAACATTGTCGGCCTGCTGAGAATAAACCGATCTTGACTGAGACGAGGATTCATTGTGCATGCGAGGGTCGCAGACGTCTGATCGTTGTCGCTGTGACGTGGTGTGGCAAGAGCACGCGGAACGAGGGGTCGCTTACCAAAGGTTTTGAGGTTTTGGATAGTTGACATAAACTCGTCTGTTGAAAGGAACCGGATTGATTCGAGGTAGTTGTCTGTCGTTGGTATGAGTGAATTTCAAGTATCGAAACTGAGTCGTCGAGGGTTGAGTGGAGAGTTTGATGGATTGCTGTTGTGTTGGAAGAAAGAGAAGAAACAAGGCGCAGGGAGAGAATTGAGAGGGGAACCTTCCAGCGCAGTTTCAGATGCCAAGGAATGGTAAAACTGCTCGCGACTTCCCCTTTCAAAAGTAAACAAAACACCACTCTCAACACTCTCAACACTCTCAACACTCTCAACACTCTCACCACCATCACCATCATGGCGGACCCGATTATTATCGATCCACAGCCAGATACTGATCTTATGATACAACATCTCCACGGTTTCACCGAGGAATTTACAAAGCTTCCAAACGTACCGGCGCTGGCTGAAGGCAATGCTATTCAACAGCTTACCGCTCAAGTCAACGCTCAATTCGCTCAAGTCAACGCTCAAATAAACGCTCAATTCGCTCAAATCAACGCTCAAATGAACGCTCAATTCGCTCAAGTCAACGCTCAATTCACTCAAGTCAACGCTCAATTCGCTCAAGTCAACGCTCAATTCGCTCAAGTCAACGCTCAATTCGCTCAAAGATTTGATCAGCTTGATAACAAAATTGATACGCTCGCTATTCGAGTCGTCGCAAAGTAAGTATTACTTATATTCTTAAATAATAAGTACTAACTTTATAGTGATCATAACGCCTCAGCTCGAGTTCAAAACTCTTATCTTACGAGATCCTCCGATGGACTTACACCACTAATGAGTCCATTGACTAATACCTTGATCGAATGGTTTCCTATGAAATCTAGTGATATTCCGAATATGGAGGATCAGGGGCTTGATACTATCCTACAGGAGTTGGGTTTACCTACAAATGGAGGAAGAGAAGCTAAAGAGAAACGTTTGAGACAGTCCATCGGTCTTCGACCTAGACCAACTGGTGCATGAATTCTATAAGCTGTACGGAGTATCATTCGACCATGTACAATTAGTGTGAGCTCAGAGCAGTTTTCACATTCCTTTAGCTGCTAAGCCCTCACAATCCACGGGCGGCGGCTGCAATACATGCTAGTCTCCTATTGAATGTGACGGTCCAGGCGCTGTCCATGCTTATTTCTTACGGCAATGCCCTCGCCCCCTTCGTGACTCGTCATTCCGTCTATCCCAGTCCAGATCCATATGCATATCGCGTTCACTACAAGCATAGCACGTCACACTGATTCCCCTCCGTCTCACCTCAAGGGCAACCGTAGCGAAAGGGAACCATAGAACACTGCATCTTGGACATCTGGTGGAATATGTGCCTGGACTACGGCAAGTGCAAACATGGAACGCACGATTAGGAAGCACTCCAGAGAATTCAAAGAATGGTCTTCCAACTATGATGTACAGCTTATCAATCCTGCCCCAAGCATCGCTCCATGTGAAATCTGTTCATGTTGAAGTTGCCGGTAGTTGTGCTCCTCTTGCGGCATTTGGCGGTGGTGGAAGGAACAGAGGCATATATGTCTGCGGTCCTCCGTCAGTCTTCTCCTTCAGCCATAAACAGATGAGTATAGCTCACCACAGCGATAGCAAGCACTATCGTCCGTTAGATAATCTTCTCGCCCTCTGCGGAGCACTTTCAAACATACCTGCCATACCAAAAGATAGGTATCCTGGAGTAGAATTGGTCGATTTCTGGGCGGGCGTTTCACCAAGCCAGTTGAGAAGGGATGACAACAGCGCGAACCTCCTCCATTCAGCCATTGTGTTCGTGCCACATAGATAACACAACTCACCATCCAAGCATTCTGCCGATGATGGTCAATAATGGGGGTTTCAAAGCCACAAGCTATCTGCTTACCTGTTTCTTGTGAACATCTGGAGGCAAATGTTAGCGACGGCGCTCGTGAGTGGACCATCACATTACTTACAGCGGCCATCGGCATGGTACTCGAGAGGGTAGAACTGAAGTCTGCAGGTTTCTCTTCCTTGGGCTCAACGTACGGGATGACTGGGAGCATTTCGTTAGCTGACTGCTGCTCCAGTTGTTGCTCTTTGACATACCGAGATCCGTCCTGCGCATGTCCTTCTTGGATGCCATGATTATTGTTGATCTTGCTCAAGTAGAATTGATTCTGCCCTAGCGATGCTGAAGAAAGTACAGAGAAACCAGGAAATGTGCAGCACCAAGCTCGATACAATATACCCAACCACCCAACCTCGAAGTCGACAGGTGGACCGGCTGAATTCCGGTCTTGGCGCCTTCTTACTGCCTCGCTGCGCAAGCTTCATTCTGCACTCGACATCTTTCTTTCAGTCGACGAGTCGAGCAGTTCTTTCTCCATTTCCAGGTTGACCACTATGCCGCAGCCCGCTCGGTTTCTCCCAAGGAGGGCTGTCCGCGCGGTCCTCCCTCTCAGACTCTCCAACAGAAACCCTCGAGCACACTTCCTCTGCGAGCACCAAATATTCTCCCTCACAGCACGCCAATTCACGACGACACGGCACCGAGATGCAGCTATGGGTGGACTTCGAGACGTCAATTACAATTCGGTGATGCCAAAAGTACATTCGTCCAAGACTCAGATGGCCAAACAGACCGCGGGAAAAGAAAGGTCAATGCCCGACGACTTGGGCAGAATGCCCAATTCTCTGGTCATGGCCCCTTCCTCAAACCTACCTAGCTGGCTCCCTCCAACTTCAAGCAGACGACTTCGACTTAAGTGGTTCCAGCTCAAAACAGCTGTACAGTCATGGTTCAGGTATGAGAGAGCTCCACTGGAGGCATTTCGGAACAGACACTAACCGTCTTTAGCATATTCTACCTGCTATACTGGGATGCGCCCAAGGACCCTGTCACGAACAAGAAAATTCGCAAACCCTTGGAATTATCTGAAAGGGCCACGATTGCCAAGGGGCTGCACCAACAGTTCAACAGGGCGCTCGCGGCTGGTGACACGGCCACCCTCGAGAAAATCGCTTGTGACGGAGTCCTTGCCAAAGCCAAGTCACGCATCCAACGACGCAAGAGAGTGGGCGCGATCGAACAATGGAAACATATGAAATATTTGGGGATTGACTACCCACAATGGCTGCAGCGGTGGCCGATCTCTGTTCTTCTCCCGAACGCCAGCGCAAGAGTCCTAACCGACAGAATGGCGCCTCTTCCCTTTCCGAAGTCGTCGTTCCGACAATGTACGGTGCGCATCAGCTCATGTCAGTGGTGCAAGACTGCTTCCATGCAGTACGGCCAGATCTTCAACAGGACAGAATACGTGGTGATCCAGAAGCTGGAGATCAATGGCAAAGAAGGCGACTGGAAGTTTTGGGGAACAGTCGATCCGAACACGATGGAGGAGATTGACAAGATGATGGAGGGCCAAAAGGGTCAAGATACTCTGGCTGCCAGATTCAGAGAACAATTATCCACCGTGACTGGCGGCTTTGGCGGCATGTCAGGTTAGGCGTTCTGACGGGAGGTGATGGTGGCCGGGCGGGCGCAGGCTGTCGATGCGAGAGTTCAAGGGGAAAGATTTTCCACCCTGCTAGTAACATTCACATTCTCATTCAGAGCTCATTACAAGCAAGCCATGATTGAAATGCAGGCTCGATTGGAATATTAAGCCTCTGCAACGGTATACCCCGACCATCGCCATTGTTCCTGTCCTCCTCGATACAACGCAAGCAAATGTTGTACGAAACAGGCAGTGGTTACTTCGAGGAATACCATGGCCTCACCAGCCTGAAGCTCTGTCGCATTTCTCGGCCCCAGAAGCGTTCCGACAACCACCAGGCGACGACCTGAGGTCGCAAAGTCGACGTCATCCTCGGGAGGAAGTGGTTCGGCGTGGACTTGGACACGCAAGCTGCAGTTGAGACTGAGATTCATGACTAAGTACGGCGACAATATGTCACTGGCTGGCCTTGGCCTTGTCGTCCAGCAACGAGGAGACGACTTCCATCGTTGTGGACCTTGTTGACCGCTTCCCCGTACCGGCGACCTGCTGGCCATTGGCGACACTGAGACCAGTCGACTTTCTTCATTGGGGCTGAATATTTTGGATCGAAATAATCCAGCAGCCATGGGACGGTATGTGGACCAGGCCGTGACCATGTTGTATAGAATAACGGGTAGGAGGAGCCTGCGTCCGGAGTACCTGAATCAGGGCTAAGGTAGTGGGTAGTTAACAAGTCTGTCTATCAATGTGAATTTTACAATTACTATACGCATTACTCCGTATGTCTGTTAATGAAGGTAATCATGAATTTCTCCGAAGTACGGATACAAAAGGTAAGGTAGAAAAGACTGGGAGAGAGAAAACTAGCTAGGTACATTACCCTGCCTTGACGAATGGTTCCTGAAGCGTCCTCTCCTGGGGTTCCCCTGGGGTTTACTGTGGTATACCTGCACTGTCAGGCCTGCTCATTTATTTCATCGGCCTTTGCTTCTGGCCATGTCTCGCCCCGAGTTTAGGCAGTACAAACAGCTCTGCAGTTGCCAAATGGCTGTCATACTGCCCTCTGCCCTCCGATCTGCTGGTCTTCTGCCCGCATCGTGACTGGCTGGGTGACTGGCTGGGTGACTGGCTGGGTGACACGCAAGATCCTATTGAGCAAGTACGGCTTTTCGGTCCGTCGATTTTTGTTGTTTTGTCTCGCTCTTGTTGCCATGTCTTGTCTTGCTGCGTTGTAGAATCGAAGACAATTCCTCTGGAGGACAGTCTGGGCCAGCTCTTGCTGTGTTCGGACCGAAATGAAATGAAAACGCCCTGCGATATGGACACCATACCGTGTTGCGCCCACTTCACCACCCTTTGGATAAACAACGGATAGCCATCAAGATTCGGATCTGGATTTCGAGACATAAACGTAACGGGCATGTCTGGCGTCATTAATCGTAACGTCGTAAAAGTCGAAGCATATCCCCCTTCCGCTGACTGACTGACTGCTTGTCCAATACTCCCAATGGGACGTCGGTGCCTTTTTGGTCTACCTCCCAGTGCACTGTGTACTCAATTCCGGCATAATCGAACTCTCGATCAAGAAAAGAGCACCGAGTGAATGTGCCATGACGGCCTCCACTCTCGTCGTATACGTTCCGGAACGCGTCGCCGAAGAAGAAAATGGTTCCCTTGGGATCGTCGTGGACCCATGTGTGATTTCCTTGGGATAAAATCAAATCACACCAAGATTGCTGTACAAGAATAGAAGAATGGGATTTCGGCCAATAGCCACTTCCCTAACTCAATCGGACCTGTCTGAAACTTGCTGGGGCTTTCGGCCGCGATATCGATATACTAAGTCCCCATGGCTGCCATTCGAGGTTGAGGCTGGGTAAAGACGCCAAAACGTCTCTCGATCATGGGATTCGTCGGTAGTAGTTACTATACAAGGGAAGAGCGCATTCGTCTTCGGCCGCCACGTCCTGCGCTCTCTTCCCGGTGGCCGAGGACCTGGCGCAATATAGGGTCGTCACGGTCTCGATCTGTGTGGTGCGCTCGAACGTGCCGTTGCAGGTTATCCGGCCTGGGATATTTGTGCGTCTGGTCCACGCAAAAAGGACAGGTGTAACCGGGGGATTCGTGAACCAAACCATGCCTGCCGGTTTTATTATTTTGGTGAGCCCAAACCCTTTCGCATTTTTGGATGTGTCATGGTGCTTGATTGTGATTGTGTCTTACCTGATCATTTCATTCTTTCTCTTGAACCCTTGGCCCCCTGGACCACGTGGACAACCTTCCATGGGGCAAAAGTGCGTTCTCGTGTCGGAGTGGACGTTCATGTGACTGTTGAGCAGATACTGTGTTTGGAAAGGGATGGCAGTGCAGCCTTCATAGGTACATGGATAGTTACCACTTGGCACTGGCCGACTCGGGGCTGGCGGATCTTTGGCTTTATCTTTTGGCGGCTGTAGGTCAAGTTTGACTGTGACTTCGACCTTGGCGACTTGAAACTTGGGACGTTCAGGCCGCGCCTTGGGACGTTCAGGCGAACGTCTATCTTTGACTTGCAATTTGGTGACTTGCCCCTTCGGACATTCAGGCGGCACCTTAGCACGTTCAGGTGGCCCCCTGGGACGTTCAGGCGAACGTCTATCTGACGTGATTTCCCCTTCCTCCCGTGCTAGCTCTAGCTCCTGTTCCTGCTCTTGTTCCTGTTCTTGTTCCTGTAGTGGTGTCATTGGATGTAGATTTGCTGACGTAGCCGGGGATTGCACAATGATGGAAGAGGCTGGAGTGGAGACTGCTGCAGAACTCCCTGGGGTGTATTCAGAAGATGTCGATATGGAGCTATCTCGCGTCGCCGTTCGCCAAATGGTGTGGGTAGGCAGAGCCGGAGGTGACATGCCGGTGTGAGTTGACTGATGGAACGGTGGAGATGGACCAAGATGAGGCCATTGTCCTGGGGAAGGGCCACCCAAAATAGGCGACATGCCTGCAAAGCCAGGGGAATAAGCTTCAAATTCCAGCAGATGGGTTCTGAGTGACGGGAGCCTTTGCTCCTGCCGCGGTGAGGATGTTGCAGAGGAACGGGTGGGAGACATTTGCATGGCGGGCAGGACAATATCTGGATCTGGATCTCGTGGTGTCATGGCATACTTGCCCAGAATTGGCGACGTCACAATAGAATCATCGGGATCCCAGTGGTTGTTACCAAGCTGCAGCCGTAGACCTTCGCTCGCCAGTTGGGCAGGTCGGGGATGAGCAGTAGCATTGGTCCTCCTTGGTGGTTGAAGATCTAGTTTGCGGGGTGTTGAGCAATATGTTTGTTGCCGTGCGCAGGAGATACGCATCTCACGAGGAACTGCCTCAGAAGGGATCCGATCCGCATTCTCGAACGTAGCAGGAGAGTCGACCATCGGGAAGTCCCCGTCTGTATCTTGGCCGACATCTGAAGTAGCCTCCACCAAAGCATCGGGTTGCTCTGGTACATCCGACTTCTTGTCCGGGATCGTCGCATTGGCGATTATCCTCCGAGCCTCTTCGGACAGACCTCCATTCTCCTCCTCCCCTCCCGCCTCCGATTGACTTGCTGACGCTAGTGCATATCTTTCTGCATGCTTGGCCGCCTCGGGCTGGTTCGGATCTAGCGCACGAATCAGCACACCGTCGGTCAGGGATGGGTTGGTTCGACCCTTTCGTATCTTGCGGCGCGCTGAAGTGCGGATCTCTCTGATTTCGTCCTCCGACGAAGAATCAGTTGACGGATAGTCAGGTCCAAAGGGCGGTGGGCTCCATGTGACTCTGAAGCTGGGCTTTATTGGCTTCAACGGGGGAGTCCTGCCGGGCGCAATAAAGTCCCTGTCTAAATCGAAAACTTGATCCGGATCCTGAGCGTTGGACATGGAGGAGCGGGGTTGTTACATGGCAGGGAATGTTGATTAGATGAATCGAGCCACGCGAAGTCCCTGATGGTCGACTCTCCCGCTACCAGTCGAGCCGACGTTGATGATCTGGGATTCCGTCGAGAGTGTATGGCGTATACGAGCTTCGATTCTGGACGGATGTGCCTGTTAGCGTGTGGTCTGAGAGGAGGCGACCTCGAAGAAATTATGTCCAAAAATCATTCAGCACGCCTGCGAAGGGTATCTGACGTTCAACAACGCCCATCGACATATTGACCATGGCGTCAAATGCACGATAGGTGGATGAGCCTCATGAAAAGCAAGGACGTGAAGCACAGAGCTAGGGACCGGCCCACACGACGGTGGTCTCTGATGTTCCAGGCCCTTTCAGCCCGTTTCCAGAGGTCCCGCTCACTCAAGGACGCCCACAGACACCGAAAGCTAATAAATAAATGGGAACCAATACCAACCCGTTCTACTTGTTGACGAGTGTGAATATGGAGGTACGGCGGCATGGAAAGAAATTGAGGCATTCATACCGATGGTTGTTCCGTCGGACGCAATCAGAGAGGTGGAATGAGCAGGCTGGGCAGGTTGAGAAGGCCGCACTCTTGGTCTCTCATCCAAGTCAGCCGACCAGGAGATCTGACATCCAGCCAGAAGAAGTAACGGTCGAGGTGAAAGGTCGTGCAGATGATGAGACTCGAAGGCTTGAGCAGTTGAAAACGGTTTGTGTTTTCCCGGCTTTACTGTGTACGTCGTATAGCCGGACCGAGACGTGGAGGGGACGAGCCTCAAGGCCACATCAGCTACTCGTAGGAAATTAATGAGGATTGAGGATGATGATCCGAAGTCGTGGAGGCTGAGCTCGGCACTGCCACAATGCTTGGTAGGATTGTACGGTAATCTGGGGGTGTCAAGTTCAAGCCAACAACACCAAGTCGTCGGCCAGAGCAGCCTGAGCCAGGTTTTGGTGCAGGGATGCCTTGGGCACAGAGATGGAGTTGAATCGATGAGAGGGTCAGCAGGTCTATTCCCTACCCGGTTCTGTGATATGTATCATCTGCCAGGCGTTTTTGCATGCATCTTGTATTGTGAAGTTGGTGGGGGTTTCAATCAACGGCTGGAGACTATTCTCCTCGTTGCAAGGTCTAGACTGGATTACTTGACAAGTCAAGGGCGATGATGGGTCTAATAAAAAGCCTCCCGTTCCCCAGGGGACCTAGCCGTAGCTAATAGGACTCTGTGAACCAGTGAGTCAGGGAGGCCGACTGCCATAATTGGCGAATGGGCGCTAGGAGCTGTCGGGCACGGCATGACCGGAGGCCTAGAGAGGGGAGAGTCGGACGAGGATATCCATGACAGGCCAGTACCAGAGTGCTACTCCGTAGTTATTGATGGGATCATGTAAGGATAGGCGACCGAAGTGACAAGTCAATTGATGCACCTGGGCTAGTTGCAGCGGGATGATAAAAAAAAAGGAAAGCGCCACAACCAGCCAGGAGAGAAGACTCAGAGACTTGTTACTCAAGAGACCAGAGAAAGAGAGAGAACAGAGGAAGGAAAGAAATGGCGGGGCAGACACTGCATAGCTGCCCTGCATAGCACCCGGCATAGACACCAGACACCTCGACCTCTACTCGTAAGAGTAGCTTTTAGGGCACTGCTGCATTGTTGGGCACAGTTTCCAGCATTTCCTTTGGTTCGGTTCCTCACGGGCTGCTGTCGCAGGAGGTGATCAACATGGTGATGATGGGAGGATGGCTACGAGGAGCAAGCTGCCGATGTTGTTGGTGCATGAGGTGTATGAGGTGTCGTCGGTCTGGTGAGTTCTCTGCAGGGAAGTCCTGGAGAGAAGCAGGTTGATCCAGCACTTCCATGCAGCCACCAAAGCTGGGCGTCATCCGAATGAGCCTCAGAGGCTCAAAATGGAGCACACCATGTTTTAGGATGCTGCACGTTCAATCCACTCGCCTAGAGAGCCGCAAGCCGTGTCCTTGACTCCTTGTCCACATGCATCATTCCACGTACTGTGCGCAATAGACCTATCACATCTACCAAACCCCAGCCTAGTGAACCTCAACGTGTTGGAGCAGCGCCCATCACCTCCAATCCTCGTTTTGGCCAACTCAAAATCAGTGATCTAGGCCGACGCATCCTACGGAAATATCCAAGGCGTTTCTCACCTGTGCTCCAGAACGAATACCCTGTACAGTAGCGCCTTTTCCATGCCGCTCCACGTATGTCCGCTCAGGTTTCAAGTGTCGAAATGGACGCCATCTTGATTGAGCACGATGAAGTCGAAGAGGGTGTCTCAGCCTCACTTCAACGGCGAGCGTCGTGGGAACTTCCAGAAAGGACCTCGGGCCACAGCAGCATCAGCAGGGATCCGCTACGACAGGCCGTTTACCACAGCAGGTCATGTTTAGGCGATACCAGTCGCGCCAGTATATTTCGCCCATCTCGATACATGTCAGACCACCTGCGGCCCAAAGCACTAATGTATCTCGAAGCTCTGGGTTCGCGTGGAAAGGAGCGGAGTACCCTGCTCACCTGCTCTAATCACAGCGGACCTTTCCGATCATCGAGTAATGCCCCAGGCTAACCGTGCTGACCAACTCGATGCCTCAGTCGCGCCTGAAATGACAGTTGCAACCTGCCACCGACAGGTCTTGCTGGCAGGATCATGCCCTCCAACAAGGAGATTCTCTCTCCCTCCGAAGGCTCTACAAAAACAGCGGAAATAGGATGACGTACTGCATGACTTTTCACGTCCGCCATTCACGCCAACAGGTAGGCAATATGACTAGCCAAGTAACGGCTGTTCCGACGCATCTGCTTCAATTGTCCGATCGTCCAGGCCTCGGTAAAGGACGAAGTGTTGGACGATGAAAATGATGTCAAATGCGATGCTGATGTTGGAAAGACCCAGCTTCAAAGAGTTGCCGGTGATGCCGCTCCAGTCACCCTGGAAACTGGCGTCGATAATCAGTTGAAGTAGGGACAACACTCCGCCAGTGATGTCGAACAGGATTTGCGTGATACTCCAGCCTATCGTCGATTGGCGATTGAAATTCACGACCACCTGGGGGATATATTTGACAAAGGTGCAGATGAGCTTCACATAGCCCAGAGTATAGAGCTGCAGGATGGTAAGCGTCGCCGGAACTCTGACAACAGACGGGACATACCACATCAATCCATGCCCAATCTTGCGGATCCTGCTGCCGCCAGCCCGATCGATGGACCACGACAGCCATGACGGCCAGAACAGCAAGCACACTTCCCCACACGATTCCCAGCACAGGTTTCGCAGCCCGTTGTCTGGAAGAGACTTTGAAGCCCCAGAGCTGGGGAAAGAATTGTGAATACGTCAGCACCACCAGGACCACGGCATGCACTCCAAAGGCCACATCGTTGAATTGGACTGTCGGCTCTGGAGATGCCGGATGTCTGGCGGCGTATTGACTGCGTATTGTAGTCGAATATAGGAATCCACAAGAGGAGATGCTGTAACACAAGAACCCAACCACGTTTAGCAATGGGAAGTCGATGGCAAGGCCCAAAGTCGACTTGCGCTTCCAGTTCATCCGGGGTTGCGGGTAGAAGGAAGCGCTCCAGGACAAAGTACTGCGGTGAATGTGAGCATCACAGAAGTGTCCACCGTCTGGCCTCAACATACTAGATCCATCCCAGAAGTCTAGAAATGTATGAGTACTGATGATACCTACCAAGACTCGGGTTTCGCATGCCTACCTTGAAAGGGCTTTGCCAATCGTCACCCATTGGGCGTCGCTGGTCATTGTGACCGTAAGAAGCGGCTCGCCGGCGCTCTCATTACCGCTTTTTGGTAGTGTCTAGCATGGATATTGACCGTCGAAGATAAGCCAAAAGGTTTGTTTGATGTGTGAGACTCATTCCTGGGGTTTTATCATCGTGGTCATAGACGATGTGATAGGCCAACGATAGGATGGTGACAGGCTCAGTGGTTGCCGTTCACAACGGGAGCTTGGCACCTCAAACCAACCGACTGCGAACCAACTGGCCATATGCCCAAATGCCCAAACCTGGTTATGACACTTACAACTCAAGGAGAATTAATTCTTGCTGCCCGTCAATACCATCAGGTGGTTTTCTATTCTGCAGAGGATCGAATCTTACAATCTCAAAATCTCATATCATTCACACTTGCAGACACTGATCTTCTACCCAAGCCTGTCCTTCACCCCACTCAAACCCCCAGTAAACAAACCACTTCCACCGCGACCCGATCGAGCCGTCGCAACACAATCCCATTGTCCTCGAATTGTAACGACCGAAGCCTTGATCCATATCGAAGACGACTGCTGCATATATCCTCCTTTGATGGTCCGTACTTCTTGACGCTCGGAGGTCTACCTCCACCAACGACCCGTCCTACACACGAGCCATGTCGCCCTCACCGCAGCTAGCTCCACCCGGGAGCAGCTCGTATGACTCGGACACAATGCATGTTGGGGATGGAACCTGGGATGCAGGAAGAGACGACTTCTTATTACCCAACCTTGTCGGGTTCAACTTTGCGACGATGAGATACAATGGTAAGCTTGGGAGAGACTGCGTTCGTTCTGAACATGCACTGACCCGGAGAAGGCATGGGAAATAGGTTTTTCACCATGAGCGGCTACCACTCTCTGGTCGAAGCGCATGGCATCATCGCCGCCGTCACATTCCTCGGAGCAGTCCCGCTGGCCATCTTCCTCGTCCGATTCTATGGCCGACAGCCACGAATGGCGTTACGGCTGCACATATGGCTTCAAATACTCACACTTCTGCTGAGCACGGTGGTCATCATCCTGGGCTTCATGGCAGTTGGCCCCAACCGAGGCTTGACAAATCCGCACCATGGCATCGGGGTCGCCATCTATGTCCTGGTTTGGGTGCAGGTCATTGGAGGATACTTGCTCCACAGGAAAGAAAAGGGACGCACACGACATTACATCCCGGTAAGGGCCATGCTGCATCACTGGCTGGGTCGAGCTATCGCTCTGCTGGGCATCACTCAGGTCGCGCTCGGGCTCACTGTGTATGGCTCGCCACTCTACCTTTTTGTGCTGTACACCTTATATGTGTTTGCGCTGCTGGTCTTGTACTTTATCTTGGAGTGGCTAGCAGAGCGAAGAAGAGCGCAGTATGACAATGGCGGTAGCTATTACAGCGACGAAGTGGTGTCCAGGCCAGCTCAGCGCCAACACTCGGGGCTTGGAAAGCTGGCAGTGGCTGGTGCAGCCGGGGCTGGGTTGGCGGCACTGTTCAGACGACGATCTTCCCGGCACCGGGCGCACCCAAGTGATACGGGCACGGAAGACAGCACGACATCTTATTACACTGACGAAAAAGCGTCTGACCACCACCACAAAGGCATTGGGCATCGCCTGTTACAGGTGGCTGCAATAGGGGGAGCTGTTGCAGCCGCGAAGAAGTTATTCGGCCGTGGACAGCGCGATGATGATTCCGAAGCTGGACCTTACAGGCCACCGCGACCGGCGCTCGGTGGTAACCAGTCTGTGACGACAGACTCAATGTCACGAGTCGAAGAAGGGAGACCGCCAATACGACCTACGACACCTGTGGGAGCTAGTCCAGGTTATATTCGACCAACCCATCCTCTTGCCCAGCCTCCCATGACACCGGGGTCAGGGAGACGACATTCTGGTTCTTCTCTCTCCTATACGGACTCTTACGCTTCTGCGTCTCCGTCTCGGCAAGACAGAAGACCACACACCTTCCGAGATGCTCTGGCTGCTGGTGGTGCCGTCTTCGCAGTCCGCCAACTCTTCAAACGAAAACAACGAAAAGACCAGGGAAGGGTGGAACAGGAGAAAATCTCTCGCATGAATGGGACTCATGGCTTCACTGGTGATGGTGTGACACCACCTAGAAGAACTCGCCATCATCGAATGGGCAGCCAATCTGCGTCCGACCTCACCAGTGACTTGGAAAGCCGACCTGGCGCAAGTGGAGCCCTTCCCGTGGCAGGCGTTGGTGCTGCTGCTGCAAGTGCACTTGCGGACAGGAATAGGATCAGACCTGTTGGTACAGATCCAGTTATACACACGCCAGGGCCACCAGGCGTTGGGCCTGCTGATATTCCCCCTTTGCCACCTCCTCACCTAGACTCGTCAGGAAGCGAACTCTATACCACGGCATCAGGTCGGCAGAGACATCGACACCACCTTCGGGATGAAGCCGCAGCTGGTCTCGCCGGTGCCGCTCTTGGGGCTGCAGCCGGGGACCATTCACGGAGACGGCACAGCGGCAGGAACACAGAATCGATGGAATCGCCTCCCGTGAGCTTGAATGTCAAAATGCACGGCGACGGTCGCCACGTTACCTTGAGACGGTTGACGGAGGAAGAGGCTGCAGCGCAACGCGAAGCCCGAAGAAAACAACGTGCATCTTCTGCAGCCAGAAGGCATCGAAATTCCAGTCTCAGTAGCAGCGAAGGTGACGGACTGGTGGCGGGACCGAGCGCTGATCGGCGCTGGAGACGCACTGAAGCCATGGAAGCTGAGCAAGCCGCGCAAAACGAAGCGGCAGCAGCTCCTCGGCCGGTTGCGCCTGTTGTTCCAAGCACAGGTCTCCTGTATCCGACGCCTCCTCCTCCTGGTACCCAAGGGGTTGATCCACGAACCGGACAGCCCTACCATGTTCCGCCGCCTCCGCCAATCCCAGGTTCGACGAGTAATCTGGGCCCAGGAGGAAGTGCCATCACGTCGCCAGGCACTGAAACCAGCGGGGCCACCGAGTACGCCAACAATCGTCGCAGAAGAAGAGCAGAAAGAGCCCAGGCTCGTCTCGCGAGAGAGGGGAAGACGGGAAACACAGTCGATTTTACGTGACCTCTGTGAGCGTGAAGAACCTGGCATGCTGCAATCGAACCTGTCATGATGAATTTATGGACGACGTGTGCTTGATCTGGACCAGGGCGGCCGCACTGGTCTCAAAGTGTTTCTGTGTATTTGCATTGCGTCTGGTTGTTTGGAATTCTGCATTACTTGCTTACGACGAATGAGATGAGAATGGCTGGATGGGCGCAATACTGGACATATGTGCGTCAATTCAGCGGATCAAGCTTGTGTATGAAGGTAATACTATGTAGCTGGCCAAGAATGGACAGTGTCTTGTACAATTTGCTCCCGTGAGATGAAGCTGTCATACGTGAGCTGGCCTTGACTGGTGCTGGGGGTGTACGTGGGCTAGGCAGACGCTCGACCCAACTACTGGGCCGTGATGTTTCACGATATCTTTGAGATGTGCACGCTCCGGAGCATGGTGGTAGTCCTGTGGAGCTGTTCTGAGGCCGCTGAGTCCAGCCGGTGACCCAAGTTGCAAGACACCCGGGGACTGACCGGAGGGCTGGAGGCTGGTTAAGAAGGATTTCGTTGGTGGTAGTTACATCAGTGGCTGGATATGGTTTTCCGGCGTTGCAGAAGCGAGGCAACGCCTGGACCGTTTGCAGGCCTGGGAGCATGATTGAGCCATCATTGGTACCTTAGGCACGCTTAGGTACTCCGTAGTGAGCCTTGCTCCGGGCAGGTGAGGTTGCTAAGCGTGCCAAGCGAACTGGGTGAACCACGCGCCATTCGGCTGGTTGAAGGCTTAAAAGTTAGGCCGGCAGCTGGCTCTGCGCTGCCTTGTTGGCCAGCGCAAGAACCACGCCGTCAGTCATCTCCAAACCCAACCCAGCCTCCCACGACAGCTTCACTTCTTCCTGGAACCTCTTATCTTCCTTGCGACCCTTCTTGCTTCATTTCCTCCAGTTTCCGCCAGGTCTGTCTTTATCATTCTCTTCCTGTACACCTTTTCCCCCTTGGTCGCATTACCCTAGGGGTTCGTGGCAAGCTCGATAGCCTGCTGAAGCAACACCATCCTTCACCAACCAGCGCACTCCTTCTCCGCCGTTCGTTCACTTTCCACATTTCGCCCCCCGTTGCTTCGAACTTTTAGACTTGATGGCATAGTCGTGCCATATTCCATTGAATTCATCTTGCCTCGATACACCTTTCGAATTAAACATAATGGAGCCCACGAGCCCAGAATCTCAGGATATCGACATGAACTTCCAACCGGATTGCGACCAAGTCTACCCCGAACCGCCTCCTCGTCTTGCGGCTCGTATCTACCGTAAATCGAGTGCTCGCCGGAAATCCTCGGCCAATTCCTCCCGCCGAAGTTCACTCTCCTCGATTCACTCCCACTCCTCCAACCGGTCTAGCCATGGCGGTCCTGCCAGCACACACATTGCTCAACATCTACGGCGGGCCTCGATCATCGAAAGTCGAAAGGCCCGACTGGCAGACAGAGCGGCCCATGCGGAACAAGTCAGATTGAGGGCAGCAGCCGCCAAAGCTGCTCGAGGAGTCTCATACAGCGAAGAGAAGGCCTTGGCCGCACAAGCCGCTCGAGAGAAGATGCTGGCTGAAATCACGGCCCGATGTGAAGAAGAAGTCCGACGGGCTAAGAAGATCGCTGAAGAGACAAAAGAGCGGAAGGCTGCCGAGCTGGCCAAGCTCAAGGAGGAGATGGCAGAGAAATTCGCAGAGGCAGCGCGGAGGAAATCCATCTATCAGCAAGGCATGCGGAGACCGAGAACGACTTCTTTGGCCTCTGTCGAGGAAAAGAAGGTGTCTCCTTCGGCCCTGAAACAATCCAGTCGGGGTTACGCCGCGAAAGTCATACAGCGAGCATGGAGATCCTACCGCAGCCACAAGATCACGACCGACTTTGCTGCCCTAGAGCTGGATTTGAACCGCGCCCGGACGCTATCTTTCGAGGATCTAACGAGGCTCCTCTCAACGGACAAGACTACAGCCATGACCACACGGCTGTTGAAACACATTGGAGTGTTAGAAGACGGACAAGAGCATGCGGGAGCCGTCCGTATCTTCTTGAGTGCATACCTGATTTTGTCACACCCAGTGCAGGCCCTCAGCCACGGTGGCAATCAACCCCATGAACAAGAGTTGATGACCAAGGCCAGTGCTTTGGTCGGAGCGTTCGAATCACATATGAAGATCAAGGCGCCTAAGTCACGGCGAGATACGTCGACCACCACCAGAGATGCTCTGTGCTTCGCCTTTAACGACTTTTCGGCCACTTTCCATGCGTGGAAGAGCCAGGACATGGGTGTATTGGTGGACATTATGGTCAACTCCTTTGTCAACCTTGACCTCATCTTGCAGGCGACCAAAGATGATCAGGAAGGGCATGTTGCGCAGGACTACCTGGATGCAGTCAGACAAGAACAGATCAAATTGTTGGCCAGGCTGAAAAGGCTGGCCGGACCAGAGGAAGCTCTGTCAAGGGTGAGAACAGCTGTCAGAAAGGCTCGAAAGCAACGAGTCGCCGAACAGCGTCCAGATCGTATCGACCAAGTCCCACGGGCATCAACGCCTGTCAATGACAGTAGCATGACCGTACACGGAGCTCCCATCACACCTCCTGCTACTCCACAGCCTTATCAACGCGAACGCGACTTGAAAAGTACGACCTTTGCCAATGACCTTGGTCAAATCATGACGGTCCTGCCTTCCAATCGTGAGATCGCTCATGAAATTTTGATCAACGGCAGCTTTGAGGTACAGCAACGCCCATGGACAGATGCACGGAAGGACTTGATGATGTCGCTTCGCTCAAGCATGCGTAGCAGCATGCAAGATGGCAATAGCGAAGCTGCTGCAACCTGGACTCATGCCATGGCAATACTCATTCGTGAGAAGGTGATGAACCTCGTCAGCCGTCGGCATCCGCTCTACGACAGATTTGATGGGATTTTGGATCCAACCTTGATCAGTCAGCAGTGCCGGAATGGCATGTTTTCATACAACGCATTTTTTGAGACCATTTCGAGATTACTTGCACAAATCTGTTCGCCAGGACGTGACGAGCTCGTCCAGGCTTTTGCGAATAACACGACCAGCGACACCATCGACCGGCTGTTTGACGTTATCAACATCATTGATCTGATGACTCTGGATCATATCAATTTTCAATTCCGGCTGGCTGCGCAGGCTGTCCTTGAGCGCGGTCATGAGCACGAAATAGCTTCATTTGAGAAGGATCTTCGAGATGGCGTCCATACGCTCGAGCGGACGAAACATTGGTGGTCAAGCTCTAAAGCCAACGTCTCTGCGAACACAAGTGGCAGTGTGGTGTATGCCAGAGGGTTGACCGATTTGGTTCTGCGCAATACTCACCTTTGCCATCGCGACCTGCCAGAGACCCTACAGCTCGATTACATCCGGTTGCTGAAATGGAGAGCTCGTGCTTTCCATATGATAGCTACATCTTCCGTTCTTCTCACTACGAAGATCCGACTAAGGCGCAACCGAGAGTCACTGTGGGCGAAAGACGCAGAACGGTTGATGTCGTTAGACCTCCTCAGCACCGATGTTTCCCGCGTCGTCTCATTGATCGAGTCATCTCACATGATGCCAGAGACCATCAAGGAGGGTTTGTCCAACTTTGTGGGTCGAGTCCTGCCTCCTGCTATTGCTGCGGCCAAGAACGCAGATACCGCTGAGCGAGATCGCCAAGATGCCGTTCATAGCCAGTCTGACTATCATCCTTCGGAAGACGAGCCGACGATTGCTGGAGACGTTTTCACGGAACAGATCGCCAGCTTCTTGCTAAAATCACTGCGCGAACACGTTTTCGCGAGGCTGTCTGCCACCGGGACTGCGGAGCGAGTTCGAACCACCACAAGTGCTGGGGAAATACTGGCCAGAGCGGGCATGCCAGAGTTTTTGGAAGAGGTCAATCTTCTCGTCGATGCGCTTGACAGGATTCGCTCCGTCGATCTTAAAGCTCATGGCAAATGGTACGATCAGGTCGCTGCCGAAGTTTCATGATTGACGACTGCATTGGATTGTTAGTGATGCAAAATGAGACAGGTTGTGGTTACTACTGGCGCATGTTTGAGCAGTTGGCGTCTGTTGCGGGACGATGTATTGAGGGCCCTGTTCGTGTTCGTGACTGTTCTGCATCCCTGGACTTCGTATGTCTCATGAGATTTGCGCATACTGTGTACACACATACACGACCACCGTGATGACGGGGTTTGATTGACGACGATGATGATATGATGAACTGATACATCCAAGCATGACTTGCAATACTATATACTCCGCACTTTGTACTTTGTACTTTGTGACTCTTGTCGATCTCGTATTTTTCTTTCATGCCCAGAGCTTGTTATCTTTCGCCGTCGAAGACTGTGATTGATTGATATAATGATGCCCGCTACGAAAAGAGCACGGAGCCGTCATGGTCGTCACATCGCCCGGTCGGCTCCTGGAGAAGTCGTTCAATTTCAGTCCAATCCACATACAGTACTCCGTACCCGTTTTTCGGTATAGTACTCCGTATCTCCGTATTGTAGAGGGGTTTGGCAGCCGCTTTCCTTTCCCGCCTGCAATCATACCGATCACGAGCAGCTCAGCCTGCTTCTCGAAGAGTGGCCCACTCTGTTCGCCTGACCCTTCATTCCGCTCATGCTCATGCATGGGTCAAAAAGATCCTCTCACCGCATGGGTTTCCCAGTCACTATGCAGTGCAGTTGCGGTTGCGGTTGCGGCGACATGCAATCCATACCCATCCAATTCAATTCCACATCAATTCAAGTACTTGTCAAACCACTCGACGGCCTGCCTCTTGGCCCCTTCATACCCACTCTCGTTCGTCTCGTCGTACTTGCCGATCGGCGCACGTACACAGAATCCGTGCACACAGCCCTCGTAGAGCTTGAACTCGTACGTACAACCGCTCTCCCCGCCGCTTGTCCCGACCACCTCGCGCAGTGTGGCCTCGACTTTCTCGGCTTCGGCCTTGTTGAACTGCATGTCGTTCTCGGCGACGGCGACCGAGTAGGGCACTTTGAACTTGCGGATCGCGTCGACGACCATCTCGGGCGTCTTGACTATGTACGATGGGTGGCCGTTGAATTGGGCGTCGATTAGTCGTGGACTGGCATCTGCGTGGTTGGAGTCTGCGGTAGTAGTTTCAACGCACAGCTTCGTGGCCGGCCAGGCGCCCCAGCAGAATCCGGCAACGCCCACTTTGCCGCCAGGTGGCAGGTCTGCTTTCACGGCGCGCGCGTACGACAGGATCTTCGGGTAGACTTTGGACGGGTGGGCGAACAACAAGAATGGGATCATGGAGGGGATGAGGGTGAGTGCTGTGGAGACTTTGGATAGGACGCCGGTGACTGTCCAGCTGGCGTTGGGGGTCATGAGGATTTCCATTCTATGCACCGGGTTTTAGTATCGTAACACAAATACTAATACCTAACGTAGTCGCAAGGCACGGAAAGCGGTCCAATAATGGAGGCTTGGGGTAACGAAGGACATGCTGTGGGTTCGGTTGGGGGTGCGACTTACTTGGGCATGAGGGATGGGTCCAAGCCGCCGTCATACTAAGTAGCGGTGTTGGTTAGCGTTGATGAAGGATATCAATGTGAGAGGCAATGGATGGGTGAGGGAGAGGGCCCGTCTTGTCTTGGCTCCGGGGCCTCTTCCTTCCCATCTTTTCTTCAGAGATCGAAGGAGTAGATGATGGAATGTGCGAGGTTTGGATGATGATGGCGTCGGAGAAGGCAATGCTAGACTGGGGAAGGCAGTGCTATGGTGAAGAAATGACAAACTTACAACGACGTCCGGAATGTAGACTTTGCATCCCGTCCCGGCAGCGTACTCGTCGGCCAGGAGTTTGTTGTTGACGAGTTTGAGCGAGAAGCCGTCCGGGAGGTATATGATTGCGGATTTGCTGCGAGCAGGGTCGCTGCCGCCGGCGACATAGGTGCGAATCCCGTGGATGGTTTCGATGGTGCCTTTTGGTTCGGCGTGGTTGTGGGCGGCGCCGCGGAAACAGTCTGGGCAGGACATGATGATTACTACCTAGTACTGATTGATCGATTGATCGATTGAGGAGGGAATTGTTTGTCGCCGGCTAGAGTACTGGTATGTGATGTGGTGATGATGGTCGAAGGAGGCGGGGTTGCGGTCAGTCCTTCGCTGCCTGGCAAGCTGGTAGGTGCCTTCGGGCCGGTCTAAGGGAGGTCAGGCCCGGCTTCTGATAGGCTTCAACTTCCAACTCCTCCTTCTCAGCTCAACCACTTTCGGTATTCCTGCACAAAATCTAGCAATTCATGGTAGATGCTTGGAAGAATTCATGCCGTTGCTCGCTCCGTCGAGGCTGATGATTCTGAGTATTACACGCCCATAATCGAGACGAGACGATGGCTTTAATGACACTGGGAACTCCCTTGGGTGGGAACAATCGGGACTTTGATTTTCACCGGCGGCATGAACATCCCGAGTCCGAGTTCGAGTCCGAAGTCCGAGTTTAAGTCTGATGGGTCTGCCGACGGAAAGCGAGTGAGTAAACCAGCGTCAGGCTATTGGATACAATACTAGTAATGATTCCCTAACTGACTTGCGGTGTTATCAGTCCGCTTGAAAATCTACGGTCATTGTACGGATGACCATAGTGAAATCCTCCCTTGCATTGAGTTGGCACCACGGCCTTATTCTCCACGGCCTCAGGACTTGTTGGCCCAGGGAAACAACGTCTCACATCGAGTCAGTAACGTCGATCCAGTGTTAGCAGTGTACCCTCGCTACTACAGGCAGTGGTATGATTGGAAAGAGTGCCTTGGTAAGCGACAGTGGGTATTGCATTGAGATGCTGCTGATTGGAGTGCCTCCGACAAGAGCAGCTGGTGCTAATGTAGTCCTTTTACCAAGTGAGAATGGTGGCTAGATCATTTGCCTGCAAACTGAAGGCTGCTCAGCCCTTGGGGTACGATAAACACCCTAGACTCTAACTTAGTGTCCTCAGATCGCCCAAGACTTGATCGGCGGACTCATACTCGCCACGCCAGCACCGTTGGACGATTGTGGTGCAAGGGTGGGAAGTTTGGGGGAACTCGTTTTCCACGAACCGGCGATACGCTTCTTTCTCTCGCCGGTCCTGTTCTTCTTGATGGTCCTGTTGAGGTTGGTCGTCCGTCGTCGGCGGCACGAGAAGATCTTCAAAGACCTCCTGGCCGGCCATGATGAAGTGCATGGTGGACCCAAAAGCAAACAGATCGGTCTTGGTGTCCAGGTAGTCCCCATTTCGGGGCATGAAGTACATATAATTCTCTCTGGCCAAGCCGTCCAAGACGACTTTGCCGGTGCTGCGAGCTTCGAGAACCCCTTGGACGTCTGCGATTTTGACGTCAAGAGCCTCGTCGAGCAGAATATTTCCTGGCCGAAGGTCCCCATGGTACACCGATCTACCGTGAAGATGCACGATGCCCTCGGCAATCTGGGCGCAATATCGGAGGCGCCGTGCCACGGAGAGGTCGCTGTGCCGAAGAATGTAGTCGTGCAACGTGCCGTTGACGGCGTACCGAAGTAACAGTCCGCTGTCTGTCAGCCCTGCTGACTCGATGATGCGTCGGTGCTTGCCCGCGTGCTCCAACAACTTGTGCTCGACCTCAATCCTCGGCCTGTCTGCTGGAAAGTACGGGTACTTGAGGACTGTTTGGGGATCGATAAGGCCGACGAAGCAGGACGACCCGTGGCCAATGATATGCGTTACACCGGGCGGGAAACGTAGCTCGACATCTACGATCTCGACGTCGAAACTACCCATGTCGATCGCAAGTTGTGAGTCTTTGAGAAGGATGATGGATGTCCGAGTGTCGTGGTTTTCAGATTCAGTGGTTTACATTCCGAGGATTCGAGTCCAATGCCAAGCGCGAGTGTTTTCAAATAAAGTCGGAACGCTGTGATGGTGGGCTGTCGGTACCGTAAGAGATGTGTGCGACGTGTCAGAGAGATGGAATGATCGAAGGTGCAATGAGTAGGTCGAGGCTGACGGGCTCGGCAGGAGCCAATCGACAACGCACAAATTGAGCTATCTGACGGGTACCGGTGTTACATTTATCCGACGACGCTGTACCATGAGGACTCACATTCTGTCACCTAAACTCTGTCGCCATTGTCTTCATCGTTGAGTAACCCCGGTATTGTCTCCCTCGGGCAAACCTGATCATATATAGAAACCATTGGTGTGGCAAAATACAGCCATGTCCACCCCGTCCAATCCAGTCTACCCTATGGCGCCTCCCGCGACGTTGGTAGCAATCAAAGCTTTTGATTCTTCATACCTCCTCCCAGGAACCCATGTTCCTCTTATCTCTGTCAACCTCTGGTGGTGCAGTGGAAGCAGGAAGTTCGTACGCATGCTCGACGCTTTCATGCGGCATCTCTGCGTGGGTATAAGGGTCAGTCCAAGGTTCTCAAGACGTCTTATCTTTCAGCATTTGGGGCAGATCCCACCTCTTCGTGTAGATTGTCCCATGTTCTTATCGGTGTAGGCTCCACAGTTCTTTTTACAAGGCTTCGGAGTCCTCACAATGATTATGTGACTTGGCTGCGCCGTGCAATTGACATATTTAGTGGTCTGAATAAGGCGTTCACACATGTTGCAATAAGGTAGATAGATGATCACGGCTTATAATATATCTCGCTGACCAGATTGATCTCGTGAGTAGATGCACTCGGTAGGCAGATCGAAGCTTTAGTACCAGGTATGTTGGTTGTTTGATGCAATGATGCAACCGCGAGTAAACGTGGCACCAATGAGAGGCTGTAATGCCATCCGCAAGTACATACATAGGATATCACGCTTGGCCATGGTTTTCCGGCCGCTGCGCATGGTATTGAAGGAAAGCAGACATTGCTGGCAATGGTTTAGAGGCTTCTGCCCAGACCGTGTCGCTTCCGGCAGATGTTAGACAAAGACCGAAATGGTGCTGCAGGGTGGAAGAAGTCAACAGTGTGTGATCGTCTAACTGGACGTTACCATTGCAGATTCCACGGTATTTAAGCTTGTCACTCTACTCTTTAAGCCGGTCATTCTGCCGTTTGACTAGTTGTACAAGCTCTTTTCGTTGCTGTTCTAAATGAGCCACCAACGTGGTCTCCCTATCCCTCGCATCCTTCCGTTGTTGTTCGAAGTCTATCCGCTGGTGCTCCAGCTGCCGTTGCAGGTTTTGAATCATGGTTCGAAACTCGGCATTCAAGCCCCCACCTCGCCGTGGTTTGGGGAAAACCTCATCCTGGGATTCGGCGCACTGCTATCTTCCTGAGAGCTTTGTACGCTAAGGTCATCGATATTTGCCGGCTCCAGCGTCCGTGTAAGTGGATCAGGCAGCTCATCGATCACGGCGGTGAGTCGCTTGAGCAGAGCCGGAGCGAAAATCTGGCAAACGTTAAGAGTAAACTGATAACATAGCCATCTGTGTTGGCCCTTTTCATCCCCGAAATTGAGGACTTTGATCGTATCGCGGAAGTACAACGTGTTCTCACGCTCGACCTCAGGATAGTGAGCATAGATACGGGCATCCTGGTCATCATGCGAAATCGAAAATCCCAGAGCCCTCCGATGCACGTCTGAAGCACGGTCGGCTTTCCGAAAGACGGCCACGATCCCTCGAAGTGCAATGGTCATGCTGTGAGCATTCGGTCGATCCGCCAAGTCGAGGGCTTGCTGGCCACACTTTACCTCGCTAGTCAGAAAGGGGGAAAAGATATCTTCGCGGGCGGTATAGTACGACTTCTCCAAAGAGTCGATGTTACTTGTCGAGGGTTAGATATGCGGCGGATCTTGTGAGGCCGTTCACTAATGTGGCTCTGCGCGGCGTGTCGTTTGTCTAGAAAATGTTAGTGATCCTTTATTCCATGTCGTTCAAGGAAGGCGAATACCGTGTAAATTGGCCAGTACGTAACTCCGCACGTTCGTGGCTTCCATATTGGGCGATGCCATACGTCGTAGAGGAGAGCGAGCGTGCTTATGTCGCCTCGCGCAGTGTCATGTCCGTCACATAGAAAGATATCAAAATACGGATATCGCAGGTAAATAAGCGCAGGTCGAGGGGGCCGCACCGTCATCCAATCGTGTGGGCTAGGGTTCGCTGTCACATGCGACCTACCATGGGCGCTAGTTTATTTACCTCGCCGAGCCAGGTAGGCTCACTAGGCTCAAAGGACAGGCTGCGACATTAACACATATAACGTCTTGATCGTATCCTTTTGTATGCGAGACGCATCTTTATACTCACCATCCTCTTTGAAGAGAATTGAATCCCTATTCTGTCTTTCCGAGCCATTTCTCAATACTGTACAGTACCATTTCAGCAGACACTCCCGGTCTGTTTTTCCAGCTCTTCTACGAGATCCTGCGCCGATCCAAATCCCTTAGTCCAGCATTTCTCAATGATAGAACCTAACCACACCCCACTGGTTGACGGGAGAGTATCCCGCCGAGGCCAGGTCGGCTGATCCCCGACCTGCCTCCAATCATGATAGATGTCAAAGGCACACCGCTGACCGGTTATCATGTCGAACATGACAGCCCCGAACTGTCCGAGATCCGTCCAAATCGAAAAGCCGCTTCCATCACACCCGTCTAGGTCCCAGTCGAGCGGCATCAAAGAGGACTCGGAGAAATCAATGAGCTTGATGCTCATGTTTTCGTCATATACGATATTGTCCAGACGGAAGTCGCCGATGATAACACGTCGAGAATGGATGTGGGCCATGGCGTGCGCCAACTGGGTTAACCAGGATAACAGCGTCGCCCTTGCAGGTCGTGTCTCATCCAGATAATGTCGAAGGTCGCCTTCCATTAACGGCATCTGGATCGAGGGGTCAGTGGATTGAAGATTATAACAGCGAATAATCCCAGAATGGTCGCCTAGTCTCCTGTAGATGGCCTTCTCGTTCTCGAGAGCCTCGATGGCAGTAGCTCGTTCGTCATAGTCGCCTTCCTTAGGAGGAGGAAAGCCTCCGTCATCGAAAGGCACTCCGTCAATCTTGATGATTTTCGATATCAGAGGGATCTTATAGGCGTAACCTCCACGGGAGACGACAATGCCCGTCCCGCCCACTCCGATGATCTGTTCTCTCACAACCGTGCCATCTAGATAAACGTAGTTTGCGTCCATAGGTGGTGGCTGCTACGGTAGAGGCCGTGTAGGCGGGTAGGCGAGGTCGGTTCAAGACTCGCTGATACTGCATGCTCAGTTCGACTTGCGACACAGTGAGGAGGGTGCTACCTTGAATGAGTTCTGCCTGGTTGTGTCTAGTGCAGCAAACCGACGGAGGACAGGAGATGGATTCTGTAGAGTAGGTGGCAGGAGTTTCGCTCATCGATGCCGGGTACAGAGTGAGAGTTGGGACACCATCTATGCATGAAGGGCCGACCTTGACAATGTCACGAAGACAGGAAAATGATCGGCAATGTAGAGGTAGTAGGTGGTAAGTAGGTAAAAGCGTTAGGCTGCCAAGCTATTCTAAATGTGGAAGGTGCAGCGATGGCACCAACAGCGACAGTGATAGTGATAGTGACACGAGTGAGTGGTCGTGGGGAGTGTGGTGTGTGTGGTCCATTGGGTTCGATCCTTCCCCTTTTGACAACTAGTCTCGCCTCGACGCCAGGCCGGTCCTGTTCACAATACTACCACCTATGTATGCCCGACGCAGGGCATGGGTTTCTTGCCAGTTGCTTCGAGACATCCACCAGTGTCAGGTTGAACAGTACGGCATGGGGGCGAGACAGAGCAAGGTCATTGGCGCACAGTACCCTATGTTGCCAGCAAGCCTACCTGCCGGCCAACCCAGGGCTAGGACATATTAAATGAAGTTGGTATCCCCTTTGTGCTGTCTCCTTGCTCCAAACAAACACGCCCAGGAATCTAAATTCATCTACTCCCGCCAGAGAGGGCTTGCCAATTCATACACCTTCGTTTCCCAACATGCCGAATCCAAAAGGCTGTGGCTGCAAAATCGAACATCCTGCTGTTCGACGCTGCCCCAACTGCACTAAATCACCAAATTCTCACGTCGTCTGCCTGCCAACCCACATTCCGAGGGCAAGGACACACCATTGTAGTCGACAAGACGTACAAACGCATACCTTCGAGCATGTTTATCCTGCCTCATCCACTCGACGTCGCGATAACTGCTGGAATCATCGGCTCCCAGGTCTCTACTACCAAAATGGGCAAATCCATGGCCCAGTGCACATGAGGACAGGCTTCTGATGGATCAGGTTCCCCAGTCGTCTGACAAGTCGTTCTGGCACGTGTCTTTACCGCACGAATGCGGGTTTTGTTGTCACAATGGAAGAAGGATATAAGAGGAAATGCGGGGGCGGACATTCATTGCTTGATGGGGAAATGCTTGCCATCCTTCGCTCCTTTACATGATTGGCAGCATGCGATTGCAGGACATCATCTACTTGGACATTTCGATGCTGTATCTCACTCATCTTTCTTGCATCGACAGTCGTCAAGGCTGGTATGAGGGTGCCACAACTATGTGAACTGTAGGGTATTATATGCAAGAACTTTACAAGATTTGAGATGGCATTAAAGCGCACGTCAAGCTGCGTTTTCAATGAAGGTGTCACCGCGAATGCATATGACTATAGTGACTAGGCAAAAAAAAATAGTCGATACTCAGTTTGTGAGTCTCGCCCGTCGAGTCACGAATACCCAGTGGTGTTGCAGCCTTGAAGGAGGACAAGTCATCTACATTTCACATCAGACGAACGGAAGCACCTTGAAGCCTGCCTTGCTCCATGCAATCCGATACTCTTCCTCATTCATCCACCCTTCTTCCCTGGTGAGTCTTTCCAACAACGAACCAAGTGATGGATTCGCAACCTGCGAAAGACCTGTTCCGCTGATGCTCGGCACTAGTACCCCGGAAATGTCTGCAACGGCCTGTCGGAGCTGTTTGAAAGATTTGGGCTGCTTTTGAGACCAACAGGCTTCGATGACTGCTTGATACTTTTTCGCCGCGGCTGGGAAAGGCAATCTGCACTGCTGGAGATCTTGCCGGGTCCGATTGAGGTCAGCAAAACTCTGAGCCTCGGCGAAAGGGTCGATTCCAGAGGCTAGAAAGAAGATGCAGGTTGCGAGGTCGAACTGGTCCTCGAGAATCTGATGTCCAAAATCTTGGTCCTTGACATGGACAGCCGAGCCAAAGTCGAAGATTTTGAGTCTGTTTTCATGATCGATACCCATGTTGAAGATCGTTATGTCCCCGTGAAGGTAATCGAGATCTTCCAAGAAGGATACCACGTCGAGAAGCTCGAGAATCCAGATCCCACGAAGATGCTCCGTCGAGTCGTTCCAAGCGTCTTCAAGGGGCCTGACTCTTTCGAGGATGAGACAGTCTGGCTTGCTGCACTGAAAGCTGGCCACGACATTTGGATGCGGATGTTTCGTCAGAAGATCGTAGATCCGGGACTCTTGCTTGAAATAGTTGAAAGCTTTGAGTGACAGCATGAGATGACCGGTCTTTTCGTCGTCTGTACAGCCATCACCCACAGGAAACTGAAATGGCACCTTGATGACGGAATTGCCATCAAGTTCATACACTGTTCCCTGTGAACTTAGACATTCCAAAAGAGATAGGTTGTAAGGATTGATCCAAGTATTGTCGGCCATTACGAAGAGGACATGACCGCCAGGAACCTGAACAGTGCTGTCGCAAAGCCAAAAACCCATACAAGACGGTCAATGGTGCAAGTGTCAAGCAAACCGAGTTGCAGGTGGTCGGCTGACTGGGTTCTGGTATACCATAACTCTGAGCATATGGAGCACCAGTCGTGTGCAACGCTTATTCTTGTATGATCGGGAGACGTCAAAACTCGTCCCGGTCAACTGTTGCATACGAGTTCTTTCACTCCGATTATTGACGCAAGTGGCTGGCCGTACCGTAGGCGCGTCTGACCCTTGCAGCATCGGATGCTCAAATGGGGAGTTCTTGGGTGATAGGTGGGTGGAACGCATTGATTGGTGCGGCTTCGCGATACGCTGGCTGACAACCCTTGCGGAGCTATGCAAGCCTAGCATAGCCTCACCTCATACAGTAGGCGTTCATGAGATACCGAGTTAGTGGTATCGTTGGAACATTTTTCAGCCCTATCAGAAGGATAGGTGGTGGACAGGGATGACGGAGTGGCTGACACCGGCAGGTTGTCGCAGCTCACAACATGCAGACTTGCCTGGTCAGCTGAAAACCTTTTGGGTAAGTTGTGTGCGCTGATGTGATTTGCTGTCGACAAGTCAAAAGGTCTGGCACCCTGATCAAGTCTTGGAGGGTCGAAGGCGTCAGGTCTTGACACAACATACGCGGTTGACATATCCGATGTTCTGACAGCCGAAGCAAGGGAAAATCTGTATTTGTATTCCTCTAAGTGGTCTGCTCAGGGTTAGGGCCACTGCCCTTGACTATTGAGCTTCAAGACATCAACGTTGTAGGACAAAGCGCTAGTTCTGTCAAACACACGCCGTCCAAATACGTCGGGTTTACGCCGGTTAGTGCGCCAGCGACATCACGGCAGCCGACACGAGCATAGTCGCATACTTCTGAGAACCACTGCAGCCGCTCAAAGAGAGCCGCTCAGAGAGACTGACCGATAATAGCCGCCTCATCAAGCTCGCATCTCACGCGGAAACGGGGAACGATTCGCCGTGGTTTGGTTTGGCGCATGGCAAAGTGTAAGCTTCTGAACAGTGCTGCAAACGGACTGATGTGGTAGACGTGTACATTGTATGCTTGCAGGCTGAGATCGTAAGTTCTCTGACATCCTCTAGGCATCGACCGACCATCATTTCATCAGAAGTAATCTCAGTATCAAGATTTCTCAGAGAAGTCCGGCACAACATGGGCCATCAAGTTGCCGGCTCTCTGGTTCCGTCAGAACGAGAACAAATCGTTAGTGAATCAAAATCAAGGACTATTTGACAGTTATCTGGTCCTGTAAACACCTCACCTGCTCCAAATCCATCGGGTTCGGCTTCTGGCATCACAATATCTGGGATATGGCAGATGAAAGAATAGCTCTGCGAATTTGCAATGAGCGGTGTTCACAGTATCACAAGGTGCCATTAGGATGCTCCAAAGGCATCCCCGGCTTCCCCTTGCTTTCGTCCGCAATCACAAGACCACCAGGACCCACGAAAACGTCCAGGCGGCTGTCTTCTTCAACAAAGATAAGTTTTAGCTTGGAGCATCCACAGTCACCTGGATCGATATGGCGAGCTGCTGAGATTCATTACAACGAAGCGGATGCTAGGGACAAATGGTGCTCCAGGAGTTCTTTCACTGACTGACAACTGTACCTGTATATTCTTCTCAAAAGGCACCAACGTATTTCTGACGGATCTGCTCCATGGAAAATCTCCAGTGGCTGAGGGTCCAGGAATCGACCATTTCACTTACTCCAGAAGGAGTTCTGAGGATTCACCTGACAATCGGTAGTATATTTCCAGTAAGCTGGAAACCATCCACAGGCTCCCAGTCAACGATGCGGACAGTCTTGTCTCCTCGGACGAGTCCATTGAGGCTGATGAGATCTCCATGCGTAAAGACCAAGGGCCAATGTCCGCCGCGACGTTCAATAAGCCCATTGATCTCCGGGTTGTTCCTTGGAATGAATTTGAAGGCGGACGGTAGATGTTTGTGGAAATCGGCGACATTACTAAATGGCCCAGATCGAGACGTGGGATTCGGTAGGCGGCCATCGACAAGTTGTCTACCATCGACATTTGCAACTCCCTGGCCTTGTGGAGGTGGAATCTTCCGCATTTCTCGAACCATCTCTTGCAGCTGCGAAAGCAGTTTTGCTTGCGACTCAGAACTGCGGTATACCCATCCCTTACCGACGTACTCACCCTTTTCCTTCCATCACGATATGTGTTTGGCTATGATGGTTGAATGCGCACAGGATCTTGGGTACTGGGATCGACCTGTGTTCGGAAATGAAGCGCATAGCAGATGGACAGGATAGATCAAGAAGCTGACCGTACTTGATGCAGTTGTGCTTGGAGAGTAGGAGTACTCGACCACTGAAAAGCCGGTGGCTCCTGAAAAGTCTATCAGCAAGAATGACAAGCAATCGACTTAGTAATCCATCGTTCACAGGTGGTGATCGCATCGTTGTGGAGGAAAGTTCAATGTTGTTGTCGCCAGAGCGTCTGGACAGGAACGAGGTTGTTTTACGCCCGGTGGCGGCCGACATTTGTCGTTTAATACTCAGTACATTCCCTGAGTGATCGCGCTTCGCGAACTGTTTCAAGACTTTGGAGTCGCCCAGCATCTCAAGGTGTCGGAGTGGTGGTGATTGTGATGGTGGTAGATGGTTCATTCACTTGGATTTCATCAGTACGGTCGATCAGGAGACTATGCACGAAGAACGTAGAGGTCCGCCGTATATTTACCTCGGTACCTTAACGACATGACGCCGATTTGTTTGTCTCCTATTCTGATCTTCGCCGATGAAAGGCGAATTTGGACACCCACAAGCCACGTAAATGATGACAAAGGAGGGCTCTATGAGAGGCATCCTCTTCTGTCGAGCGTTGGCTATGGCGCGGGCTCCATGGCTCGGAGACGGCAGCACACCATGACAGAAAAAGCACACCTTCTGGTATCTCACTCCACCCTTCATCTTTGCTGATCGCCAACGGCTGCATGCCGCAACAGATGAGCTGTCGCATGCCAATGCCTTAATTTCTGGTCCCTCGTTGATATGAGGCAGCTTGGAAACCCTGTGCAAATGAGTGCTAACGCGACAGGGCTCTTGCCTGTCACAAGTTGTAATGGAGGAGATACTGGCAACTACAGGCCGGTCCCACTGGGCATGACAGACTCGAAGCTCTGACTTGGCGACATCATGACGCTGAGACGGAGATCAGAAGGCAGCAGGCCAGCCAGGCGGACGCGCACTGCGAAGCATCCGCTGCACTTCCTGATTTTGGTGAGCAAGTGACTGCTAGGCTTAGCAAGCATGTCCCACGCAGTCTTGGTTCTGCAAACTGAATGGAAGATCCGATTTACGAGACAGGCATCATATTATGTTAGTGTCAGTACGATAATGAATTATCAAGCCTCATCGACTGACCAGTAGCCAGTGTGTCACCTCTGTTTAGATCTGGTAGACTGGACAAGTCAAAAAGGGTATCTCGTGTATCGTGAACGGAAGTGTTTACGGAACCTGCACAGCCATGCATTCAGGATGACTTTCTTCAGAGAGAGAGGGGGAGCTTCTGATGCTCCGGCGGTCTGTTGCTCTGACAGATCTTGCCCACTGTGACCCCAGCCACGCGGTCCCTAAGGCTGGTGACGTTGGACATTGCAATACCCGCTCTGACTGGTGGGAAAAGATGACGTTGAGAAGGCGTCCTAGCAAGAAGAAACGTGTAGCTGAACCTGGAAATCGGACCATCCCACGGCATGCTGCGCTCAGGCTGCTCAATGACGCGGCAAGGCTCAAGCAAAAACGCTCAGTCGTAGGCTCAAGGAAAATGGTGGATTGTTTCAGCTCTGGCAAAGAAACGGAAATGGACTTGTTTTTCTTTTTGAGTCGTACACATATCACTATAAACACCGAACACCATTCCATGCTCTTCTCACCCTCACCCTCACAACGCCGTTCCAGGTTTCAAGTTGGGGCTCCTACCCCTTGACACGAGAGACGGTCCTCCGTGCCGCGTCGTTGGCGGCCGCTCATGCCTGCCATGCCTGGTGTCCTTGTACGGGGGTCTGGGGAGGCGATGGTGGCAGTTGCATGGGAACATCATCCATACTGACGTCGTCATCTTCCTCATGGTTGCCTAGCCACCATGGCTCCTGCATCGACATCGTGTTGTTGTACACAGGGAGACCATGCGTGCTGGGATCATAATACGTCAGGTTGTACTCAGAGACACCCTGCGTGCTGGGCTCGTGCGGGATGAACTCAAGAGGAGTTTCTGGTGTTCCTGGAGTTTCTGAACAATGGCAAAATCCGCAGAGTGTGGGTGACTGACATCGAGGTACTGGAGAACCACTCTGCAAACAATCGCAAAGTCCTGCAGGATACGCTGTATACATTGAATCGGTGGGATGATATTCTGCGCCGCCCACAGATCCCATCTGGTCGTTGGCGTCGGGTGAACTTGTTACACTTGGTTCGTATGGGTATGGGTATGGGTATGGCGGTGGCATTGGTCGTGGTACATGCCCATCATAGTTGGTTTCGAGCCATGCCGCTGGGACGCAAAAATTGGAATACATGCCGAGAGAGTCAAACCTGGCCTTGGCGAGCATTTCTCCAGGGACTGGGTCCCAGCTATATTTACTGGCAAACGTGCCATCTTCGTTCGGCGAAAGGCCTGCCGCTAATGAGAGCCTCACCAGGGACCGGTTGAACTTGCAGAAGGCCCACGCAGCCATCATATCTGCGGGTGAATCCGATGGGAGAGTTCTGAAGATTGCTATGACTTTACCAAGACGGGCAGCGTCCGCGCCGGTGTCAGCCACTTGACGCGGGCACATGGCTAGAGCGATTGCAGCGCAGTAGAGGCTATGGCATCGTGACCACAAATTTGTCGCGTCGCTTCCATAACGGCAGCACATGTATTCGAAATGGTCGATGACTTTCCTGACGGTCTGCAGAAATTTGGCCAGCGGATGCTCCAACGTCGGTTGTTGCGGTAGATCTTGTCGTTCACCTCCCAAGGCTGCAGTCTCGTTGTCGCTGGCACTGGTACTCGAGGAGGGTTCCATGACCAATCGAGCTATTCGGTAATGGAGAATGGCCTCAAAGACCTGAACCTCAAGCTCGTGATCAGCAGCAACGATCCCCACATGTATGTCTGTGAAGTGCTGTGCACAGTGATGAGGGAGCTGGAGCTTGATTTCTTGCAGTCGAGTCAAGAACACTTCCAGCATTCGTTTCCGTGTCTCTGAAGATGCTTCGTCTGGGCCGGTCCTGTCAGGATTGAAATGCCCCAAGGCCTCCAGCACCAGAGACGAATAATCGAAGAGACTCCGGAAGATGGACTTTTGCTGTGAACCGACGTTTGCCATTGAAGGTCTCGGGACGTCTATTTCTGACGACGTGATAGGTTTGCGGCCCAGGAGCAAGCTCAGCTGAGCATCGAGGAGAACGAGGAGCCACCAGTAGCGGCGACCAAGTTCAATGTTATGGGGTTCTCTCCTTTGTCCTTCACTTATCACTATAACTCCATTAGCTCCAAAGCGATACTTCGTCGAGGCCTTGGGCGTGAAGACTTACAGCCAGCGAGCGTGACTTCGCGAAACAGCGTAGGTAGCACGAGCCACGCTTGAAGGATGGAGCCTGTCTCCAGGAGTTGTCTGACGCCTAGATATCTCATATTCAGGTGCCGAAGGACGGAGAGGTTGCTGCCGGGCCCTGGACAGAGAAAAGACCGGGGCCCCATGGTCTGGTCCAATACTTCGGGGCTGGTGACATCAACATCTGATTTGATGTTCTCTGGATGCTCTACGGAGGCATGGAGGAAGTAGGAGGTCGGAAATATCTCGGACACATACCCTGCGTCGCCGTCGTTGGGCAGGATCGTTTTGAGCTATGGCAATGGTCAGTGAAAGCATCGCAGCGTTGGTCAGCTTCTGAGAATACCTCGTCCACGCAGAGCGCGAGGCAAAACTCGCCATCGAGGCCGGTTTGTGGTCTTGGAGGGTCTGAGGTGAAATCGACATCAGGATTTTCGTCCTCTGACATTGACTCTTCGGCCTTGATACTGATATCAGGTGTTTCGTGCTGAGACATCGACTCTTCGGCCTCGGTTTGGTCTTCTTGGTCGGGAGGAATTGATTGTGTCTGCAACGTCCTCGTCAGTCAAGCGCCCAGGGTACTGATTGAATCACACACTTTTGCATCCGCTCCTTCTTTGGAGCGGTCTTTCCGATAGACACACTTAGGTTGTTTGCGTTTGCGTAGACAGGTTGCACACGGATCCCCACCAAGGCACTGTGTGCATCGTCAGTCATCACTCTTAGGGACGATATGATTGTGGTCCCGATACCTTTTCCTTGCTCTTGCGGCAGGGCTCGCAAGATAGGGGTCGTCTCTGGGTTCGTCTCGGGGTTGGTGTCTTCATAACCCTGGCACCAGAAACACCTCGTGATGCCATTGTTCCGTGCCGGTTTCTTTAGGCCGTGATACGCAGAGGCTTCCGGACCCGAACGTACGGACAACCAACACAATCACCAGTTTTGGAGGTACAGTCGAACAGAGATATACAGGGAGATACAGTTCACAGAGAGAGGGGGAGAAGATGAGATATTTAGAAATGTGCGAGTGGCAACGCAGGCAATAAGGCAATAAGGCTGTCAGCAGCAAGCTGCGAGAGACCATTACTTGATCAACCTCTACTCCGTACCACTAAATCCTTTCTTGTGCATTGTGTTTGAGGGGTTGACCAGGGTACATGCATGCGAGCTGAAAGGAGTTGCCGATCGGGAGTAGATAGCAGGTAGAATCATCGATTCCAGCGGCATCCTGGACTCCATGGACTCCATGAATACGAATATTGGAAAATGGTGGGAGAGTATGGAGATCGGTGCACCTGTTGGTAGTTTGGGCCATGCAAGGGGCTCGAGATGCGCTACGTGCCGACAAACGATCGAGACCATCATAGGCTCAGATTCTTTGCCCTGTCGGAGGTGTGTCTTGAAGGCTGAGGCACTCGGGGGATCGCCAATCGCCCCTGCTGTTTGAGCCATACCCAAAATGTTGGCCTCGATGATAATGCATACCAGCCACTTACAAGTACTTAAGGCTTTCTCCGTCACTTTGATACAGTGGGTCCAATTATTGATTATTGCATTGGCTTGCAGTAACTAAGCACCAGGACTATGTTAGTTAGAGACAGGCCCCCAACGCTAACTGTGCCATTAGCCATCAACCCACCATCGCTACCCCGGGATTCCGTAGGCGGGTGACCTAACTAATGCAAGCAAGCCTCACCTGTTGCTTGACCCAATGATTTTGGGATGATGGAGGAGCACAGTGTTTTCGCGGCTCGGGCTAGGGACGTGCCTGGCCGCTTGGCCTCATACTCGTAGTACTACAAGTACTAGTATAGTAAGATCGCACAGTGGGCACTGGGCACGCGACACTCTCCGTGTGTCTCCCTAGTATGAGAACTGTGCGGCACACCATAGTAAGAACAGCTCGTGGTTTTTGGATCGACACCCCACACCGCCCGGAGCCATCACTAGTACTGCATTATTACCCACTTGCATGAGCGAGCGGGGGGTTAGTCAAGAAGCAGGCCCTGGCGAGCCTGGCGCACAGTCCTTCCGGACATCTCTGAGAATCGAACGTGTCGACCTCCAATCTTATTGCAAGCCACAATCACTTCTGCGCACACTTTTGCCGGTTTTGTATTGGCTCAAGAAAGTCATGACGTGAATCGATCTGTTTTTGCCGCTGAGGTGAACCTGCTTCCTCGCTCCCTGGTTGGCAAAATGAGACATGCAGCGATATGCAGGCCAGCAGGTGTCGAGGTGTGTGGGCGATGGCGAGTGAGCTGAGGGCTCTGGACATGGGTGGCTTGCCCTTGAGCAGGGTCTTGAGCAGGCATTCGGGCTCCTCAACCCGTCTCCCCGTTCGTATTGCGAGTTCTTTGACTCATACCAAACCCAGCGCCACTTCAACACTGCCCAATCCTTGCAGCACGAGGCAACAGTGATTGTCTCATATCTGCGTCATGCGCCTTGGTGCAGAAGGGTGGGAGGGAGGGAGGGAGTGAGGGGGGAAGGGGACTTGTGCTGTTGACACTTTTCGACAGGGGTCGCAGTTGTCATCCTCCACAGAAATCTACCATAGTAGTCTGGGCTCGGCGGCGGTGCGCTGCTGATGGTGGAGAGTCGCACAACCTGGAATGACGCTAGTACCACGATCTCGCCAGCTACAGTTCTAGCTGGTCCGTGGCAGTATTTTCCGTCGGATGAGGCGTCCATCACTTCTGATGGATCAAGCCTTCATTGGCCGATCAGCCAGCCAAAGTCCAATCCAACACGCTCGTGGTGCTGCTCCTCGTACTACGGAGTACTGCACCCCTGCTCTGCCTCGATACCAGCCAATGGACAGAAATGCCGGCAAAACACACCTGCATTTGCCTGGAGACCGACTGCTGCTACGGAGTACATCAGTACAACTTGTTGGCCCTCGCGGACTGCCGGCTCCAACCCAGCTCCGAGCGGTGGCGTCGCTTGCGAGCAGCGATTGCAGCGACTTTTTGGCCGAGCTGGGATCCAGCCTTACAGTGACTTTGTGGTCGAGGCTGGAACTCAGCCTTGCTCAACGTCCAACATCGGACAATTCTTCTGGATAAAAGGATAATGCCTAAGAAAGATCCTGCAAAACTGCGATATCACGGACGGACGAACAGAAAAGCTACGCTTCCACTCCATAGTCAGGGGCTGTTGGCAGGGCGATATGAGGCAATGTGGGACTTGAGAAGAGGAGTTGAAATCCATCGATTTGCCGCGGTCACAGCCTGCGCAATTCTCACAGGAGATGAGCCAAACAACCGAACTTGACGACCGCTCGGTTGTTGAGCCGGGAGGACGACGTTGGGGGTGTGCGTCCCCATAAACGGGTCTCTGGCAGCGTATGCCGACGGTATCCGACAAAGCAGTGGCCATATGGCAGAAATGCACTCGGCAACCTCCACAAAAGACGGAGAAACATGTGTACAAAGGTTGGGGAGAAATCGCCCAAGCCTGGTCTGCCATGTTCCGATGCAACATACGATTTCCAAATCTCCAGCTTGCCGGAGCCTTCCAGACGAGGCGGTCCATGCAAAACGATGCCAGGATTTAGGGACATCGATTGGAATTGTGAACATTGAGAGAGTAGGTGATACTTTGTATGTTCGATATCTATAGCACATGATACTAGCAGCCATGCCACGGCTAAAGGGCAGTCGCAACACATATACGGTTTTGGTCCTGGAGGGTGAGCGAAGGCTGCTTTAACCTGAGCTGTTAACTCAACCTTTAGCTGAACATCACGCAGCACTCTCTCAGCACTCCCTGAGCAACACACCGAGGGGCGAAATCAGGTCCCAGCAATCGGCTACACCTGCCTCTCACCTAGGCATGTCATATTTTTCCAAAACTGTCGATGGGCCGCTGGAGGTGAAATTGGGTGTCGCCAGCGTCAGATCAACCGCCTGCGAGTCCCTATGAACCTTCAAAGCAACAACGTAACGAATGTTCCCTCTTCCAGCCTGGATGTACCGAGTGGCCTTGTCATTCAAGCTCTCCATGGACCGTGAGTCGTCGACCTCTAAAACTAGGACCGGCTTTTTCCAGCTTTTGTACTTGATCTGATTGTCAGGCATGAGCACGCTGCCTTGCTCGTCCATGACGGCGGCAGATACAAACGCTGAGAACGGACATTGGACTTGATGTTGAGAACATAGCTGCTTGAGTTTGTCCAGAATGAGGATGATGAAATGCAGGTGGATAAACTCGTGCTTGTCGGAATGAGGCATTCGTGGGACGAAGTCTTGAGTGTCGATGAAGTAGTCGTATCTGTACGATCACGTCAGCCGCCGGTCAACATCAAAACTTCTCGAAGTCCTGTACCGCAAATTGTCCCAACCCACTTTCTCTAGATACTCATCGAGTCGATTGAAGTCATGTGAGCTAAGACGATATCGCGACCGTATGGCTGGAAAGCCTGCAAAACGGCCCTGGAGGTCACGCACAAGAGTTTGCAGTTCGGAGATCTCTGTGTGCAAGTTATGTTGGGTCTCAGATGTTTGGCGAGCGTCAGATGCATCGTGGGAACGCCGATCATTGCACTCCAACGTGGTCACACTAAGCGGGTCTTGGACTATCCTGGTGCTGGGCAACAGGACGTCTTGCGACGCGTCCTCCATGATGGCGTGGCTTTCATAAGAGAGGAGAAAGAGGATGCTCACGAAAAGTGACGAAGAGGTGAAGTTCAGGTCACGACAACTCTTATCAAAGCCAAAGAAATGGCGGGCAAAACTATGACTATACTTCGCCATGCCCTTTAGAACAGGAATGTCGGCCGAGCTGGTCACTATCAGGGAAGGTGAACCCGACAGAAGCATATGCTTTTCACTTCCTGGCACAAGTCATGGCTGGCTCGGATACATTGGCGATGTGAACGCAGAAGAAGCTACTAAAGCTGTGGTATTGGGCATGCTGGGACTGCATTGATATCCTTGTGCGGCAACATTCGACTGAGCAATGTCAACAAACTGGAACCCCTTCCGGCCAGCCACCTAGCTTTAACCCAACGTAGCGTCCAAGTTCGGTAGATCCGTCTTCCCTTACAACCACTTCTTCCATTTCTCGAATGATACGATCGATGCAGTCGCCTGCACCACTCAAATAGTGAATACGGGCAATGGCATGGTGAATAGCAAGAAGCCGAGGATGGGGTGGATCGATGTTCTTGTCTGGAGTTATGTAGAGTTGGCGATTAATAGGAAGTAGAGGATCCCCGGAACGCAAACCAGGGTTAACGTAGTCGATCTCGTAGGAATGTGGGACCTGGTCGACCGTTTGTTCAAAGGACACTGCAAAGTCTCCAAATCGCCGGTGGAAAAAGGGCGTCAGGGTGATGGCATTGGTCAATCTGTCAATATCAGGTCCCTCGATAAGGTAGCCGACCCCAGGGTCGAACAAATCCAGTATTTGGAGGGGGGCAATTCTTTTAGATTCGCTCGGACAGCTTCGTTAACAAAACCCAATCGAAGAATATGGATAACATACCAATTGCGGATTTCCTGGACCATCTGAAAGCGATGTAAGAGAGTGCGGAAGTATATGTGCTACTTCCAAGTCTTCAGGTCTGGCATCGCTCAATAGATGTCCATCATCGTCTTTGGAGTTTTGACCGTCTCTTGCCCAGCGCACGTGCGCTTCCCTAAAATCGAATGGAAAAATGGAAAAATTCACAAATGCACCTGGGCATCTCGTCTTCTTCGTCCTCTTCTCGTGTTCATTTGATGCCATGAGGTACGCCGTTCACTTCCGATGGCTTGACTACGTCCTTCGAGGGCACCTGGAACCCCATCATGGAAAAGGAGGCTTCCTTGGCCGCGAGATTCATCGAGCAAGAGTGTTGAGAGGCAGGGCTATTGCGATGACGACGACTGCGACTAGGGCCACTCAGATCTACCATTTGCTGAAGACTCGGACTCAAGAGCGAATGCCGGATGGCTGCCGGACACGGGGTATCTACGCGAAGAGCATGATCTGACACGCGAGAGGAGTTCGATTGCCGAGATCTTGCAAGCTGGAGAAGCCATGCGCACACAGCGTGCCGGCCAATCGACTTGTCGGTTGAAGACGACGATGACGTCGATAAAGCTGGCATGAACGGGCCTGTGGACTATGGTTGTAAGTAATCTCTAGAACGACTGCTGTTCCTTGCCCGCACAACTTCTCAGTACAATAATCCAACGCCTTAGTCAGGAGCCATTGAAAACGTCCTGGCCACGGCGCATTACCCAAAACGTTGGACAGGATACTTGTGAGTGAATACCTAAGATATCAACATAGTCGAAGCCGAGTGCTGACTGCGGTAGGTAATTGGCTCCCCATCCTTCTTCCCTCTTTTCTGAGACGCAAGCTGTTAATAATGACAGCTACTCACCGTCTCACAATGCCGTGCCCAACTAGAACATATTCCCCAAACACAAGTGGGTGTGGCGCACCTGGGAGATGTATGTCCCCTGCGACGTCGAGGGCTGGCACGCGCTCAAGTGGTGTATAGTCTTGGGTAGTATCTAGATACAAGCCTTCAGCGACAAAGATCATTCTTCTAAAGATGTTCGTGCGGACTTCGCTACCAGTCAAAGTCCGTTTGAGTCCATCCAGAAACGTCGTCGATTTTGTTCCGTTCGCATACAAGCTGGCTTCGACTCGGCCTACTTCGGCTTCAGATGTGGCAGACCAGAGGGCTACCTCTGACTTATCAGGTTTTTCTCCGAAAGCGTTCCAAGCGGGAATGGCAATTGGGAGCCAGAGTCGCTAGACAAGCATATAGGATGATCACTCCCGAGCTGACTGTGGCCTACTGGTTCAGATGTTGGCTTGCAGGCGGCGCCAGTGGTTCAACAAGTCAAGGGTGGAAGGAAGCATTGTTGTATCGCACAGATCGCGTGATCCTTCACAGATGTCTCGTCAATCGTATAGATGTGGGTGGTGAGAGGACCAGGCCCACGAGAGCTACAGGTGCCTCTAGGGCATCGCTGTGGCACTGGTTGCGCGAATGGCGTAGTATATAAGTTACCGGTTTGATCTCCAGCGGCATGATGATGATACATGGGATTGGCGGAAATCACTTCAAGAAGATATCCACTTCAACCCATTACCTCAACTAGGATCAAGGTCTGTCTCATTCCACCCTTCCTCAACATCGATCTCAAGGACTCCACTTCTTTGGCTTCCTCTGCATTTTCTTGCTCCCGCGTTGCCAGTCGACCGCCATGAAGCCAACATGAAGCTGACTTCGTGACACCGCAAACTTTGGTCCTTTTGGAGCCAGGCAGTCAACCTTCCCTTCAAGCGGCTCCCCTGATCGTGCGTGGTAGACCATGCTGATAGGTCTGTGTCCCCAAGAAAGAGATATTCAAGGAGCTCGAGTCCTCGAAGCTGACAAAACGTACGTTTGGTGGATTGGGGCATTTCTTGCTTGATGGACTATGGTGCGGTCATAACACTACAAGAATACCATCGCCGTGCCGCTGAGGCTGGCGGAAATGCCGCCGTGGCTGCGAGACGTTTGCTCGATGAGGTCGATGGAACCACGCACCTGGACCCCAGACGTGTGTCCGCTGTTGAATTGGCAAATGACAAGGATGCCGAGCGCTACCATATGCAGGACGTCGAGAAGTAAATAAAGTAAAATCTAGATCAGTAGCTCCGATTTCCGAAGACTGCGGCACAGAAGGGAACGGAAACGCGCAAAGTGTCCGCTCCCTGTGCACTGAGTTATCCAACACCTTCTCCTTCTTCATCATTTCATGTCCCAAAGACAAGGTCGCCCTACGAGCCTGGACGTTATGAAGTATATCGATAGCCCTAGACTAGACATGGGCGTGAGTTCTCGTAGAAAGCCTATTAGGTCCGCATGTGTATTGCGTGACTCCATTTTGCTGCTCCTGTGGGACACTCTTCTGGAGATCATGAAGGTCCCGTATATGAGTACGTGGCGCAAACAGCACTCAGGGGGAAGCCTGGCCGTCAGCTGCCACCACCAATCACGAAGTTACCAGAAGAACTCGTGGTCGGTACGCGTGATTGAAAGAAGAGTCTTTGGTTTCCTCATTTGAGCGGCATGCTGTGAAAATTGCAACCTTGCGTCGTGCGTACAGGCCGTACTGCTCCCACGAACTTGAGAAGCCGCAAGCGATATTATGACTCAGGTGGAAAGCGTGTCCCCCTGCAGGGAAGGACTTCCCGTGCTTCTACAAGCTGCCTTTAGGAAAGGCATCTGAGTAACTGCACTTGTTTGTCTCCCTCCACTGCCTGCATCCTCTATATTTCGAGTGACCAATCAACGTCTTCTAAGAACTTTTGGCCTCAAGGTCTTTGTCTTCAGGTCTTTGATCCAAAGTGTTGGACAATGGAAACCGCTGTTTGTCCTTCCAAGCTACTGCCTCATAAAGGAAATTCTTTCACCACTTTAGGGTCGAGCCCCGCCAATATTGACTCTCAAAGCAAAAGACCGTGACGAGGCAAACTGTTTCATATCAGTTTTAGACCTCCGTCTTTATTGTCGATCAGTGATCTCGGAAGCCACGATGCACCCTGAATATTGTCCTGAATTGTGGGAATTCAAGTTCCTACCTGGCCTTAGCTCTTACCAGTGGGGCTGTGCGGGTGGAAGGGTACTCACGATCGACGGCAATGTCAGTCCGGCGGTGCAGACTGTGCGTCTCATAGAGACTGGTCTGAATGGCGGAAAATCGATGGCTGTTAGTGATCTTTCTCAACCACCAGAGCTCAAAACACTGGAGGAGTGGGTTTGGGACCACGTCAACGAGAGCAACATCAGGTTCGACACAAAAACACCATGTCAACACGTCGAGGCGATCTTCGCTGAAGCCGAAAAACTGATCCAGAGCGGACACGTGGCGAAAGGTCAAGCGAAATTCGAACGTGTCAAAGAAATCCTTGGTTCCCTTGAGCCAGCGCGATACCTCTCGGCTCCACGGCATTTCCCTGAGGCTGTACATCCGGAGATGCAGGCCAGATTGAGGTGGTCTTGCTTTCGGCTCTGCATGATGAAAACTACCATCGAACGTCGTGGAGTCGACTACACTCGCGACCGGTTTTACCAGCCTCAAGACCTGCTCGAAGCACAATGGGCATACCTTCACGCCTGGCTTGCTCTCCAGGGCCAAGGTGACGTCCCAGTTTGTCGCGGGTATACGGCTCGTGTCATCTTTCGCCAAGCCGAGTTGAAATTCATCTTGAATTATTGCAGCGATGAGATCAGCCCCCTTCTTTGCAAGGCTGCATTATATGCAGCTCCAGATCATTGTCTTCCGCCCAATGCCCAGCCTTCTAAATCTGCTGCCTGGGTCCATCACTATGTACACGGCGACGATGCTGGGAGATTTGGAACCCGCACCCGGATCCCCCGTACCATGGACGTGGGTGGAAAATATGCTCGGTGCCGGACCAGTGGGAAGCAAAGTTCCGTCGCGTGAGAGATCTCCTGGGAGAGGTCTATGACGATGGAGTTGAATGGGCGGAATTTGTTAGCTCTGGCATGATAGCCTCGCATACGGTGAATTCCTCCTGGCCTTCCTATTGGTGAGTGGGAAGTTCGCAAAGGTGGGATGTAGGGTCCATCAGACAACAGATGAAGACAATGGGTAATTTTAGTGAGCGATGTCCATTTTGGGGGAATGTGTTGCAGATGGAAATGTCCGACGGACAGTAATGCAGGGCAAGTATGGGACCCACACTAGGTAAATAGAGGCAATATGTTTTGGTTGGTAACCCTTTCGGGAAGTTCGTTGCGACCTTACTTTATCTTATCTCACTTTATCTTATCTTGTCCCCCGCACCCGCACCCCGCACGACCTGCGAATTTAGTTGTATTTCACCTTTCACACCTTGATCTGTCCAGCATTTTCGTCGCGCCTTTTTCTTCTCCTTATGCACAAGATTGGTATGAACGGGGCTATCGACAGAAGCGCGAGCTTACCATCATGGCTTCTCGTCGCGGCACGACAAACGGTTCAGCGCCCGGTGCGGCCAGCGTCACTCTTCCCACGGAATCACCTTTATCCTCTTCAGACTCTACACCTCCACAAGAGACGAACGAAGCACATGAAGCTCGGAGATATTTGAAAACACTCTTGACCGGCCAGGATCTTGATCTCTCAGAAAAGCCCCGGCGGTTTGTCATACCTACGTTCGCCTTTTACGAGCTGCTCAATGAGCCTGGGTTTGATTCGGTTTTGGAACGGTAAGTTCTCCTTGTGTGATGTCTACCCATCCACTAACATCACCCCTAGGCTCAAACGAAAAATCTCATATGACGCCCGCAAGTCAATCCTCACTATCTTCCCAATGTCTGGTCAAAGACACGGTTACATTCTCGACTGGCTCCACAAAGTCGCAGTCTCCGCCAGCCTTACATTAGATCCGTGGATATGCCGACGCGTCTTTTTCATCAATAATACCAAGTTCTATCAATTCGAAGGGGAATGGGACGGGTCACTGAAATTTCCAGACTTTACTGTTGCTTGGAGAAATGATGTTGATGGCCCTGACCTCCATACCGTTGTCGAAGTTGGTTGTTCTCAATCCAGAGACAGTCTACTCGAAGTCCGAGACGCCTACTTGAGAGGAATGCCTTCCCTCTCTAGGTTTATCTCTATCAACGTTATCGAGACCCCCGAGTACGTGAGCCCAAAGAATATCGACATCGACGAATTAAGGGAGGTTAAGATCAAAGCCATCCAATCAGATTCGGACAAGGGGTCAGCTTGGTATAAGGGCATCCAATGGGTAGGCGAAACTACCATTTCCTGGGAGGTTTGGGAACGAGATCCGACGAGTGGCGAGCCGGTGCAGGTGTTTGAAGCAACCGTCGACCCTAATGACAGCGAAGGCCGGCTTCCGTTCTTCGAAATACCCAGAATAATGGCTCTTGGTGTCGAGGCTGTTACAGTTAAGCCGGCAGACATCCACGACTTTTGGCAAATGGCGATCAAAGAAGAGGCGAAGCTACGGATATGGGAATATGTGGCGGATGTGGAAAAACGTCGAAAGAGTGCAGCAGATATTGCAGAGCAGAAGGACGAAGCCACTAAGACAAGACAAAAGCGCAATGAGGAACGCACAGAGCGATGGGAACGTCGGTCGGAACGTTGAGATCCATTGACAAGAACAAAAACGAGGGGACGTTCGGGGAAAGGCCACAGGCCAAGGTTGTGTTGACACTGAAATTGCCTCCAAACTGCCCACAAAGACGGTGGATGCTGTGAGGTAAAGATGGCGCGAACCATTAGAAGTCCGATTGGATCACGCCGTGCAAAAGCCCAGGTCGCAGATGTCTTGCGCACGAGGTTCGGTCAAGGGACATTGGGGGCGGTCTTTATCAGCCTGTAGAATACTTTTCCTCGATATTTGCTAGGCCGGAGAGTCCAACAAAAAGGGCGAGAGGAGGATTGAGATGAAATGCCGTAGAAGAGAAAGACGGTGCATCTCCATTTCCCGCCCAATTACCGCCGCCGCCGTGAAATTTCCATCCTCCCATCCTCCGTCTGCCATGATTCCATCATCCATACGCTTTCGCAACTGGGCAAGCCCATGTCGTGCCCTCGTTGACTCATTGACCGGGCCATGGCATGCCACAGAGCCTCCGCTCGCTGCCCTCACGGACGGTCGTGTAAACTTCCACATGTCCAAAGGGCTATCCCTACAAAGTGTGGCAAGAGTATTTAATGACAGCGGAGGTCCAGAAACGGGACTGAGGCCGGGTGACGAGGAAGATGAGGAGGTCGAGGTAGCGGCCTGAACAGGCTGAGCCGAAGTCGAGCCAGCGAGGTCAGCGAGCCAGGTCACCAATGCTTGAGTAAAGCGGCAAGGCTACAGGTACCAAAGCCACGCCGCTCTGTAGGCGCTTGAATTGTAAAACCACGCGATTTCATTTTTGTCATGCTATTGTCCGTATATGGCCTAGTATGATGAATGTTTGCCGAGGTCCAAACGGTTTCCCTGCGAGCCTGATACACAGACAACATGGTTCACGCCGTCTCACTTCCTCATTGTCTTCCTCATGCTTGAAACGATTTCATATTTGAGAACGGCGACGCTGTCGCGTTGCCTGGTCAATGTGACGATTCTGCTCTGAGAAGAGTTTCTGAATGGCTTGATCAAACCTCCAATACTCCTTTGGTCAGAGAGCCTTTGAAGGTCGTGGAGAACTGCCAGTCGCGTATTGTGAATGCCGGCATTCAAAGAGGGCAGCTGTCCAAAAAGCGCAAAACCCCACCGGAGCCTGTAAGCGCAGTGAGTTCAACCCCGTCATCAAAGAAGCGTCTCCTTGGTGCTGGATCAGGCGCTTCTCCTTCAGTTCAAGGTGAGTTCGTTCGAGTTTATTAGGTACCAGATTGCCTGTTCCTTCAAGGCTTTGAGGATGACTTGTATCACTTCGTCGATCCCCTCATGCGATCCACATCGAAGTCCAGCAGTAGCGGAACATCGAGTCGAAGCCAAAGCCCAACAAATCGGAAAGCAGACTTTGATATTATGTATCCCGGAATAACATACAACGAGGACAAAAAGACGTTTACAGATCAGGATTGGGATCTTCCCGATCGTGTCAGAAAGGCTGCAGTAAAGATCCCCGAGGAGATGCGCGAGCATCTAGAGAGACATCCTGTTGCGCGACGGAATTTGGATCATGTCAAGTGGCAAGAGGATCACAGCTATACGCTTCTTGAGATACGGGATTTCTGGACGCATTGAAGAGGCGGCAACTGTATGTTCGAGAGAGGTGCGATCAGAGGATTCCTGGAGCGATGATGTTGTCCTCGAGATCATGAGGCTGGCACTCACATGGTCAGGCCTAAGAAATAAGTTGATGGTCGCAAATCTGTAAGTTATCCCCCTTGGTGCATATACTTATGCTGATACTTACTTGCAGCAAATCCGTCGTGGTGGACCAGCCGGCACTCCTTCCCATCCGGAATCTTCGACGTGTTGTCTCGAAAAAGATCGACTACGGCCTGTGTCTGCAACCTGACGCTGAAGAGGAAGCCATGATCGAGAACGTTCTTCGAAATACGAGTGATGAACTACCTAGCATCAGTCAATCAGCTGTCCCCATCCTTCGCAAACGAGCCCTTTTCTGCAACCTGGAAATCAAAAAGCCTTATGGAAATCAAGACCCTGTACCGCAACTTGGTGTTTGGTCGATGGCTGGATTGACGAAACTGTCGAACCTGGCACGAGAGTCTCAGGCCCATATGGGCGAAAGTGTCTTCCTCGAAGACCCCGAGATCACTGTACTTCCTAGTTGTGAGTGTCGAAGGCCACCGGTGACAATTCTGCCTTGGGAGAAGATGTTCACCCGCGGAAACAGACGTATTCTCCTCTTATTCGTACCCAGGACTGACTCTCTTCTAGGTCTTTCACGGACCTTTCTGGAACTACGATACCGGCTCCATTATCGAAATCATATTTATTGTCAATGCCTTGTGCGAAATACTTCGCTGGGGTGATACGACCTTCCGGACCTGGCTACTGAGCGTTATATCTGCACTACAAACAGGTTGACATCGTGAATGTGAATGTGAATGTGAAAGCATTCTCTTTTGTGCCATGGTTTTCGAGTTGCAGCCTGGAGCATTCCAATTTTCGTGAGTAAACACTAAGCTGAATGATCAGCCGAAGCAAACACGTCACTACAGTACCTAGGAAATCAATCAGGCTTTTCCAAGCCCATTTGATTCCCTGAGTAGGGCAACAAATGCCTCCCTCGTCATCTTCCCGTTCTCTACATCTTCCAGCAGGCACTCCATTCTTTCCACCATCTCGTCGTACTTGCCTAATTCCGCCAATTTCCATTTTGTGAACTCCTTTGCCTCCTCTCAGTGGTGGTGATAACGTGACCCTGGAAGCCGACCTCATGCAGGTGACAAAGAACTGGTCGAAGCTCGCCCGTTCGGAATTGAGCATGCATGGCGATGCAGCCCCCTCCCATGCCCGATCGCTCTGCCGGAAGACGAGATAAACGACTGCTTGCGACTAAATTCTGCGCAGGTCGAGGCTGACGAGCAATTCGAGGCTTGCAATGATGCTATTGGCGTCGGGTCTGAAGGGCACCCACATGATGAGGTGAAGCAATGTGAAGGCAAGTTGAGAGTCGATGCGCTTGATGCAGCTGAACCTGATGAGGGGAGAGTGGACTTATTCGAACCCTGTATTTTTGCTGCAATCAACGAGGAAGAGTATTCATGGCGAGAACGATAGATGAATTGGGGGTTACTGGGGTGTATTCACTCTTGACTACTCCGTTTCGTCTCGTCTCCTTTTCCCGATACTCCAATCACCTCGACGCTCCCATCTCCTACTTGCTCGATGGCTAGTAAACGAACTCGCCACCTCCAAGTTGCTCTTCAGTTGCCGACGCGGACGAGACGGACGGACTCCGCATGGCGACCGGGATTTTCGCCGACCGCCTCCAAAACTTCCTTCGCTTCAATGCTCTTGGACGTCAAATAAAACGGAACCTGCTGTAACTTTACTGCTGGCACCAGGAGAACTTCAGATACTACCAGTATATCATTCGACACGACATTCGAGGTGAGAGATCTCAAAACACACATTATACCGTCGCAAGAGTACCAGCAGCCGGTTCCTTTGCAAGCCAGCACTCGGACCGCCAGCCAACGCTCGGCTATCATATCCGCCACTCCCCCAAAACCAAAACCAAAAACGACCATGGCACCACATTTCCAAACCAAGTCCAAATCCCTCGATCTCAGCCAGAACCGGGCGCTGAAAATCGTCTCGGCGGCCGCTCAAGGAGGCTACGCGGTACCGGCGCTATGCTGCTACAACGTGGAAGCGATCATCGCCTCTGTGCGCGCGGCCGAAGCCAAACGGTCTCCCATGATCATCCAACTGTTTCCCTGGGCCGTGACATACGCCGACGGCCTGCTGGTGCACGCGGCCGCCGAAGCGGCCGACAACGCCTCGGTGCCTGTGGCCGTGCACATGGACCACGCGCAGAGTCCCGAGATGGTCAAGCGGGCCGCGGACCTGGGCGGGTTCGACGGCATCATGGTCGACATGTCGCACTACGAGAAGGAGGAGAACTTCGCCAAAACGCGAGAGTTGGTCGCGTACTGTAACGCCCGGGGCATCATCACGGAAGCCGAACCGGGACGCATCGAGGGCGGCGAGGACGGCGTGGGCGACACGGCCGACTTCGCGCTGCAGGGCTTGCTTACCAGCCCGGAACAGGCCGAGGAGTTCGTCGGGTTGGGCATCAATTGGCTGGCGCCCGCGTTCGGCAACGTGCACGGCAAGTATGGCCCCAAGGGGCCGCAGCTGGACTATGACCGCCTCAAAGCTATCCGGAAACAAGTCGGTGACCGGGTGGCATTGGTCCTGCACGGCGCGTCGGGCGAGTACTTCCACGAGGAGCTGTTCCAGAAAGTTCTGGACTGTGGCATTGCCAAATGCAACCTCAACGATGCCATGAACGACCACTTCCTGAACGTGCTGAAGGAGAAGGCCGGCAAGGCACCGTTGACGACCTTGATCGAGGAGGGCACCCTGGCGATGCAGAAGGCCATTGAGCAGCATATGGACTGGATGCGTTCGAGTGGGAAAGCCTAGCTGAGACGAGATGACATGAGATGGCATGAATTGGCATGATAATATGGGGTCCTGAATACTCCTGCCTTTTTTCTTCATAATCATTGTTCTATGCAATAGGTGTACAAACCTCAAAAGCTGTCCCGCTGTAGCAAGATACCGGAATGCTCGCTCAAATATTTCTAAACTTCTTGGATGTAGTTTGCAGGGACACTCCTCGTCTCGCCGTTTTTCTCAACGTCTGCCCAGCCATCACCGGTGCCCATGCTGATCAAAATGAATTTTTCACCTTCAGCCATGTCGAACTCGGCCTCGCTCTGGGCCGTGTAGGGATACAACGCCTCGACATATTTCACCTTCTTCGCGCCGCGTTTGGGCGCAACGACAGGACCTTGCTTTTTCTTGCCCGCGCCGGCCATGCTTGAAGACGCCAGAGACGCACTAGAGTTGGAATACAATGACGGCGGTCGTTCGGTTGCCGGTGTACCTGCCGGAGTCGGTAGTTCTTCGAGGTATGCTGTGGGCACCAGGCCCTCCTTGCCGAGACCAGCATGGACTTTGGTCCATCCACCATCTGCAGTCGGTCAGTAAGAGTCGTTTGATGAAAGGGCAATGCACCAACCGTCTGGTTCGACAATCTTGATCTCTGCGCCTTCCGGTAACGATATCTCGCCTCGGTCTCTCGCCTCGTAGGCATACAACATTTTGCCCCGTTTCTGGCCAGTGCCGTTCGCGCCTGACTCTGCGGCTGCGCTCACATAAGTCGTTGGCGGCGGCGCCACTACTCGGTTCCGTCTCGGTCCGGAGGTTGAGGCCGAGTTTGAAGTGATGGTGGTCAACGGAGAGCTGATTTCCTCCCCAGTCGACCTGGGGATAGTTCCAGACACAGACCGTGTTGCGCTTGCAGCGTAGCCAGACGAAAGGCTACTCATTGTATCCTGTCTCGTCAATGGCGGGTGGGAACTCACGCCATTCGACGCGGGCGCTTCAGCAGCCACCAATGCAGCAGCTTGGCGCTCTGTTTTGAGTTTCTTCTTCTCTTCCTTCGTCTGTTCGCCGGGGCAGTCGGCTGGCACTTTCATATGGCATTTACTATGACATGTAAATCCACAGTCAGTGCAAATGAACCCCTTCGCACTGAGACCCCATATCCGATCCCCACAGAGATCGCAATTTGTGGGGATCTTGAATGTTTCCGATTTGAATGTGTGACTTTTGCCGTACATGCTCAGATCTCCAACCACCGACGTGATTGTTGAGGTCTCAACTTCGGCCGTCAATCGTTTCCGGTCGATGGCATGCAGTTCTTCCTGAACGTTGAACTGCGAGACTACACACAAGACTTCATCCCGCTTGTCCTTCCCTTCCCGAATGTTCTGGCGAGCCTTCTTCACGTTTTCGAGATCCCGTCGCTTCTGTGTAGATTCCGCCTTGAGCTGGTTGACCAAGGGTTTGCTTTTCTGGAGAATGTTGCGTAGGAAGATTTTCGACGTTTCGTCCGTCATCATATTGTCAGCATCCAGCCAGACCGGTGACGGCTCAAACACCATGTCGGACGGTTCCTGCCACTGGACGGCATTGTGACGAACGAACATGTTGCTGTCCAGACTCGGGTTGTTTCTCGGTATCTCTGATGACAAATGCGACAGATGGTCGATGCTTCGTTTCAGAGTATTTGTCTCGAGGGATACAGCGACCAGCCATAAGGAGTTCAATTTGGCCACTCTTGTTTCGTTCAGATCCTGCAAAGAGTCCAGAAGTTCCGGGATGTATTCATGGTAGTAGCATTCCTTCAGCTTGTTTGTGACGTTGATCCCAATCAGATAAGTGTTCTTGACATTGTGCATTTCCGCCAGTTGCTGATTGTATGCATTCTGGGCCTTGGACTTGTCGAAGCCTGACTCGGTTTTCCTTCTCTTGTTCTCGACCTCTTGACAGACCGTGTCGTATTTTGTCTTCAGCTTCTTCAACTCGCCGTAAGATGAATCCCGTTCCTTGACCAGTTTATTGTTGTACTCGGCATGGCTCTTCCTCAGCTCTTCAAGTTTTCGGGCGTTGTATTCCAAAGGCGTCGCAACCTGACTTATCAGGTCTTGCGCAAGCTTCGCATGTTCGTTCGCCCGGGCTTCCAGTGTAGAGAGTTGTGTTGTCCAGGTGGTCAGAGAGGCTGCTTCCAGCGAACCTGGTGTAAGAGCAGGGTTGTCTCCCACGCTCAGGTTGCTGGACCTCTTTGATTTCTTGTCATAGTATTTCTTTGCCAATGCAGTCAACTTCTGACTGTATTCCTTCTCGATGGCCGAACGCTCTTGGTAGAATTCTTGGATCTCGGTAAGCCAGTTTATGCCGAGACTGACCTAGATGCGGACTCTCAGTCGCGATCGAATCTGAGGGTGATAGGCTCTCGACTTACCCAATTGTCGACAGGCTTGTAGCCGTCCTAGAGGATATTAGCAACAATTCGTCCCGGCAGTGGCCTTCCGACGCACCTTGAGCTCGGCGCCAAAGCTGACTGTTGCGACCTGGGCCATTATGATCAAGACAAGTCCGCCAGACGAGGCCACATCATTCCATGACTCCAGGAGCAATTCGTACACCCAGGCGGCAGCGCCCACTTCTGTTGAGAGATCACTGTAATAGTCCCGGCTTGAGTCGCAGTCTGCTCGTGGTGAAGGCCGAAGATCTGGTGGGGAAGGTAAATAGCCTGAGTGCGTGCGTGGCCTAGGCTTGGAGTTGGCCCTTGGGGTGACATTGAGGCTCACCAGCCTTGCCTTGCCTTGTGATGGGCGCCCTGAAAGTGTGGCTCAGGCATCAAAATAGGCGGCCCTGATAGGCTCACCAGACCGGTGAGGCTGACTGGCGCGCTGCAGATGTACACCCCGCATTGTGCCTGCGCCACTAACAAAGAAAGGTATTTTTCTGTGAATTCCATCGCAGCCTGCTCGAGCATTGTCTGCAACATATCGATATTGCCGCACCTATTAAGCAACAGGTTGCAAATTTGAGTCATCACAATAACAAGAAGACATCTATTGTGTTCTGCCCGCGGACATAACACCACTCTCGCCGCCGCCGATCTATCTCTCACTTCAAAATCATCCCTCACTCCCTTCCTTCCCATTCTTGACGACATTCTATCCTTTATCACACACTCGAAGTAATACCATACGACCTCGCGGCCATGGCAGAGCAGGCCTCAGCAGGCGGCTCTCTCGCAGACCGCATCTCCAAACCCGAAACGATGAATGCGCAGGCAGATTCATTCCAACCCAAATCAGGCACCTCATGGGCAGATGAGGTCGCATCTCCTGCTGGCGAAGAGCCTGCCTCAACCTCGAATTTGGACGCAACAACAGCTCCAGAACCCTCCGCGGCGGCCGGTCAAGTTGATGGTGCCACAGAGCCTTTTGGCGGATCGCAACTGCAAGAGCCTGAATACGAGGTGAACGTCAAGTTGGCGGACATGCAAGCTGATCCAAACAACCCTCTCTATTCAGCTACATCATTTGAGCAGCTTGGCTTGTAAGTGGCTACACTCGCCAACATATTCTTTTCACTCTAACTCCTACAGGTCTGAGGAAATCCTCAAGGGCGTCATGAGCATGAACTTCCGAAAACCCTCAAAGGTCCAAGAGCGCACACTACCCCTTCTTCTAATGAATCCTCCTCAAAATCTCATCGGTCAGTCACAATCCGGAACGGGAAAGACGGCGGCATTTGTGCTCAACATTCTGCACCGCATTGATCTCAGTACCGAACAACTGCAAAAGACTCCACAAGCGCTGGTTCTGGCTCCCAGCAGAGAACTCGCCCGACAGATTCAAGGCGTTGTCAAGGTCATGGGCTCGTTCATTCCTGGACTCATTGTCGAAGCAGCTGTTCCTCAGGATGCTGCAGCCCGTTCGCGAAAGATTGAAGCATCAGTAATTGTCGGAACACCTGGTACCACCATGGACATGATCCGCAAGCGATCCATGGACGTCAAACAACTCAAGGTGCTTGTCCTTGATGAGGCCGACAATATGCTCGATCAGCAGGGTCTTGGCGACCAGTGCATTCGCGTCAAATCGTTAGTTTCCATCCGGGATTTTGCTGTCGTGATGCTAACAGTTGTCTAGGATGCTCCCCAAAGGCATCCAAATCATTCTGTTCTCCGCCACCTTCCCCGACACCGTTATCAAGTACGCCCAGAACTTTGCCCCTGGTGCCAATCAAATGACTCTTCAACATGAGGATTTGACGGTTGAAGGTATTAAACAGATCTACCTCGACTGCGAAGGTGATCAAGCCAAGTATGACGCCTTGGTCAAATTCTATGGCTTGTTGACCATTGGGTCCTCTATTATTTTCGTCAAGGTGATTACCACAGACTCCTGATCACCATTGCCTCCTGCTAACTTCTTTAGACTCGAGAGACTGCACTCGCAATCGAACAACGCATGACTGCAGAGGGCCACAAAGTCGTCTCATTGACTGGTGGCTACGAGGGTGCACAACGAGACGTAATCATCGACTCTTTCCGCATGGGACATGCCAAAGTCCTGATCACGACAAACGTGCTCGCCCGTGGTATCGATGTTCAGTCAGTCTCCATGGTTGTCAACTATGATGTTCCGGACAAGTTTGTTGGTCATGGTAGATTCGTGGCCGATCCTCAGACCTATCTCCATCGTATTGGACGAACTGGACGATTTGGACGTGTTGGTGTTGCTGTCACCTTCATCAGCAGCCGACAGGACTGGGACAAGTTGATGGAAATCCAGAGATATTTCAACACTACGATGACCAAGGTTGCCACCGATGATTGGGACGAACTCGAGGAGACGGTCTCGAAAATCATCAAGAGTTCCAGAGCCGGCACGAACTGGAAAGAAGGTGCAAACATGCAGGGGTAGGAAAGAAGAAGGATGAAAATATGATGCAAGGCCATCTGAGAAAGAGATGAGGCACGAAAAGCTCAGGAAGATCTGCGCAAAATGCCAGACATCAAAGGAGGCGACGACCAGTCCGACATCGGTGATGCAGAAGAGCAGCGATGGAATGTTCAGACAGATGCATGGCTGCCGATTGTTAAGGATAAATAGCATACGGGAGGAGTTGATACCCACGACGGCATTCAAAGCGGAATGAAGAAAAGCGTCAAGACATAGCGAGAACTTGTCCTTGTTACCATTCGCACGACTTGCCGAGCAGTTCAGCGATATTCTCCAGACCTTCCTGATCTTGACCGTCGAACCCGCCTACCTCGGCGCAATCAATGTCAAGGACACCGACGACCTGCCAAATGATCAATTAGCATGCAACATTAAGAGCAACCAAGGTTGAACATTAGCAGAGCACGGGAACGGACCTTTCCACCACTCTTGATTGGAACCACGATCTCACTTCGGCTGTCGCTGTCGCACGCAATATGACCTGGAAACTGCTCGACGTCCTCGACCAGCACCGTCCTCCCTTCGCCTTCGGCCGCAGCACCACATACGCCCTTTCCAATCCTGATGGTCTGGCAAGCGACCTTCCCCATGAACGGGCCAAGGATCAACTGCTTCTGCGGATCCGTGGGGTCGAGCACGTAAAAGCCGCTCCAGTTCACGGATGATGACGGCGGTGGGAGAGAATGGAACATATGCCAGAGTAACGAGGCCGCATTGGCCGTGTTGGCCACCCAGTTACGCTGGCCTTCGAGCAGAGATGTGAGAGACGCCAGGAGTTGGGAGTATGCCTCTGCTTTGCTCAGCGAGGTGGAGAAATTCGATGCATCTGCGTGAGGCTGAAGGGCCGTATGACAATTGATCAAGTCAGAGACGCTGGCCGAGCTTTAAGTAGGGTTGATATTCAAGTTGGCTTACCATGTTTAACGTGGCTTTTATCCTCGTCTGTGGATCAGATCTTTCATCCTTTCCCCCTTTCCAAACGACAGGTGCAGGTTTGGATTCGTCCAGCTTTTCAACTCACTTCCACGGGGTCGGCGGGTGTATCGGTCTTCAGTGTGTCAGATTCCTTACTCTGATGGTTTTCCTGCTCTCCGCAGAGCCTCGTGTGCAAATCTCGAATTACTGGATGACGGCAGATGGCGCAAGATGATCAAAGTCAAAAGAATCGGCGCCGTTGGATGCCGAAGACCTCTTCACGTGACATCTGATAACACCTTAGTCATTGATTAGTCATTGTCTAGTGCGACCCGTTGCAAAGGATTCAGCATCATCTTCAACTACTTCGTACTGGAATCCCTTTGGCCCGCCTCCTTCAGCATCTTCCGTAGGGTCTCTCGGATACGTTTACATGCCCTCTTGAATCTGCTACCGATTCTTCCGCAATATTGAGTCCCCAGATGAAGAAGCATCGATTCCTAGATCAACTGATCGGCTGCAGCTTTCGGTCGTACCTGTCTGCAAGATTCAACAACGACCACCTGTTCCTTCCCACTACGGGCTGTTGGCTCTGGAACGAACCCCAAAAATTACAGCAACATATCTTGAGATTCGATGTGAAGGCCCTGAAGCATGTCGTCGCAAACATCGCCGGATTGGAAGGACAATCTGGCCGTGTTAAACTCAAGAAGCTTGCGGAAGGTGCTTCAAACAAGGTAATGACTGCTACCATTGGTCAGCGGCGGCTTATCGTCAAGATTCCTGATCCTCTTGTCCCGCGGCGTCTAGTCACGGCTAGCGAGGTGGCCACACTGGAGTTTTTGAGAGTCGAGTTAGAATTACCAGTACCAAAAGTGTTGGCTTGGAGCGACAGTAATGGCAATACAGTCGGATGCGAATATATTGTTATGGAAAAAGCGGCCGGGAAAGACCTCAAAAGCAGATGGTCCGCTCTCAGCATCAAGCAGCGATTTGCTGTTGTGGATGAAATCATTGCGATCCAAGAGCGCCTGCTTGAAGCCAGCAGTTACTTTCAAGGTTATGGCAGCCTTTACTTTACCAAGGATGCTATAAAGTTCAAGTTCCAACGGCGGATTGAAGTGTCTGCAACGAAGTCTTCCAGGTTCTGTCTAGGCCCGTTGGCGCATGAGCACTTCATGGGACAGGCTCTGTGGAAATCAGGCGTTAACTCTGGTCCTTGTAAGGTTCCACTCCATACAGGCAATAGCTTCCGGGCTCATTCTGTTGGAAGGGCGTACTTCTCACGATTATCTTGATTCCCTTGCACGTTCATCTTTATTGCAGATTAGGAGTCGCGCCCGCGAAGGAACACCGGCGGTCAACAGTCGACCCTTTTCTTTTCCAATCAAACCAGTTAGCGACTTGTCAAATGCAGCAGTATGTCGGATGCTCGAAACCGTTTGTGCGATAACACCACACCTCGTTCCCCGGTCCGCTGATCAGTGCCTACCGCTCTTGTGGCACCCCGACCTTCACGATGGGAATATTTTTATTTCTAATGAAGGGAAAGTTACTAGCCTTATTGATTGGCAAGATGCGAATGTCTTACCGTTGTTTCTCACACTGCGAAAACCACAGTTTTTGGATTTGGCTGATGATGCCCAGTTGTTTGAGTTGCCAAAGGGCCTGAAGGAAATGTCCCCCTCTGTGAGATCCGAGATTTGGGAAAGATTCAATAAGTCTATGCTACAGGGATACTATCTGGCCCATTTCAGGGAAAATTTACCTGCAGCAGCAGCGGTCTATGACGATAAGCAGATAAACCCGCTACGAAGACAGCTTGGAAATTATGCACGCACTTCCGACGGTTACGATGCCGGTGCGCTCATGCTCAGAAATACATTACTTCAAATCCGACAGAAATGGGCACAGTTCGCTGGAGATGATGGGACCGAGAATGCTCTTCCATGTCCCATCCACTTTGGTGATGACGAACTAGAAAAGCACTATGAAGATGGACGAAGACTCAATGGATTTCGTGACATTCTTGAAGCCAGCGATATACGTACCACATTTCCTCTGGAAGGATGGGTACCAGTTGACTTATTTGATGAATGGAAGGACGGTCTTAAGAAGGTGATCAGGGAGGTTATGGAGTCCCTGGGAAACCAGGAAGAGCGTAAAGAGTTTCAGGAAAGACTTCGTCTGTGGAATTTGACCGCCTGATGGATGATATATGGGGAGGAGTGACTACACCAATTTTACAGCTTCCTCACGAACTGGCCATCACCCAAATGACTCCTGCGTCTCGAGCTGCCTTTTCCATCGAACTTTTAAAAGCCGTCTTACTCATGGTTGGCCGAACTTCCACTGTGAACAAGTTCCCATGACTAGCCGGTCCCTGGTTGTTTGCTTGGATATGGATGTTGTAGGTGTCGTCCGATTGAGTGCCATTCTTCGAATGTTTCAGTCCCTGGTCTACGCGAGCCCCAGTGTCCTCGTCATGCTTCGGTGTTCGCGATGGAAACAGTCGGTGTCCAGCATTTTGCGGACTCAACTTTTGGCAGATACGGTCCCAATGGTCAACGCAAAGGTCAATGAATTTTTTGACTTGCTTCTTTCGGAGAGACATGACAGAATGCAATCCTATAATGCATCAATATCAGCCGAGCGGAAGTCATTGTGGTTGGAGTAGCTCACTTGATGTCTTTTTTCTCCGCTACACAGAAGGGGGTTGAGTGCCTGGCGTTGAAGTCCTGAAGCACTCTAGATATAGCTCTGGTCATCAGTACATGGCAGATATCTGGAGAAAAAGATGAAACCAACTTCGCCATGCAGTTGGAACATGGGCCTGCACTTGCTGTTTGGAACATTTGGTCGAGGCTGTACCTGTGGCGAATGATATCCAATGTTGCGCGCTGTCACAACGCATCGACACGCATGATGCCAGACAAATGTGAAGGGCCTGACTGGACGGAGACCACAAGCATTACCAACCATGTCCTTGGACCTAAGTTTTGATACCAGCAGTTCAGGCACCAGCTGAACCCACGTTCCAGTAGGGTCGGCTCAAGTTAGTAAACGTTGGCAGACCAGGGTAGTATCGACGGCGAATATGTCGGTCGCGCTGTCTGTCGGGCCGTACACGAATCCACGAGCTTGGGGTCATTGCGACCCTCCAACTTCTGATTTTCAGTCAACTCGGTAGGAGCTCACTGGTCACGAGCGAGACGTATACGCGCAACGGGCTGAATCAGCGGTTTCTGAAGGAGAAGCGCCGAGAAGTAACGAAATCAATGGACTGACAATCCCGAAGAGGTCGTTATCACGTTTGATGCATCGCGCACAAGTTCAGGCCTGGAGCATCACCGCATTTCATTGAGCTGCCGACGCCTAAAACTTAATGTCCAGAAAAGTGAGCTCCGCTTGTCTGATCAGCGACGAGATCGGTGTGGTTGTAGCGGCGGAAGAGATTGATTGCCTAGCTAATCTAAGAGGGAAGGACTGGGCGTAAGGAGCGGGGAGTACTTTACCCAGCACTCCGACGCTAATACCACATCGGGTTAGGCTCCACGTGATAGTGGTTTCCAGACGTACAGAGCCTGTTCTCGAAGATCCGAGCATCTAGCAGAAGTCTTTCATGAATGTTGTTGTCGGTATAGGCCCGAGAGTCCTCAGGTTCCCATTGCTTTGACTCTAATTGTGTCAAAGGCTTAGCCCAGATATTATTCTTAAAAGCGTTCTCCAGCACCTTTTACTTACAGGAACTCAATAGCTGGAAGGCTGTCGCTGGCACCATTCTTGACTTCCCTGCAGCTATCATATTACCCAGCTCTGGTATTATCCTGCACCATATATGTCGATTTTAGTGACGAGAGCTATTCTATTCAACTGTGTCCGTGGGTATTGACAAAGGAAGACTCACTAATCTTCGGCTTGGTTTGGTTCAGTGTTCTTAGACCTCTCTGATTCCAGCGTCTGGACCATGGAGGCGTTGACGCAGCCTTGCCTGAGGCATATCTAGTTTGCCGTCGGGTCTTACCGTCCCTGGAGCTTGCAGCATAATGGCAACTTGCTTCGGGATTATTCACCCAAATTTCGGCCCACGAACTTCCGCGCAATTCGCTACACGAACGTTTCGCGTAGTGCATATACAGTCACTCGAGTCGAACTTAACTGCTTCGGAACAGACCGGGCAATTCGGGTCTCGGTCTAAGCGCAATGCACACTGAGAGCCTGTTGTCATCGAGCTTCGTCCCTAAGTGGTCGGCTCTTGTGGCAACGGTCCCCTCTAGCACGGACTGTTCGCCTCTCGCATGTTCCAGGAGCCTTTTGGCAACCCATCTGTGGCGTTAACCTGGCTCCTATCATATTGAACCATGATCCTTCCCTTTTAGGCGCTCATGTTTTTCTGAGCTTCGCTTATAGGGACTCTTGCACAGGTCGTGGTGCCAGCAGTCCCCACCGGCGTCTCCCCCGTGGAAATACATCTCGCCCCCTGGGCTGAATCTGCATTAAATTATGGATGTTTCGCATTCTGTGCTCCTTTTCTTCACCGGAAGCTTCGTAGCACCCTTTTACCGTATGTCTCCGGACAGTGATCCTCCTCAAGAGAATGGTACACCCGGTAGTGCAAGACGAGAGTCTGGGACGTCCGGCTCCAACATGGTGGCATTTGTCGACAGTCAGGACCCGAATGCCAGAAGTGCCATTCAGAGACATACGGCATACCACTCCGCAGCCCAGCGACGATACCTTCGGTCGCGCCTCCTGCGACGCTCCAGCTCGTTTCGACTCTTCGAATGGAGTAGGCGTCCGTCCCAGGACGCGCGGACGTCTTCGGCCAGCAGCACACCGACTTCTACCTCCATACGTCGGGCGCAGTCTCTGCCAGGACGCCCTGCACACAGTCGGACGTCCAGAACTCAGGAGGATGGCGATCTGGTGGTTTTTGCAAGTCAGACAGCCCAAGGGCCAGTGCCCGAGACAGCGGCGACAACTGCAGTGAACGTCGTCGCAGATGATTCAATACTATACCTTTGAAAGTGATCCTCCACCATCCTGCATGTATAAATAATTTCGAGCGTTTATCTTCTCTTCAGTCGTGTGACTAACTGCTCATCGCAGACCCCACAGGGTTTTGCCCACACCATCGAAATAGAGACTCTCTCGATGCCACCATTGCATCCATGCGGCAGCACGATGCTTCGCGACATCTACTCCTTGCCTACGTCCACGCCATGAGACAGAGACAGCGTCCCGACCCGGAGAACGTCCAGGATCACGATGAAGGTCAATCACACTTTATACGAGGCACCAATATTCTGTGGAATCGACTGCGTCTGCAGAGCCATGCAAGCTCTGATGCTGACATCCAAGCAGTGCTCCTTCTCATAGCCTACACTGCGGACTTTGAGAGGGCGAGCGATATACACATTCACACGGATGCTCTCCGGGCAATGGTTGAGCAGCGGGGTGGGATCAATGGTTTTGGACACAATCAAGTTTTGCAACACCAGCTCTGGGTCGTTGAAGAATCGCGGACGCACCATCTCACTCTGAACTGTGACCCTTCGTGTCCGAGTACGTTGAGGTTTCCGGATGAGCTCTGGCTGCATTCGGCAGGCGACGTGGGGGAGAGATGACCGTGCGCACAAGGGTGATTAGAAGCGCCTTTTCTCATGTCCATAATAACACGAATAGGTATATGCACTCGACGTTGTGCTAGCCAGCCAAAGCCTTAGTGCTTCTCGCTAGTCCTTCACAGACTCGCCACGGCACCTTACCGAACTTTCCAGTCATGTCCCGATTGTTACACCCGACTAAATTTCCTCTCACGACCTCTCACTGAACAAGGAGCCGGGCAAAATCACCGTATCCTGGGGGGTTAAGACGTGCTCCCGAGAAAATATCCGCCCCTGAAGAAAGTACCGAAATATCTCCCCTAAACACGGCGAAGGCTAAGATGCTTTCTGTTACGAGGAATTGTGGTGGTGAGATTGGCCGCAACCGGCTCACTCAGCGAAGGGAAAAGCCTGACAATCATGCTGGCCCAATCGGGATGTGATACGGTCGCTACGGCTGTGAGTCTTGATCCCAACCTCAGTTTGGCTCACATTGGCGACACACTATTCTTCTTGGGCGCCACATGTCTGCCTCCTCGTTAATCCTGGAACCATTACGCAACAATAACCTGCGCGCCTTTCTTGTTGGAGCGAAACCCCTCGGCTGCTACAACCTGAGCCAAAAGTGTGAGACTACTCCGTCAAACTTGGTGGATTGATCTTTGAATTCTTTTCAAGGACGATGGGAAGATGAAGGAACAAGCAGCTGTTGTGAGTAAGAACGCGACCAGTTTCCAGTGAGTGCATAGTACTTTTCAAGGACAGGGCCAATGCTGTTGATTGCTTAAAGCACCCAAAATACCGTCTTTCAAGGATGTCCTGGACGGACAAAACGACGGCAATGCCCATCTAGAACAATGGCCGGTACCGTGACATCAACATCACCGTTCGTAAGAGATCAATTCATATGTAGCAGAGGAATCTATCGCATTGACGACCGCGTGGTACTGCATCGGATAGTGGCTGTCAGCACTCGATGGTTTTCCAACAAAGCCTGGAGCCGCATGTACGACATCCTCCCGAATAGATCTAGGATCCTGTGACTACCTCGCCGAGGGTAGAAAATTGAAAATCGTCCGGAAAGTCTTTCTGACCCTGACGACCGTTGAAGAAGAATTGTAGCATCTCATTATTCATGGTATGATTGAGAAAGGAAGGGCGACCGATGAAGAGATTGCAGACGATGCCATAACCCGGCTACTGGTTGGAGATTTCATCAATGGCCGAGACCGGCATCCGAGGATATGGCGCTGGAAGCCAAGCGGGGCAACGTAGGCTGCAGAGACTAAAGAGGCTGCAAGAGCTCAAATAGTTGGAGACTTTATCAGCGAGAGCTGAAGAAGCTTCGAGAAGACTCGAGAAGGTTACAAGAGGAGGCGATTCACCGAAGAGGTTGGCGTATATGGCTTCGATCGTGACTATGCGTCTGGCTGAAAACAAAGTTTGCCTGCAGCAGGTGATAGTAAGGAGAAAGTCACGTGAAATTCAGTGCGAGAGAAGTGTCGTATGTAAGGCCCGTACTCTCCGACCGTCATGATGTCCTACTTTGAGAAAACTTTCTCGTTCATTTCTGCGATATGATCATAATTTCTTGGCTTATTTCGGTAATGATAGGATGCCAGCTGCCAGGGTGAACTGGGATCTTGGATGGAAGCGTCCGGGAACGTTGGGTCTTTGCTGTATATCGTGATAGTGTCGATCCTAAAGCCATCCACCCCTTTATCGAGCCAAAACTTGATTGCACTTTCAGTGACGGCCTGCCTCAAGGAAGCATTCTCCCAGTTTAAGTCGGGCTGTGTCCTGGCAAATAGATGTAGATACTGGATCTAAAACTAAAGTATCAGCCTAGCCAGTCATGAATGCCGAGTCTCATCTCTTCTTTGGTTTCTTGGGTTTCGTGAATGTCGGTCGTTTTGATGTTTGGGTAACTGAAGTATCTGGCGTCCCTTCCTGGAGATCTTCCCGAGGCCCTTGAAAGTTTAGTCCGTCGCCACCTGTAGCTCCTGACTCCGAAAGGTGATGGCTTTCCAGACCTTGTGGAAGTCCAGATGATGAGGGGAATTGCAGTTCGGATGCTTCCGAGAGCTTGAAGTGTATATTGGGTGGTATGGCATCAATTGCCGAGCAAAGTCTTTGGAAGTGAGCAGGCATCCAGGTGTCATAGACACTTTTGGTGAACCTGTAGGCTGTCCATCTCTCTCTGCCATCCAGTGCCGTGAAGTCGAAAGTATGGATAGGATGACGGTAGAACGTGGTCTTCTTGCACTCTATCACAGGATAATGGCCATAAATCCTCACTGATCGATGATCGTGTGAGATGGAAAAGGCGAGGATCTCCCGATGAAGCTCTTTCTCGCGCTTCACGAGCCGGAACAGTTCAACGACTCCTCGAACAGCAAGAGTCATACTGTGTGCATTCTGTCGATCCGCTACGTCGAGTGCGGCAGCACCACATTTCGCTTCGCTCGAGAAGAAGGGGAAGTACATATACCATGTACCCATAAAGTAGGAGGTTTCGGTGAGGTCGCCAACAAATGGCTGAAGTTTCTGATGTTGGGTCTCGGTAAATGCTTCTCGTCGGAAACCCACAGAGTAGTCAGGTTGCGGGCGAGGTTTGGTTAGTGGAATAGAATTGTTCCAGCCTTCGTTCACACTTTCAATCAAGAGCCGACAATGCTCATTTCCGCGTATGGCAAGGACTTCCGCTGATGGGACAATCAAAAGTGAGATATCTCGAATCACTCTAGCCTCATTCTTATTTCTCATTGCTTCACAGGTGTCTTCGAAGTGGTCGTCGGAAAACATTGTATCTTGTAGTATTGTTTGTTGTGTGTCAAGGAGCTGCTGGCATAGTCGCTTGCTCTCGTTCGTAGTACCTGGCCGATACTTGCCCATGAAACTATCCTTTAGAGCAAGCAAGGTCTTATATCGCTCACTTTGGTAAGGGGTACTCTTCGCCTCCCTAGGCTGCTGCTCACTCGGTGTACCTGAGCTAGGTGCGCCATACTCGCTATACGATCGCTTTCGGCGAAGTGTAGCGGCGGATTTCTTTCTCGCCAATAAATGACTCATTTCGCCACTTTCGTTGAAGTATCCTCGCGGCCAGCGGTATGTCTGCGTCCAATATGTAATGGGATCAACGTCCTGAATAGAGCGTTCAGGAGAAGATATTCGCGGTCGTTTTGGAGAGGCCGGGTTTAGTTGCTGTTCAGCTTCTCGATATTGCTCCGGATGCTTCGATGGTAGATGGGTAGCAGGTGGCTGCGTACGCTGTATCGGTCAGTCTTCCATCACAGAATAAACGTTGGCGGCTTACATGAAGACTTTCAACGTCGCTCACGAGAGATGGTAGAGGCTGCTGGCTGGGGTTTTGTTGAGTCTCCTTAATCTCAATCAAGCGGGCTAGACGCGCGCTCCGTCGAAGAGGGAGAGGGTCTTGCTTTTGTCCCTTCTTGATGTTTTGAGGGCGTATCCCTTTGCTGCTCAGTCGAGTACTGAAGGAGGAAGCGGATATATGACCATGGTGTGGCAGCTCCACGGGCTGCCTTCTGGTCTTTCGTCGTGCCATGGTTGCTCGAAATGAAGGTGAAAGAAAAGGGCAGCTTCATGTGGTTGCCAGCGAAGGGGCAGTCTCGATCGAAACTTAAGCGTCCCAGACTAGGTGACATGTATCACCTGAAAGAGGGATGTTTGGGCTGTGGCACTTCTTGGCGGTGTTTTGGATCCAAACATTTCCCGTGCGCAACAAATGTTCCGTTCCATCAGAATGCGGTGGCACGACAAGCCATACGACCAGCCAACATACCAGGGCTCTGTGCGCTCAGAACACTGTTCCCGCTTTTTTGACCCGCTTCTGCAGATCTGTAATGGCGTGTTGTTGGAGGGCGTCGAAGACTTTATGAATTCGACGACTTGTATGGGGAAGGCACGAGAGAGGGAAGAAAAGTTTGAGAGTGCTTGTGAAGAAGTTCTCCAAATTCTCGAACAGGAAGATAGTTCACCATTTGCACTCTCTCTTCACTATTGTGTATTGTGCTCGATTAATGAGAGAGTCTCTCAGGATGAAAAACTTTGGTATGTAGTTACGGTCCAAATATATACCAGCATGGAACAGACCTTTCTGATTCATTTCTTTACGGTTTCTTGAATTCTGCCTCCCTCCTAGCGCGCTCAGCTCGATTTTCTTGCCCTCTGAAGAGAGTATTGAATCATTTAGGGGAAGCTGTTGCCAAAGAAGTGCAGAAAGATTCTACAAAGCTGAGTGAAGCTGGTACTAGAAGGCCCGAACGAGCCAAAGAGAGATAAATGATCCAGTCCACCTTGTTGTTACGGTTCAATTAATCCATCTATGAGAGAGCTGTATCTTGTTGCTTGGGAGCAGAATCTGTCAATGCATTCAGAAGTTCTGCATCATAGTCCTTCTGGTGTTTGACCTTCATCATAATGAAATCATTCGCACAACGCGTCCAATATGGACAGGTTTTCAGATAGAATTTCTCATCACCACAACGGTCGTTGTTGAAACATGGTTGGATTCTGTTGTAGAAGATAGCATGAAGGGCAGTGGGATTCGTCACAGCAAGTGTATACCAAAACATGCCAATCTCCCAGCTACGACTTATTGCGGAAGAGTATAGGATGCATCCACGCTGAGGTAGAGAACTCTCTTCCTGTTCGAAGGCTGCCACAAAATTCTTCGCGTTGGTTGCCATAAGACTCAAGGGCGACCGTATGCGTAGATTCATCCGTGAGCCAAGATAGAGGCTGCTTAAAGGTAAGGGGGAGGAACTGCAGCCCAATCAAGATCGATGATATATTTGACATCCCAATCGTCATCCACCAGGATATTACTCTGATGCATGTCGGTAAGGCAAACAATGACAGGTCCACGATTGTATGTCTGGTCGAAGAATCCCGATCGTAGAGTGCGCATCAGTGAAAGGGCCGACATTTGAGTAGCACAATCACTTATACTCTTGACGGCATTTGGTTGGTGGCGCAGACGGTTGTCATGACCCAACAAGAGATCGTTGAATATATGCATCCGTTGTATGATTGGTGCGATCTCTTGGGATTGGACACAAAAGTTGACGGTCCCCTGTCTCCATTGTTTCGGGCTCTCAATGCGACATACTGAAGCAGAAAAGAGGTCTAGGTGATGAGCTACACGCCTCTGGATCAGGTTTCCATGCTCATAGATATGGTAGTAGAACTTGCTCCGCTCTTCTGGGTACCCCAGTGGGTGAAGAATATTCGTTTCGCTTTCATTGGCTTCGTCGTACGTGATCTCCTTGTGCAGAAGAAAGCGGGGACGTGTAGTGGGTATTGGGATACATGACAAGTCAATATAGAATGTTCCGTGGTCGAGGCGCTGCGAACGTATTTACCAGGCATTGACTGTGCCGTTGACAGGCGAGCATACCTCTAAGCTAAACCGTAAATGGAAAGGGGGCCAAAATTGACCTCGGCTCATGCTGACCGGAACGGTTGCCGATTGTAAGCGTGGACATCGCGAAAGTCCTTATCCTAGCCGCTTTGGGTATGGTGGTGGTCTGAGAGCCGATCATACCAGAAGCAGTAGGCCACTTGCGGATTGCTTGGCAACGACTTTAATATCCTCCGTACTTCACTTTCATACCGTAGAGCATTGCGACTCTGAGCGCAAATACCTCTTCTTTAATCTAACGAAGCCACCGCTCCGCATATCTGCAACCGAAAACAGCGGAGCCTTCATGGATAATCATGAAATTCCACCAGTGCTCTAGGACGTCTTTCTGTGCCAGCTAGAACTGGATCAGGGAGGAGACTCATTTTCCCCCCTTAACTACTCGCCTACCCATCCGGACAGCGCTTCCGTTCGCTCTGGACCCTGAGCAGCGATACACAACTTCCACCCATTCCTGAATCTAATCGACTCATTTTCGCGAAGCGGAGCAAAGAGCCCGAAAACTCAAGGGTGTCTCCGAGATTTTGTGCTATATCAGAGCCGATCCCGAGCGTCAACTTTACGCTCAGCTGACGCTGACCGAGCCCTCAACTCTGAACTTCCTTCCTAATTCCTCACATCTACCCGGTGTTCCCTTATAGCGACAGCTTCAGAAAACAATGTCGACCGGGATTGACAAGCAACTTCCTCAGGATCTGTGGAGTCTTCCATTCATCAACAGAGGGATTTCCGGTATTGTCTTTGCTGTGGATGAATTGTCAGTCATCAAAACACCGGCTGGAGGGGAGAACAATTGTCAGGAACTTGAGATCGAACGCAAGATTCTCGAGAGGCTGGGGGAGCATCCTCGCATTGTGAAACTTCTGCGGATCGACAGAGATATGATCATCCTTGAACGTCTTCAATACCCACTTCGCGTACGGATTCAAGAACTCCAAGACATTAAGGCGAAACCCACGGTGAAAGAGATTCTGAAGTGGTCTGCTCAAGCTGCTGAGGGTATGCAGTACTTGCATTCCAAGTCTGTCTTTCAAGTTGACATTGGTCCTCATAACCTTCTACTTGACTGGGATGACAACATCAAATATTGCGATTTCTCTGGGAGTTCGCTAGATGGCCGAGCAGCCCTTGTATCAGCCAGCCTATATGCTCAGCACCCTTCTTTCTCAGTCAATTCCCCTTCAGTACAGTCCGAGATCTTCTCACTTGGCTGTACGATATTTGAAATTTCTACGACTCACCGAGTGTACGAAGGAAAGGGAGAAACGGAGGTACAGAATCTGTTTGCCAAAGGGCATTATCCGAAGACTGAAGATCTCTTGCTTGGTTCAACTATCCTCAACTGCTGGACTGATCGATATCAGGATGCTGGGCAGGTCGCTGCAGACATCAGAGAAATCCAGAGACGAATTTTGCTCGGTGATCTGAGCCTATCGCTTTATGACTTAGTCCAGCATAGGAGAAATCAACAGTGTCGTGAAGGTAAGTTGTTCTTGGTGACCAGATCCCTGTTATCCACTATTTACACAAAGGTCTTCTAGCCTCAACAATTGTTCGATCGTTTCTTGCTACTATAGCATTCTACCGTCGAACCTTATTCTCCACGGCCGCCTTTATAGCAAGATGGGTATGGCAGAATCTTGCAAATGGGCCCCTTCGAACTTCACGGAAAAGGTGTCAGGATGTCCCGTAATGAGGAGAATAAGTTCTCTTCTGCTAGTGGCGACCTTGACTCTGCATCAATTCAAGAAACTCTATCTCGCGTGGTCAGCATTCAGCTGAATATCGGAATGCGAAAAGCATTTTCGGGGACAGCTCACAATGATAATACGTTCCTCTGGATTGCGGCATGTGGGACACTCAATATCCCGTCTTGAAGAGCCGAACCGCCCAATCTCCTTCCGCTCCGCATGTTCGTCATCGCAATGACGATATGTACCTCGATTTTGAGGGCGGTCACATCGGTTGTAGGACCTGTGAGACAATCGGTGCTTTGGATCCGCTGTGCACCGCGAAGAAGTGAGGGGAATTTCTATGTACGTGCACATATTTGATGATAGTCTGGAAAAGTAATGAGGTTGCTTGTATTGTCTTCGGTAATGGTACCTTTGATCAATGTGTATTAGTACTTATACTTTCCAGTGATGGAGCAATGGCCAATAATATATGCAGGGAACAGGCAACCCAGCTGCCCTCGTCGAAGCTGCTGAAGCCGCTCTGGCTGGAGCCTGGGAAACGGGGAACTTGGGCACTGCCCCCTCCACAAGAGTTTGGCGTGTGTAGGGGACGTGGCCGCTTGGTCGTAGTATCCCACCAATTGTTGCGTGACACAACTGCATCCGAGAGTGCCATCATGTGCCTAGCTCCGATTTGGAAACGCTGTCAATCGACGTTGTCATCAATCCGTTGTCAGCGCCGTATAATATGTAGATAGTACTAGAATTTGAAGCCGATTTCACTACCCGAGAGATTGCCCTTTAAAGCAGGTACTGTAGGGCTTTGTATCCACAGTAGCTATTAAACCATAAGACAGATACGGACAGGACCGTGTCATAGAGGTACTGTAACGAGTTTGGCACTATCTAGACCGTCAGCTAGAGCTCGGAGGACGTCGCTAGACTATCAGTACTTATGTCAGATAACCGTTTACCGACGCACACCTGCTCACAACCGAGCGGTCGTCAAGTTCAGCTATTTGATCGTCTCCTGTGAGAATTGCTGTAAAACCATGCCTCGTTGTTACGCACTAGGCAGGCCCAGACGCTCTCGGAACCGCAGTATAGGCCTCTCGACGACGGCATTGCCGAGGGCCTCAACGGCGCTCTCTTCCTCTTTAGCGTCGATCAAAGCAGCCCTGCCTCTACTTCTATGGCTCGATCGATGGTTGTCACTGCGAAACAATCTCTGCACTGGGTAATAGCCGCGGTAGCTGACCGATTCGGGATTTTGAGATGCTGAAGAGGTGAACATTCAAGACTGAGCAAGGAACACAACCCTGGCATTCTAAACGGCGATGTCTTCCACTGTCAACACGACCTTGCCTTCAATGGCCACCTGGGGAGCAATGCTTTTTAGGGCGATGTTCACTTCCCTATCCCCGGCACTCCCATGAGCATGGGCCCACCGGATCTCCGGTCGTACTCGTTCGACTCGTCTTACCAATCTAGCCACAACGATTCAGTCGCGACTGGTATGATTGACGAGCATCTCCCAAAATGCCATGGGTATCTGCAAGTACGGAGATTTCTCGGTCAGGGCCACTTGGATCGAAGCTGGCACTCGCTGTGTTGCCCTGCTGATGATAGAGGCTCCTCGACCGACGAGTCTTACGACATGACTGAAGCCAAAGACTTTGCACGCTCGAAGCGCCCCCCGAGCCCCAATAGTACCAAGGTCACTTTCACCTTTAACAACATCACCCACTTCAAAAATGCCTTGCTTGCGAGCAAGCCCCGCCTAGGCCAGGGGTGTCTTCGTCCTTCCGAAGTTTTGTAAGAAAGAGCCCCTGCGGCCTCATACAATCCCAAATACAACTGACTCGCTGGTCGATCCAGAGAAAAGAACTTAGGCGCAAAAGAGCGTGGACCGACGAAGAGACTGATGAGAGCCACGAGAAAACGCAGCGAAGGAGAAGAAGGAAATGTATTGGTCGTGAAGATGGTTGGTTGATTGTGAGCTCATGGAGACAACTTTAAGAAAGGGGACCGGTGCCGAACTCACCGATGTAGCCGAAAGGCCCTACGCATTCATCAAGCACCAGATGGCCCAAAGCAAGAGCTATAGCTCTTTTGTCTCTCAGCTTCTCGAGCAAGGTGACTAGGATCCAGAGGAGAAGTTCACGAATAAGTGGTCGGCCATGTCTTTGTACACGGCCAATCTAGTAAAGCCCATCCCTAAGGTCGACACTTGGGAGGTTCATCTTTGGCCGGGTCACTTGCGCTCTCAATTCAAAGACTGCAAGACAAGCTCTTCTGGATTCTTGGTTGCGGCATCTTTTTGATGCTTCAGCAGAGCAGCAAGGTAGCCACGGTGACCGCTCGTTCCCAAAGACTTACTAGTTATAACACAGACATGGTGCACCACCGCTAATCAAAGCAGCTGTGACAACGGACGACCACAAAGACTGACGGACAAGAGCTGCTCGGATCTGCTTCTAATAAAGGTCACCGCTGCGTTTTCATGTTCGTCCTCTGGACTACAGTCACGGCATACACGAAGATCAAGTCTAGCCTGGATCTGTCTCACTTAGACTCACTTCCGCCACCTCGTCGGCAGCCCTCTTTCTAGCCATTCGTCGTTCATGCCGCGAAAAGACGTTGGAGACTAACAGTCCCGGACGTGCTCTGGTACTGGCAAGGATTTGATAGCAAGGTTGGTGTTGCAGGGACGAGGCTGGTGGTACGTGCACACCGCCCCAGCCATGCCCATCCTTTGACCTTACGAATGTGCCACGCAGCCGGCAGTCCGCTCCTCAAGGCACTCGTGTCTGGGAAGCGGTCTTATACAAGCAGTCCAACCACAAGCTTCTCTTCGACATCGCCAAGCCATTGATGTTCAAGCTAATGCGCTCTATCATCCAGCAGGTCATTGAGAAGCAGATCAAGGATAACTTCGGGAAGGACGATGCATCCGCGTACAAGATCCACTAAGATGCCATGCGTGCCTAGGAAGCGGCCACGAAGGATCCCAATGCCGCACAATGAACCGCGTTAGACGTGTATACGTCCGTGGGACAGAGACCGGCGTTACGATTGTTGCAGGAAAAAGACCAAGTGTACTCCATTGGTATACGATCTCTTGGGCGGCGAAAGTGGTATTGTGGAGTTGATGTGGCTTTGCGATTTTATCTTCCCTACCGATGGGAGCATTGGTTCGATGAAGATATTCTAGAATAGAAGCAAAGGTATTTGAACCGGTCAAGTCCTCGATACGCATTCCAGCTGTGCAGAGAATGCGAGCTGATGCCCGAGTCAATGAGAGCAGGGACACTGATCATCCTCCAATGCTTCATAAGAAACCTCAAGTGCCATCCTCTGCTGTGGGCCCATCGACATGGCTTTGTTGGTTGTGATAGAGAAGAAAAAAGCGTCGAATTTGGAGACGTCCTGCTTCATGAAACGGCCCCTCGTAGTCTTCAGTCATCGAACAGCGATGTACGTTGGATGCGGAAGTCACGTCAAGTGATGGAAAAGGAGAGTCCGTGCCACTTTGAGGTTCCTTCTTTAATGGCGGTATCAGAGGCTCTGAATGTTTTCGTCCGCTTGGACTTGTATGTTGGCCTCGCGTTTCCCAGCCGCTGCGGCGTCTGTCGTCTCGATGATCCACAACAGTTGACCTGAATTGGGAGGAGCAGATGTTGCCAGTTGTCCGTCTTCATCGCCTAAAGATATGCCACATGAGACCCGAGAAGTTGGAGGAAGCGCTGAGGCTCATAGGGGATCGTGAAATGGTACGTCACCATTCTCACCGTGCTTACAATGAATAGCTTCTTGATAGTGGACTTAGCCTGGTGTTTTCGAGGAAGTGCTACAACGTCCTTCCGACGTCGTGTCTGAAGCGCTTGTCATGGGAACCCGTCTTACCTTTAGTTCCGTACAGTCTGATGCGGTGTTCGGTGACCATCCCGTAGACATCTCGCTTCCACGTGTAAAATGCCATTGTTCCTTCTGGGTGCATGATTGCATCGGACCGGCCCATGCCTACGCGAAAGCTCTGCCGTGATTCATCTTTTCAAAGAACTTGTTGATGTATCCTCTTTGTGAGTGGTGTGTAGGCACTCGGCTAACTTGCCTACTATTTTGTATCAACGCCATCGGGGCAAGTCGAAGCGAGAGCCGACGTCGCTTGGCTACGTCATTGTTGACCTTCAAACAGCCTTATGCTGTAGAATCTGTAATCATCCCTTCACTTCATCGTTAAGGCAGGAAATGGCCAGACGTTGTCAGCAACAGTTTGAGTGTGTCCAACTTCTTACCTTGGTGTCCTACCCATCAAGAACAACGCTTCATCCATCAAAGACTGTGGCCTTGAATCCATTGAGGAATCCTTTCAACTGTGGCACTCAGAGCACGACAAGTCAGAGTCGAAATGTCCAGATCAGAAGTCCCTTTCATTTCTCACCAGCCCAGCGACCGCTCGGGCACCAAGCGTAGCGGGTGTGCTATCGATCATGCTCTGCCGCCGAGACTTACCACGCAAAATCACTTCAATGTCCCACCAAATGGAGTGATGAATCCGCAGCGACAGACCTACCCATCTCTTCAAGACATTGCACCCCCTCCAGACGAAGACGCAGACTGCGCGCACAAACCTCCAGCCGAGTTCTTAACCGATTTTAAGGACGCGTATGCGAGGCTATCTATTGACGAACAGACCGAGTTCAGACTGTGTGCAGAATGTTGGGACCGCATAACTTGTGAGGAGGATTTTGAGATCTGGACTGAGGCGTAGGTGACGGCTTTGGCTATTACTTTCCAAAATCTTCTCTAACATAACTTTAGGCAAAATGTCAAGATCGAGTACGTTTACTCCAAGTCACTCCTCCGAATATTCGCCATGCCTTCCGACATACATCAGTGGATGGCCCAGAGTCTCGGAGATTGGACCAAAGACGTACTCAGAACGGATTTTGGTGGCGAGGTTCTCAAACGATTTCGCATCATACAAGAAAAAACGGTGGCATTAAGCTCAGGCACTAGATACCAGTCCGATGCATCTTGGGGATGGACCTACATGTCTCTAGACGCTCCTTTTACACGTCGATGGACGACTCTACTCGAAGTCGCATTCTCCCACGAGGAAGATGACTTGCATGACAAAATCAAGGATTACTTTGAGGGCTACGAAGACGTTCAACGGGTCCTTGCAATCATCATCCGCGAAACTCCAGCATATCGCGCGCCAAACGGACTTCCAAGCCAGACCGCAGACACCTTTGTTCGAAGCAAGCTCATCATTGATCCTCAGACCAGCAAATGCTCCTACGATGGGCAGACCTTTGTCGGCGAGATGCAGATCATGTGGCAGGTATGGGATCGAAATCCCAACCACACCGCAGAAATGACCTCCTGTACTGCCATAAACCCGAAAATAGCCGAAGGTCAGACGCTTCCTACGGTCCTCATACCTCAAGATATTCTCCCCGGAGGAGCGGAGGTCTTCCTTCGACATACCAATGACGTGGGACTCTTCCTGGATTGGGATGACGTGCTGTTAGAGACTGTGCAGATACGAAGAGAGGAGGCTATGCAAAAAAAGGTGAATGAAGAAGGTAGACTAAGCCAGGAGGCGTCACAGGCCCAAGAGATTGGAAGGGAACAGGCCGAGAGCGTGAAGGAGCGGGATCTGCGCGCTGAAAGAAGACGTCAAAAGAAGAACTAGGCGGAGGGAGGGATGAAGAAGAACTCGCTATCAGGCCGAAGTATGGTATGAATCCTGTGCGCAGCATCCTCCTACTACATGGCTGAAGCTCCAGCAACGCCGGTCCGCCCGTCCTCCGCGAATCCATGGGGTTTTGCTTGTAAAGCTTCGTGGAAGATACCAATACCTGAGGATAGCATCACGAGCAGCTTTCGGTCCAAGAAAGGGCTACTTGGAGAGGCGTGACGCAGATGTCGGACTATGCAGATAGGCAAGAGCCTGATAAGGGAGCTCGGGTAGCTCAAGCAGCCTCCTCAGCCTGCTTTAGCCCACCTTTCGGGCGACGCTCAACCGTGTCATTCATACAGCTCACATGCACTCAGCAGTATAATCACACTCTCAGCCCCTCAAATATCTAGATCGTTCCATGCCGTCCGCCGCCTCCTGCACACGATTCAGAAGGCATTCATTCAACGATGATTGCCCAGGCCGCCTGTATATTCCGCTCTCTGACACCGCCTGGCGAACTCTAAGGAGGTGGGCTCTAAGTCAAGTCCATGGCACTCCTGGATCTAGAAATTGGCTGCTCAAGATCGATTCGATTCCTGCTTCAGCGCAAATGAGAGTGATACATTTGTCCACCAAGGCGTCAAACCTTTTGTGGCGAGATAGGCCCCTGCCTGAACTCCAGCTGTCATTCTGTCGCATTAGCTCGTGTTCGACGTATCCTCTTGCGGTCACGTCTGCCTGCACGCTTCCGGGCATGATTTTGCCCAATAGTGTCTGAACTGGGCACAAGACGTTGTTGGTCCATATGAGACAGCCTCTCAAACTCTCGAATCGTCCAATCGAACACATTGTCATGCTCGAAACCTTTGCGGCGAAAGAGGCGACCGAACAAGCTCCGCAGGTACTTGTAATCGGGCTTGTCATAGTCGTCCAATCCACGAATGTAGTTCATATATGTAGTAAACTCCGCTGGCAGACCCTGGCATAGTTCCGATACCCTGATCGTCGTCTTCCGCTCGAAGACAAGCCGGTATCTTTCCTGCCGGCTGGAGGCCTTCAGACCTTGCCAGGGAAGGGACCCATGAAGAAAATACAGGGCCATATACCCTAGCGACTCGAGGTCGTCACGCCATGATGGAGCTGCATGGGCCCCAAATTAGCTGTGGGATCAACGATGGAATAACATTCACGGCACTTACCGACGTCCAAGTGGCCATTGATGCTGGCGTAACGGCAGGTGCCGACCAGCGAAATCCGGGGACTGGCTGCCGGCTTGTGGCTGAGGATTCGGTCGTTAGGGGCCCTCCGGTAGGCGGCGAGTCCAAAATCGGTCATGTAGACAATGTTGCCCTGCTTACCGGTGCCTAGCAGGAAGTTTTCAGGCTTGATGTCACGATGGAGGTATCCCACCTTGTGGAGACTTTCAATCCGATGGAGGAGTTGATCCATCAGAATCAATGTTGTCTTGAGGGAGAACTTGTTTTCACAGTATCGGAAGAGATCCTCGAGATTGGGTCCCAGAAGTTCAAACACCAACGCCTGGAAGTCACAGTGATAGCCAAGCCAGAATACTAGGAATGCCGGGTTGTCCACTCAGTTCCTCATAGATATCGATCTCTTGACGCAGGAGTGATGGTGTGATCGAATGGTGCTCGAGTTTAATGGCCACCACGTCACCGGTAGGAACATCACGCCCTGGGCGAAATCAGTTATACTCGATGTTTCATTGTCTCTGAGACGGGGCATCCTACCCATGTACACTTTTCAAACGAACCTGATCCTTTACGCTCACATATCTGGTAACGCCCACTTAGGCGTATCTCGAGGAAGTGTTGAATAAGCGGGTGTCCATTGTAGAACGAGCGTGCGTCGGAGAGCTACCTGTAATATGATAAGCACACCCGCTCAGATCGAAGATGTTGCGCTGTCACGTCCTAAGTCCTCTTCGGGTAAGGCCAAGACATGGAGATTATGCGGTAGTCCGTCTTACGACATGAAGGGGCATTAAGAGGGTGAGCAAAACGGCCAATGGTGCTATGTACTATCGACTGTTGAATACTGGTTGTTGGCACCTCCGTAGTTTATGTCACTAAAAATCATCGCTGACAAATGCGCTCCAGTGACAGAGCAACACATCAATACTTCTTGTCGCACTGACTACTGCTACCCATCTCTGCCATCCCACCACTGATTAATAAGCAGGCCCTGCTCCCGAGATCTAGAAGTTCGCTCAGCGTTTGGCACGTCAGCGTGCATCGAGTTACAAACACGGTCCATCCGTTCGATGAAAAGGACAGATCGCAAGTGTCTCGCAAACAATTCGTTCGTCCATAACATAGCTTGGGGCATTTGGGAATCTGTCTGTTAACCATGTCACTAGACGTTAAGCTAGCTCAAGCCGTGTAAGATGGTGTCATCCCCGGAGCTGTCCTCCTCGCGGCCAGCACCTCAGTTAAGCAGCGACGCCGCACGCCATGTTGCCTCGCCCGACCTTGATTCACTACTGACTCGGCGACCACCCGGCAGGACATGTCGACAACGCAAATGTCGTGGGCCGGCGCTCGCTACGGGTCGGCATCGAGGATCCGTTTCGTCTCGATACCGTCTTCACCCTCGCCTCCATGACCAAACTGCTCACCGCACTGTGTGCCCTACAACTTTTCGAGCGCGGGGCCCTTACCCTCGACGCTGACGTCTCCCAGCACGTGCCCGTACTGGCGCGGCAGCGCATCTTGACGGGCTTCTCGCAGGACGATGGGTCGCCACTGCTCGAGCAGCGGGGAAGTCCCATCACAATGCGCCACCTACTCACGCATAGCTCCGGCGCTGGGTACCATTTCATGGACACCCGTCTGAAGCGCTACGTCGAGTACACCAATAGGGAAAATCCAGCCGACATCATCGACGATCTATTCGACCTTCCGCTCCTGCACCAGCCTGGGGCAGAGTGGACGTACAGCAGCGGCATCACATGGGCCGGCAAGGTCGTCGAGAAGCTGACGGGCCAGAGCCTCGACACATACATGGATAGCAATATCTTCAAACCCTTAGGCATCACACGTATTGCTTTCTTCCTGCCCGCCACCCATGTCAGCGACATAGCAACTCGCAACGCTGCCACCGGCGCGCTCGCACCCGGTCCACCGGGCCTGCCCTTCTTGCCGCCGCTCAAGAATGCTTCGGTGGAGTGGGTGCGTACGGAAGTTTGACGGACTATTTCAAGGTGCTGCGCTCACTATTACTCGACGACGAGAAGCTACTGCGAAGAGCGACGGCACGGCTGATGTTCGAGCCGCAGCTACCAACCCAGGCGGCTACGGACGGGCTGCGTGCAGCCTTCGAGGACCCCAGTTGGGCTGTCGGCGATTTTTCCAGCCCCAGGGAGTTAGACCCGGCATACGGTGGCCTCCTTGTTGTCGGGGACGCTCATCCCTTTCGCATGAGGGGACACCTGAGCTGGAGCGGTGCGGCCAATCTCTATTGGGTACGTAAGAATACATATGGACGAGACCGCTTGGGGAAAGATTGGCTGACACATATTTTACCAGTTCATCGATCGTGGCGCTGGTGTATGCGGGGTCTGGGGCACGCAGGTCCTTCCCCCGGCCGACGCGGCTGTCGAGCAGCTAATCAGTGCTTTTGAGAAGCACGTGTACGAAATGGCGAAGGACGAAGACGGCGCCGAAGGGAGGTCCAAGTCGTTGGCGGATGGTAGCCGTTAGAGTGTAACTAAGGGTTCCCAACCGAGATGGGTCTGTATCGCATAGCTCCAGGGGTAGAAATGCTTCAGCTGCCAAAGGACAACTCTGTCGTTGGTCGAATGCACGTGGGCTCTCTCAACCCAGAGATCACCGCAACACCCCAGCGCGGACGAGTGCTTTTCGTTATACCGAAGCAGAGGAGGGCCGGGAAGGGCCTGGCAAGTACACAGATACAGAGCAGTCGTTAGAATTGTTAGTGGGGACGTGAATGCTCTGCGCGTCTGCGAGGACCGCCCACGACTCTGCTTACATAGTATAGTCGGACGCTGCATAGCTGTCCACAAGGAGGTTGCTGGGACAGACTAGGGACTATAACATAATCAATCGATCAATCAAGTCGCGCTTGCCGGGAATGATTCCCGTTCCGGCAGTAGTTCCCGCTGTATCCAGCAGTTTCGATGTCGACGACGTCAAATCCAAGAAGCTGGAATGTCTAGGAATCGAGTGTCAGGGTCTTCGTTCGACTAAATTTATTGGCTGCTTCGAAATCATGGACGATGGTAGAACTTACAATGCTTGGTAATTATGCATTTGCATATCGGTATAAGATCATAGGAGGGTTGTGCGCGCCTATACAGTACTGAGTCGGCGCTATATCTAGGTCCAGAGTCGTTTGTCATTACTTTGTTCCTCTTCAGTACCAAGGAGCACCCCATTTTCATCTACAACAATGCGAATTCTGGTTGTTCTTGCGCACCCTGAGCGAAAGTCGCTCAATGCAGCTCTGAGCCAGGTGATTCTTGACGAACTGCACGTCCAAGGACACGAGGTCCGCATATCAGATCTCTACGCCATGGGCTGGAAAGCACAGATTGATCGAGATGATTTCCCGGAACTTCCTGATGATCAGCCTCTCCGGATCCCAAGCGCTTCGCGAGACGCATATCACACAGCTTCTTTGACCGACGACGTGGCTTCTGAACAAGAGAAGCTCCTCTGGGCAGATACGGTGATTATTCAATTCCCTCTTTGGTGGTTCACTATGCCTGCGATTCTCAAGGGATGGGTGGATCGCGTCTTCTCCTGCGGATTTGCGTATGGCGTGGGTGAGCACAACGACAAGCACTGGGGAGACAGATACGGCGAGGGAGTGTTTGCAGGCAAAAGAGCCATGTTAGTAGTCACCACAGGTGGTTGGGAGCAGCATTACTCGGCCCGTGGGATCAATGGGCCGATGGAAGATCTGCTGTTCCCCATCAACCATGGCATTCTGTTCTACGCAGGCTTCGAAGTCCTGCCGCCCTTCGTTGCCTATCGTGCCGACAACCTCGACAAAGCTGGGTTCCAGACTGCGGCCGACAATCTCCGCGAGCGAGTTCGCAGTCTCGCTCTTACGGATCCTATCCCTTACCGCTATCAAAACCGGGGCGACTACGAGATTCCGACCATGGTATTACGCCAGGACATCGAGTGTGAAGGTCGGGAGGGCTTCAGGATACATCAAGCCTCCTCATTGCAGCAGTCTTCATAAAGGGTCATCTTTCCGATATCGCGCTCACCACGTTTCTGGTCCCTGAACACCAAAGGAATAGCGCTCGACAATATTGAAGGGAAGATTTTCCATTGAGTCAGAGCCCGGGATACAAAGTCGTGTCGACGGCGCGGAGTCGCATGAGCTTCATGACCCCTGAGCACTCGTATTGGGATCCGACACAAGGCCAATACGCAGGCTCAGATCCAATGAGTCTTTTGCTGTTGCGGTAACGGGTATACATCGACATTGCACCGGCGAAGTATAGCCTAGATGCTGGTTCTCAAGCATGTTTGATACCTTGGTGCGAGAAACCAAAAGTGGAAGCAGACCATGAAGGCTCAGGGATCGGCGGGCAGAGAATTCGAATTGGTTTCCGATGAAGTCTGAGGACGCAGAGACGGGGCAAGGAAGATGTTCAGCTACGTTCAAGTCGTTGCGGGAAGTTGAAGGAAGTTGTGAACTAGTACATCGACAGTCACGCGGGAGGCTGGCTCTGTACATACATCATGGTTGCGAGGACAATAGTGTAATAACAACCAGGGTTCGTGCCTCATGCCAAGTTCAGCATTTTCTGGTTGGTGGCCGCGAGCAAACACCAACGCAGTCCAAGAGCGCCTTTGACCTACCGAAGTTTGCAACAAGAGATATGCTGATTTACCGCACAGGCAACAACTATTAATTACGACGGATTAAATGCGGCAAAGAGAACCACCGGAGCCAGGAAAGCAGGCTTTTCTGTGTGCCGCGGGCATTCGGGCACGTTTGCCACGAACGAGGCACCATATCAGCGAGAGCTTACGCACTGCTCTTCGCAAAGGGTAGTGGCCACTGGCTACTGGTATATCGGCAGCTGGCTCTCTTCCTCGGCGGGCAAGCTCCGTAAAGGTTCAAGATTTTATAAATTGATCATGCTAAGTTGCGATGAAGTGAGAGAGACGCTGAATGAAAGGTATTTTTGTTTCCAGTGGTCAAACAAGAACGAGACAACAACCCGAAATCCTCCAGCTTGAATCCATTACCAGTGTTCTCCAACAGTAAGGAAAGAAAGACCTCAAAAGACTTTTCGCGTCCCATCGCCGTCCAGATCCTTCGTGGCCAGCCAGCTTGACCACCGTTCCCAGCTCGACACCCATTCCCAGCTTGACCTCTCTTTCCAGCTTAACCTCTCTTTCCAGCTTAACCTCTCTTTCCAGCTTAACCTCTCTTTCCAGCTTAACCTCTCTTTCCAGCTTAACCTC